TCGACCCTCGGCCACATCAGTCTAGCACTCACTCCTGCGGCCCCCGACGCGGAGGGTGCCAAGAAAGCGGCAGTGTCAGCGGGAACTCGGCGGCGATAGATCGGTGGTGTATCCCATTCAAAAACTTGGAGGCTTCGTGCTGGACAAGCCTTCTGTTTGACGAATGGTGCGTGCCAAGACTCGCTGGATGCATCCTCTGGATACGAGCGGACTTACATATACAGTACTTCCCTTCAATGACACGTCGCCCAGCCGACTTATCCGTAATATGTATGAGAGGTCTGCGACAATACTGTACTTGCGCCGTACGTACGGGATCATGACTTGAAGTAACCTCAGTGACTGGATATTGGGCCGTTACTGGACGTATACATGCCTTTATGTCTCTACCAGCTGCGACACTGAGGATGCTGAGTACTCCCTGTCCCCCAACTTGGCAACTGGGAAGTTTATGAAGTTAGGCGGAACCAACGTTTTAACCAAGTTTCATTTTTCACACCGAGCAGTGCAAGCGGACTCCGAGTCGGCCGAGTGAGCGGAATATGAAGGCGCTTATGACTGTAACGCTATCTCTTGGAGCAGCCGGTCTCCTGACTGACTCGGAGGGACTCTCCTCTTCTCCGCCACACACCCACTCTCCCAGCACCGCTCTAGGTATGGTATATCAATAGGACAAGTTTTAACGGAAGACTACACTTCAGCAAGCACAACCCGCAGCCGCTCGCACGACTGTGCACACCTCTGAAAGCTTGTCGCAAACGACCAATTATCAGACCACAGTACCATCCAATCGCCACGGCTGCTAATCGACTACCAGTACACCCAAATCTACGTATCCAGCATGTTCCGGACGGCAGCAAAGAAGATTGCGCACAACTCGACGCTGCCTGTGCTCGGAGGAAACAAGGACCTCCGTGCGTTACAGGAACTGATCACAGCTGAGAAAGCTGTGCTCAACTCGTATGTTACCTACAGCGATTCCCGACGGTCGTTAATGTAGGGAAACCGCTCACAGACTGCAGAGGCTGAGCGCTGATATTGCGAGAGCGTCGGAGGCGCTGAAGGCATGGGGAATGGGTGAAGGCGACGACTTAGGGGTGAGTCTACAACTCGTCGTGGCAGGCCGTCGTATTGACGAGCGCGAAGGACACGCTTTCCGCGTCTTGTGCACTCTATTTGCACTTCTCTGATGCGCTGCAAGTCTTCGCAAATCACCACGGTTCTGTACGTGAACAAATGAAGTCAGTGCGCACGCGAGAGGAACGCCTGGACGAGCTTCGACGCCGACGCAAGTCTCTCGCTGCTGAAGCCGAATCCGCCGAGAAGAAGCTTAGCAAGATGGGTCCGGACAGCAAGAACCTGCAGACACAAATGGATCACCTCAACAAGCTGCGAGAAGAGATCCGGATTATGGACACGGACATCATGGCAGAGGAGGCCAGTCTCAGCGATTACAAGCGGTCCACGTCGAAGGCGTGGCTGGGTTACAAGTTTGGAGGGCTCGTGGAATGCTGCGAGAAGGGCATCGTGCGTAGTGTCTCAGTGCCGATAGACGTATTCTGACGCTCTTCAAAGATCATTGCCGATCACGGTAGATTGGTTATTGCAGTACGTCCGGTGTTCATGTTTGAGCTCCTCCGCATCTCATCTCCCTCAGGAAATACCTCTTGACAGGACGGAGCCTGGACTCCCTCGAGCATACTACAACGGCTACAGTAACACAGAGAACCTCGTTACCGATGCTCGTCGTGCGCTCTCGACTGTTAGCTTCTCCCAAGAGCCTAATCTCGGCGGCCTCGTTCGTTCTGCCGATCCATACGACAACTCGGACATAGCATCTCTCCCACCAACACAATATGGATTTGCGCCCACTCCTCAAGTGGGCGACACCAGCCGGCGTACCTCTGTAGTCATGCCCGCTCCCACTGGCGACGCCAGCCTCTCCGACACAGCGTCCACCAACGGCCAGATGCCGCGCTCACCCCTCGCCGGCGGGTATGGTGCTCTCTCGCTCGCGCCCTCCAGCCCGTTCATGGCCCCCAGCAACCAGTCGCTCTCGTATGTTGACATCGCCGCTCCCATGCCGCCCCCCGCAGACACCGGGGAATTCGGGGCCCTCCCGCAGGAGCCGTACTCGCCGCGTATGAGCTCGATGCGTTCGCCTGAGGATCGCGACCGCCTCACGGGTGCGCGGGTCTCGCGCTTCTCCACCGTCCCCGCGCTCGGCGGCCCGCGCCCCCCACGCGACTCGCGGGTGTACGCGCCGTCCCACGCGAACGAACGCCCGCCATCGCTCGACGTCCAGCGGCCCCAAGACGACTTCTCGTCGAGCATCGCCCAGGCACTTGAGGACAAATTCAACCCCAAGTCGGGCGCGAATGGAGGTGAGAAGGGGGGCACCCAGGAGAGTAGGCCTACGTCGCACTCGTCGCCGCCGCCAATGTACACGTCTGTCGTGGGGCATGCAGGCGAGGACGACGTGCAGCTGGCGTACATGTCTCCGGAGGACGAGGCGGAGACGTCGCCTGAACGGCGGAGCAGGGAGGACAGGAAGGTCAAGTTTGAGCCCTCGGGTGGCTTCGCGGACGACGTGCTGAGTTACAGCCAGGTGGCGGAGCAGACGGCCCAGGGTGACGGGCGTCGGAGCTTTGAGCAGTCCGAGCGATCGTCGTCGAATGCAGGTATGCGAGTACCATCTACAATATCTACAGGCTCTGATTCGGACACTGCAGCAGTACCTCCAATAAGCAATACCCAGGCACCGGCCTCTTACGTTCCCTCTCCGCCGCCTGCACAAGTGCCGGCACCACCCGTTGATCAGCGAACCCAAGACGCCGACGCAGCGCGGGAGGTCTCGCGGGAGATCGACGCGCTCATGTCAAGCTCCGCTCTGACAAGTACCATCCCGGAGCCGAGCCAACGGACGCCCTCTCCGCTTATTCCGCCTCAGGCACCGTTTGCTCGCCGCACCGTTTCCCCTCGACCTCCGATGGACGCCGCCATTCCGCCTCCCGGCAGCCCACGCGTCAGCACGGGAGGTGGCTCGCAGTTTAGCGGATACACACGCGAACGGGATCGCTCGCTTGCATCGCCAACGAGCTCGCTCGCACAGTCGTCTGCTGAGGATCGGGAGCCCGCGTCCCCAGTGTCGTCTCGATCCCGAGTGAGCGGCGACGGGCCTCCGACAGCCGTACCCGCCATTGCTCTTCAACGTCCATCGCCCTCTCCCTCGTCATTCTCCGTAAACACCAACATGACAGCATACAGGTCGACGCCCCAGTCGGAGTACGCCTCGCCGCTCTCTTCGCCGCTCCCCACGCCGACTGCCCCAGGGTCGTTCTACTCGCTGCCCGCAGCGTCCGCATCAGGCAAGATTTCCGCGGCTGCCTTCAGGAGGCAGGCTCGTAGCCCTAGTATACCCGCAGTGCCCGGTTCCGATGCGCCAAATGTGGACACAGGCCCGCTGATGGTGAAGAAGCGACCGCTGCCCTCGTCGCCGTCAGGAAACACTGCGCCCGGTGCCGTCAGGCAGTCTATACCGCGCGTGCCCTCGGCACCCCTCTCCAGCCGTGACTCGCTCGATGCTGGGGATGGGAGTGGACGCTTCCGTTCGACGTCTGCGGCGCAGGCTTTTGGGGATCGATCGTCGCGTGGTGGTCAAGAAGTCGCGGGGAGTGACGACGATTATGATTACATCTCGGCGTATACTGGGCCGGAGGGACGTGAGTCTGGAGGGTATGAACATGGGAAGTTCGCGACCAATCTCGAAGATGGGAGAATGAGTCTGCGGTAGCGCAGAAGCATAACAAGTGTTCTTTTTAGCAGTGTATCGGCTGCTGCTCGACTGGGCCGGTGTTTCATTCGGTCCACAAATTATTTATGTCCCCATCACTGGAGCCGTTGTCGGACTCCCCAGTTGAGAGTCTGCACATGCCGAAATTGAAGATCGGCTCTCCGTGGCCACAACTTCTGCTTAGCGGCCGGGGACAGCAGCTGGCTGTGCATCATTACGCCCAGCTACAATCATTACACAATCCACATTGTATGGTAAGTACATGCGCGACGATTAAATAGGGCATCACAACAAGAACCACGAAATCCACTCGAGCAACGAGCGACCTCTGTATATGACTGATGAAGGAGTCCTTGCTTGCTGCCGGTCCCGGCGCAGGCATGTCAAGCGAATAAATATGTCGTAACAATCATCGTGCACACCATATGTCCAAGTCGTTCAACGGGGCCGACACCATTGTGCAGCACTCGCCGTCGTACCCGACAAAAGATATGACTGTCAATGATGCGCATGTCAGTTGAGGATGACGAGAACACGGCTGATGTCAACGAGCAGTCTTGCCCGGAGGGATACCTGTGGTTATCATCAGAGAACTACCACACGGGAGCGCGAACCGGGCACGCACCATTGCCAGCCATCTCGACGTCTATTTGCATTGTATCCCGGGCCCAGCTGGTATTGCGGATCGCGCTGCCGGAATTCGTGCGGTCCATGGTACGGTTGAGAAGGTTGGTGATGAACGTGTTGGCGTACCTGCTCACCGCGTCAGTGACTCACAACACACTCACGCTCATTGAGGCATTGGAGTACTCACAACTTGCTCAGGATGTATATGCTGCACAAGAGACCAGACATAATAAGTGATTGTTAAGAGACGCTGCTCTGGGGACTTACACAGGCTCGTAGTACAGCTTTCCCTACAAAGACCATAAGCCATCGTGATTAGATGTGCACGAATATGACACACCGGACATCCCATCGCCAACACGAGGCCGATTATTGCGACGCTGGCTGTGTTTTGGCGTTAGTTACATCCCGCACTAACAGTGTAACGATGCTACCCGTGAGAATGCCGCTTTCGACACCGAAACGGATGACCTTGTTGATCATCATATCCGTCTTCAGCATGCCATTCTTGAGTCTCAACAGCTGTAGATCTGAGGATCAGCCAGCAATCGACTCAACGAACGCCAACAATGAACTGACCAAGATGGTCATTGCCACGGCAATGATAGCGTCAACGAGGGCACTTCCGCCCAAAAAGATCTGCAGTCGGGTAGTGATGAGTATGCTACGCAACCGGATGCCAACCGAACTCACGCAGTCGACTGCCAGTGCCGTTCTCGACAATCCTATCTCACTGGTAGTAGACACATCTCTGAGCTGATGAGTGTCTGACCTCAGCCCTGGCACACCCGGTGATACAGATGGAATGCACTGGCCTGGACACCTGTTACGGTGATGATACCAAAAATAAGCTGGACTATGGAAAACTAGAGCGGTCCACCGTAAATCTCGATTCAGTCGGCGTCAGTCGAGTTGAGCCTGACTTACAAACACGAGAATGCCGCAAAGAATGACAGTCCTGAACAGCTTCCAGATCCGCCACGCAAAGTAGCATTGCACCGGCGTCGAAACCAGCCCACAAAGAAGGGGGAGCGAGAACCATCCGGGACGATTTGTGCTTGTCAATGCGGCCGGATCGCCATAGTGGTAAACAAAGGAATCAAATGCGTCGACGGTGAGCAGTATTGTCTGTATCCATTCTAAGGCAAGAATGGCGTAGACTGTCGGCAGTGTGTTCAGCGAGGACCTCAGGCCTGACCCAAGGGCAATGCGTCTTACCTAGGACCTGCAAGAAAGTATGATCCTTTCGAAACTTGACATAATACAGATCTATTTGATATTCAAACGACAAGTTCGGGACAATCGTTTGAAGTAGTACTCACAAATCTGAACATTAAGTACGCCGAGAAGTGCCCAGCTGAAGAAATATCCAACCAGCTTGAGACCGAATGGGTCAGAACCTGGTCCTTAGAGCAAGCTTTTCTGTACACATACAGGCGGTCCAGCGCTAGAGATACAAGGCAGTTAGTAGTTGCTTCCGAGGAAAATTGAGGGAAACGCACAGGCCGTCAAGGGAGTGAGCAGCGGGCAATACGCTGGATGCCATCCGGGAGGACGAGAAATAGGCTTGCGTACGCAACGCGAGCGAGGTTGCTTCGCAGTAGCGTTCAACTTATCGCACTCCACGCGCCGCCATCAACAAGGTACCCGAGAAGCTGTGTGGTCGACTTGACCTGAGATTTGTGGACCGGCCGATGCAATTGGTCATAGCCCGGCGTCTCGACCTACTTAGTACGTTATGAAACGCGATCAAACGGATCTGTAGACTCGGATAGGAGCATGCGAGGAGATCGGCGTGGGCATTAGCGCAGCGGACTGCATGGATTGGTCACAATCTCATGAGTGCGCAGCTGCTCTCCCAGGGCATCAAGCAACCTCAACTTGAGGGCGATGATTGCTTCATCGCATCAGTCGCGATTGAGTCGACCGGGATGCATCCTGTAATGGGAAGCTAATCAGCGATTGTTCAACTTTCAATGACGCTATCAGGCTGCATCAGGCTGCATGTGCCAAGTACGGTCAATCAACTTGGGACTTGCCGGTGCTCACATATAAATCAAACCAACGACGACAAACCCTCAAAGTAGCCTCCTAGATCGACGTAGCGCAAAGTATCGAATCAGCACCGACGGATGCAAAATGATGCGGTGTTCATGACGGACTCTGCGTTCCTTACTGGACCGAGGCGGAAGCATTTGAAAGCAGGGCAGATCTACATAGAGCAAATGATGGCCCGAGCGCTCAGATCGTCGAGGGCTGTGTAAGACAGGTTCACGGCCCATCAGTATCGTACATAGGTGTTGGGGACAGAACACACTACGTGCCTGATGCATTCCACCGCAAACACCCGTTAGCTTGAGATGCAAGTTTGAGCAATACCAAGGCAATTGTCCGCATCGAGTTCTGCGTTCAATGCGCAGCATTCTGGCTAGGACGTCGACACAGTCATCGGTATCGTGGTTGTGTATCACGCAAATCTCACGTTACGCGACAATCTCCTCACTGGGCAACGTGCACTGCAAGGTCAATTCAGACATGCGTGAGAAGCTTAACGATGTCGTACCGACCCCAAGATTTGCAGCATGAACTGCATTGTGTTACCGTCCGACTAAGGTGTAGTGTGGCTTCAATATGAGGCTGCAGGCAGTGAGAGCACATCAGGCATTGACGGGAGGAATCGCCTATATCAACAGCTCAAAAATCACTGAAGACGACACATATCGTGTGTATTAAGTCTTCTCTTGGCAGCACGCGGAGTCTAGTAGGTTATTGAGGCGCCCGCAAACGAGCACAGGAGTAAGTACTAGTGACAGGAACGTAAGGCTCGAGCTTACTGGTCACAGCACCAACCTTGGACACAGGTCGAAAAAACATCAGTGAGTAGAATTCCGCTGACCTGACTGAGGCACCTACATGCTCAGGCTGTACCTCAGCGTTGCTTGCGGTGAGTGATGCTGGACACAAAGCCCGATTGCTCATTGGCAAGTTCCGGGACGTTGACTTCGAATGGTTTATAGAAGTGCTGCAGTGTTCCATGTGGATATGAATACGAGGATACCATACACCGGTTCGCTCTTGTGAGACTTCACACGAGGCAAAGCCGTTGTAGGTCGCAGACGTTGCGGAAGCCTGAGGATAGGGCCACCTTGCTACCCTAGAAGCAGAAACAATATTAGTGCGACGCGAACCGGTCTATTCTTATCGAAGGGAACCATCCATCGACGTCCATCAAGGAGGTCAAAAACAGAAGTGGATTTGTAACTCTGCGGGTGTAGCACGCACTGTCAAATAGATTGTTTGTTCAACACGAAGTCGGAGGCTATCTGGATAGGATAAGCAACAGATCTGTCTCCCCCCTGTATCCGGTCGGGAGCACCATATCTTCGGCAGATTCGAGGTCTTGCGCCACGGGCACGAGTGACAAATGATATGACCCATCGCGTTGCTTAGGTCCGACTGAAGGGTGCTGTTGACGTAGGCGCGATTGAGAAGGTTCGTGACAAATGTGTTCGAGTACCTGAAACGAGCCAGCTTAGCATTACTGTTCCTGTTGTTCAGAAATTTACTTGCAACTTCGCAAGACTTTGGAGGCTTTTGTGAAGGGTATGCAGCGTTCAGTAACGTCCGATCAAATTGATGTCAAAATACTCACGCCGGTTCGTAGTATAAGATACCCTAGAACTAGTGAGTACACACAGTGAGTTCACGCGAGTCGTGACGTACCGGGAACGCGACTATCAGAGACAGGCCGACAATTGCGATAGTCGCTACAATGAATTGAGGTCAAGTTTGGTCATCGCCAGAGGCATCGTACACACCGGTCAGAGTTCCAGTTTCAACTATTAGGCGTATGAGCTTGTTGACCATTTTGTCTGTCTGTTGTATGCCCGTCTTCCGTCTGACCATCTTCCACCAGTAGATGTTAGTGAGTGTTCCAGTACCTCCGCCAGTGAGCCTGCTGCCCTCAATCTTCTCACTCACCAGTATCGTCATTGTTACTGCAATAACGACATCTACTACAGCACTTCCGACGAGCCATATCTGTATTCATTGTCAAGAACCACCCTGAGTGGTGCAAATGATCTACGGTTGGACTCACTATGAGGACAGTGGGAAGGTACGCATCCGCAAATATGCCCACCGCAGTTGACGAGACGGTCTTGAACTGGAACACAACGGTGTTAGCCTCATATGTACCAGTCGGCAAATCATATAGGCTCAGCTTACTTTGGCACCTACCATGATCCCGCAAATACCCTGAAGCAATGACAGCTGACAGTATCCAAAGACGACGAAAACTATGTCAGTTTCACCGACTCATCGCGCAAAAGTCGTAAGATGAAGAACGTACTATGATAATCCCTCCCATCAGTATGCGTAACTTCGATAGCATGTAAATGCGCCACGCGAAAAACCACTGGACGACCATTGAAACGAGTGCACACATGATAGGTAGGGAGAACCACCCGTTGTATACCAACCCTAACGCCTCGACATCTCCGTAGCGGTATACGAAGACTTCAAAGGCACCCGCAGTGAGCAAGCCAGTCTGAACCCACTCGAATAGGAGAATGCCATAGACTGCAGGCTTGGGTAAGGCCAACCTACTCGAGTGATTCAGTCGAGATGCGATGTGAACGTACCGAGACATTGCATCACGATTGGGTCGCGAGTGAAAGTGACATGGTAGAGATCTGCAGGCGATCATGAATGTCGCCGCTTTCAACATCAATATTAGGGACGCACAAACTTGCACGTTGAGGACTCCGAGGAGTGCCCAGTTGAGGAAGTAGCCGATAAGCTGGAGCAAGCGCTCGACACATGAACTTTTTGACACCAGAAAAACCACAGGCTCACTATAGGACCGGCACTGAGGATTCGACAGGCCCTCAGTAACGTCTACGGAGACCTCGAGTTGCAAATGGGACACGTACAACTGTGGTATGGTCACAGAATGTCCGCCTAACAATGGCATGGTGAGACCAGTTGTCGTGTTACTTGCCTTGACGAACCGATTTGCTGTCGGCTTATGAGCATGCAGCTATGATGGTCATCAGGAGTAAACCTTATCGATGACACCGCTCCTGATGTATAACTTGCGCTGTTGAAACTGCGAAGAGCGTAGTCAGTATCAGCTCCATGGGTACATGCGACAGACGGGATCAGCCTAAGCACAGTATCCTTGATCCATTGGACACGCTTAACAGTGAAATTTTGATTACTTACAGCATCGGTGACTCCCCAATTCTTCTTGTCCTAACAGGCACGTCGGAACTCGGTGTCAGCTACCGCTGAGGAGCACGGACAAGTGGGCGGTCAACTGCCCGGATCTGTTGTAAGCGCCAATGTTCTGACAATTGATAGTTCAAAGTAGCGACACATGCTAGTGTATGATACGAGGCATATACTGCCCTATATCAAGGGCGCAGAACATGCAGTACATGTATCATCGGAATCAAAAAGCCAACATCACTACTTGAGGCCAACGTTGCACTTCGACACTCACCGGCACCGATCGATCGCATAGTCGTTCGATATGGAAGACACCAAGCTCCGAGAACCTCCATAATGATACAATGATGCACTAGTATGGCTCACGTTCGCCGTCAGCTTCACAGACAAGAATGACATCTAAGGGCCACCACATTAACTCTCTACATGCAGTGAAGCGATGCTCTTACGGACAGCCTGATGTGCATCAGAGGACGTTCGGGACAAACGGGTAACACTACCGAGGTACATGACTGGCAGAATGTTGGGACTAGTGGATGCGCATCATATCCCAGGGAAATCGAGATTATATGGTCGTTGCTTCAAGTCTTTTGGAATCAGTCCGGGTGGTCCGATTCAGCAAATTGTGACGAATGTGTTGGAATACCTGTATGTGAGGCGACATAAGTTGTGGTGTACAGCCGGAAGACATGCGAAGCTCACACTTTGGCAAGAATGTATATGCTGATCATGACGTATTCGTAGTTGTACACTGTTTCCGTACCATGCGACCTACGCTGGCTGAAAATATCCCTTCTTCTGCACATACGATCCAATGAGCTGACAGGACAGGCCTAGAGACGAACTCACTGGATACACGACTGCCAGAACAAATCCTACGATGGCAACACTCGCTACATGCAACTGGTCAGACACATCTGTAGCACGTCAATGAGCCTAATACCTGTGATAGTACCGGTCTCCACAACCAAACGGCTGATCTTGTCGACCAGCAAGTCCGTCGCAGGTATACCCGTCTTCCGCCGCACCATCTACAAGTGCCAATAGTCAACCATACTGTAACCATCCGCATAGCCAACCTTATCCCATTGCTAGAATCGCCATGGTAACGGCGACGACAATGTCCACTAGTGCAGCTTGAGTGCAGCACCGCCCACCCACAGCTGAAACCATGATCGTGAATGAGATCGCAGAATACGGTGACTATGTCAGAGGTCACAGCTTACAGCGATGAGGCATATGCGTCTCGAGGTCGAGAAGATGTCTTTGACGGACGTCGTACTCTTCACCTGCGATGCAACATTCCGTGAGTGGTAGTGTGATTGAATGAAGACTCAGTAGAGCCACTCACCTCCGCTCCCACAACGATCCCGCATGTTGCCTGTACGAGCGATAGCTACAAATCAAGTCCGTTCAGTGATACACCCCAACCGAGGCGCAATGAACAACGCACCGTCACGATGCCCGCTACCAACACACGAGCCCTAACAGTGGACACCACGTAGATCCGCCACGCGAAAAACCATTGCACGACGGCGGAGCCCAGCGCACACATAATTGACCTAGCTTCTATGAAGAATCTCGTCAATAACAGACACGAAGAACGACACGCCCGTCGTCGTATACCCTTCCTTGAAATGAACGTTGCCGAGATCATCTCATACACCTGTCCCACCGTCCCGCTTACTGTGACGTCTGTATGTCTGTACAATGGCAGCTCCAGATCATTCATAGTCGGATGTGGTGGACACCAGACGCAAGCGGGACACAGCGCTGAACACGCCGTCACATCAGCGATACTATCAGTGGCCCTGCAATGCAATCGCGACAGTAATGCAATTACTCAACTTCCGTTTCCTCCGTCCCGTCAAATATTCTGGGATTTATGTACAATGTTCTTTACCTCGTACTCAATGCTTTTGTGCAGTTTGATGAATTGAATGTGTAGCACATTCGAGGAGAAGAAATCGATGAATGCCTTCCGCGCCTCAATAATGACACTGGTACAGTCTCGGCTGACTGCATCCCTTGGGCGCTTCGTCTGTGGGTCTCAAGAATGCATTGAAATACCATCTAGTATGTTCCTCATATTTTTCCGAAGCCTTCCGTCTCTTGTTGCAACTTCTGAGAGGGAAAGATGTCTGGGAGGAGGAGGAGGAGGAGGGTGGGTCCATTTAGTCATCGGCCGGGAGCGCGGTAGCGCCCAGCAGCATCTTGACGATGACAGCGCTCACTAAGTTACAACACCACTACCTATAGGACTACTGACTAGACTACGATCTCCAATGTTATGACCCCCTGTACCCCGTCCCTGCTTCCATGACCCTCTCGGAGGTCGCCATCTTTCAGCCCTGGCCCTCTAGCTGTACAGCTGGGCGGGTTACTCGGTTAAAACCTGGCAGGAAATCTGGCAAAACCTCCAGGAGTCAGCTGCGGTCCCCCGACAGTCTGACATAACTCACCGAGCACCGGGCAAATTCCAGTGAGCCTCCGCTGTCCACGGTCACCGTTCAAAGAAGCAGGGGCCGGGGCACAGTCGTTGGATCCGCCCATTGATTCGACTGAAGTCGTCGTTGCCAGTGTTGTCCCATAAGCAGTAGCGATGATGTAGTCGCACGCGGGGATCGCTTGACCAGCTCACTCTATGGTGGTAGGAGAACAAGCTCCTCCTCGGAGACGACCATCACCGGGACAGACTCGCACCGCTGAAAGACTGAATGTACGTATTCTCCGAACAGAGCCACTGCATCTCCGTCTGTCACCAACTCCATTAGGAAGTGTCCTGGTCGGCCCAGAGCCCACTTGACCCGTAGACTCGTACGCGCTCTGAACACCCTTATGAGGAAGGCGCCCCGTAGGTCTGCTAGCGTGTCATCCGCGCAGGTGAGCAAGACATGTGCTTCGTCCTCCACTGCATTCTTGCGCTTACAGAATCGGCAAATTCTGCGTTCACGCGGCACTGGTGGGACACGTCGGCGCAGTTGCTCCACCGCAAAGGATGGTCGGAGGCAACCAGGCGGCATAGGGCGAGACGATGGGTGCGAGTTGGTACAGAGAGATACGGGCGGCGCTCCATCACCGGCGATCTTGCGGGACGCATCTGCAACACAGCGAGCCGATGGGAGGACCGTATTTCTCCCGTAGGTACGTGTGCATTGCGTCACGCAGTTCCCCAGTGCATTCGGTGACATACTCAATCGTCAGCGGCATCCGTAGGTCGAGCTCGACAGGTACGGGTAGCAGCGCGAGAGCATGACGGAGGTCCCCGAGCCACGAAGCTGTCCCCTCATGAGCCATAGAGCGAGCTTCAGCCAAGGCTGCAAGAGGTATTGGTGGACGTTGGGAAAGTAGATATAGAAGGTATCGCAAGGCCAACGACAAGCGGCGATACCGGATTGGCCACAAGCCCGTCTCTGTGTAGAGTACAGCGGAGATGGCCCGTGGGTTGAGGCCCATGACTCGCCGCAGATAGACGTGTTGCACTGAGGCAAGCTGCGCGAGTGGGGCCATTCGCACGTCCAGTGCCACCTCGCATCCGGAGATCAGGTGAGGATCAACATGTGTCTGGTACAATGTTAGTGCCGCCCAGGGCGGCAGTTCCGTCACGTAGGACTCGACTGATAGACACGCATTCGCAATTCTCCTGGCCACGGAAGCCTTACGTTCGTTATGCGGTGCAAATATATCCTTCGGCTCCGACGAGAATAGCAGCCCGACATACGTGTAAGATTGCACGACCTCGATGAGCTTCCCATTCACGGTCATTTGCAGCTCCAATGTCGTTGGTTGGAGCCTCGCGTTGAACACCATGACCTGTGTTTTTGTCGCATTGATCGTGGCGAAGTTGATCGAGCACCACGCCGCGAGGTCATTGAGTTTCTGCTGGACAGCAGATGCAGACGTCGAGAAGATGACAATGTCGTCTGCCTGCTCGAGGTGCGAGACAGCCATGCCTCCGAGTACAATGTCGTCTGGGTGGGGGCGCATCACAAGGTCCGCGAGGAACAGATTCCATAGGATAGGCGAAGCAGGATCTCCAATCAGTATTCCAGCGAGCGCACAGAACCTGTCTGAGAAGTCGCCGGCGAACTTGACAACATACTCCAAGCGGGAGTAGAGGGCTCTCAGCCAGTCAAACAAGGGGCCTCGGCATCCGGTGGCGTACAGTTTAGCCCATAGTGTAGGTTGATCGACGGAGGGGAAGGCATTGGAGAGGTCCACGAACGCGACATACAAGGGTTTTCCCATTTTACGGGCCTTCTCGATTGCCGCCCGCAGTACGAAACTGTTGTTGTTGGTACGCCTCCCTGCACGAAATCCGTTCTGCGTCATCGGCAGCTTCCCGGTCTCCTCAGCCCATCCTCGTAGCCGCCGTTCGACCATCAAGGTAAGCATTTTGAGCAAGCAGCTCTCCAGCCCCACAGCTCGATAGTTCGTTGCATCCCCGAGGTCTTTTCCGCGCTTTCCAATGCCAGTGAGGGATGCGGTCAGCCATGCGGTAGGGACATCGCGCGAATCCACACAGCTCTGGAATAACCGCTGAAGTTCCTCGTTAGGGATGCGCAGTACGCGCTCGTACGACACGCGGTCGGGACCAACAGCAGACGACATGGAGTGCTTCCTAATGTGCTCTTTTGCATCTGCGACCTCCTCGATGGTCCACGGCCGCGCGAAATACCCCTGCGCGCTTTCGTCCACTGTTACTGAGGGCAGATATCGCATCCATTGGCGGTTAACACCTAGTCTCGCAGCGTTGAAAAGCTCTGGCACTTCCGTGGGCGGGTTCATTCGTGGCTCGAAGGCGGCCTGGAGCTCCACCGCCGACACCCTGGGCGGACGAGGTTTGGGGTCAACCATCCCCCGGTAAGCCTCCCAGAAGCTCGCATCAGGCTTCCCCGGCGACAGCAATTCCTTGATGTGTTTCTCTCGTAGGTTGCTCAAGTTTAGGGCTTCGGCGGAGGGCTCGACGACGTTCTCCAACCTGCTGGTACGTATCACCATCTCTGCGGGCGGCCGGGGCAACGTGTGTTCAGGGAGGTTCGTGTAGACCTTCAGGTGAGCAGTACTGTCCGGTCTCGGTCCCGACGCGAGCGGCCATTGCGGTGGGAGGACTGTAGAGAACTCCACATCTGGCCCGGGCATCCTTGCCCCCGTGCGCGCCAGCTCGTCCGCAGCCTCGTTGTTAGCGTTGCCGGCGTGCCCCTTCACCCAAATGAAACCTACGGACGCTGGCCGACGCCGTAGGAGCGCGACTATGTTCTGGAGTATGTCCGCATTTGCACATCGCCAGCCTAGCGCTGCAAACTTCGGGGCCCAGTGGCACACACACCGGATAGCATACTCTGAGTCTGTGTGTATGCGGAGGGCTATGCATGGGTCTGCCATTGCGATCGCGACCAGGACAGCATATAGCTCTGCTCGGTTGTTCGTCGCCGGCGTAGGGACGATGAGAGCCTGGTTGTCCCGGTTCCCATAGCCCCAGTATATTCCTGCGCCTGCATGTGTAGTACCATCCGCGCGCCGCATCGCAGATCCGTCGGTGTAGACGTGTTTTGCTGAGCGCGAAGGGCACAGATCATATCCGTAGAGCGCGTGGAGCGCGTCGGGTAGTGACTGTGTTGCTGCCAGTGCTCTGGCCAGAGTGGTGTCCAGTACGGATGGTGATGTGGTCTGCGCCTCTCTTTTTCGTGTCATTCCGCTTGGCAAGGCGACTGATCCGCTTACTATTTCGTCCAGTGCGCAGACTGACCTGTCCACCTCCACACCGATCAAACTATGGTCCGACCACGGTGCCCAGCGAGGCAGGACCCGCATCCGCACCAACGCTGTGTCGTGTATTGTCCGTGATACCACCGCATAGTCTATCACCGAGGAGCCATTCGGCTGGAAGGAAGTGAAGCGAGCCAAGCTGTCTGCATCCTGTAGCGTCGTGCCATTTACGAGCTCGAGCTCATAGTCTCGGCAGAGTTGGAGGAGTACTCGCCCGTGCTGATTTACTGCTGCCAGATCTGGGGTAGCCCTGCCATGAGAGTCATGTGCCGTGAGGGAGCTCGTCCGAGCATTCAGGTCACCCATAATGAGGATGGAGGGCTGTTCTGTTGCGGACGTCACTGCAAGTACCTCCGCCAGGACTTCGTGGGGCCCCAGCGTGGAGAGACGGTACCAGTGTGACTGCACGGGGGGGATGTACGCGTTTATTATCGTGAGGCTCCCGATCTTCAGTACCATGATATCCGGACTGCCCGCAGTGCTTAGATGTGTTCCATGCAGTGACGATCTCACCAGTGCGGCCACTCCACCACCCGGAGCCCGCATTTCTGGTGTGTCTGCACGCGACTTGACGAAGAGGTCATAGCCGTCCTTGATCTCGATCTGGTCCTCCTGACCCGGCCTGAGATGGGTTTCTTGGAGGAGAACAATGTCGAATGCCTCAAAGGCGGTGCGCAGAGCGTCACTCGTCATTTTCAATGCCATATTCCCATGTATATTCCAGGAGGCCACACGTAACGGCGTACATGATGCGTCACTAGGTACATGCTCAGAACGACATTGAGACCTCAGCATTCGCATAGCCTACATATTCTGCCATTTTGCCGTCACATTCGGGTAAGGGCACTGGTCTGCGGACAACGTCCAGCAGTCCATGAAGAGGCTTGCCTCGCCATGGGACTTGAATGACACGCATACCAACTGCGGATTGGTGGTATGCACCGTGACCTTGGCGATCGACTTGTCGCGAAGGCGCACACGGTCGCGTGCCATCTTTGTCGCCGCGAGGAACTGCTCCTGCGCCCGCTCGGGTGTCCACATCATGGGTCCAAAGATGATGCGTGTTCGGCCTTGCAGCAGAGCCCCCGGAACACGACCATTGGGCTCACCATTCTGCGCGTGCCCCCGGCCGCTCCCTGTGGCAACATGACCACGGCCGCTACCCGTGGCAGCGGCTTGTCCACCGCCTTGACTCCCTCCGTCACCGCGACGGGGCATGACGGGTGCACTACCCACTCTAGGTCGCTTTGAAGCAGGCGTAGGCATGTCACGAGCGCCGTGAGTACGTTCACGACGGCCGGTGTTCTCGCGTGGACCAGCCAGTGGGGGTGGACCTGTGGGGGCGCCCGTAGCCGCGGGCGCGCGGCCGAAGGCCACGGGAGTTCCGTGGGCGTGCGTGGCCTGGGCGTACGTGGGCGGGAAAGCCACCTCGTAAGCGGTGTTCGCCACCGCGGCGGGCTGAGACGCCACGCGGTCGCTCTGTGCGTTCATGGGGGTGTCGCTGGGGAGGGCCCCTAGCGTAGCGACGTGGATGACGTCCTCCGGGCCGTCGTCGTCAGTCTGTTGCTCTTCGATGGGAGGCGCATACGGGTTCGGATTCTCGAGGTAGTAGTTCTGCCGCAACTCCTGGAGGGTGTCCTGCACAGTGGAGTTTGCGTCGACGAGCGTCCAGTGCTGGTCCGTTAGCTTACTGAGGTCGTCTGCGCCTTGAGCCACCGCACGGTCCAGACGCCCCAGACGGTTGGTCACACTGTGCGCCATGGCGTTGTGGCTCCCGCGCAGGGCGGTAATGGCCCCCTGTGTTTCCGCAATCTGCTTCGTGACATTCTCCAGGCGACTTTCGACGGTGTTGCGCACAGCGCGGCTCGTTTCGTCCGCGATCTTCTCGAGGAAGCGAGCCAGCACGCCCTCCTCCACGTTTCCGAGGGTGTCTGTCATTCGCAGCACAGTCTGCTGGAGCTGTTGTTTTTCTCCTTCAACCAACGCCCGAAGAGCGTCGACCTTATCGTTAACCCGTAAGGTGTTGGCGTTCAGGATAGGTAGGGCCGCCTTTGCTGTAGTTTCCGCTGGTAGCGGCAGAAGCTCCCGCTTTTTGTTCGCCTCGATGTCCAGCATTGCCACGGGCTGAGACTGGCGCCCCCGCTTAGGCTTAGACGTCGTCTCCGTGCTCGATGACGGCGTCAGCGAGGAAGCCGAGCGCGCACGGGTAACGGGGGCGGTAGCTGGCGTACGGACTGGCCCAGTTGATGGGGGAGGGTGCGGCCTTTCCGACCCCAGGGACGTGTTGAGCATTTCCTCAATCCCTCCCAGCGCCTCTGCCTCGCTCGCCGGGTTGTCCGTCGCCTGATCCGGTTGGGACACCTCTGTCGATTGAGACGGGGTCACTCCCGAGGGGCTCGCATTCCGCTCCGTGCTAAGTTGACGGGCTCCCACGTCTGCCTCCCGACCTGGCGTGCGCTGGCGAGCTCGCCTAACCTGTCATAGGTTCGTTTAGGGTCAGCACAGGCACAGTCCAATCAACCCCGGGAGTACCGTACCCCGTCGATGGCACCGGCGAGCGATCCTCCTGGAGCCCCATCACATCTTCGTCATTGAGGAGATTGTCAGTCGCACTCCACGACGGCACCTCTGCGAGCACGAAGTTAGGCACATAATCCGACATGACGCTTGAAGACACAGTAGCAAGGGTGCGCAGCAAGTGGCAGGGATAGAAGGATGACAAACTTTTCGACGCTTTTGCTTATCAGCCGTCGGATGTGGCTTGCCATCTGTACAGCACCAGGAGACCAATGAGCGACCGTCATGTCCCCTTTCGGCGAATCTGTGGCCCCACTCCGCTCGGCGGGGGCCAGATCGAGTCATATCCGGCATGCCCTGCAACCGGCAGAGCGAGACCGTCGTGCATACGGCGGGTATGACAAGCAACCTTCGCACTTACTGCACCCAAGTCACTACTGCCGGAGCACTCCTCGGCTCGTGGACTCTACACCGTGCCATGGCTTGAGGGTGGTGATAGCCTGTACGCAAACCACAGCCGCAGTTGGCACCTGCAGTGTCATCCAATGTCACCGGTGTCATCCAATCCGCTGTGCATCCATCCAACCGTGTATGGCCATACCCGTCAGAGCTGGCCATATACACGTCCGAGCTCGAAGTGTCAAACCCCATCTACTGACCTCGACGAGCCGGCTCCGGTCTCAAAAAGCCGTCCTTGCGGCTGCCAATACATCTCGTTTGAGGACCGACAATACACGACGTACCGCGGTCGCAGTTAAGCGATTAAGCCTTGTCATCGCCGTAGTGCATGGTTATGCTCCATCACGAGGCCTAGGGTCCGCTATGTACAGCAATAGTCCTCGTATCTGGGCAGTATCACATCGCATAGACAACCCGTGTGTCCCAGACACAGTGAGTGAGGTCGAGGGGTCTACCATCGTTGTCGTCGTCGCCCTCCAGGGCTCTCGTCCCTCAGCCCCCGCCATTGCTCCCTCACTCTACATGCGTGGCGATAGACACGTCCCAAAGGATATTGTGATCACCAGAGGCACAGAGGGAGGTCGAGGGGACCGCCGTCGCCGTCCTCCAGGCATCGCCGCAGCCGTCGCAGTCGGTCGTCCTACAGGGTGCTCGCGTTTGCGCCTCGACCAGTCATGGCTGCCTCGTTCCGTATGCGTGGCGATAGAGACACATCCCAAAGGATGTTGTGATCACCAGAGGCACAGAGGGAGGTCGAGGGGACCGCCGTCGCCGTCCTCCAGGGCATCGCCGCCGCCGTCGCAGTCGGTCGTCCTACAGGGTGCTCGCGCTTGCCCCTCGACCAGTCATGGCTGCCTCGTTCCGTATGCGTGGCGATAGAGATACATCCCAAAGGATGTTGTGATCACCAGAGGCACAGAGGGAGGTCGAGGGGACCGCCGTCGCCGTCCTCCAGGGTATCGCCGCCGCCAGTAGGCAGTTGTGCATTGACGAGTGGTGGTCAGAGCGTGACGGAAAGCCACCCAAGATCAGCAATCTCAACTCCGCTCCTTATCAGTTACCATATACGGTTACGATCACAGCAGTTGCACTACTGTTGCTCAACCGCCGGTCAAGGCATTGCGGGCATTACTAGCCATGCCACCCTACATTTGACAGGCCGGGAGCTACTAATCACTGAAGAAAAATTGAACTTGTGAACGGAGGAAGGATCAGTGGAAAGTATCTCGAGAAGAGTCGAAGTAGTCGACTCGTTATAACTTATGGCTTCTCGACAGTAAGACTTACTATACTGTAAGCAATGCCAGTCCTATGAGTATCATCAAAATTATATTGATACATCCACGGCTTTTCCGGCAACTGAACAGGGTGTTTAGGATAGCACACGGTGGCATGAACATGTTGATTGCATTGCTGTATCGCCGTGCAGCCACAGTTGCCACAGTCGGCAACCCTCGGCAATACTCGGCAGTGTGACAGGAACTGTGACGAGCCTCGGAGAAGAGTTGCATTACTGTTCCAATCCTTGCTCCCTCTCGGCATCCCTCTCATACTCCCTGGACAAGGCCTGTAAAATCATGAACCGTATATTCAGACCCCAGGAATCCATCAGTGAAAACTCCGAGAGCTTCCGGTGAGCGGTTCGTCCTGCAGAGAGGGAAAAGCGCGAAAATTGCACTTCTGGTACAGTGATAGTATGCCCAAGGCCCTCACAAGGGAAAACACACGTCGTCAGGCGTTTGGGAAACACCGGACATGCGGTACCGAGAAAGGTGGATGTCAACACCCACGTTCGGGTGACCATGCCGATATGATGTCTCGAAGAGACTGTAGAAACTAGACACCGAATGCACGCACTCACGAAACCACGGCATCGCACGTATAGGGCCTCCGAATGGCGGAGAGGCAGATAGGCGCGAGCACAACGCCGCTGTGATAAATCGCAGTGTCATAACGCAAAGCGTCAGCGCGACAAAAGGGAATACTGCCAGTCAACGTTTCAACTGCCAGTCATAGCCCGAGCCAGATGATTACGGCAAATGCCCCAACCAAACAAGGCATCCCCGGAGTACAGCAATTGCATGAATCCGGCATTGACGACGCCCCTGCGCGATCCCGTCGACGTGACGTGCATGGGCGAGCAAAGCTGTCCGTGCAGCGGTGGACCGCCAGTGACCGTTTTTCCAGAAAGCAAGTGACAGCAGCCTGATGTTTCAGAGGTCAAAGACTCAACTCAGTCTGACGAAGGCGAGCACAAACGTCAAGGATGTCCATGAGACCCTGAAGCATAGTCAAGTTGCGTTGACTCACCTCGCCGTCGACAACGGTCTCGTATGCTGGAGCAGACGATCTCAGAACGGTCCTGCTATAAGCTCACAGTGGCATGCTTGCATACTGCCTCGTGGAACCAGCCATTTCTCTAGTGGGACGGAGGGAACGAAGGGAACTCAAAAACAAGGAGTTTGGTCAATGTCATGGTTCGCGCCAAGTTCGCGCGAACGCCGCGAGGGAGGCATCGCAGACATAAGCGCTGGACCGAGCTGTGGCATGCATGTCACAAGCGCCCGCGTTGGAGCGACCAAGTTGCGACCGCACTTTGACCTCAAGTACTAGTCTTTACTGTATGCGGCCCAGGAGATTGATGGTATGAGGTCCGCATACGGAGGAAAGAGATGTAAACTCAATGTTTGAACCACGAGTGTCAGGAGGCAGCGTATTTTCTAACGCGCTACAGCGGCTGGAACACATGCGAGCACGCACACACAAATTGACAGAGCGAATGTAGGAATCTACTTTACATGCAATACGAGCATCGTCAATAGGGACAGCTTTTAGTTGGCAGCCTCGACATAGCGCGCCTCCGCCTCGCCGAAGTTGATGACGTTCCAGATCGCGTTGAGGTACTGCCATATCCGTCAGCGTCCCTTCGACGACACGTACAAGGTAGAAATGCACGTACATCCGGCTTCACGTTGTAGTACTGCAGGTAGAACGCGTGCTCCCAGATGTCAATGCCGAGGATCGGGACGTGCGCTGCAGGAGGGTCATGTTAGCGTCTCCAGCGACCTAACGACCGATAATGAAAGGCTTACAGAGCAGCGGATCCTGGTTCGCGGTCGTGACGATCTCGAGCTTCTTCGTCGATGGGCTGTAGCCCAGCCAGCCCCAGCCAGAGCCCTGGATGGCTGCAGTCGCTGCGTTGAGCTGCTTCTTCAGGCCTATGACGTCATCCGATATGAGCAACTGCGAAGACCTCGCTGCAGAGACGAGTTCGAAAGAGGATGCGAGTATGACTGACAAGGATGGGCGAAGTGGAATTCAGACTACGAAAGGCTGGCGACGAGGAGGAAACCATGTAAGAAATGGGAGTGAATGAGAAACGAGAGGCGATGACTGCCATACGAAGACGGTGGATGATAGACGTCAACAGCTCAATGAACACCAGTTAATGTGCAAAGGGTGAGGTAGGGAACACTTGCAAGGCGAGGACAAGAATGATATAGTGAAAAGCACATTCAAAGAGCACACCACGGCGGCATGTAAGACGCAAACAAGGAAAGACGTGCTCACCATCAAGTCCACCAAAGTCAGCGGCAATTGCGTCCTTGAGAGGACCCGCCTTGAGTTCACCGCCTCCCTGGCCCTGTGGCGCAAGATTCTTCCAGAAGAGCGAGTGGTTGATGTGCCCTACACAACGCGCAAGGAAACGCGTCAGAACCTGTCGCGTACACAGAGAGCGTCCTAGAGTCGGCACGCACCTCCCCCGTTGAACTTGAGCGCGGGTTGCAGGAGAATCTTCTCCTTCGGCGAGCTCGCCTTCGCGAAGCTCTCCTCGGCGGTGTTCAGACCGTTCACGTAGGTCTGGTGGTGTTTCTGGTGGTGCAGCTTCATGATCTGGCCCGAGATATGCGGCTCGAGCGCGTCATAAGCGTACGGGAGGTCAGGGAGTGTGTGCTTCGAGCGCGCCTGCATGGAGAGCGCGACCGACGGCACGGCGCGCGGGACGCGTGTGCGGGCGACGTTGCGGACGGCGGTGGTGAGCATCGACATGGTGTTCTCGTAAAGTTAAGATTAAGGCAGCTCGTGTATGGTGGTGGTTGCGGAAAGGGATGGTAGGACGTTGGGAACGACGAGCTCGCGGGTTATGAGCGATTCGGAAGCCGTCGGACGCATGGCTGATGTCATAGAGCGCGGCACGTGAGCAACGCGCTGGCCCATCCCTCCTCTTCGAGAACGGCCATGACGAAGTCCGGTTAACTCTGCAGCCTTCCGACTCCAGGCATTGTGCTTGCTTAGTGGAACAAAACTCCATAGTCTTGGTGATCAGTGACAGCAACGCTGACAAGGTGGGGACGGGCGGTATCATGGATCTGATTCGACGGCTGAGCGGGAATACTGTATGGTTTCGTACTTGTGTTTCTGAGCGTTAATACTGAGCATTCTGCATTGTACCGGTCCACCTCATAGTGACATACCTGTACCACTTCCATCTGATCAGGCGTTCGTAACTGAACTAAGGTCAAGAATGGACCCTATACCTCAAACCAACGCCCGGTCGCTGTCCTCGGCTAGTACACGCTCGACTTCACTTCAATATCCTCACTCAGGCTCATCCACTATCGAGGGCCCCACCTATCTCTCTCCAAAACCGATTTATATACGCAACTTGCATACGGGCCTAATCTGCGTCAGTCCATTGGCTGTGACCTTATACAGATCGGGAAACGTGGACAAGAAGCAACGCGTCATGGCTAGCTCATTGCCTGTCATGCACTGACATCCCAATTTGCGCTTGTAGGTCCAGATGGATCCACGCCGGAGCGTGACGGCCTTGCCAAATGCAGGTATCCCGAGCAATTATGATACCCAAACCGGCTCGCAACCGTCGCGGCTTCGGCTTCTGCCAAACTCGACTCGAAGCTCAGCGGCGAGTGCGGCACCTGCACTTGGTCATAGCGCGCAGGTCAGGTGTGTGACCGTTCCTGTAGACACAAGGCTTCTGCTCAACGTTCATCTTTACCTTCGCTTCAAATGTGGTTATGAACACGACTTTCAAACCATCGAACTCCGGACTAACTCACAACTGCTATCTCTCGGACCTCTTCCGCACGGCGCAGATACGTGGGTAAGTCTCAATTGGCTACTCAAACACAGATTGACTCGGTCTCCTTTCATTGGCGGACCTGAACGCGGAGGCGCACGTTCTCTCGGAGAGCAAGACGCTGACAAAACGCAGCTCGCATGCACGTAGACTCCTGCCACGACATCGATCCCTAGCACGGGCCCAAGGTACACCCAAGTTAAAGAAGGGAAAATTAGGCTACCGCAGCGCTTGTCATGGGTTTCAACTTCCGGTGTGCGATTGCGTGAGCGACGGTGCCCATGCCTCCCCGGGACCCCGTGGTGGTGGTCGAACGACTAAGTACGTTGCTGTGCCTAGTGTGGAGTACCCTTCGGTCTTCGTAGTGACGACGTTCGGTTCTCTTCGCTAATCTTGAGGCTCAATACGTTCGCGATGAGCCCGCAGGTCCGACGCTCGGGCTGACTTGGGCTGACTTGGGGCTGACTCTGCCATTGGTGGGCAAGCCCTGGGAACTACGCTCTCACCTACTGCAACGGTAACTCGCCGTCGGATCCGAGATCGGATGTTACCAAGGCCGAGCAGCGAGATCCGCCGAAAGTGCAAAGGACTGAATGGAGAACCCCCCATCGTGGGCAGCATAATATGACGCTTGCGGTAGTCCGCATTCCAATCGCGTTCCGGTCTCTCACCACCGAGAGCAAGCTCACGCTACATCCGGAAAGTCTATGTGTGTGATTCGTGGGGTCTATGGAGACATGGTACACGGTGGCGACAGCGAGATCGAAGAACAACATATTACTGGCACAGAGCACGGTGTCGCGGTGGGTGCAGGAGGTCGAGTATGCGTACGTATGAAATGGGCTGAGCATCGCGCGAGATATGAAACATGTGATATCCAGGAGTATCCAACACGATTACAGGAAAGGGGAATAAATAAAGTGCAAAGGGCAAAGAGTAGCGCTAGAAGGGCTCGTGGGGGCAGACGGGGTGAACGTACCCAGGCCTACACCGCACAGCGAATGTCGTGGCAGTCGTACGTCGTCGTTCGTCGCTTGCGCCTAGCGCGATCGGCACCATACTCGCGTATGATGACGACGGGCCGCGCGATGGTCGTCCATGTCACCTGGCGTGCAGCTCAACGAAAAACATCACAAGAGAACTGCCATATACGGCTTACTTTCCATATCCTCACATGAACTCGCCCCTCCGCCAGTCCGGGTATCGCATTGGATCGAGGTCGGCCAGGATGCCGATGTGCTCCCAGTACTTGTGCCCTGATCCTTTGGGGACGATGCCTGTGCTCGCCATGTCGTCGAGCACGCAGTAGCACCACCACCTGCAGCCGGAGCCGCACGCATCGTACCTGTAGCGGTGGAGCTTGTTGCGCTGGATGAAGGCGAGGACGGCGTCGACGGTGATCGGCCGGGCAGTGTTGTAGACGCACGCGTCGATCGCGTCTGGAGGTGTGTCGAACTTGTTGCTGCGGACGAAGAGGACGCCGTCGAGGGAGGGCCGGCCCTGGGGGATCATGTTGAGTGTGACGGAGCCGCCGCCCTCGAGACGGAGGAGCATGCGCCAGTGGAGGACGGCGGACGGCCCTGAGGCCTCGTCCTCGGGCCCGCCGAAGAGCACGACTTGCGTGACGAGGGCGTCGAGGTCGCCGCCGTCGAAGGAGTCGCGGTTGATGACGCCTATAACCATATCGCTATCCGCGCGCGTCCTCGCGAGGTCAGAGACGACACGGGCTGAGTGATCGCACGCGACTCACCGAGGACAGTCGGTAGGCTGCTGGAGAGTCTTGGATTATTTTGGGGCACCAGGTCGACGTTGACTGGGCCGGAGTGGGCGTCGGTGCTGAGTGACACAACGGAGGGCTGCAATGTGTTGTGAGTGTGTCGGATGCGCCGGATGATCACGAGCACGGGGCCGATATCGGCAGCTCTAGCCTGCATTGCAGCGGGCTGAGCATTCCCACCTTCTCGCATGTTCCGTCCTTACGAGACACGGACGGCAGCGTAGATAATGCTTGTGAGCAGGCGTCGCTCAGCACTTCTAGCATCTTGCCTTTTTGGATGGTCGAGACTCGGGCTCCACAAACAGACGCCCGTGTCCCGGCGGCGTGATTGCCCGCGGTCACTGACAGTGACAAGTTACAATGTTAACCGTGTTCTTCAAGTTCTCGCAAGGAATTGGCGTTCACAATCGAGGGCTCTTTGTACTGAGGCTATGCATCTTCAATGCGTCAAAACAGACGTGAGTGCGCCAGTACAAAGATCCTACTCTACTGATGTCACGTCTAGCCGGGGTGTTGGGCTGGCAAGTGTTCACAATTCCACTAAACAGCTACTCGGCGTTCTGCAAGTGAATGAACTTGACCTGTAGCAGGTTTCGGTACCTGGTACTTTAGTGGCTAGGAAACGAACCGGAGTCTGTGCCTCATGGTACCGCTGCGTCATCTTCAAGCTAAGGTCTGTCATATCATGCCGTCTACATAACCATATTCACGGAACACGGTGCGGCCATCTGCCGTCTGGCCATCGATTGCACCCTTGACGACCTGCTTTGGGCCTCGGCATGGTGCATCAACAAATTTGGCCGGCGGCGGTGGTATGGGCGGAAGCGGCGGTGGCCTGCATGGATTTCGGTGGGGGCAACAACCTCGGACCTCTAGTAGGATGACGGCCGGGGATGTGCGGGAACTTCACAGGCGAAGGCACCGTCAGTAAGGCACGGCGAGTACGGTTCTTGACCCTGATAGCTAGAGGTACTATACGCTAATAGCTTAGAGTTAGACAGGATGGGTAAAGACAGATCCTTCTGCTCATGCTTTGCAAGGTTCCGGTGGCAGAGGGACCTTGCTAAGGTGACACGTGAGGGAAGAGTTCTCAGTTCTGTGTCGTTCTGTGAGTGCCCTCCGTGGGTCGTGACACGCCACTTCAGGAATAGCTCACCTTGCTGCGAACGTGGACACGCAGAAGTCGAGAAGCTCAAACCGATCTATACAATATGAACAGAGCTCACCGGATCGCGTGGATTTGGCTGTCATTGGTACCGACTTTCTCTTGCTGAGTGGTGCGTCTCGTGGAAACCAATTGGATGCCCGATCTTTACAATCGCAGGGTCCTTGTCAAGACACTATCATGCGTACACCTTCCGTCGCGTACGCCACGCCGCGCTGCCGTTCAATACGACTGGACCTACCGGCCTTGCGCGCATTGTACCACGAGCTGACTATGTACAGCGTTTGTTCTCATCCAACCATTATGCATCAAGGTTCCCCATTGATATCCCACAGAGAGGACGTGAACCGACAATGCAATGAGTCTGCCTACGATACGGGAGAGGATCATCGCCCTCCACGAGGCGAAGCTCCCAGAAGGATACTGTCGTGCACAGATAGCACTGAATTGTTGTAGCGAACCTGACGAAGAATAGGAAATCAGTGTCGCGTGGAGTGCAGTTACTCAGGACAACTTACAGGCAAATGTGATATTTACTTATTGATCCCTTGTGCGAGGGTCTGCGCGATACTATGTCGGTATGTTACATTGTGGCTGCATCGTGTCAATCCACAAGGTCGTTGATCTACCCAAAGCGAGCTACGGACAACGACCTAATGCGAAGTGACAGTGGCTTGTCGATCGAGTCCTAGGCTCCGCCGAATCCTCTCAGTAGTGGATGGTGTGCCTCACCCTGCGCACTCGACCTCTCTTGATGACGAGGGTCTTCAACATCGACGAATACGGAGGTAAACGCGATGCTCGTGCTTCTGTACGATAGTGGTTGCCTATTGAGGTGTCGCCGCCAATGAAAAGCGATTGGTCAGATTGGTGAGGAAGGTGTTCGAGTACCTGTAGTTTGGTAGGTTAGTGGTAGGTGAGACCGTGAGATGCTGAGACGTACAGCTTTGTCAGGGTGTATATTCTGTCGTAGGATGAGCGGTGTCGACACAAAGTATATTGCAACTCACGCGGGTTGATAATAGGACGCTGTCTATACCCGATATGAGCACTGCCATGGCAAGGAAAATTCACACGTACTGGGTCTATTATGGCCAACACAAGTCCCACTGTTGCGACACTCGCTGCAGTTCGTTATCAGCTCGGCGCCCCTCGAATGGATGCCGTCAACTTACCTGTAAGGCTCCCAGTTTCGACAACGAGACGTATAATCTTGTTGATGATTCTATCGGTAGCGGCAATGCCTGTCTTCCATTTCACCATCTGACACGGATCAGTTGAAGCTAGTGGAATGCAAGGAACGGCCTACCAGTACGGTCATGACTATAGCAATGAGAACGTCAACGAAGCGCTACCGGCCATCCATAGCTACGAAGATTATCGGAATGGTCGCACACAGTCGGAGCAGTTCATGCTCACGGAGGTGACATTAACGCAGCGTTGGACGAGAGGAATTCGAGCTTGCGCCCCGTCCTTCAGCTGTGCAGTTCTGTCATACACGTTTTGCTTACGAAAGATGAGTTTCCTACCTTGATACCGACGATAAAGCCACTTACGGTTTGAACCAAGGCGAGCTGCGGAGTGCCTGATCAGCACACGTCTCCCGTTGCTGGAGAAGACATGACAGACCAGCATGATGACGGTGACGAGGCATGTGCTCTTCGAGAGCATGCATATCCTCCAAGCGAAAAGAGTTGCGCGAACAAGGAGACGACGGAGCACATTATCGGCAAAGGCACAAAGCCGACGTGGATTGTGGAGAGCGCGTCGCCTTGGCCGTAATCCACGACAAATACCTGCCAGGTCATCGAGGACAAGTTGATGGTTTGCAGCCATTCGAGGATGAAGATCACGTATACTGGCGGTGAGGTCAGTTCGAGCAGATCGGATAGGAAGTCATATCGCCCCACCGAGAATCTGAAGGAAGAGGGGATCGCATGATATGTTGACGTGGTACAAGTCTGTAAACAGAGTTCGCGTCGTTTCACACTGCAGATATCTGCAGGCTCGGATATCGTACTTACAAACTTGGACGGTGAGAACTCCTAGCAGCGCCCAATCCATGAAGCAGCCTAGCAACTGAACTCTGTTTAGCCTTTAGTTAGTCATGCTTCCAGGCAGGCTGAAACCTACCGCCGGCCCTGCTCTGGGTTTAAAGATAGAGGTTAGCTCTATTTGACCACGACTGGATTTGGGTATACGTACTGCACGGCAAGGATCTGCGAGTTCTGCTCCATGTGCGGGGAACTTGATGAGTGACGAGGTATGGAGGCCCTGAGTACACAGCGGGAGTTATATGAAGGAAGTGTGGCGTTCCCAGCGGAGACGGGCCCAATGCAAATTATGATTCGCCGAGCTAATACTGAAAGTTTACGTCAAAGGCATACACACCATACTTCGCAGCAGCTTCAATCAAGTGGTACGTAGCGACACACCCATTGGGCACAATCAATTCAGTACTCGCCACGGGATCGAGAACTGGGAGGGTACACCGCGGCTGGGTAAGCGTCATTCTTTCAGACGCATCCCTGAGCATTCTCTGTCGCGTGTGAGTGTATACAGCGAGGGCGCGATTCTTCTCACGCCGTCGATACTGTGTCCGCAGGGGCGCGGCGTCGTATGTGCCGCCATGGCGTCTAGACTCCATACTAGCAAAAGGGAACGTGCACACAAGACACCTAATAAGTAGTTGCCCGCGACGCCGTGAGGATCGGAACAAATGTATAGAGGGGACGAGACACTGGGTGGCGCATCAATTTTCTTCAGGGATCGCCTTCCGAACCAATTTGAGAGCTAAACAGAATGTGTCAGTGACAACACGTAACAGTATATGCCACAAAGACGCTTGAATACTGCGTACTCACATGGCTTCTGCGGCGGTGATCGAGCATACAAACTCGAGAGCACAGGCCAGCTGAGATAGTCTTTGGGCATCGACAATACTGCGGTGCTAAAGATGTTGTCGCTATTTTAGGATAGCAATTTGCGCCGCAATCTCGACAAGGCGGTCAACCAAGTTCCTTGACGTACGGTGAGGGTCCAGACTCACACAATAAATGAAGGCGCAGTTATCTTCGCAAGCACAGATTCGCGGACTTTCGCCAAATTTTGATCGTTTCTTATGTCAGGACAGGCCAATACTCGGGCGTTGGTATGCTCTGGACGTAGTCAAGCTACGCCTTATGATGTCCGAGTCCCTCCCTCGAAGAGGTCCGCTTCAGGCGAATGTTCAGGGTCTGATAGAGAAGATTAGCAGTCCGTGGCTGAGTCTGGTTGCGCATCAACAGACTCACAAATTCGCCTTGAATGTCTGCAAGTCACAAGTACGTACTTGTAGGGAAGTTGGAGGATCCGTTGTGCTGGGCAAGTTGTGGACGGCACGGGCGCTTAAAGACAATTGTTGCCGAAGGAACCTTCAACGAACCAATCATGTAGCGTAAACCACGTGATCTCGTCACCACGTCACGCACGGCGCGTCGCGACCTCGGAGAACTCTCAGAACTCGCAAGTGTGCTGGACCCTGGTGACAACTTACTTCCAAACCATGGACTCTCCCAGCCCGCTTGATCATTGTATCTCCAACTCGTATTGGCACAGGTTGTACGTAACTACTCTTAGAGTCCCAAACTCTATCGAGGGCATAGCCTAAGGACACGTCACACTATGCCTACGAGAATCTGCGCCGACATACGCCTCAAGAAACTCTTTGCCTGTGACTTATGGGGCGTGATTTGTGGCCAATACGACCCTCCGCGATGTCTCTCCTACCGCTATACTTCCTTGCGCAAGCTTCACTAGAGTCGCTGTATTGCGTACAGCCTGTGCTTAGCTTCGATGCCGTGCGTTCTATGGTTCCCTGCTGCTCGAATTCACATCTGACAAATACATTGTTTCATTTTTCCTTTGAAGACAACTCCCCTCTGACAGGCATCTGCCGCCTCCTTGAACACTAGTAACAGCCAGGCCGATCAAAGACACGCAGCCCGGCAATCGAGCGATCATACATATGTAGCTCAGAAGTGTTTGGACGTTTGACGTTCGTCTCCGCGGCTTACTGAGAAGAACCGCGGGTAGACTGCTTTGGGCTGGGGCTGGGGCTGCGAAGCTCCCATTATCCACGAAGGTTGACTGGAAGCCTAGTATCTGGTGACGTGATGAACACTCTAGCGGGCATTCCATACCAGTGCCAGTGGCTGTGCGCGGTACAGGCAGATATGACACCGGGCACCGCCTGAAGATGTGAGTGGAGTCACTGTCCAAACGCGTAGAAAATACCGAGTACTGAACCTGCAGTCGCGAAGCGTACATATTACTGTATTATGAAGGCTGATGCTACATAAGCGTAGGCGCGTACAATCCGACTCAATTGCAACACGGGAGCTAACTTCCGAGTCTGATCACTCTCGCGTAGCTGGTGCGAACCAGGGAATCGCAAGACGGATACGTCGCATCCACGAATACAATGCAACGCTGATGCTGGACCTCATAGGTATACTGACTTTCGATGAGCGCTCATTATGTACCACAGCTGTACCATTGCAGTCCAGCTTACGGGCCGTGCCATGGAACAAGCAATGGGCCGAAGCAACTGGCGCTGACGTCCTTGCATGGTTCGAACGCTCAGATCATGTCAGCTTGGTGTATTCAGTGGCAGCCAGAAATGAGATAACGACGTCGAAGAACACGGGAACGAATGAGGGCCATGATTCGCAAAGATAGTAAGTCATCTGTGTTAATCACATCGCATCCTGTAACATTTGGTATGGTAGTGGATTGGTATTTCGGTTGGTTAGCGAATGCCTAAGTATGCGCAAGGCTGCGATTGGTGTGTCAACAGTCCTTCGTTCCCAACCGACATGTTGTCGGCGCCCCATGCCTCTTCGCCCTCCATGTATGTGAAGATTATTTTGCGAGGTGAGCTTCCTTGTGACGTTTTTCGGTTCCGAGCATCATACGGCGCATTTTATCCGTCCTGAACATTCCAATATCTTTGCATCAGATACCAGAGGCCCTAGCCTTGGTGAAGCATGCACAGGTATCCGGTGGTTGCTGCCCCCGACCATCTTCACCGCATACCGAATGTCGCTCTGTGATAAGGCCGGCCACTGCTTTTTGGCTTCCAATAACTGGAGCGGAACGTTCTCACGTCAACGTATATCGTGTCAGGTGTGCCTCAGTTATTCTTGTCCATCCAGATTCCTTGGCCTCTCAATCTCAGACCTTGTTCGCAGGCCCGGGGTCGAGAGCAGAAGCGCCGACCTGTGAACGTGGTCGCTGAGCGTGATCACTTGCATATTCCCAGGTAATAAACCGTCTCGTCCAAGTCTCGTCAGCAAGAACGAGCGTCATCGGTCACAAGTTCTCGTGCGGGGCGCGCCGCTGTCATACAAGAGTACGTGCCTTATCCAATACGTCACAGTCATGGATTCAAGGATGTCCGTGCCCTTGTTCTTGTCAGCATTCCTCACCACTGTGCCTGCCTGTCGACCTATAGAAGAGCCATGATGTCTGCTGCTATCGTTAGGACACGCCAAGCTCTCTCTGTGAAGGTGCGACTATACTCCGCGCTAATATTTCTACTCGTCATGGGTGATTACGGCAACAACGGTGGCTATGGCAACAACGATAGCTACGGTAGCGGAAACAGTGAAGGCATGGGAGGTGGGATGAGTGGGGGGATGGGCGGTGGTAACAACGGTTACGGCGCTAACGGCGGCGTGGGTGGTGGAGGTGACGACAGCTACGGCAACAGCAGCGGTATGGCCAGCGGAAACAACGATTACGGGGGCAACAACGGCGGAGGAAACAACAATAACAGTGGAAGTAATATGGGAGGCGGCTTCAGTGGGGCGACGACAACTACGGAAGTGGCACTGGCAGCGGCGGCATCGGCGGTGGAAACAACAGCTACGGCGGTGGCGGAAGCAGCGAGTTCAGCAGCAGTGGCGGAGGCATGGGCGGTTCGTCCGGTGGAGGATTGGGAGGCAATTCGAGCGGTGGAAGCACCTCGTTCGAGAATCAAATGCTGGACAGTGGCGTCGAGAATGTCGCTCAGAAAGCTGGGTTCAATGTGGTCAGTGTCGCCATGAACATGATCGATCGCAGCCTATCATTGACCCGTATGACCGCAGAACCCACAAGAGGTTAACTCGGCGGTGAACGCCTTCGAAGGCATCCGTAAGGAGCTGTAGTCACTGAATAACATGCAGAGTGTACGTGTGTTCATGCCACTTAAGCCCGCTCTTTGCGGAAGGCTCATTGATATTTTTCGAGTTAGGTCTGTCCCGACCTGCTGCAGGAGATCTTGAAGGAGTTAACATGTGTATGAGCTTGGTTCAGTTGGCATGCACGCTTGGGTTCCGATCCCGTCCTCGAGTAGTCGATCATATGCTGAAGCTACCGATATTGACGTACAGTGACTGGCCACGGAGCATTTCCACCGAGCTCGACTATACTGAAGCGCAAAGCTTGTGAGTGCAATAATAGATCCCAACCATCTAGTTGAGGACGAGGGAAGTACCGAAGAACCGAGTGCTTCACGCCGAGTTTGCACGAAGCCATGACAGAAGATGTGGGCGGTGTCACGGTTCGGTATGTCGGCGTCGTCCAAGCAGTTTGATAAGATGATACATTGACTGGCGTCCTCTATAGAACAAGAAATGCGTCCTTCTACTACATGCGCGCACCAGATCAAGCTTATGCGATATCAGTCCGCTGGCATTGGCGCGATTTTGCGGGATGGTGTCATCTGTAAACTGTACATCTCGGGCTTCATGGTGTGAGGCTCGTCAAGACGCACTCGCATTCAATCTTCATCTCTGACACATTAATGTCCCGACTAGAAAGCATACCAGGCGTTGGTGAGACCCACCGCTCACGAAGAACGCCGGCTAGCAAGAGCGGTTGATCGCGCGGATGATCGCACGGACAGCACAAGTGATCGTTGATGAGCCCGACTTCCCCGAGGAGGAGTCCGTTTATGTAGTCACCACCGGGTCGCCACGCTCGGCGCCGACGTACCTTGCAGATCACTCCCACCCAGCCCCACCCAAACCGGAGTGTTCCACGCGCGCCGATATGAATCATTGGCTCACGCATGCGCCGGTACCCGATACACCGTGGGTTGGTTTCGACTCTCCGAGCCTGGTACCATATCGAGGTACCGTGTCCTGTTAGCGGGGGTCGGATGATGAGTCAGGCCGGTCAGGGAAGGTTAGTGCGCTCTGAGCCGTAGTTGATGAGTCTCATGAGGGTTGTATTGATGGGATACAGGTTGGAACAGGTGCGCAAGAGATGTTCATTCATGTCAGATATATCATGCCCGAATGGTGAGCGCCAGAGCCGTGTTTACATGGCGCTTTCGCATGCTGGAGCGCAGAATTACTTCAACAGTTATGGAAGCATCCCTCGCTTCGTATTTCTCTCAGAGATTGAGTACGTCAGTGCGCCCAACCCTAACGGTGTCACACGATGACGTTCACAGGCAATAAACGTGCTGATCATTGATAGACGATTTCCTAAGCCTAGTGCGATGAGGGAGCGGAAGCCAGCTGAGGTCGCACAGCATACCAGGAAGCTCAGCAGGTAGTTCCTGCAACCACTGTGAAAAAGTCTGACTTCGTATTACTAGCATGGAGTGGTCTCAACTTCACAGACTGGCAGTTGGGCAGACGTGCCATCGACTGACTCGGGATCACGAATCACCAGCTACTCGGGTCATGTCCTACGTGAGACAAACATATGGTCGTAGTGCACTCTACCTCCAGCAGTAGGACGCATCAGCGGGTCTGTCAACGCGGTCTGAGCGACTTACGCGTACGAGTTGGGTCGGCGATATTTTCCTCTTTTGAAACCTGCATAGCATGCTCGAGGTCGAACATTGCGATACAGTGCTCGCCATAAACTGGCAGCCATTTGAGTGTACATTCTGTGAATGAATTAGTTCGCTACTACGTTGTCACCGAGTCTGTGGTCTGCGTACCTTGACTGTCGCGGTTTGCCACTCCCTCTTCAATTCTTCAATATAAGGAGGCTGCCATGGCCTCAGGATTGTGGCAGCATCACGGTAGCGGCGCAATACAGCCCTTCCGCTTTTCTGGGGTGGTCGGACTTGGGTTGAACGTTGAACGGGCAGCTGATGTAAAGACATGTCGTGTGCCTGTTCCCATCACTTCACCGCCATCCCACCCGCCCTTACGAGAACGCCCGGGCCTACAGTATGCGTGGTATCTGCCAGCTCACCGCTCCTCGCCTGGGTCGCCTCGTTGTAACCGCGCCCCGCGTTCATATGGTGCAGCGCTCCCCCGCTTGGTGTTGCGGTGCCACCGCACCGCCGTCCTTGTGAGCCACGACGCAAGTAGTTGGCGCGTATATGTTTGCTCACTCAGGGCCATCTGCCAGCGGTAGCAAGCAATACGTGGCCTCGCATCGTGGCCAGTCTGAGCTGCCACGGCCGTTCACAGGTGACGAAATGGCGTGGAAGGCTGCGCTTCGGGCTACAGTGCACTCCTCGTCGCCGTACTGCGTGCACTGCCTTGCCTGTCCGGCTGATTTGAGGCGCCTTCCGAAGGCATTGGGGCGCGATTAGAGGGAGGGACTTTGGGGTTCGTGAGGGATGGTGAGGAGGAGCGCTCTGTCCCGCTACAGGGACGTACACTACAAACCCGGTGTAATAAGAAGAGGCGCTCCTCCTCCGAAGGGGGGTTTAAGGCTTCCCCGCACTAGTACACTACTGATCATCAGATCCGAACATCTCGACATCGCCTCGGGCGCGGTCGTTCTTGCGTCCGATGGTCCCGTCACTTCTGCCCAAGCGCGAAGTCTAATACCTATTTACGCTACGTTGCCATTAGCTGCGTGATAAAGTGTCCGCTGCAAATGTGATCGTGTCATTGTTGTGTGAATAGCTACACAACATTGTTGGGTGATAAAGCGAATGCACGGTAGGTTCGCGGGCATGACACCAAACTTTGTTTCAGAGAAGTATAGTCCCGCCGGCGAGGCGTCGCGACGGGCGTATCAGCGATGATCTACACATTGCGACACACGCATGGCCTCGCATGGTTGGCGGTCGCAGGAGCCTGCTAATCGGGCGGGTGCGACGGCACTGCCCGCGCGGATATAAAACACGTCCTGCACTTTTTTGACGCGCTCGCTCCTGAGCCATCCTCCACACTGCTCAGCTGGTTTCTGGCACATCGCGCGCACGTCTTATTCCCTCCTTCACGCACTTCACCCAGATCTTCGTCTCTCTCATCGCCGGTCGATTGCGAGTTGCGACACGCATCTTTACGAATCCCCTCCCCTTCACGAGTCCCGAGACGACCTACCTTGATCCCGTCTGATATCATGAGTCTTACTTCGCAGTCTAGCACACGCATCCCGCCTCCGTTGAAGTCGGCGACGATGCGCAAGTGGCCCCGTGCCTCCCTCGGTCTGTCCGCACTGACCATCTCATCCCGCGCACCACCCACGCCTGGCCCACTGCCTGAAGCAGACCAGGGACAGATCACCGAGATCGCAATGGCCATCGCCGAACAACTCGCGACGATGACCAATGCCAGCCAGCCCGTCGTAACCGACGAGCCGCTCATGCTCGCAAGTCTCGAGCCCGCCCGGGTCGTATCTCTCCACACCTGGCTCCGGGATCGCTACGAGTGGGATGACCCCAACCGAATGATGTTCGATGAGGACGTCACCGCGCAGGACCTCGCACGAGACATTGTCACCGCGCGCGAGGAGACCGGTGCGGCTGAGGAGGAGGACGACTTCGAAGAGAGCTTCAAGACCGCTGCGGAATTCATGGCGAGCCCCTCCATCTGGGTATCAGACACCAGGGGCACCATCCGCACTGTCCACGCCGCCACGCCTCGCATAAACACCACCATGGAGACATTCCGTGAGTGGCACAGCCCTCCGCTGACACGCCGGCGATGGACCTGACCCCTGAACAGCTTCCATCGCGCTGCGCCTGTCTCCGGAGCGCGGCTACGAGACGCCCCTCCGTAGCGCGCCCGTCCCCGTCACAGCCAGCAAGTATCTCAGCGGGCAAGCGACGGTCGACATCGGCATGGCGCCGTACGAGTCATGGACTGGCAAGCGGTCTCGCAAGCACAGGTGCGTCTCACGCGCGCTCTCCTTGTGATGCTCGCTCACCCGTCCTCAGCCGCGCAAGCAAGATGATCTTCGGCGTGCTGGGCCTCGCCGCGCTGGCGTCGCCCCTCTCGCCGACGATGAACAACGCACTCAGCCCCACGCACGATCCCCGTGCGCCCTGCTCTGCGCACACACCCATCTTCTCGCCGTGGCTGCAGTCGCTCCGGGTGCACTCCGTCGACCCGCTCACGTCACCGTGGCTGCCGAATCGCCGCGGCTCCGACGGCCTCTGGGCGTTCCCCCAGTCGCCCCGCGGCATTCGCTGCTGAGCTCACACTCCACGCCCATCTGGGCCTCCGACTGAGACTGAGAATGGACCTCACCTCTGTTTACTGCAAGATAGATATCTCCGTCAGGTAGACTGTCGCTTGCCCTCGTGGTCGGGTTGGCCATTCGTTTGATGCCTTCCTTGATGATCTGGGTCGTTGGGCCGACCATGACGATGCACTATATGTTCACGATACGCTCACGATGTGTTACTGTATGGAACCTTGGTTAATAGAGCTGCTGTGGAGGCTCCTAACATGAAACTCAAGACAATAGTCTGTTCACGGTCTCGTAGGAAAGGCAGATTCGGGGAACGCAAACACTTTTGCGAGACCATGCACGAAATTGGTGCGTCCTTCCCCTCCTGTTCTAGATCTGTGCGCGAGCCCCATGATTGAAGCTTTGAATTGTCAATGGAATGTACGAGTGCGATCACTGGCAATTCCACGTCCACTGCGAGATTCGTCCAGGGTCAGGAGTAAGTACCTGCCAGAGTGAAACGGCTTCATGCGGACGTCGCTGATACAGCCCTGTGGGCTTGCAAAGTCCAGACTCCGGTTACATTTAGCAAACGAGGTATCGAGAGCTGATCGAGACACTGCCTGCCGCCAGTGGTGCAGCTGTGCAGCACGCACATACGGCCGAGCCTCAGCGGGCTGTGGTATCTATGCGTCACGGGTGCCAGGAGGGGAGGCTGGTATGTGTGCTCTGTGCTAATAGATCACTCACAAAAACCTGCCGCTGACGAGGTTCGTCTCGGGGGCTCGTCGCTCAGCTGTCCTGGTTCCCTTGACAGGAAAGAGCTGACCTGCACAACAGTCAACGTCAGTAAGTATCTCCTCGAGGTGCAATCAATCAAATGTAACAATTTCTTGCATCTTTCAAAAGTCATGACAGAATTCGAAGCAGAAACTTCTGAAGAGATTGGATAACCGCGCGAGTGCGCCTTTTGGACAATGATTGAAAACCCTTTCCTTGCTCCGCTATGTACGGGACTATACATCGGAAGCCTAGCTCATCCATGACTTTTCTGCTCAGGGACGGTGAATCTTTCGAGCCAGAATCGTGCCCCTTGCGCGCATGCGCAGTGTTGGAAGGCACGAAATGAGAGAACCGAGAACCAATCCTAAGTCCCTCCTTACTTACTTACTTACTTACTGACTTACTTACTTACTACTTACTTACTCATGTTCGGAGTTCAGACATTTGAAAAGAACTTACTATGTTTGGGCAAACCCGTTATGTTCTTCCACTTTGCCCCGGGCCCGCGGAGTGCAACTTCATTCTGTTTCCGATCGTGACTTCAGACAAAAGTCAGACATGCTTGAGTAGTCCATCCTTCTGGCACAAAATGGAGTGGGATCGATTTGAGAGAGGATGGAGGCGAAGGTGAAAAAGCAGAGTGTGATGTGACAAGCTGTGATGGGCGTACTTGAACGCGTGACGTCACAGATCCTGTACGCGTCTACGCGTCACACTCGACCTCCAACTCTGGTTGCGCGACTTGGGCATTTCCCTCCACACTCTCCTTTGGACGACGCGGACTTGCGGAAGAAGATATGTCTGGCAAGACTGGTGGACGAAACTTGCACGCGAGAGCAATTCTGGGTCCGGAGCTCCATAGTCGGCTGTCGGATACGAAGGTACTACTGGTAGGCGCAGGTGGTATTGGTTGTGAACTCCGTGCGTTATACTGCCTCTCGAGCAAGTGATTCGTATGTTGATTCAGTCTTGTATATACTGCATCTACCTTGTTCGCTATGACCCCCGCCTCTACGCGGTCGTCGCCTCATCCGGGACGGCTACACAGTGAAGAACATCGTACTCACGGGCTTCGGACATATCACTCTCCTTGACTTGGACACAATCGACCTTTCGAACCTCAACCGCCAGTTCCTTTTCAAGAAGAAGGATGTGAAGCAGAGCAAGGCGCTGGTGCGTTGCCTTTACATCTTAGTTTGCGGTTGAGCTCAGTTCAACGCCACGACTGGCGGACAGGTCGCAGCGAAGACCGCGTCTGCTTTCAACCCAAACGTGAAAATCACGCCAATACACGGGAATATAAAGGAGCCCCAGTTTGACGTTGCATGGTTCAGAGGGTTTGACATTGTCCTCAATGCGCTGGACAACCTCGGTACGTTACCATATATCTGCTGTCCGGACTTCGAGGTTCACGTCTGGGCAGATGCCCGGAGGCATGTAAACAAAATGTGCATGGCAGCCAATGTCCCGTTGGTAGAGTCGGGTACTGCTGGCTACCTAGGCCAAGTACAGCCGATCGTCAAGGTGTGCTGACTCACCTACTCGTTCCAAATGAAGTATTGATTATACGACCCTGCACTCAGGATAGAGCAGAATGCTTCGACTGTATCCCAAAACCAACACCAAAAACGTTCCCCGTTTGCACTATTCGCTCGACGCCCTCTCAACCAATACACTGTATAGTATGGGCGAAGAGTTACCTCATGCCGTGAGTAGCCCCAACCACCATCCCAGGACGATACGCACAACTCTCTCTCGTGTCTGATGTGTACAGTCAACTATTCGGCGAAGATGAGGACTCGGGTAGCGAGCTTGATGAGGCCGAGAAACAGGGCGAGAATGGTGCGAGGGATACCCATCCGATTCTTCACGGTTTAGTAATTGCTGAATCCGTATCCCTCGACTCCAGCGCAGGAAATCGCTACCCTACGCAAAGAGGCGCAGGCGTTCAAAGCTGTCCGCACGGCCCTTCGAATGCCGGAAGTTGAAGGCCAGGGCCCGAGCGCCGCCAAAATGGCGTTCGAGAAGGTATGAGCAATTCATCTGAGGTCGTGCACACAATTGAGTGTATTCGTTGCCCTATCAGGTATTCCACTCGGATATCCTAAATCTTCTTTCCATGGCGGACATGTGGCGCTCTCGCGCACCGCCGACCCCGCTGGACTTCGAGGGTATCAGGAACGGGACGTTCGCACTGAACAAAAAGGCATACGTTGAGGACACCACGGCTCAGCGCTCCTCGAAGGCAGTCACGATGGACAATGGAAGCACAAGTGTACCCAATGGATCGTCTTCCAATGGCAACGGGGCCAGCACAGCTGGGTTGAAGGACCAGCGAGCATTGTCGCTCAAGGACAACCTGGACCTATTCGTGTCGAGGTATGCTCATGGTCCTATGGTCCCTGTGGCAGAATCGCTTAGTTGACCGCGATACGTAGCGCTGAGCGACTGGCCGCGCGACTCCGGTCGGGGGAGGACACCATTTCGTTCGATAAGGACGACGATGATGCGCTCGACTTCGTCACGGCGGCCTCCAACCTCCGCTCTGTCGCCTACGGCATCCCGAGTAAAAGTCGATGGGAGGTCAAGGGTGCGTCTCTGCCTACATTGATGACCTTCTCTCCGACGAATCGATTGTACGTACAGAGATGGCTGGGAACATCATCCCCGCTATCGCCACCACCAACGCGATTATCGCCGGGCTCATCGTCCTGCAAGCCTTCCATCTCCTCCGCAAGTCCTACAACACCCTCCGCAACGTTCACGTACAGTTTAAGCCCACCATGCCTCTTAGCGCGATCAACATGACGCCGCCTAACCCGAACTGCGGCGTCTGCAGGGACACTTACGCGGAAGTGCGCTGCGATCCTACGCGTGTGACGCTCGGTGAAGTCATCGAGGGCGTCCTGGGCGATGGGGAGGACGCGGGAGGGATTGGCAAGCGCGATGTGAGCGTATATGAGCAGACGCGAATGCTGAGCGATCCGGACTGGGATGATAACCTGGAGCGGACGCTCGAGAGCTTGAACGTGACGCGGGGCAAGTTCCTGTCGGTTGTCGATGACGATGGGGAATTCGGTACCATCCAGGTTGCGATTGGTGTGCTACCGTAAGTCTGCTCTTTCATATGAGCACCAGTGTCGAGCTCATCCTGGCACCATAGGCCAAATCATCCTCCTGACGGCCCGGCCCTGGTCCTGCCATCTCCGTTGCCGACACCACCAAGAAAGCCCAAGCTAGCTATGCCATCGACGCCTCCGCCAACAGGCACGAAGCGTTCCGCCCCTGACGACGACAAGCTGGAGCCTGCAGCCAAGCGGATAAAGACGAATGGGGCTGCGCCCGTTCCGCCGCCGCCGTTCACCCCAAGCAAAAAGAAGAGGTTGGAAGACGACGGTCTAATCATGCTCGATACCCTGGACGAGCCGTTAGAAGACGATGTCATCTTGGTTGATTGATTGAGGATGTGATAGACTGTGTAGTACTGTGTTATACTACGGTTGTGCTAACTGTATTCGTACTTATGTGCTTTGTTTGCTGCTGTCGCTGAATCCATCGAGGTTATTTTTCCAGTGTGGGCCTACGGTTTGGCGTTCAGCGATGAGATGGTTGCAAGTAGATTCGAAGTGTAAAGTGCAGATAATGTGTTGGTACAGTGTTATGTGCAAGCCAGGCGAAATGGCCCTCACTCCGGTTCTACGTCGCTACTGTCCAAGCAAATGAGGTCCTCCTTTGCAGAAGAGTCGATGACTTTGCCGAACACTGCCTTCTCAGCTCTCTCCAGGTCATCCTCGCTTTCACTATCGTGGAAGTGTAATGGCGAGTCTTCTCGCGAAGTGGTTGGCTTGGCAAGAGAGGCTACAGGACGGTCCACACAGCTCTTCTTCTTGCCCGGTCTTGGCGCGAGGTCAATGTCTCTCTTGGAAACTTGGAGCGCGGCGAGGGCGTCGAGCTGCGTGCGGAAGAGCCTTCAGTACGAGGTACGTAAGACGTGCAGGAGACCAAGTTACCTTGCTCTGCAGCTGAGGGTCAGTCGTCTTCCGCCCATCCTTCGCGGTTGGATCGAACCCTAGCTGCTTGATAAGATGAGCGGAATACGCATTCTTGTGGGGTTTCCTGTTCTCCTCGTCGCTCGCTTCCGATTCGCTCTCGGTATCAGATACTTTGGCCACCCGGGCCTTCCCGCCTGGCTTTTCCTTTTCTTCCTTCTTGACCTTCTGCGTCTGCTTCTTAGCAAACTCTCTCGCAGTAGCGACCGCTTTGGACCCCGCCTTGTCTCGTTTGAGGAGCTGCTGCAGAGCGCGATCGGCTTCCAGGGTCGAGGCTTTGCGTGATGCTTTCGCTTGAGCGTCGCGGCCCATTGACTCGGAAAGGAAGAGCGTTTTCGAGTCGCCCGAGCCTGAGATGACATGGCCAGAGACGACATAAGTCGCGCTGTTGCTTTCGCGTTCCGGTTTCAGGCCCCATTGCTTGGCCGGATCGTAGTCCGTCTTCTTTCGCTTTGCGTAGCTCGACATCCCAGACGTCCTGATTGTCTCCGTCAGAAGATAAGTATTTTGACAGACAGATAAATGCACATACCCGCTAGAAAATTCGGCACGACCAGCTCGCTTACGCTCGACAGCGTGTTGGATGTGCCAGTCACACACGTCCGCGACGCGTCTGTCGCACCAGCTCCCACATGTCGTGCCATCCCTCCGGACAGCCTTGCACATGCCTAGATCTAGAGAGTATCCAATCACGGCAATTGATTCGACAGACTCTGGGGTGAGAGCGAGGATATTATCGGTTGGATGGGGCGTGTCGCCGGATCGCTGTATGACACGTCAGCAATACTAGGACCGTGACCAGCGTTTACGGACCTGGAACGGCTTGAGAATCCTCGGGTTCAGGAAAGCCACGACGGCACCTTCCTTTAGCATCGACATCTTCTCAAACGCGCCTTTGCTCCCTCCACGATAGATCTTCTCCTTCTTTCCATTCTCCTTGGTGACTACGTCGTATCCATCCGACTCGAATAGCAGCAACGACAACGACGCGTCTCCACGAATGACAGTCTGACCACCCGTCGCAGAAGAATCGCGCGCAGTACGGCACCCGAAGTCCACGAGCTTCATGTTGACGTACTTCTTCCCGCTTGGGCGAGGCGGCTCGTCCTTACGCTTGCGCTTGGGTCGCGGTGGACCTTTCGCGGGAACCGGTGCCTCCGTAGATATGTCTAGCTGGTCGACCGTATCTTCGTCCTCCTCATCTGCGCCCATCTTATCGTCACGACCGATGCCTACCGGTGCCTGACTACACTTGACTTTGCCACGCTCTGCGACCACGGCGATGGTCAGCCAGTCGCCGGATACGGGCACGTCGTAGCCCTGTTTGCTGGGCAGAAGGCGAACGACAGAGTACAACTTGGACGGCGAGAGGTAGTACCGACCCCGCAAATGATCCTGGAAGTCTTCGAACGGGATCGCACGGGAACTGACATAGGGTCAGAATAGCCTGTGACGAAGCCAGAGAGACTCACGAGAGGCGAATGCCAGAGTTAGGTTCAAGCTTCTCGAACCGAGGATCATCGAAGGGTGGTTTGTGATCTACAGGTCCAAGGACGAGGTCCTCGACTATCGCTAGACGGTCATCACGAGTCGCCCCGGTCTCCGAATCGTTGAATGAGGTGGCTACAGCAGGTTGAGTAAAAGCACTCGATCGATTCGTGGTGCCCTTCGCTAATCGTGTGTCCTCCTGTGAGTGAACCTTCGCGAGCTTCTCTAGGACTGTAGATGGCGCATGTTTCTTCGTTTGAGTACTAACAGCATGTGATGAAGATGATGACGATGTCACTGTCGTGCTAGCAGCCGGTCTTGGCCGCTGCTCCGTGACAGGTAAGCTGGTCGAAGGCCGTTCTGCATGACTGAGTTTCCTCTTCTTCTCTGCAACGGATTTTTGTATGTAAGACTTCGCCAATGCCAATGCGTAATAGACTGCAGTACGTACTAGGTGACGGCGTTGCAGGGGCGAGTAGATTCCCGGAATGCGGTCGCCGCTTCGGAGATTCAGGGGCAACAGGCAAGCCCACCTCAGTTCCAGTGAGCTGAGCTTGTAGCGCAGCGATCTGACGGCGCAGCTCGGCTTGCCGCTCCTGCTCCAATGCCTTCTTGCTTGACGAAGACTCCATTGTGAATGGCAGCTATAATATCAATTCAGTGTGCCCTCCTTAAAAGCAGGATAAGACACTCCTGTAAACTGATCAGTCTACAGGCGACCACACGAAATGAGTCGCCACGCACTGGATGTCGCCCCGTTGCTGCCTATTATCAGGATCCAATATTTCTCCGTCAGTCTTTACACGATGCTACTGGTTACGCTGTCGTGCAGTGATGTGGGCACGCAGCATGAGACTTGACGACGGCCAGGTCGAGCAACGAGGACGACGGAAGGGAACAAGACACGTCGCACATGTGACGCGACGCGACAACAAAGCGCGAACGCGGTCACATGAGCATTTGATCCCCTTCGGCGCTTGTCTGAAGTTGCTTTGACCTTCGCAAGCCTTCGCACCGGGATGGCGCTTCGACTTGGACGGTTGGGCGTCCTCACACATCTTGGTCCTGGTATCCCCGACGGCGTGCTTATGTGTCAAAAACACACTGCATTGATTTCATTGAGGCGTCTTCGCAAATATTCAATCGGTTGTCCATCATTATGTCAAGCACGGAGTCGGACGACTCTCCGCTGCAGATTCGCAACGTCGTGGTCAAGATGCGATCTCGTGTGCACCTTTCCTTTGACAGGAAAAATCTCGATGCATCCCCGTGCTAAATTACAGCTCGATGTGCCAAGACTGCAGCGCCGTGACCGACAAAAGGTTGCTTGACAATGTCCGTGGGCTTCCCTGCTGATTCGCTTGGAATGCTCCGAACACCGGGCGATACCAGGGCCAAGTCATGACCTCAATACGGGCACGTTGTGGGCGATGGCAACATGGTTACCAATGCTTTGACTTCCGGGCCTGTGGCCACTGCCAAAACGGGCCTTGTGCCATCTCCAGCTTCAGGGGTTCTTTGTGTCCGTACGGCCACAATGCCCCAACTACGCCTCTGAAATATATTTAATGGGTAGTGAATGCACTCAGACTTTCACCTGTCTCCTTCCCAAGGACAGACACCCGCCATCTCCCTCAACTCCAGATCTCACCCGTCACACGATTTCGCTATGGGCAGCAGACGAAGACGCAATAACAACGTCCTGGACAGTGTAAGTCTTTGGTTACCTTATAGGAATACTCTACACGTATGTTGACATCATCCCGTTTTCAATTAGAACCGCCAGCTGGATCAGCAGATAGAGAAGCAGACGGAGATGCTGAGGCACTACAGCCCTGAGCAGCTCCAGTACATGTCGGTCTCTGCGACTCCTAATGGGCAAGGCATCCATATACACTGGCACGAAGAGAGGCAAGACACTGTCAATTTTCCAGCGTTGATGTTCCTCGCGCTTGCGGAGCAAGCGCGTCAGGGCATGGGCCCGGGCGCAGTCGAGGACGCAGACGCAGCCATAGAGCAAGCCTTTAGCGACGCCGGCGACAATGACACAGAAGATGGGGAAGAAGAGGTCGATATCGCCGCCATCCGTGCGCAAGACCGATACCGCAGCCCGACGGAGCCCGTTCCGGGCCACTACGATGCCTCGCCGTTGCGCCGTGGCATGAGCGTCGATGCGGGTGCGCGCAACGCAGAATGGTGTCCTGACGCGTGGATGGGTCTGAACACAAGCAGTGCGCATGCGTCCAGGAAGTTCATCAAGGCGGAAAATGATGGTGTCTTCGAGATCATCCCGGACCCGCCGACGCCGTCAGACGGGTGGGGGGTCTCGGAGTATGCGCCCTCTCCTGCAGCGGAGGCGGGGTCTGAGTACACGTATGAACCCTCGCCTGACAGTGCGGTGGGGGGCGCGGGATCAGAGTATGCGCCTTCGCCCGTGGCCGGAGACGCGGGATCTCACTTTGCACCCTCGCCTGGTGCCGGAGACGCTGGATCTTACAGTAAGTACGCACCGTACGGAACGTCCGCACGCGCTGATGAAGACTTTCAAGGCAGGGAACCAACCCCGCAGTCTGCTCAGGTACTCCCTGATGCAGCGCCGATCCTGTCTCCAGCCTCGGTCCATTCAGAAACCACCTCCCAAGGGTCGCTCCACTTCCCCGAATGGATCCCTCCTCCGCCGCCTCCTCCTCCCGCCGATATGCCGGCTCCTCCCGTATTCCCGAGGAGCCGTCTCATACGCAGGCGCTACGGGACACGTTTTCTGAATCCCATCCACGATTACTGGATGTTGCAGCAGCAACAAATGATGACGGATTATCATGATGCTAACCAAAATGGTTCGTTTACTTGCGCTGCACTCTGCAACTTAAATTTTGTCTGATTTTTGGCTCTAGGTAGCGACGGGTCGTCTGAGCACCTCGAGTTTGTGCAGGGATCGTCGAGTGGGCAACCTCGTCAGCGGGACTACTAGATCTCACAATCTAGCAGCAGTCCCTGGTTGGTTTGGTTCTCTGAAATAGGCTTCTCCCTTCGCCGCAGTGATACATGCATGTCATCTTTTTATCTATCCTCGCATGTACTACTGAGTCGAACTTTGCTTTTATGGTCACGTGGTCGACGAAATACAGTTCTATTAGAGCGTCCGTAGTTTTTCTCATCATCAACTTGAATCCGGCTTCAGCTCGTTTTTGTTTCTCGTTCAGTGCTTCAACTGTAGTGAGGAGGAGCAAATTCTAAGCTTGACTTGCAATCGAATATGTCTTGCACTTTGCGGACGGAATTCAATGATCGATGTAAGCGCTGCCTACTGGCAGTGAGTAACTTGATGCTTTGCTCATGCACGCGTAACAGAACAACCAGTACGGTTCCGAACCATTGAGCGAACAGTAATTTCCATGAGAGAACCGCGCACAAAGTTCCGACGAACGTCACGACGAGTCCGGATGCCTAGTAGCGCGACGTGGATCCGACATTGGGTTCGCCTGGAAGGCATTGCACCAAGAATCTACGCTACGTATCTCCTCGGATCGCTGTACGCTGAGGTGATTGCTTTGAAGAACCAATAAGATCAGTCATTCCTATTGATAATTTATGCCTCACAGTTTGACACTCGCCATTGGCATGACGCGCCGGCAAGTCAGCCTTGGGTAACGCAAGAAAAATCCCCTAAAATGACGCAAAGACAAGACTCAGACTGTATCAGGCATCGCACCGCCCTCACGGCACCGTGATACGGACGGCTCTTGCAGTACAGATCGCCTTCGCAGAGCAGTTGTTCACAGACGGTCCCTGACTGTAGTCGGGCCACGCAACTCCAAAAAGCCAACGACGCCGACGGTCCTCGTGAAGCTTGTGATGAATGAAGGACACCCGCCTGGCCGTTATTCAACGTCACTGGCACTCGCCACCTTTGTCGTTCGTCCCATCAGCGCGCGCATTTTCGTCCCAAAAAGTACGCGAACCATACCGAAGAACCCTAGGCCTCTTCCATCGCCACTCGACTCAACAGGGCCCTTGTTGCCATGCAGACACGTGCATACAGCCGGAATACAAAGCCACCTAGCTGGGCCGCCGCACGGCGTCCCCTGAATGGCAATTTTGCCGTTTGGTTGCTTTGCAATATCATTGTCGCGCGGCGGAGCGTGTCAGTTGGCGTCTGTCCGTCTCCGCCGGGCTGTTAATTATTGGGACAATGGACGAAGCCTCGAGGTTCAATCTGCCATGATTGGATTATTTGGCTACAAGAAGAATCCCCAATCTGGATGTGGCCACCCGCCAGACGACGCTTCTGCGCATTCATATCGTGATCAAGTGCGTCTCCCACTGGCATCGCGACCATTGTCCTCTGCGCATCGCGATAGCTAGTGCTCGCATATTTAATGGACTCATGAGCGGTGCGGCATGGACTCGCTCCTCCCCTACTAGAGCGTTCGGTTTCGACTGAACCATATTCTTTCACATCTCTTCTACTGCAGCCTTTCCTTTGCATTACCGTGAACCCTGCTAAAATCGATCGTGCGATAATGGCCTCACATTCCGGTAACAGTCAGGGGTACGTGTGATATCCTTAGCGTCCAGTCCTTCCCGCTGAAAACGCTTCTATAGACTCTCAGATAGTAGTCACAACGATCCAAACGCGCCTATTCTCGTGGCAGAGAAGTCAGAAGTCTCTGATTATAAGACACCGTTTCCTTGCAGGCTCTACGGGTGCACGGTAATTGTGACGCCGACGGTGAAAGGGGTCGCGGCACACCTAGCCTCCGCTCACGGGATCCATGAACCACACCGTTGCCCTTGGCCGGATGGCCATCGTAGGGAATTCAGGGAAATCCAGACGATATCGGTCTTCCGACATATCATAGACCAACACGGCTGGAAGTTTACCTGGCGATGCCCTTGGTGCGGAAAGGAACATCCGCTCGGTACGAGGAAAGAGAATGCACGAAGGCATAGCCTGAAATGCGATGCGTGGGTCTTTTACTAAAATCACTCCTCCGCGCATCTCATACTAACCCATGGTCTTCCTACTAGTCGTCGTTATCCCGTGACCGACAGTCAAACCCCCTGCGATCCTGCCCAGGCCTTGGCCGTTCTAAGAGACGTGCAGAAGCTCGTCGAGGAACGCCCTGAAATTGCTATCAATCTGTTCGCGAATTGTCCCGTTCTGTCTCTTTCTACCCCAACCGACGCTCAGCAAGAGGCCAGCGATCCCACTAAGCTCTGGCACGTCATCCAAGATCTGCAGGAACTCCTTAAGGAACGCCCGGAACTGGCTCAAGATCTGCTCGAGAAGTTTCCCAATATCTTTGGCACCCTTGAAGATCTAGAGCTCAAGTTGTTGGAACAGTAGAGTCCTTTGGAATAGGGGGTTCGGGTCGTTGGCACCGCAAGTCGAACATACAGATGCGCGCTGGTCGTGCACCACAACTGCCGTTCACATGGAGCTCTCAGCTTATTTTATGTCGCTACGATGTTTCATCGCTGCTGGACGGTCGACTGATGTATGACTCGTGTACGTTCTCTTCTCGCCGCTCATTTGTCATACCCTGCTTGTAGCCCATAGACAATCTCAGTCCCTCTGATCTTGTCGTCTTGATACTATATGTACACACTCTTTTCCGCATTGCTTTTCATCACTCTCTGGTACCGGTTCTACTGTATTGCATACTCTATTTCGCCGACTCGCAATATAATCCAGTTATCACAGGAGTCAAACGCCATGCACCGATTTCGTAGTCATCAGTCCGCATAATCGGCATGAACATGTCCAGCCCCTTGTCGTGCACCAATTGGATAACACCAGAAGCGAAGGCGGTAATCGTCCTGCAAGTCTGATCGTATCCTGGGTCCCACCGTGATTGTGGGTCTCGCGCGGTCCTCATGTTGCTGGAGAGGGGTAAGTGCGCGTGTCTCATACGATCGGGAACAGCAAATTCATTACTGTAACGCGCGAACCATTTAGTGACCAGCAATGCAGCTTCAGGACAAACCATCACCGGCTATAGCTACTCACTAGCCACCAACCATGGATGCCTAGCCATTCGTCCTATAACACGCCACTCAGCCGCCTGCATCATATGTAAGTCGCGACGGGGATGCCTTCTGCAAGTCCACCGCTTCATGCTTATAACGTTCGCTAACACACCGCGTCAAACCATCATCGTCATTGTCACGGAGATGCCACCAGTTTCGCGGAGTGTAGACAGTCAAGCTAGGCCAGCCCCGTGAGATAAGCAAGCTCGATGACACATTGAGGCGCATTCGCACCCGGTATCTGTTCCCTGATCCGACTCGTGAACCTGCAGAGCTCTTGGTCTCAGCCTCATGCACCAAATCAAGGCACAATTCGCGGATTGCCGTAGGGTTCACCTGATCCGGCTTTAGCAACGGGACGAAGATGTATATTTCTCGCTGTCTATCGATCTACCCACCAGTGCAAACCACCGACTGATGGTCCTGTCAAGCGACTGACACGCCACCAGTCATATTCTGCGATCTCGCCGGAGTCTGGAGACGAGCTCGCGCCAATCTTGTATATAAGAACAACGCACCGAGTCTCAGCGACCAACGCCCTCAAACCCCACGTACTTCACTATCGCCGCAGACGAACTACCGCGGACAATGGCTAACATTGATCTGTCCCACCACCTCTCCGCGGAAGCGCGTCTCCGCAAACCTACGGCCATGAAAGAGATCTGGCGACTTGCTTCGCGCAAGCCAAATATGGTGTCTCTAGCCAACGGTCTGTCAGATCGTAATATGAGACATAATAGTGGTCCTCACGAACGACCCTCATGACGCAGGCGATCCTCCAAACACACTCTACCCAATCAAAAAAGTGTTGTTTGAGATCGCCTCTCCCTGGGGCGACGACCCCGTCGCAGCCTGGAAGACAGAGGGCTCCAACACGGCAACGCAAGTAATCAGCGCGACGCGCGACGGGCCTTCTGTCCTCCCTGTCAAGAAGGCCATGCAGTACACGAACGGGGCCGGGCACGTCGAGACGCAGAAGGCAGTCTCAGAGCTCGCGCACGCGTACCACCACCCGCCGAATCACGTCATAACCTTGACGCTCGGGAACGGAGATGCTGTCACGAAGTGCTTCCGGCTGTTCGGGAACCCTGGGGACCACTTCCTCGCGGACGAGTTCACGTTCAGCGCGCTCGTCCAAGCGGCCATCCCGCAAGGTATCAAATGGGTCCCGGTAAGGATGGACGACGGAGGGATGCTTCCGGAACAGTTGGAGAAGATAATGGTGAATTGGGACGCCACGCGAGGACCAAGACCGCATGTTCTCTATACCATCCCGTCAGTATCAACGACGGGGCAGAGCATCGTGCGTGACTGACCACCCACGCGTAGATGTGGACAAAATCCAACAGGTTCGACGTTGAGTGTAGAGCGGCGCCGGAAGATCTATGAGCTTGCTCAACGATTCGACCTCATCATTATCGAAGACGGTGAGCGAAACCTATCCATACGGGCTGACTTCCCCTGAGGATGTCGAATTTGCAGATCCGTACTACTTCTTGCAGTTCCCCTCGAATTCTGCCGCAGATACAACATTCACCCCGTCCTTCTTGTCAATGGATGTAGATGAACGTGTCGTCCGGGTCGACTCGTTCAGCAAGGTCATTGCTCCGGGCACGCGGCTCGGGTGGATAACGTCCAGCGCGCAGTTCCACGAGCAGCTAGTCGCTCTCACGGACGCGTCCAGCCAGCACCCCCACGCGTTCGGCCAGATGTTCCTCAGCGAGCTCCTAGGTCCAGAAGGGTGGCAGCTACCGGGGTTCGACAAGTGGGTACGCGGTCTCGGGATGGAGTACAAGCGCCGCTGCGACTTCTTCCTCGACTTGTTCGCCAAAGAAGTCGCCACTACTGGCCTTGCGGAGGCGATCGCGCCGGAAGCCGGTATGTTCGTCTGGACGCGTATTCATATCAGCAAGCATCCTAGATACCGGAAAAGTATCGCGAGCTCTGAAGAAGTGAAGGTTCCTCGCACGAATTGCAAGCAACTAATGGAGGAGTTGTTCGACACGTGCCTTGACGAAGGTCTGGTGGTGATGCCCGCGTCCATCTTCAAAGTAGACTCAGACGCGCAGTATGGTGATCCCGAAGATAATATTGAGGACGTGAGTAGAGTCTTGCGCATCTCTTGCTCGTTCCGCTCAACTATTGCGACTCAATAGCGATTGAACTATTTCCGCCTGACTTATTGCGGGACGGAGGAGATCATGACGACAGGTCTATCGACGCTCGGGAGAGCTCTCAAGCGCTTCTTCGCGGATTAACTAGTTCAAAGCAGTCGAAGTCAGTTCCCTGCACGCGTAGGAATGAAGTTAACCGCGACATACTGTGCTTACCAGGAAATATTCTTGGAGATCAAGTTAACGCATTACCTGTACAACAGAACTCGTACCTCCTTGTTTCTAGTCCTTTCAGTAGTAAAGCACGATTGTAGGAACGTGTTGTTCACAGTCGTTCGTGTCATGATGGTCGTTGCAAAGAGAGGACGGTCGCGCCGGTGATACAACGAGCGCTTACACTCCCGGATATGGCGATGACTTCAGCCCTGCCCCTCAGCCACAGCTCAGTGTTTCCGTGCGACCAACTCTCGACTAGGATCACTGACTATCACACAAACTTACTACGATGGCAACAAGACCGCTCAACGATGATGAAGTGCTCACGGAGATGAACAAGATGGTGTGCTCGCTACGTTGCACGACGAGATGGACCGACTCATGACGCTGTTGCTGTGGCCAGGTGGCCTTCATCAGGCAGGAGGCGTTGGAAAAGGCGCGAGAGATTCGCGTGAAGGCCGACGAGGAGTTTGCGATTGAGAAGGTGCGTCCCCCATTGTAATGCATTGGACGTGTGTTGAAGCCTAGAGCGAGTCTAGGCGAAGCTGGTGAAGCAGGAGCAGCAAGCCATCGACGCGCAGTACGAGAAGAAGCGTAAGGGTGCGGAGGTTGCGCAGAAGATGTATGTGGTGCACTCTAACCGCCGGTCTTTTACTGACCACGGCGTACACCCAGTGCACAATCCACCCTGACGAACAAATCCCGACTGCGGCTCTTGCAGCAGCGCGAGGAGCACCTCCAGGACCTCTTCCTCTCCGCGCGCGAGCTTGTTAACGATCTCGCGCAGGACGAGTCGCGCTACGTGCAGTTCCTCGAGGGCGTAATCGTGCAGGGCTTCCTCCAGCAGCTCGAGCCAGATGTCACCGTCCACGCGCGCGAGACGGACGTCGAGATCGTCGCCCGCGCGGCGGATGGCGCCTCGAAGCAGTACATCGAGATCAGCGGGCGGACGGTCTCTGTCACGGTAGAGGGAACACTCAGCAAGGATCTGTGAGTCTTTGTGCACACAATTGCTGCAGGGTTGCTCATTGCGACCTCTGCGCTACAGTGCCGGTGGTGTGAAGCTTGTGAGCGGGACCTCGCGCATCACCATCGACAACACCCTTGATGAGCGGTTGAGACTATTGGAGGATAGGGTACGTCCAGCATCGTGACAGTCGACGTTTGTCCTGTTGGCCTCATGTCCTTCGTCCAGATGTTGCCTGAAATCCGGAACAATCTGTTTGGCCCGAACCCGAACCGCAAGTTTTATGCGTAACTGGTTACGACACCCCTATAACTCGGTCTCGGATCGTTCACCTCTGCAAACACCTACTGTATCTCACTTGCCACTCGATGTTGCAAGGAATATAAAGAGCAATGATTGCTGTCGAGACGTTCACTTCCGTGGTTTCACAAATTTGTACAACGACGCAGCTACAACGACACAAGTTTGCCATCATGGGCAGTGGGACGCAAGTGTGGCCCGTTACAGGTATGTCTCAAATGGCCAATCACTGCGTGTCGCATATCTCCACAACAGGGCAAGTTGATTACCTTCGTGTATGTGCGCATGCTCCGTGTTGATATGTATCACGTCCGCGCATGCCTCTGGCATATTTACATGCGTATGAATAGGTACAGTCCTTCGTTTGCCTCGTCTACCTGTTATTTGAGGCGTCAGTCGAAATTCCGAATGAGCGCATCACTGGTGTGTCGTCCGGTACCGCTCAATTCGTATGGCTTCGCTGAGGTCGTATTTGCTGAATGCAGATGTCATGCTATGTGGCTATCGTTCATATTGACCACATCTCGTCCCCTTTTGGAACGTACGCCCATCCAACACCGATGTTTACTCATCTCTGCTCAATGTTCGCATCGCGCTCGACCTGGTAACTGCACAGCCTCGCGCACGCGGAGACGGGGCATGAACAGCAGGCATCGGAGTCCGAGCCTGTGTATCCCATTCGCGCCGGCTGGCACTGCGCAGAGCCGTCGCAACGATTACGCCAACTCGGGATGCATGAGTGTCGATATGTCAAATGGGGCGGTCGAATCTCTACGACTATGCTGGCGCTCGAAGAGATGAAGAAGTCATGATGAGGCTGGGTAGTACTGGCCAGGTATGAGCGTCCGCATGTTCCTCGTCTTGCCGGAGTGTTGTGTTGACCCCGCGACCGCACAGTGCCGAGGTTTAGCCCATGTCTTGATGTGTATGTGGCCAAATGAACTGGTTGCGACGCATCCTAGAGACACGATACACATATATCTCGCTGGCACTGAATTGAATGCGGAACTGGCCTGCGTGTGCCCTTCCCCGGTTCAGGACCCTGCGCAGCATCGATCCCACGTCTCTGTGGTCCACCTTGATCATCAATCAGCATCCTATTCACCGGCTCAAGGTTCGCAAGGGTTTCTATAGGCCTGACTGGCGTGTTTTTAGCCGGTTAGCCGCACTACGCCCTCCCTCCCCCGGTCAAAGAGGTCGTGTTTGTGGTTTGCCTACGGGAGATTACAACCACACGTCACATGTACACGTACATCACTTATCATTGCTTTCGCTGTCCCTGCTCTGTCCCCTTCGTTCACTTTGGAGTTTTTGCAGTACGCCAAGAGCCCAGAAGTCCTTGTGAGGTACGACTCCGCTTTCGCCAATGAATATCATTACTGAAATCGCGCTTTAGCGTTGTGGCCACAGACGGTCGTCCATACCTCGCGAACCGACGACCGACACGACGTAGCCGCGCATTTCTCATTTCAACGAAATGGATAGAGTCGAGCCGATGTAAGTGTCACTGTCCAGTGGACGCGGGTACTGAAAAAGGTTACGCATGTGTAATACAGTACAGCCGCAATGTCCGAGGGCTCCTCTCACTGTCCTTCGACCCTGCAGCTTCCCGTGGAAGTCTGCGAGCGGATCATCAACCACATAGCGATGGGATGGGATATCAGTCATCATTTCGTGGCGGACGAGCCGCATGTGTCCACTCTTGCATCCTGCGCGCTCGTATGCCAAGACTGGTACTTCCTGACGTGGTACCATCTGCGTCAACGCATCCATCTACGAGATAGGAAGGACGTTCTCTCGCTCTCCAAGACACTCCACGCAAAACCTCGCCTCCGTGAGGTCGTTCGGCAGGTCGTCATATCGGGTGCTTCTCCCGGGAAGCGTCAACCGATCCGGCACTTGGGGACGTTTGCCGCCATGCTCGCGAACAGAGCTCCCGCGTTGTGGAGGATCACCATTCAAGACGCTGAATGGACCACCGGCTCGGTCCGAAGGGAGGACATCGCCTACCTCGCTGCTTTCGGCTCCATTGGCACACTGATCGTCCGCAAAGTCACCTTGTCGAGCGTTGCCCAGCTGTCCTGCCTCGTGTCAGCACTCCCGAGGCTTAGGGCCCTATGGTGCGTCAACGTCAGTTGCTTGCAGAAACAGCAAGTCTCCCCAGTCTCTCTCCCACTGAACTGTGCAAATCTGGAGGGTCTTGAAGTGCGATGGGCTGCGCCAGCAGTCGAAGAATTCTTTGTGCAGATCAGCTGGGCTTCTCGAGTACGCTTTCTCAATCTTGGAGTGGTCGGCGAGGTAGATCCATCCTCGCGATCGGCAACCAGCAGAAGCCAGACTGTGCTGGATGCGAGTTCCGCATCTGCAGAGACGGTTGCACTCCATATTGATCCCCGTTTTCCTGTTCGCGATGGTAGCATTGATGCCACGGTTGGAAAGTTTTCTCAGTTTTCTACCTCGCCACTTGGCTGATTGTTTCATGCCTACAGCGCGACACTACAACTTTTCACGCCACGACCACCTGCGGAGGTTGGCGATCTGGCTGTACCACCCCTTTGCGGAGTGGCCCTGGATCCCGCATATCTTGTCTCACATCGTCTCGAAACACTTCCAGGCTATGTCTGTTATGTTGGTGGTCCGGACAGCCCACATGGCCGATGACTTGGACGGAATGCTGACGACAATGGGACGGGATGATGCCCTGGCGCGATTGGACAGTATACTGCAGGAGAAGCGCTTCTCCGGTACTATTGCATCGCGCGGCGTCTGTATAGGCATTCACTATGATAACGACAGTTGGGCATCTGGCGATGAACAGTTTGGGATGGGTTTAGCACTCCGAGAACGGCACAATCGGTGGGACGAGCTCGTCAGGCAGAAGATGCCCCACTCGCATGGACGAGGTATAGTGACGTACGTATAATATCATGGACCGAGTCAAAATGTGGAGAATGATTGAGTATTTTGATAGCACTGTGCACAACTTCCAAGAATTCGACAACTGGAAGACGGACGTGGTAGAGATACGTACCAGCATGCCAGCTGAAGAGACAAATGCCAACTTGAAAGGAGAGGCGTAGCCACAGGGTCGAGATGATGAGGTACTCGAGGCGACATGCCATTGACATCCTCGCGATCCCCATCTCCGTAGTGCCGTGAGTGAGGGTCGTCATCATCAGTGATACCACTTCGCTGATTCACTCTGCAATCTCAGGATGCTGAATATTAATGACCATGGCCGGAACGGAGGTCGAAAAATCGTCGCTGGTGTGGGGAAACGGCGTCGCGCCCACTAAGTAATGGTCATATGTAGCACAACATATGTCCATTTCCTAAATGGTGGAGAATTGGACACACAGCGGTATGACTGTTGTGTGCTCTGGATAGACATTCGAGGGTCAATGATGGAACGGGGTTCCGTCGATACTGGATGCATCCAATGGTATTCGGGTAGTGTGTGTCAATAGGACAATAGGACACTCATAGCTCACCATATTCAGCCCCCATCCTCACAGCTGCCACGAGCAGCTGAATATATGTCGCAGGGTCATCAATGGGTGGGTTAAGTATTGGCGATGTCCGGTAAATCAGACAACGAGCATCGAAGCAACACAGAAATGCCAGTACGACTGTACCTACAGAGTACGAGAACTACACGACGTGCTCGGAGAAGACACGATTGCGCAGATACAAATGCCACGGCGAGAAGCGAGGACCGCACCTTTATCGGCCAGAGGCATGTGTTGAAGTGGTAGCGGTGGAACAACTAAGTACCTCGGAAGAATGTTCGATCGCACGCGGGGCGAGTCGCGGCAGACTGGGTGTCAGACAAGGATCCTGAGGCACGAAGCTTCGAAGGAACTGTCTACATATGTCTGCTTGGGGAGACTATTTGATGTCAGCAAGGCAGAGGATGTGTACATATGACGGTACATACTAATGTACTATACCGCCGCGCGCGAGATGCTTGCCGCAGTCGAGTTTGAGGCATAAATTCTTATTCTTGGCTTGATGAGACCTGTACATACCAATGGCTGAGAGGACAACATCCAGTGACATACACACAGATCCTAGTGCCTTGCTAGCACATATACTTGTGGAGATACCTCGTTATGGCCCTGTCAGGGTGAACGCCGCCTGGCAGAGGGGCACAGTACTTAATACTTACTACATAGTAGTACCCGCCACCACTGCAGGCGCAACGAGCGCAGGGACACATGCGGCTTCTCCCATAGTATCCTGCGTTCGGTTAGCCTTAGCATGTCTTGGTAGGTAGTCAGGTTCAGCATGCTGTTCCGCAACTGTCCCGGACGGAAAGAGTATGGAAAGGCCACAGTATGAGCGCTCAGCCACCGCTTACGGTCTTCCACCTACCCCCAACTCGACTTATCCTTACCCTCAGACCTCGTTCTACTCAGTGAGCTGGGCTAGGAAGCTAGCCAAAGGCGTCGCTGGCCATGCTTTCCACAAATTATAGGTCCAGCGCAACCCAGACACAGATCATCGTGATGCGGGCATGTAGCCCTCATCTGACGGAGCCCAACTATGCTCTGCATCTGGAGGTCGCGGAGTACATCAACCAGAAGAAAGCCAATACGTATGTGATCCTACTGCATCCTCTTGATCAATAACTGAGGACATGGATTAAGCCCGCGCGAAGCAGCGATGATGATAGCCACGCTCGTCAATAACCGCAATCCCCACATCGCGATGCTTGCCCTCGCACTCCTAGAGACCCTCGTACAATCGTGTGGATACCCCTTTCATCTGCAAATAGCCACGAAGGAGTTCCTCAACGAGCTCGTCCGCCGCTTTCCCGAACGCCCGCCGCCGTTCCCGGGCCCCGTCATGACACGTATTCTCGACCTGATCAATGACTGGAAGGAGGGGATCGCGTCCGAGTCGCGGTGGAGAGAGGATCTGGGGAACATCCGGGACATGCACCGTCTCCTGACGTTCAAGGGCTACCGCTTCCGCGACCGACCACGTCAGCCGCCCATTGCCTCTGCCTCCGTGCGTGTCCCGCTCCCGTTCGTCGCGCTCGCGACCGTGCTGATGTATCACGCAGTCACTGAAAACTGCCGACGAGCTCGAGGCGGAGGACCGCGAGGCACAGGAGGCGAAGTTGCAGGAGCTCATCCGGAGAGGGACGCCGCGGGACCTGGCGGCGGCGCAGGAGCTGATGAAGACGCTCGCAGGCGCAAACCCCGACGCGAAGCCGGACTACCGCTCGCAGGCCTTGACAGAACTCTCAAAGCTCGAGAGCAAGGTGATCCTGCTCAACGAGCTCCTAGAGAACGTGGACACGGGGCGGGGCGAGCAGTTTGCGCAGGGCGATGTATACGATGTGGGTGTACTGGGCTATCTTTAGCTCTCGCCGTGTTGACCATTGCCGTCACCAGCAAGTTGCGTCCATCCTCACGGCCGCACGCCCAAAGATCCAGGGCTGGATCTCCAACGCAGAGACGGACGACCCCGAGTCGCTCAACACGTTCCTGCAGATCAACGACCAGCTGAACGCGGTCCTCAACCGGTACGACTCGTACAAGAAGGGTGACTTCACGGCCGCGGCGAACCCCATCCCACCAGAGGTCACGGCCGCGTCGCAGAACGACTCGCTCATCGACTTCGACGACGGACCATCGTCCGCGCCAGCACAGCCCGGCCAGCAGCAGCCACCACTGGACGATCTCGCGAGTCTTTTTGGACCGACCGCCCAGACACATTTCCAGACACAGCCTCAGCAGCCGATGATGAGCGGGATGAGTGGGATGGGCGCTGGTATGCACATGGGGTCCGGGATGGGCTCGAGCATGGGTATGGGCATGGGAGCGGGGATGGGTATGGGGAGCGGAATGGGTATGGGCATGGGCTCACGCATGGGTATGGGTATGGGCTCGCAAAGCGGCTCGAGCTCACCAATGGCCGCACCATCACCCTCGAATGGCTTCTCGAACGGCATGGGCATCGGTGCGGGCACGCCGCCGACGCTCAACCTCGCCGCGCGTCCCGGGGCAGGGTCGCCCGCACAGCTTGGCAGCATCCGCCTGGGCACGCCCAGCAGCCGTCGACGCCGAACTACTTCGCGGGCGCACAGTCGATACAGCCGCAACAGACGCATCAGCCGATCCAACCACAGCAGCAGCAACACCAGACGGGCAGGTACCAGCAGCAACCGGGGACACCGGGCAGCGCTGCGCCGGCGAATGGGGCGCAACAAGGCGGGAAGGACCCATTCGCGGACCTTGTGGGGCTGTTCTGATTCTTTGTTGTCGGGCTACGTTGTACTGGGGCGTGCGGGCAGGAGGGCGGAGGGACTACGCGGTGTATCTACTGTTGTTTTGTGAAAAGTATCGTTATGAACTTCTTTGACATGCTATGTAGCCGTGCCCAGATCGCAGACAAACCCCGACGGTGGAACGAGGCGAGCTGACCGAGTGCTCCCCAAGAGCAAGTATAGTGTGATAGCACTTGCCGATTTCCGGTGGGTCTGCTCAAGGTCTACTGGCTATAAGACAAGCCAAGATGTGTCGTATCAGCCGTCGGTTCGCGCGAAGCCAAAAGGAAAGCACAATGTCAGTAAGGATATTCGTTCGTACCTCATTAAAGTTTCCCATGGCTCTTGGTTTGCGCAGCAAAAACTCAGAGCTGGACGACTGGGCGAGCGCAGGGACAGCGAAGGCAATCATGATGATGGGTGATGTATTTGTATGTATATGTAGAGTCGGTGCAACGTGTACAGAAGCACCGAACACGACCACCGATGTCGAAAGCGGTTCTTTACTTTCACTGGACGCCGTAAAGCCGTCATGGCAATGCACCGAGACAACAACTCCCGCTCATGTGCCGACTCAAGATGGGGCGAAACACCTGAGGGACTCAGTCAGCGTCGTAGTCTCGTATAACATGTGGAGAGCAAGGAAGGAACTCACACCTCCTGTGGGGGCCGCTAAGAATCAAGGTCCAGTAAACTGGTGATCAGAAGTTGTCCGCCGAGGACGATCGACGAGACGTCAGGCAAAAAACATCAGGGCATTGTCCGAGGTGTGCGTCGATTCTGTTCATAACCCCATACTTGCAGTATCAACCTATCAAACAGAGCGCAATACTTATCGTGTGGCGAAAGTACGCCCGTACATATAACAGTCGATGTGTCCGAGTCCCAGATGAATCATTGCTCAAGAAACGCTTTATACTGCAGATGCCACACGACGAGGACATTCTGCGTTGACTTACCTTTGAAGTTGTTGTCCTACCATATCAGACTGCAAAAGGTAATGGCGTGCACGTACTCACCATACAACTCTCCCTCATTGTCCCAGCTTGTCCACAACATAATCGTCGTCGATGAAAGCAAGTTGTCTCATCAGAAAGAGCACCACTCCTGTCATTGGCGGGGGAGCGACAGGGTACAAAGGCGCCATCTTCTTCAACATTGCGCGTTCGGTAAACGTCACTGCAGGTGCCCACCGCATTTCTTCATCCCGAAACTGCTTTTGTACCTCGTCATTCGTACGAGGGAAGTCCGGTGGCTCCTCGACGTCGCCAACGAAGGACATAATGTCGAAATCGAGAATCATGCCGTCGATGACCTGTTCTGATAGTAGCTGCGGCCGCTCGTCCGAATCATCGTCGAGCGTGTCATCTTTGTCGGGACACAGGAACGTGTCGTAGAGCCCGTCGACATCACGTTCACAGAGTATGCTGGCAAGAGGGTGTTGGGTTGTTGGGTTCGCGGTCGTGAATGAAGTCATCTCCCCGGGCCACATGTTCATATCGTGGAAAAGGCGACACTGCCAGTGCTAGAAAGGTGCGTCAGAATCGATACAGTGCTCATCTTTGGCACCAAATCGACGCGTACTTCAAGTTGAATGGTAGACAAGACGCATTGGCAAGCGAATCAACGCTGTGGGCAGTGGAGGTTGAAAGGAGCTGATGAAAGCATAGCGAATGAAACACTGAGCGTTGATGTCGCGTGCTCATCTTGTAGGTGTCTTTGGTGGCGCTGATTTAGGACAATGGATGAGCATAGTGTCCGGTGTGGTAAAATGAGGCATGACAGTGACACTCACTGAAAATGCAGTGTTTTCCGTCACGCATCAGCTAGAGTTGACTCAAAGGAATACTGCCGCGTGAGGTACGTTCTACATACACGTTGTACAAGTGGCGTGCCGTGACACGACACATTCCTGGTGACGCGACGCATTTGCATGCTCATGTTGAGATCCTCAGCGAGCACTTCCATTTCGACAGAGGCGATAATTGCTAGCCGAGCAAAATGTGATACTTGGCCCAGACAGACCGGTAGCATGAGCTCGAGAGCTACATGGTAACCCGGAAGTGACAGTAGGTGGAGAAGTCAAACAGGTTGAAACTTGTTACTCGGCCGGATCGTTGCCACTGTTCACGTGACAGAGACTTACAATAAACATCGCACACCGTGACAAGGAGTCAAGGAGTCAGTCAAGTTGGACATAGTACATGTTCTGGTAGCACCACCTATAAGAAGCGACAATAAATCCGAATGAGGGCCTTCTGTCAGTGGTGAGGTTCAGATGATGTGTCTGACTGAATACTTACCACGAGTCGCCGTAACAATCTGAACCGTCTGGAAGAATCGCAAACGGATACGCCTTTATCGTCGGACGTCTTAGATCAGTACTACTGCCCCAACGGTATAGGGTTGAACGACATACAGATCTGTCCGAGCCTAGGCAGCTTCACGTTCATATGCTCGGATCGAAGTTCAGGTTCTTGCCGATGCCTTCCCATTTCGACGCATTCTCCAAGAGCGTCTCGGAATACACCCGTGCCTGCGTGTATGTCGCATCTCCCAAAAGGAGCAAAGGAGGTAGCTCCAGGTCTTTGGCCTTCCCCTCGCCCCGCACGACATCGGTCAGAACCTCCATAGCCTTCGCCGGATCCCCTTGTGCGCGGCTCCAGTAGTTTGCGAGGAAGTTCAAAATATTGTCCCGAAATTCATTATATTCCTCGAGGGGAACATTCTGCGTGTATAGCTGCTTATCCTGGGTGGTGCGGAAGCCACCGGGGACGGCGAGGAGCACACGAATCCCAAACTGACCAACCTCAGCCGCAAGTGTCTCGCTGTAGGCTAATCAGGAGTCATGGGCTTATGAGGACGTGTTATCAACATTTCAGTCGACACCTACTGTGTATAGCGGCCTTGGATGCGATGTATAACCCCGCGGTCTGCACGTCAAGGGTGTGAGAGATTTGTTCGGGCTCGACTGCTGATGCGCCTACCGGTATATTGGCCTGCCAGACTGCTCTGCTTCCGACAAAGACGACCAATCCGGATTTGCGCGCGCGCATGTGCGGTAAGATAGCATTCGTGACCTTCAACACCCCGAAAAAATTCACGTCAAATTGTTTCATGGCGGCAGATAACCTGGATGTAAATGAGATTTTGATCGTACAGTCATCAGTTTGTAACCACCTACCCGCCCTCTTCAAGCAAACACTGCGAGACGTATCCTGCGTTGTTCACCAGGACGTCAATGCGTCCCCAGACATTCCAGGCTTCGGCTATCTTCTGGCGAACGCTGTCCTCGGGCACCGTAACGTCTAAAAGTAGGACATGGACGCGAGATGCGTCCGCATCCGACAGCGAGAAGTCTTCACGGCGACGCACTGTAGCAATGACGAGGTCGCCCCGTCCTAGGGCAGATGCGACCAGACTTTTCCCAAGTCCCGACGATGTACCTGCGGGTCACAATCGGATTAGACACTTGAAATCAATAGCTACATTCCGCGCGACCAATCCCACCGAGGCTGCGGCATGGATAGACAGACGAAGCCTCTGTGTAGCACGGGAGCTCAGAATGCCACACGTACGGATCGCGTAGATCTGCGTCATCGGGATGTATAAGAGACTCACCAGTGATGAGCCAAACCTTCTGCTCAGCGGCGGACATCGTGCGCGGCGAATCGATGATGAACAACTATTCTGTTAGTGAGATTCGTCAGAAGCACCACCCATGGGTGCGGTAGGTGTAACATAACCTCACGTATCAGGGGGAAGAATGATCCAACCTACTGGGTATACCGCAACACGGGCTGGTACTTGAGAGGGATAGAGCCCTCGACAAATGCCGGTGGAGACCGTCCGAAAGTTCCAAGAATCCCGCCTTGATAACCGCCCGGAGACAACAAGACGCCAGCGCAGCCCGAGTAGGCCGTACTACTGAATTCAAACAGTCACGGACGGTGCGAATCTACGCGATCGTAGTCCAGATCCCTCGAGACCCCCTCCCACTGTGACACATTCTCCGACAGCCTCTCGTTCAGCAGCGTCGCCTGCGTGAACGTCGGCTTCCCTATGAGGAGCCACGACGGCGTCGCCATCCCCTCCGCCTTGCCCTCTCCCTTGATGGCGTCCACAAGGACCTCCATCGCCTTCGCCGGATCACCCTGGGCCTGCTTCCAGCGCTCCTGCATCGCGTTGAGTATCTCTTCGCGAAACCCATCATAGTCGGAGACGTGGTGGTTCATCGTGTAGTCCCCATCCAGCTGGCTCGTCCGGAAGCCGCCCGGGATCGCGAGGAGAACGCGGATGCCGAATTGCGCGACCTCGGCAGCAAGCGTTTCACTGATGGCTGGAAGAATTCGTTGTCCGGTCCTGTGCCGGTGTAGAAAACGCAGAGGGCGACGTACCATGTATAGCTGCCTTGGAAGAAATATAAGACGATGCGACCTGCGTCTCTGCTAGTGAGTCGTTCGTCGCGCGGCGCGGGGATACACTCAGTCGAGACGCACGGGTGTGTTAGCCTGCCAGACGACCCGGCTTCCCAGAAACACGATGAGCCCCGACTTCCGTTGGCGCATGTGTGGCAGGACGGCGTTTGTGACCTTCATCGTGCCAAACACATTGGTCTCGTATTCCGCTCTCATGAGTTCTAATCTAGTGTCCTATCAGGGACGTGTATTTGTATGCCAATATAGAGCGAAGCACGCACCCGCCCTCCTCCATTAGGGCCTTAGTCGAAGCGCGACCAGCGTTGTTCACTAAGATGTCAACACGCCCCCAGACCACCCAAGCCTCACCGATGAGCTTGCGGATGTTCTCTTCGGAGTCGGTGATGTCCAGAATCAGTACTCGGAGTCGGCCCTTCTGCTCCTCCGTCAACGCGAGATCGTCGAGGCTGCTTGGTTTTCGCACTGTTGCGACCACGCAGTCACCTCGGCTGAGAACGGAAGTGACAAGGCATTTCCCTAGACCTGAAGATGTGCCTACAGGAAGAACATGATAAGCATTCGGATTTGATGAAGATGCGTTCCTGAGCAATGCAACTCACCAGTGACAAGCCATACTTGGGCCCCACTATTCATTTTATTTCTCTGCGTCCTCGTCCTTGCGAGAAACTGTCCACGCACTAGTTCCAGTGAGCGGATCGACACCAAGTATTTCTGTCGCCGTTGTGCTTATATCCACTAATGCTGCGCGTTTCATCGCGATCAAGGACCATTAGCCTCTTAGCGTTGCAAAATTATACGAGCCAGCACGCATGTTGTGGGGGGATCCATCTGTGTAGGCGAAGTGAGACAACGGGGTGGGCGCGCCGCTGATCCACACAACGCGTGCATTGCGCGTGCATATCAACCGACCTCGAGGCGACTTCGTCAGAATTCCTTGTCTTCCGAAAAAACAGGCACATACCTCCGACGCATTGAAGGGAGACCTCGGATCTTGCGTTCAGCGCTAGGCAGGTTTCAGTTGTAACGCTACTAGCGGTGATGAGGATGACCGGGAAACGACCGTCCAGCACGATGCATCACTGGTGCGCCCAGAGGGCTAGTTACTCAGTGCTGTTCAATACGTGTTCAGAAATGAGTTGTGGAAGACGCGCGACGCATTTGCGAACCCCTAGTAGCTGGGGTGACTAAATGGAATTACCTCCTCCTCCTCCTCCTCCTAGCGACACGGTCACGTGTACCGTGCCGCTGTTCTTGATTTCTTCCTCCTCCTCGCAACTTGAATGACCTTGACCGAATCAGATACCACGACGTCGATGACATTTACATCCCCAACTAAGCCACAGCTCACTGCATCCTACATCCTATGCACCGATGCTGCAGTCTTGTACATACAAGGCGCCGGGCGGCGATGCCCAGAAGAGCCTGAGCCGCACACGTGGATCGCTTCGTGCACACGTTCCCACCTGTCAAACCGTCATGTAAGTACTAGTGTCCGTAGCTCGCGCATATCCTGTTCTCGAAGTCAATCGTGTGTGTCTGTTTATTGCAGCGTCATACTGGTCTGTGCGCATGCGACCTGCCGCGGGCCTAGAATGACAGTCTCTTCGGGTAGACGGGCACACCCCGTGAACTAAACAGTGTTCACTATAGCCTGCGTAGACGCCTCGACGTACTTACTTCTTGATTTCTTGTCTGACTAGCACGTATGAGTACATATAATACTTACTCGCAGTCGTAACTTATAAGAATCTGGTTTGTCGCTAAGCATGGGATTAGGCTACCGTGACCTACAGTGCAGACCGACCTACCTATGACCCGTGCTGCATTCCATGAAGAGGATCCAGCTTCAACAGCTTCACTTGAGGCAACGAGTCGTGCTGGTTATCCGCATCCATGTCCTCGGGCTCCCGTGCGATATCGGGCACGTTCACCACGATGGATGTGAGCATGTGTGACGTGTGTTGCGAGGCAAACCGCAGCTCGTCTGTGGTGTTTCCGGTTCGCCTTTCGGCTACGCCCTGCGGGAAGGCCAGGCGGGCTTGAACGATGATGAGCCCGAACGTGAGTCCCGCGACAGCAGGCGAACAATCACGCGCCACGAAACGCGCGTCGCTCTGAGTTTCGTAGGACACACAGTAAAAGACGGCCCATCCTCTGTCGAACTGTTGTCTGCATGAACTACCTCAGCCGTCGAGGGTACGCACGTGTAGATGCTTGCGCTCTCGATGAAGATGACGAGGGCCTTCTGTTTGCGGGTCAAGTGAATCAGCCGGCGGGTGCGACCACTAGTACACTGCTTCTCACCGTGATGACATTGGTGGCGTCAGGTTGGAGGCCAGCTTTGATGAGATTACATTCCGAGACAACAAGTCTGCCTGCGATGAATGCTGTCGTTGAAGTGAACGGGGTCAGCGCAGGTGTAAAGCAGCAAAAGGACAGTTGACTGAACTCATGCAATATATGTTGAGACTGAGGGACGAGGTCAGTCGTCGGAATGAACTTTCTAGATCTGCACGGGGAGTACTTACCAGAGGGTACCGACGAAAGTAGCCGAGACCCATTTCCATTGTGAGGTCCCTGGTTCGTTTGCAGAATTTCGCAGGTTGGTTGTCACGTAAATGGTGCCTGCGCCGGACACTGCAGTACTTCAGGAGTCAGTAAGGCGCCGAAGGCCCGTCGTGTCTTAGAAGGTAAGCCTCACCAATTGTGACAAGTAGTGCACAGATCGGTATCACAACGACAGTCCTTCGGAAGGCCCAGATGATCTAGAGACGATACACCTTTCACAAGCAAAGGATGTCAATGTTGGTTACCGCCGTACGCGAGATACGCGACAAGACACTTACACAGACTGCATCGGTTATGATGATGCAGAAAAGCAGTAATGTGATGTCAGCTACTGAGAATGGTCTGTCGAGATAGTCCTTGAGATAGTCCTCGGGTGCTGAGCCTCCCTTGTACGTCACCTCCGCTTGGAACAAGCGTACAACGCTGACGATCCAGTGCTGTTCAAGGCGAACTCGTCTCAGTCACGCAAGGATAATGCGGACTGAGTAGACCTACAGCAGTCATACCTAGTAGCAGACATAATCCAGCTATGATCATAGGAATTCCTCGCGCGAATGAAGGCCGTTTTGTTGTAATTCTTCCTGCGCGTGTGCGGTTTTGATCCCAGAGCAACCATACCGAGGTTATGCATATGAGGAGGGATGGGCCATATAGTAGGGTTTCGATGATCGCACTTGTGAGCGTGGGGGGAAGTATTCTCGAGGAATTCATCGAGATGCGTATTGAGTGAGGTCCTGTCGAAACGGTGAGAGCGGGGAGCAAAGATGTGCTGCATAGCACCTTTAAGTATCCGACTGACAGACTGAGAAAGATCAGTCCGCATCTGGTCCGCATCGCATCATATCATATCATTGACAGTGGACAGATGTAGGTGCGAGTCTACGCAATCGAGCTTTGGGTCCTTCGAGATCCCCTCTCACTGGGACATGCTCTCCGACGGCCTCTTGATCAGCAGCGTCGCCTGCGTGAACGTCGGCTTCCCTATGAGGAGCCACGACGGCCCATCATCACCCCCTCCGCCTTGCCCTCTCCCTTGATGGCGTCCACAAGGGCCTCCGTCGCCTCCACCGGGTCTCCCTGGGTCTGTTTCCAGCGTTCCTGCATCCCGTTGAGGATCTTCTCGCGATACTCGTCGTATTAGTCGGGGACGTGGTGGTTGATGGTGTAGCGCCGGTCCAGCCGGTCCGTCCGGAAGCCGCCTGGGATCGCGAGGAAGTATTAGTACGCCGTTAGCGTTGCAACTTGTGAAGGCGAAGCAAAACATCGAGGTGGGCGAGCCGTTGATCTACACCACGCGTGTACAGCTAGTGCTGTTCGATACATATTCAGAACCGAGTTCAAGTTGTGAAGCGGGCGCGAAGCCGCGCGACACGCGTCCCTGAGTGACACGATCACGTGTACCGTGCCGCCGCCGCTCAGGGTCGTCCGACTTTGACTCTGAGCTCGCTGCCAGTGCCCGTCGTACAGCTCATTATCCACTAGCCTAGCGTACTGTCAACGATGACCTTGACCGACCTAGACAACATCGGTGAAATCTGCACTCCCAAGCCACAGCGCCCTCTGCATAGGCTATCCCACTGACCTGCGCCGCACTTACACCTGCAGCTGACCAGCACCGACACTCTGCCACTCTGACCTTCTGCTCAAGCCCACGGTGCGTTCCGTGCGAGCTCGACATCTCTGGGCGCACGCACTCCTCGGGGACTGAGACTCGGAGCCTCTCGACACGGATCGAGTCGCGTGGGCCGTGACGCAGACCCCCAGCGGATCCTGCTCTGCGACGTGTTCTAGAAGGACGTCCCAAGGGAATGCATCTGGCGACTCCACATCCAATCCGCCGCTGGTGGCCATGACGTGGGACTCGACAGCAGTGCACGGAACGCGTCCATACGTATAAATAGCTCGGCGCGCACTCGCCCTCGCATGTCTGCTGCTCTGACCGATACCACTAGCATGGCTCTGCAGGCCATCCTCGACCACCTCGACGCCATCGCGCTGCTCTGTGCAGAGCTCCAGCCGCCTCTCACCTCAGCAGATGCTCGCGAACTGGTCTCTGTATGCAACCGCCGCTCGGTCCTCTATGATGTCGTCTCCAAGATTCTTGCGACCACCAAGGAACACGGCGACGCGTCCAGCCATCTGCTCAAACGCGAAGACTCGTATGAAGAGGAGCGCAAACACGATGTCCAGGTCGACTCGGAGGAGCCGCGCAGCGAGTCTCGCATGCACGTCGACCGTGACTGCAAGCCGAGCAGCGAGGAGCATGCTCCACGCGAGAACGAAGATATCGAAGACGACACCGCTTACGAGGAGCCGCGCGACACGAGCCTCGACATCGACCCGAAGCAGGCCACTGTCGCCCTCCGCGTCACGCACATTCTCACCAGTCTCGGAGCCCACCCGCCCTCTCTCCCCGAGGTCGCAGAGGTGCTCTTTGGTGACCGCCTCAAGCTCAGAATCGCCGACCTCGAGGACCGTGCGTTCGCCCGCCTCCTGCGCGGCCTACCACACGCTTCGCGCGACGACTGGGTAAGCAGCGCATATATGTCCCGGGCAGCCCTGGGCCCGAAGCCTGACGTGCCGCCTCCAGGCCAACGTGTTTGGTGCTTTCGCCGACAGCGCCGTCACCACCGCAAACATCGTCCTCCACTCTGCCGCGCACGACGACATAGCGAGCATCACGCAGCGACTGGAGATGCGCCACAGGGTGCGTGCTACCGGGGACGCGGCTATATGCGTCTCTTTGACGAGCCCTCTAGGCCCTAGTGTCGACAGAGATGGGGCACGCCACCAACAACGCCGTCTCCTTCGTCCTCCTCCAGATCGAGACCATCAAGTTCGCCACGGACTGGCAGGCGCGGCACGCCCGCCCCGGCGGCAAGAAATGGATCAGCACGTTCTTCCGCACGACGTTCATGCAAGACCCTGCGTTCGCCCCCGAGTTCGAGGGCCTCGCCGAGCCCGCGAAGGCGGCGAAGCTCACGCAGCTCGCGGCGCGGTTCGCGACGTGGCGCAACACCGCCAGGCACACCGTGACCACGCGCAACCGCCTCCTCAAGCTGTACAACACGGTGAGCCACCCCCACGCTCCCCACGCTCCCCCCGCTCCCGCGCGACTCACGCCGTGCATCTGGCATGCAGTTCGGTCCGGGCGTGCTCTTGGACCCGATATGGGCGGCGGATAGGCTCGTCCGTGGTCGCTCGCGTGTGTTCGTCCCCGTCCTCGACGCTATATCATCCCACATCCGGCTGGCAGACCCTACCGTCGACGCTTCGGCCCCGCATGCTCTCCAGGCCCTCGTGGACATCATGACCGTCCTCGGCAGGGCTGCCATAGGAGCACACGTGGACCGCTTCGTGCACGCGTTCCCGCCTGTCAAACCGGGCCCCGACGACTCGGACGTCGTGTAGTGTCTGTAACTCGCGCGGGTCCTGTTCTCGAAGTGAATGGTGTGTGTCTTGCTGTGCCTTCGTGCTGGTTTGCACGCGTGCAAACAACTGTTACAATCGTCGAAATGCAAACGCGCCGTGTGCCACGCGCGACGACGACGACACAGACGTTGCGCAAGAGCATGCGCCCTACGGCCGACTGGAGACGTCGAATTCGTCACCAGGGTGGCTCAACGGTGATTGACATATCTTATGACGTGATCGACAGCCAGAGCATTCGCGGGCGGCTGCCACTGGCATCCGTACGACTCATGTTCGACACGCGCCGAACATCGCTGTTTCGCATTCTACATGTGAGTTCCAACGCGGCGAGAGCTACAAAATGGGAAGGCGCCGTACGCTGTCATCCGTGGTCAATTGCAGCTTCGTCCAGCGATGGCTCGACGCGGACCACTTACATACCCTCTGGACAAGGCTCGCCATCCTACTCTGACATCTTTGCCTTCGCAGCGGTCAACCATCGCCAAATCCCTCCTGTGTCTGCGATATGCAAAGTCGCGTCTGCGAATTTCCTACTTACTGGTCCCTCGCATACAGAGGTCTTCCTTGCTGCCCCACTGCGCCACCGCCGGGTGCAACGATGTACAGCCATGTTGACTATATGCACCCTGGTAGAGTGAGCGAGAGTGTTTAGTCGGGTGCCTCGCGAGTAGGGCTATGTAAAGAAGACATGCCACGATGCTTGAAGCTTGACCTCTTGCTTTTGGGGTCGAGAAAGGCCGAAGCGAACAATGCCCTGGGAGGAGCCCCGGCCTATTGCCGTCGGAGAGCTGGAGCCGTTTATCAGAGGCTATCCAGATAAAACATCAAGACCAGCTCTGGTTGTGAGCTACGTGCATACAAGAGGATCGCGAAAATGTACGTACATAGAGCACCTCGCTCAGAATCGAGGCGTGTCCACCAGCGCCGGCGCGGATGCACGAACGAACACGTACCTGGACTACCTGCGGCTACGAGACATCGGACACGTTTCGCAAGCTTACGCGATTAGTTCCAAATGGAATTAGCTGCATGATATGCATTAATCGCTACCGTTGTTGCGAGAGTCGTATAGCGGCCTACTGGTGAGTGCCGCAGACGCGTCTGTGGCGGAGACGCGGCTCTTGCCGAGGCATCCGCCGGCACCGCTCATGCTGAACGACTCGCACCAGGCCGCTCACTCGCTGGGTACATTCTCCACTCCCAGAATTATCCCCTTGCTCGACTCAATTACCGCCTTCTGTGTACAGCATCTGCAAACCACCCACGGCTTCCTTCGAAGACCGTGCTTGAACGCGAACCGTCAACCTCGCCTCTGGAGAGCCTGCATTGACTCTAGTAATCGGTGACTCTGCACTCTTGCTCCGAATTGGACTCGCTGCACGTATCTACATTGCTGGCAAACACACTCTTGTGACCTCTCACACCACCATTGCGCCATGCCTTGATCTGGCGAGCGATTGGGTAGGACGTAGAGAAGGGATCATCTTGTGAGCAGATACATTCGGCATCTCGTACGCCTACGCTGTAAGTCGTACTTGCTCGCTTCCCTGACTGCCCCCTACTCGCGTGCGAATATCTGCGACCATGCCTGCGGCGCTCCATACGCAGCATCGTGTTCAGTCGCGCTGACGTCGCCCGCATACACGGCATCCCCGTGCTCACGGGTTGTCGTATGTAGACGTGGCTCTCATTCTTTTCGTTGTCTTTCCGACTAACCATTCCCTCCCAGAACTCACGGACGCGTACACCCACTCAACCTCGCTACACAGTAACTTCCAAGGCCTATTATCAAGCTTGTCGCCAGCCAGTGCACCGTCTGTCCCGTTTTCCCACAAACGACCGAAGACACACGACTCAACGTATTCAACTCCTAGGAGTACATCGTCGATGACTCAAGCTGGCGGTCTCTCCCCTGTGCAGAAGAGTACGACACGGTTGCCGCTGAGCTCACGATGTCGTCAGTGCTGGCCGCGGCACTCTCGGTGAGCAGTGTTCTCATTCGTGGTAGACCCAGACATGAGCCAGACCCAAGGCGTCTGGTTGATTCTCGCCGACTCTATTTCTCTTCACTGCGCCTGCAGTTCGCGCTCGCGATTGGCCCCTCACCATGCATCCCAACTCCAGACGAGAGAACACTGCTACGGTGTCGTTCATCCCTTGAAGAGCGTGGAGTGTTCCTGCTCCTCCGAACTGAGCCAGTTGACTCGGTCGGTCGTGCCCCTAGCGTGCCGCGCCGTAGCACGCGCGCGTCTTCACCTCACCCTCCGCACGCAATCCTCCGTTACGCGCACAGACCTTACCCGAGCATGTCGAAAGCTCGAGCTGGCTCTCTTGTCCGCGCAGGTGGTAAATGAGGCATCTGTATCGCCGTAAGCATCCAGTCTGAGGCATAGAGGAGGTAATATGATCATACATGGTCTCACCGACCGGGATGTTATTGTCAGAGGGCGCCTGCAGCAGCGCCACGATCATCACCTCCTATGGACCGGGTAGTCGGAGACACAGCAGCGACGGATGGATAGGGACTACGTGAGTCCATCCCGCATCTTGAGTTTGACTACGAACTGACAGACGAATCATTGTTGCGTGACGATCGTGCATACTCAGCCTCGCGCCGCTGAGACTCGATGATCATACGTCGTACGGAAGACCTCAGTAGGCAAGTTTGAAACACGGTATTGACAGATGGATGCCAACGAAATCATGTGGTCAGACAGGAGCCAGGACAGTGGTCGTCCATCGATGCTTTGCCAGTTGCTAGTATCGAGTTCCGCCGCTGCACCCCAATGTGAGTTTCTTTGATTGACGTGCAACAAGATGTACGTGTATGCGCGGTATCGTTGACGAGTACGGGATAGCGCTATAGACTCCATGAGCATCGAAGCGACCATCGCTTCACAGCAAAGGTCTGGCTCGACAGCGCCGGGATACTAATCGCTCGCATTCAATCAGCGCCGCATTGCTTGTGACGCAATGCCAGTTGCGCGAGTCGAGTTATACGCGCCGAAGGACCTGCCGCTCATTTTTTGAAAGATCAAGATGCGTAGGTTTGTCGTCCGGATCTTGTAATATCAGGTGAGCCACGCGCTCGCTGCCTTACTTTCAAATCACTACTGCGGCTGTTCGCGCGGTGCGTCAGCACCACTTCACCGCCCTATATCTCGATACCTGGAAATGGTACAGTCTGACGCCGCGGCTGCGGCGCGCGCTGTATATGCTACGTTCATGACTTTAAACACTTTTAGTGTGGCCTTTCTCACAGCGAATTGAGCTCGTTCCTTGTCGCGTTTTCCTAACCGCGCAGCACGGTGAACCGCCTGTCGCGCGCTACAACCCAGGTATCGCCGGCATTGTATGGAATGTGCATGCAGGGGGCTGCGATACACTGGGTCACCAGGAGTGAAGCTTAGGTTACTTCGATATAGTCGATCCTTTGGCGCGGAACCAGCGATGATGAAGATGTCCCACTGCTAATGCGTCTCACGTCATTATACGGTTCAGATCACCAGATTGACGTGGCCACTGGCGAGCATGACCACACCTCAGCACTGTTCGTCAACTGTCATATGTCAGGGCTCGGTGAGCGTACTGTCATTGGCTGCATGCATGGTATTTGGTCTGACACGTTTTAGAGGTCTAAGTCTCAGGCTCTTGTCGAAACATCGAACATCTGCTTAACAAGTCATGTGTGTTGTATGCACAATGGGAGCAATGCAGAGCCGGGTTGTGGCTGATGCGTCCGATTTGTTGAGTGTCTTGTACATGCCTTCGAAAGATGTGGATGCTACTGGCCGGGCTATGACAGGGGCTGTGTTGGAGTTTTCGGATCTTCTGCTCAATAGCATTGTGACCGCAGTCCAATCACACACTCTGATGCAACCACCATCACATATCATATGGAATATCCAAATATGTGAAGCATATGTCATGCCACTGATCAATGGATGCTGACGATGGTTTACTGTCACTGTTGATCAGCTAGTGAATTTGATATCTGCCACTTATCCCAGGCAGCACAACAGCTTGCTGTGCATTCAGCGACCCCTGCTGTGTTGGTATAAAAGCATGCAGGGTTTGTTTTCAACCATAGCACCCACCTCCCAAGACTGACAGTATGAGCAACAGCACCTCTGAGATCACACAGCAAGCTCAGGAAGCACTTGACATTGTGTGAGTGATCACTTGTCCTATTTATTGGTGTCTAGTTACCCATCATCCATGGTGCCTTCAACAAAAGGTTTGCTGAGAACTGTGCATACATTGCATCACTCTGTGAGTACTGGCTTCCCATGGCATACTTGAAGAAACTAAAGAGAATAGGCTTTTATTTGTATGACTTTTGTCTTACATTGGACAGCCATATCAAGTTCCTATTTGGCCGCAAGCTGTCTATCCCATCACTGCTACTTGTGCTTCTACACTTGTCCAGTGCCCTCTGTATCATTTCTGACATTGCCTCACAATTCACCTCAAGTTGCAAGGTATGTCTGAGCCATAATTATACCATATACAATAGTATTCACTGATAAGATGATTTGCAGAGGTGTGGTCAATGAGTGGCAGTCAATGGACTTGTGGGCTCATGTCCTCTTATAGTGGATTAGTCCTGAACCAAATATTCTTTGGTGCTTCTACAACTCTGAGTACAGTCACAACAGGTACAAATATAACTCAATCAGCAGGTTATGCTGACCTGACATCTACTCCCCAGCAATCTCAGCTCTACGTGTTTATGCTGTCAATGGGAGGCATTGGCTACTTCCCTCAATCATTGTTGCACTCTGTACACCAGGAATTGCATATAGTATTGTGGGTGCTACATGTGCCTATAGATATGATTTGCTTACATTGTCAGCATATGCAGTATTCAATAACAAGTGAATATGCAATATTTTATCCTCAAATTGGCTGTTATCTGGCAGCCCGCAACAGAGAGGTTTTGAATGAGTATGTCTTGTACATATCATTATTCTGGGAAATTGTTTTTGATGGTGATCTAGATGTAGGCAGGGGGCTTCCTGTGTCATGCCATGCACAACTGATATATCCCACCCAAGTCAACATTGCTGTTACAGTCACTTCTCTGGTAGCAGAGGTCCTTGTACTGGTGGCAACATGGTATCATACATTCACACTCAAGAGGCTGGCCCACTCCATTGGTCAGGAGGCCACACTGGCAACTTTGTTAACACGAGATGGTTTGTTCAGTACCACTACTACTGTGTAGACTCATGCTGATATGGCCCCAGGATCTATTTATTTTGGGTAAAGTTCAGAATGATCATCAACTTGAACACATTGAGAAGCTCAATTTTTTCCTCTTTGTAGTGCATTATTGCTTGTAAATATATTTGGGATTGTGGGTGACTATGTAGTGGTATGTGTCTGGTTCCTATGTCCCACTCAATGTGTATATATTACTGACTCACCCTTTTACAAAATAGGTATTCCAGATTATTGATACCTTCTCTGCCAGGTAAGCCCTCTCCAAATGTATATTCATGCTGCTCATTCCACTTGTGTTCTCTATCAAAACATATTTTTCTGTCAGTTTCACAGCAGTGATACTCTCACATTTCTTCTACAATCTCAAGAATACAGCAAACCCATCCCAGGGAGTAACCTCAGCATCCATGACAGAGCTGCATTTCACAAGGCCAAATGATCTTGGTGGCTCAGTCATGCTCAATGAAGATGAAGATAGTGTTGTGGATGAAGACATATATTCAGATGAAAATTTGGGAGGTGAAGGAACCCCAGATGTGGTAGATGGACAGGAAGGCATTATCCACAATGTTGATGAGATCTAAGCATAACATATTTGTTACAAGGCGCCATGTTACGTACATTTCATTTCCTTTTACTTTGTATCTCTAACCACCTTGCGTGCACAAGGACCGGTTATGTACTTTACCGCACCTGGACTATCATATCATTCATATGATAACTGACTCGTTTCTTTGTCATGATTACCATTTCCTTTGTCAGCAATGACATATCCTGACTCATGTCTACTGTACGCTATGACTCAGACTCTTTCACTTGTATATATATACCTGTACAGTAGGGGTCGGACTCTTCAGTTCGACCTGGTTAGCAATCAACACTAGCTTTCTCATACCACTACTGCTTTGGAACTCGACTAGGATGAAGGGACTTGCATCCTTCCTAGGTCTAAGAACAGAACCCTTCTTCGAAGTTAGTAGACTTGTCAAGCTTGTGGCTTGTAGTGTTCCACTCGCCCAGCTTCGTGTAACAATATTGAATGTATAGGCTTCACACAGCTGTGGCATCCTATGGACAGCAGGACATATATGACCTGGGCTGGTAGTACTACTTAATTTGTAGTCTTGCTTAGATACTCTGTGTGATTATGCATTCTGTCTGTGACTCCTGATTGCATGTCCATAGACTTTACCAGTGTATCCTGGGATTGTTAATGTGTTTTGCACTTCTTTGATTAGGACAGAATATTTCACAAGATGTCCGAGTCATGACATTCTTCTGGGTAAAGTCCAGTCATACTTATACTAGCACATATCTCAACAACTTTGGGACAATGTAAAGCTAGAGTCATTTGTGAATCTTCAGAGCCAGTTGGACAGCCTCTTTCCACCAGTCATCATGAGCACTAAGCACATATCATGCTGTACTGAGCAGCTCAATGATATTCATCAACACCCAACTGAGGATTGATGTACCCAAACAAAAGAGTCGTGCTATGTCTCACGACAGGGTGTGGCTCCCATACCACCGCCCATGGGGCAACTTTCTGACCGAAGCCATAGGAGTGACATTACTGCCAATGACCCCACCCGAAATACCCGCCCACATGGAAAGCGGTGGTTGACAGAAACACATTGTGTCCCCGTGTCATATTGCAGCACGCGGATCGCAGTATCCTTGTATGCTCTTCTGCGAAATATCAAACACGAAGCTCGCGCCAGGAGATCTCGCAAATAGCGAGATGCCCACATCTCATGCGTTCAAGTCCGTTGGCTTTCGTGTGATCCGGGCATGTCCTGTATCCGCTGAGTCCTCGCTGCGAGGGCCTCACCATGCACAAGATGGTTGAGTAGCGCTTTCGTAGGACCATGCGAGCAGGACAAGAACTGATAGGGCAGGGCGATATAAATATTCATCCCGAGCTTTGCATGCGGTCCTACGAGGCATCACACTCCGCCCATTCCGATGTCACTAGATGCGAGTGCACACAGGGGGTGGATAAGCGAGTCAAATAGGCCCAATACGAACAGGTAGTGCATCACGCCCGTCTAGAGGTGAAAAGAATAGCGGTAGCATACCCCGCCGCCCGGGTCTGGATCCGTGATGAGGCAGCGCGGAGTCGCCGCAAGCGGGAAATCGGCGAAGACGGATAGAAGTCCAAGGCGATGTTTCGGTGCGGCACTCCCTTGAACCCAACGTTGTGAATGCTCACCTGTGGTACAATCGACACGGACCACCTCACATATCCAGCAACACCAGTATATAATCCTCCTACCCAGGACAGACATCTCAGCGGAGACTAGGCAGAGGGGTGCTCATCAGCATCGAGTGCGTGTGGCGTTGGCGACTTGCGAGACATACGGAGCGGAGGGCGAGCGAGACGAAAGATATGTATGAGCATTCGGAATAAGCACCGATACTGCGCGCATAAAAGGACATGTTCAGCCCCCGAACTACTCATTGAGCAGACCCGTGGGCGCAGACTCAGGTCTGAAGTGCGGACGAGAGACGCTACTTACAGCAAAGCGACGCCCAGTGTGTGCATGTCGCCGGATCTGTTCATAGAGGCGAAGAGCTTGTGAGGGGCATATCTGTTAGAGTCGGATTAGAATCTACGGGCTTCATGATTGTCCGATAGATATCGAGCCATGAGATGTACTGTACGCAGGGGCGACAGCACATGAACGGGCGCAATGGTCAGGTCGAAACTGGACAAACAGGACTCACCGTGTGCACAGACCAAGCGGGTGCGCCGTCAACATCGTAACATGTTCCTCCATCCCATAACACTGTTCTCCGAGTGATGACGCTGCGCGTTGACGACGAAGACACGGCAAGTGGTTGAGAATGGAGAGTCGAAGGATGCGGCCATTTGACGGCTCGGCAGCAGTATATCCCCAGTGCTGGTGACAATGTATAATGTCTGCCCCATTCTTCTGCTTCACGGGCCGTCTCTGCAGGTGCCTTACGAGAGCGGAATTCAGTCCGGCTCGGGAGTGTATCTGGGGCGACGTAAGCACGGCAAGAACGGGTATGTGCGCGTGTGAGCACAAACTGACAGCGAATAGAGTAACTGCTACATACGTTAGGATCACGCTGCGCGCGCAGATGCGCCGTTGCTTGCTTCTGTCCCTCTGTCCCACAGAACAGCCGGCCGACTGAAATATGCGCGATGGTGGCGAGGGACATTACATCGCGATTCGCGACACACGGCGTGCGAGTGTGTTGGAGCTTGCACTACGCTGGTGAGGAGAGCCAAGGATGTCATAAGTGCATAATGCGAGGCGGTCGAGAAGTACGAAAAATAGACGAGGGCATGTTCAACAGCAGCGGCGGGGACGTTCAGCCCAAACGGTGAATGCCGAGAGGAGTGCCGGCGGAAGCCGAGCTTCAGCCACAGACGCGTTCCACACGCTCCAGTGGCAGTCCACTTCCCTTGCAACATTGCGTACAGTCTCTGGCTAACCGAATCTGCGTGCGCGAAAGGAACGAGCTCAACGAACCGTCCGACTTGTGGTTCAGGTACGCGTTTGTGCCGCTCCGGGTATGCAACTCGCAAAGTCGTGATTCTCGATTCCAGTCATCTGCTCCGGCTAGCAATCTAATGCCTGTTCTGCCTACATCAAGCAAGCGCAAAGCTCGGGATACTTGAGGTGGTCATGCTCGGCGCACTGACCTGCACTGACTTTGAGGATCTCCGACGGTGGAGGTTAGTCGCTCACGACGTCAACCAACGCTTGTTATTGTTCACTAGGAAATCGACTTTCACTCTGCATCCGCCGCCTGTGACAAGTTACATCTGACGCGATGGCAACACTGGCACGCCGTATCAATGCGGCGAGTAACGTTTCTATCTTTTCAGGAATCGACCATTGCTAATAGTACAACATGTGTAGAGTCCATTCCTCCGACTTCCTAAACCGCGACGTCGATTCGTACATGTTCACTGGACACCAGGAAGCTTGCGACCTACACAACGGACGAGTTACGCATCAGCATCCGCCAACGTGCGAAACGGTCCGTCATACGCACCAGTATGCTTGTTGAACTGCTTGTTGATGAAGTCGCCCGCGCTGTCGGCCTGGGTGTCTTTCTATTCCCCGCAACTTCGTCAGCACCCGTCACCTCCTCGCCACACCAGACAGTACTCACTACATTGTAGCCGACCTTGGACCCGATCGACTCGATGCCCTTATCGAGCCAGTCCTGCTTCTCGCCCTGGGTCTGGCCTTGCTGCTGGCCCTGGCCCTGCTGCTGACCCTGCCCTTGCGAGTACTGCTGACCCTGGCCCTGGCCCTGCGAGTTCTGCTGGCTCTGGTCGTCGTTCCCGCCGTAGCCGCCCGAGACGCCCGAGCCGAACGCGCCCTGTCCGCCGCCCATGCCGCGCTGCGGCTGCTGCTGCTGGCCGCCGCCGCCCTGCATGCTGTCGTACGTGCTGCCCTGGCCCGTGCCCTGGTCGCTGTAGTTGTCGGTGTTCTGGGACTGTTGCCAGTTCGAGTTGTCCATGGTGGTGGTGGGGGTGATGTGCGTGGGTGGGGGTCGTAGGTTTGGGTGGGGTGAAGAGGTGGGTAATTGGGAGTCTGCACTGGCAGCGGCGACTTATATACGCGTTGGATGTGGTGGTTACATCATACTTGTGGAGATGTCAGGGCGGGCCAGGGGAGCAGGTTATGGGCCGTACTAGGCAAGTGGCTTGCCATATCGGGGAACGCCCTCGCCGGTCGGACGCCCCTGGCCGACTGGCGCACACTTGCGCTGCGCAGTGCGCGCAGACCTGCGCCCCATGACGTCGTATGGGGCATGACGGTGCCGGTATGTCGTCGGAAGATAGTTGACGCCTAGGCTGTGGGGCCGCCGTATAAAAGCAGTGTATAGCACTCGCCGGTGGCTGTGATAGAGCACTCGGAATTGTCGGCTTTCTTAGACCAGGACATGAGCTGTGCACACAAAGATCACTCGACTCTGCATCGTCAAAACTAATAACGTACAGAACATCACCATCGCTCATGTTCCACCTTGACCTTCGAACACGATAACGTTACGCATAAACAATCCTCATCCCTCCAGCCTACTTCGCCTCGGCGACGGTCCCGCACTCGGGGCACTTCCGGACCGCGTCGTTGTTCATCCAGTTCTGGATGAGCGGCTTGAGCTGCGTGCCGAGGTCGCTGCAGTAGAACGAATCCTCGCGGATGACCGTGGGGGTCGTGTGTGCCGGTGCCTTGCAGTACCAGCGCAGACGGTCTGCGTCGACAGCATATCAACGCACGCTCTCAGGGGGGCGCGTGAATAGCAGACTCACCAGTCGCGTCGGCCGGGCGCACGCGCTCGACGACGAGCCCGATGGTGTTCGCGAAGCGCACGGGGTTGTGCGGGGTGTTCGCTGCCGCATACAGCCGTCAGCGGACGGAACTCCTGCTCATCGCGCGCAGAGGGACGCACCCGGAAGCAGGAACATCTCGCCCTCCTCAATCCTGATGTCCCTAAACTCGCCGTCGTCCACCACGCGCAGGAGCATCCCGCCCTTGTGCTGGTAGAACCACTCCTACGTCGCCGGGTCAGCGCCGACCCCAGCTCGTGTGATGGCCTGCGGCGCACGCACCTCGGTCTCGTTGACGTGGTAGTCGTTGCGCTCGTTGGGCCCGCCGACGACCATGATCACGTAGTCCTTGCCCGAGTACAAGCAGAAGTTGTTCACCGGCGGCTTGAGCAGGTGCCCGTTCTCCGCGAGCCACTTGGGGAAGTTGATTGGCGGTGCGATCGGCATCGTTGTGTACTGAGTTCTTTCAATGCGGTTGTGAGCTGCGGTGTACTGCTGCAATGATCCTCGCCGCGCGACTGCGTCGAGGAGGATGCGGAGAGAGAGATACGGTGAGAAGTGGCTGAGCCATTCGGAGAGTGACTAAGACTCAGAGGCGTCCTGCGAACGCGGCCCAGAGTCGTCGATCGGGATGTGCGAGCATGACGATAGCAAGCCCCGCCGGCCACGTGCACCCTTGACGCGTCGCGACGCGTCTGTGGCGTGGGGTTCTGCCTATGCAAGTGGTCTCATGCAAGGACCCTCCAGGTGCGGCGTGAGGTTGACTCTGCTTTTACCGAGGCACTATTCAATCCTAGCTGACACATCAAGACAAGTGCCTTTTCCCGCCATGCGTCGTCGAGCCCGGAGGGTTCCGCACGACGCGCCGCACTCCCTCAGGCTCCGCCCGAACCGGATGCGAGCGCGGTGGTGAAGACGAAGCACGGCCAGATGTTGGAAAACATGGCCTGAAGGACGTCGGATGGCTGGCAGTAAGGCCTGAGCCATGTACCGGCGTGACTGATGTCCAGGTGGGTGCACGAACGCCAAGATCTCAATAGCATTAGGATCGTAGAAAGATGAAGCACAGCACCATAGAGCGTAGTGTTACAACGGACATCATCGACCTAGAACTCCTCGATATCGTCGTCCTCAAGCCATCCATGCGCCCGCGACTCTTCTTCGGCCTCTGCAGCTCGGCTCCCAGAGACTGGTCCCTCGTCCACGTCAGGGTCGTCCTCCGGCGTGTCGCCTCCATCCTCCGACAGCTGCACAGGACCGGCGGAGCCCTGACTGAACTCAAGCCTCGAGAACATCCGGTGGGTGGGCGGAGCAGAATTTGGACGGCGACCTGTGCGAAAAGCTGTTAACGATGACGTGGAAGAGAGAACGGGAGAAGCGTACCAGCGAGATCTCTCGCCTTCAGGACACCTCCGATTTCGAGCGCGATGTTTCGTCTGCTCCAAGCCCCAGCACCCAACTCCGCGTCCTAAAGCATAGTCCGCAGCGTGAGCACTCCGAGCGCATTTCTGACACGAAAATAAATGACATACACGCAGGAGCCAGTCTTGTACATCCCGCAGCCCATCCTCTGCGTCCCGCTCGCGCTGCAGCGTCTCGAAGAACACGGGCTTGTACGGCTTCTGATTCCGACGCTGCACAGGGGAAGGCAGAGAATGTAGGGTGCTGAGTGCGAGGAGGTGGAAGCGATGAGGGTTCGCTTGGTGCCACTGAAGATATGGTCTCATGAGCACTACCACAGTGGAGAAAGGGTGAAGGTACCCACACTCTCCGCCCCGTTCGCGTCGATCCAGCTCAGCCAATCTGCGAGCGTGTCGCACTCGCTGAGGTCGTTGGAGTATTGCGTGTAGTTCTGGTGTACGTAGAGGGACAGGAGGGACGCGTCGATCGGCGAGTCTGCATACAACATCTAGATACCACGTAGTCGGATCAACGTTGGTAGGACAACAGGGTCGAGCACGTACCTCGACGTCTACTCTTGACGTCCGCCGTGCGTGCTCTTTGAGGTGGGTGGGCAACGGTGGTTGTTTCTTCAATTTCGAGTCTATATCGCGGTCGCGCTGGAGGTCCTTCGCAGATGCATTCGGATTTGGCGGATCGCCCTTCCCTACGTCCATGGCATGAGCCCTTGCCATCCCGTTCCACCTTCGATGCAGTGCAGCACTCACGCTTGTTATAGAATAGCTTGCCCAACAAGTGGAACAGCATGAGGCTCTGCTCCCGCCGCGTCACCGACTCTATCACTGCCCTGGCACCCGCGTCCCCGCCTTTCTTCTTCTTTCCTGTCGAGCTACCGCTTGCGCTACAAGCGAATTGCAGCGCCATGATCGCACTGCGGATGTCGCCGTTTGCCGAGTCGACAATGAGGTTTAGGACGTCCTTGGAGATTGGGCTCCCGCCTCCAGTGAAGTGCCTGTTGAGAAGGGACTGCAGCGCGGGGCGAAGATAGGTAGGCGCGATTGGGCGGAAGCTGCATTCGCCGGGGTTAGAGAACAGACGTCAGTATAACCTTGCAACGGCCCGCATGGAGCACAGCTTACCCAATCTGCGTGACATATGGGGAGCTCAATAGGTGCGGCGGCAGCACACTCCGGATGTCCACAACCTCCTTTGTGCGCCTCCAGGTCGTGCTACCGCCAGTACCATCTGCGTCGGTGTCCTCACCGCGCAGCCCCGCGTCGCTGATGATTAGCACAAGCGGCGCCGAGCCCGTATCTGGCAGCGCGACGAATGCGTCGAGCGCTGCGTGGAAGGCGGTTTGTGTGCCTGGGTGCAGAATGTTGGGAAGGTCCTCGAGGAGGATGACCTGCCTGCTCTGTGCAGCGAGCCTCGCAGTAGGGATAGATGATGTGAAGGACTGCGATGCAGATATGGGCACGAACGATCGCGGTTGGCTTTGGCTTTGTGTGAACGACTTCGAACGCGACAGGGGCTGAGATTGAGACTGTGACGACGAGGGCGGGATGCTGGACGCCGGCGTACTGAACACAGAGCGGCAGCTCGATGCGCGTGCGAGGAAGTTGCGGAACTTATCGGAGAGACCCTCGTACGGTTCCCACTCGCCATCAACATTGTACTCAGCGTCATCAGGATCTTCGCGCGTGAATCGCTCGTCCATGCTATTCCGCCACTCGACGATCTCGAAACCAAGCTCTCGCGACAGGACGCGTAGCGTTGCGGTCTTTCCAGTGCCTGCTGGACCCGTGAGGGCCAGGATGCGCTGTAAGATGATGGTTAGGTAGCTGAGTATATGCGTGGACTGAAGCTTGAGAATGCGTACGCGATACTTGCTTAGCTTTCCAGAAGGGCCACCGTCGAGGGCTTCTAGGAGCCACTGGCGAGCGTCTTGTATTTTGCGCTTGTTGACGGCTAGTTCGCCCTATGTTTAGGATCAGCGTGCGCTCATACGTCGCGTATGCATATCGAGTGGACGGCGCTGATTCACCTCGGTGGTGGGTTCGTATCGGTCCACCCACAAACGATCGTCTTACCGGCAGTTGACGTTTGGTTAGTCATGACCGATGGATAACCGCTTTTACTCACCAGAACAGCCTACAGTGGACTTATTATGCAAAATGACGTCCAATCTCGCCTTTCCTTTGCCTTTGTTCTTTGTCGCGGGCCTGTCTTGTGAGGAATCTGGTTGGCTACTAGTCAGGTCAAAGACTGGCGGCCTAGTGATCTATGTGCTGAAGCAATCATTATCTTCAACATGTTCGCAGACGCTCTGAACAACTATACACACCGATGAGACCGCCCTGGTCTTCTGTTTCTTCGCTGGTGGCGGACCGCTTGGCACCGGAGCATCCAGGCGTAAGGTGCTACGGAGGGCTGCCGTTTGCTGAGAACGTTTCTGCTGCTTCGCCGATTTCTGCGACATTCCCGTACAACATAAGTAGATGGTAGACGGGTAGGTGGAACAAGCGACCTGGGTCAGCGACGCGTCCAAGACGCGTCCTGTCACACTTCGAGTCACATAGTCACGAGCGCGTTCCCACGTGGATGCCAATACCGTTGTGAAAGACTGAAATCGTCCCGTTTCCTCTGTCCTAAGTTAATCACATCGCTCACTCCGTGCTTGATGACCACTCTATCGCTCAGTACTGGTATCGATGAGCCAATGCCAGACATAAGAACACGTTGATCGGCGACTCAGGCGCGGTAGATGTGAGTATCCAATAATTAGAGTGACTGGGACCAAACTGGCACCGGTAGAACTTCATCCGAAGATATGTAAGTCGTCGTGCCGTGTCCGGAGGAGTATTATTATACTAATAAGTAAGTAGGGCGTAGGCTACACTTACTCAGCGGATGTGGATTGAGCAGCACCATGTGTACAGAGGCTGACAGAGGCATGCGCCCTTCGACCCAACTACTTTCTTTCCGAACCACCACCTTCGAGACGCAGAGGATCCCATAGCGCTATGTCTCAAGCTGCTGTACCAAAGCTTTTTCAACCCGTAAAGGTCGGACAACACTGGCTTGGCCACAGAGTGGTCCTCGCACCTCTCACGCGTTACCGGGCTAACAAGGCGCACGTCCATGGCGACCTTGCGGTCACGTATTATGGCCAGCGCGCGACCACACCGGGAACACTGTTGATAACGGAGGCCACCTTCATCTCGGCGAAGGCAGGAGGATACGACAACGTTCCAGGGATCTGGAATGACGAGCAAGTTGCTGGGTGGAAACGGGTGAGCGCCTCTCAATTCATTGGACAGTATTGCCACCTTGCGCATGCTTTGAAACATCACAATATGCGCCCTCGTTGCTTCAGTAGCTGGGCGTTGTCTAACATGGTTGTGTTCCCATCAGGTCACCGATGCAGTTCATGAGAAAGGGTCACGCATCTATTGTCAGCTCTGGGCTCTCGGACGCGCGGCCAACCCCAAAGTGTTGGACAGAGAAGGCTTTCCATACGTGAGCTCCGGTGACAAGACTCTGACCGGTGCAGCGCGCGCCCCAAGACCCTTGACTATCCCTGGTCAGTGCGCCCCCCCTTTCCTTGCCGCATTCATGACTCACCGAACGTCGCAGAGATCAAGGAGTACATGGACATGTACCGCAATGCCGCTCGCTGTGCTGTGCGCGCAGGCTTCGATGGGGTCGAGATCCACGGTGCGAACGGATACCTGATCGACCAGTTCACGCAAGACGTGTCGAACAACCGGACGGACGAGTTTGGCGGCTCGATTGAGAACCGGTGCCGGTTCGCGCTCGAGGCGATTGACGCGGTCACGAGTACGATTGGTGCCGACAAGACAGGCATCCGCCTGAGTCCATGGGGCCAGTTCCAGGGTGCGTCTATGCGCACATCCGGGGTATAGAGCGGATGTTCACCGACTGCACCAATGATGCTAGATATGCTCATGGATGATCCCAAGCCGACGTTCGCTTACCTCGTGTCCGAGCTCGCAAAACGGCACCCGGACTTCGCATACATACACGTTGTGGAGCCGCGCGCACAAGGGAACGTCGACCGCGAGGTGCTGCCCGGCGAGGTCAGTCCATCATCCACTATCCCTGGCCAACGCGAACGATAGCTGACCTACGGCATACAGAGCAACGCCTTCCTGCGCGACATCTGGAGGCCACGCCCGTACATCTCCGCGGGCGGCTACTCGCGCGAGACGGCCTTCGAGGATGCGGACAAGTACGGTGATCTCATCGCCTTCGGCCGTTTGTTCATTCCTAATGTCGGTATCTTCCCTTGCCATTGCCTGATGTGTGCTCATGTAATGTGTCACAGCCCGACCTGCCTCTGCGCATTGCAAAGGATCTACCGATCGAGAAGGGCAGCCGCGACTTGTACTACGTGCCGGAGGAGCCGCATGGCTACATTGACTATCCCTTCTCGGATGACCCCAAGGCTAACCTGTGATCTACCTAGGTATAGACATACGGCTGTGGAAATAGATGTATACGAGACATGAACTACTCAGAATAAGGGCTTTCTTGCACCTCGACAAGGGAACCGCATACTTCCGCGGTTGTACCGATACCAGCGCAGCGCTAGGATTCCGCCGAACGTCTGGGACCCTTATCCTCTCAACCCTATCACGGCGCGTCACATACGCGCCAGAGCAACCCTTCTGACTGCTACGCCGCGAATCCGATGCAAGGGTTCGCGTCAAGCGCAAAGCACTCGGTAGCTTCCGCGAAAGCACGTTGCATTGAATATTCTGCAATTATGTGTTTGGCCAGTGCTCAAGGCACTCGTGCATGAAGCTTGAAGGCGGACAGCGAAATCTACTTCTGTACATCGCCTTCTCACTCTGGTGCGTCTCCTCTTTGAAACGTCATGTTGCTGTGTCACGTCACTTCCGCTCGCACCCACAGGCACAATGTGTCTATTTGACGCCGTCCTCGCTGGTACGCGCTCCTACTTTCTTTCTAGCAGTCTGATGAATCGATGACATCCTTCTCTGATGCTATCGTTCATGGCGTTCTCGGAGGAACCAGTATTTCCAACGCTGTTCCTCTTAATAGGCATGTCAGTGGTAAGTCATGGTGTTGCCTCTCACCGTTATCTGCGAATGACCAACTCGTGTACTACATATGGCACGTACGCTCCAGTGACTTGGTTTGTGACGTGCATTCATTGGCATGCAGTGCATCAACAAGGAGACAACGGAGTGGGAACGACAGTCTGCTCAGCAAGGCGCGCTGTCGAGGCTCATTCTGGTCTTCGCTGGTGACGTGCGCTTGGAGTCGGAGAACTGATACGCAAGGCGCGCTGCGGCATGGAGAGCAGGAGGTAGAGAGGCCCCTGGAAGGTCCCGGCCGATGACGCGCCAATCGACTTCAGGCCTCGCGTCCTCTCACAATCAAATCACAGCTGGTCACCACCATGCCACCGGCCACAGCCTGTCCTATCAGACTGGATGAAGTACTGGACTCTGTTGCAATTCTGGAGGGCTCTGTGCGCAAGTGACAATTGGTTGGCCCTGGCGATTTGGACCTAGCGAGCAAGTAGGTTCGCCCATCCGCGCACGGTGGGACAAGTGCAGCTCAGACACGGCTTCTCAAGTAGTGTGGGACTCATCAGCCTGGACCATGATCCACGGCAATACATATCACTAGTACAACGCCCACTCAAAACCCACAAACCGCCGTCCAAGTCATGCGAAGGGCCAATCTCATGAAGAACTCCGGTCCAGGTCGCAAGTAAGTATGTTACTACCCCTCATCTGAGCGCTGTCTCCCGTGTTCTTTGCGCGTCATTATGACATCCAGCGTCGGGCAGCTGTTGAAAGCGGCCGCGGACAAGGATAATCTGTGATCGCGAAGGAGTTATGTCTAGGTAGGGTCTTCCGCGTGTACTGTCACTCGCTGGAGGCAGAGGCTCCAGGTGATGTAGTGAACCGCCCCTGAGATGAGTATCCTCCACAGGTGGGAAGCCCCACCGCGTGCGCGCCTTGAGTCCATCCGTTCATGGAGGCCCAGCCCGTGGACTTCCGCGATCATTGGCGTGCGCCGTGGGAGGTCTTTTCCTGCCGGAGGTACGCCTGATGATGTCCAGGCCAGGCGCGCAGCAGGAATTGGACTTCACTCTACCTGGGCTGCACAAGGAGCTTGTCCACTGTCAACCAAAGCCATCTTGGAGCCATTCGACAGAGCCTTGGCTCCATTACTTACAGTAAGTGCCACCACTATCGTCAGTACTTTTACTGATACCACAAAGACTAAGCGCAGGAACACAGGTGCGGCCTGGAGTTGACGAACGTAAGTGCCTATGACTGGCTCCGGTCGGATGGACTTTCTCCGCAGATAAGTCATCGTGATTCTATTCAATAGCCATAACCCGTGTCCTTACAGGTTCCACGCTCTTACTCAGCGAATGTGGAACGAGCAGCGCCGTCAAGTTATGCGCTATCGGCGGACGATATGTGCACGCCGGCATGCAGCCTTCGACTGAATAATCCTTCCCCCGAATCTAACACCTCCGAAGCCCAGAGCACCCCATAGAGTTATGTCTCAGCCCGCTGTCCCCAAGCTCTTCCAGCCTGTGAAGGTTGGACAGCACTGGCTTGGGCACCGAGTCGTCATGGCCCCCCTCACGCGGTACCGTGCAAACAAGGCACACGTCCATGGCGACCTTGCGGTCACCTACTATAGCCAGCGTGCGATCATGCCAGGAACTCTGCTGATCTCGGAAGCGGCATTCATCTCGCCGAAGGCGGGAGGATTCGACAACGTTCCGGGAATCTGGAATGACGAGCAGGTGGCTGGATGGAAGCCGGTGAGTATTTTTCGACGTCTTAGAACAATGTTGCCGCGTCCCCCCACGTCGCGTGCATCCGGGTCCATCTGAAGATAGGTGATAGCCGTCAGTTTTTTGGTTTAATCATACCAGTGCGCCGTGGCAGCAACCAGTGAACGATAGTCAGGTAGTCAAAGTGTCCGCTATTGACTTCAATTCATCATGGGGAGGCGCTGTGACGACAGAGTCGTTGAAGTATGGATCAGCCTGGGGAAACCACCACTTTCATTTTCATTTTCATTGTCTGTCAATATCTTCTGTGAAAGGACTTTGCTCTAACCACGCCGTCGTATCCCATTTAGATCACCGACGTGGTCCACGAAAAAGGGTCGCGTATATTCTGCCAACTCTGGGCGCTTGGACGCGGAGCAATCCCAGAAGTCCTGGACAGAGAAGGCCTCCCATACGTCAGTTCCGGGGACAAGCGTCTAATGCGTGAACCACGCACCCCAAGGCCCTTGACTATTCCTGGTGAATGGCTCCCGCCCTTTCTCGCCGCATTCATGAAACTGACCGGCCCGCTAGAGATCAAAGAGTACATAGACATGTATCGCGATGCTGCTCGTTGTGCCGTGCGCGCGGGCTTCGATGGGGTTGAGGTCCACGGTGCCAACGGATACCTAGTCGACCAATTTACGCAGGACGTGTCGAACAACCGGACGGACGAGTATGGCGGCTCGATCGAGAATCGCTGCAGGTTTGCGCTCGAGGTGGTCGATGCCATCGCGAGCGCGATTGGTGCGGACAAGACCGCTATCCGTTTCAGTCCATGGGGCCAATTTGGAGGTACGTCAACGCGCATATACTAGGGACACTGCACATACGCATTGAGTACACATCTTTCCCGTCAGATATGCTAATGGATGATCCCAAGCCGACCTTTGGGTATCTTGTGTCTGAGCTCGCCAAACGGCACCCGGACCTCGCATACATCCACGTCGTAGAGCCGCGCGCGCACGGGGACCTCGACCGGGACGTGCAACCGGGCGAGGTCAGTTCATGGACCATGCCGCTAACCATCCCTATAAGCTGACTTGCCACTTGCAGAGTAACGTCTTCCTGCGTGATATCTGGAAGCCGCGCCCGTACATCGCTGCCGGCAACTACACGCGCGAGACGGCTTTCGAGGATGCAGATAAGTATGGCGACCTTATTGCGTTCGGCCGCTTGTTCATACCCAACGTCGGTGTCTTCTCTTTGAGTTCGCGAAAATCTTCGCTCAGTCTATGTTGTAGCCCGACCTACCCCTGCGGCTTGCGAAGGACCTCCCTATTGCGAAGGGCAGCCGCGACTTATACTATGTGCCGGAGGAGCCGCATGGTTACATCGACTACCCCTTCTCGGATGACCCCAACGCTAGACTGTGATTCTACTTAGGTATAGCGGGAAGGATATAGGTATAGACGTAGGTGGGACGGAATGTGATCCCGAGAGTCTGAAGCATTTTTGCGTTGCACATTGACATGAGTCTTCCCTACTCTCACGTTTCTGGCGACGAGTGGTGCCTCGCATATGCGTCGATGCAGTACCTCTGACGCCCTCTGACGCTTCGCGGCTAGGTTGGTGAGTTCCATCGATTTTCCAAGTGATACAAGCCCAGGGTATACCTCTAATTTGCATTAAATGGAAGCGACTCGTTGCTTTCTGTGGAGGCATATCGGGCTGTCTTCGCCGTGCACGTGGTGCGCTGCAGCCTCGCTGTGCGCATAGACGAAAAATAAGGTTGTCCGGTTCTGCTCGTTGTGCCTTCACCGGTGTTTTCTTAAGGCTGTAACAGTGTGTTGCTCGTCTCCCATCGTCCCTTCACAAGCGGTCACTGTGAGTACGCTGATCATGTTGCCCTCTGCTCAAACTATCCAAGCTCATTACCTCGTCTTTACTAGTAGTGATTGATGCACTGGATCTAGGTCATCCTTTCTTGAGGCTATCGCAGTATCTCCGACGATATACCTCTTATTCGACATGATCATCCAAGTAGTGCGTCTTCTTGCATTTTCAACCTGTCTCCCGTGCGCAGTGACCAGATAGGTATGTATTTTTATACACGCGCAATTCACGGTGATTATAATTTATCACACATGTGCTAAGTGTGTGACGGCTCAGGCGCTCATCAAGTGACTACTCTGCCTCTGCAGTGCTTCTCGTGTCAGGTAAGCCTAGGATGCAACGATCTATCCTAGTATCCGATGTCAATAATATCATGCACTGCGAACTGATCTTTCTGTCAGTCGGATACATAAAGGGGGCATGCAGCGCGTTTTTGCTCCCTGCTGACACCATTTGAGCACGACCTCACTCAACACGCCATCTCGATGAGTTCATCGAGAAACCTCACCCCCACACTCACAAGTGCGATCATCGAAACCCTATTATATGGTCCATTCCTTCTTATATGCACAACCTCGGTATGGTTGCTCTGGGATCAAAACCGCACACGCGCCGGAAGGATAACAACAAGACAGCCCTCATTTGCGCAAGGAATCCCTTTGATCATGGCAGGACTCTGTCTGCTAGTGGGTACAACTGCTGTAGGTTTGTGCCGTTCGCAGTATCCTTGCGTGGCTGATGCAAGCTCGCCCTCAACAGCATTGGATCATTGATGTTGTACGCTTGTTCCAAGCGGTGGTGACGTACAAGGGAGGCTCAGCGCCCGAGGAGTATCTCGACGACTATATCGACAGAACATTCATAGTAGCGAACGCCATACTCATGCTTTTCTGCATCATCATAACCGATGCTGTCTGTGTAAGTCGTCTTGTCGCGTATTTCGCGTATGGCGGTAATCGGCACTGACATCCTTTGCTTCTGAAAGGTGTACCGTCTCTGGATCATCTGGGCCTTCCGTAGGGCTACCATCGTCATTCCGATATGTGCTCTACTTGCCACAATTGGTGAGGCTCAAGACACTGTGGACCTTCGGCGCATTACTGACTCGTGAAGTAGGGTCCAGCGTGTATGCCGCTTACGAGACGGCACAACTGCGAAATGCTTCCAGTGAACCAGAGTCCTCACAATGGAAGTGGCTCTCGGCTGCTTTCGCCAGTCACCTCTGGTAAGTACTGCACGTGGAGGTCTAAATTTCTAAAGTTTATTCCGACGACTGACCTCGTCTCTTAGTCTCGACATATATTGTATGAGTTCAGTCGACCGCTCATTCCCTGCGTTACACCTACACTGAACCCGTTCGCTATCACAACAGCACTCATCGCAGGCAGACTTGTTGTCTCAGAATGTAATCTCATCAAAGCTGGCCTCCAACCTGCCGCCACCAGTGTCATCACGGTGAGAAGCAGTGTACTAGTGGTCGCACCCGCCGGCTGATTCACTTGCCCCGCAAACAGAAGGCCCTCGTCATCTTCATTGAGAGCGCAAGCATCTACACGTGCGTATCCCTCGATCCATAAGGTAGTTTACTGTGCAGACAATAGTTCGACAGAGGATGGGCCGTCTTTTACTGTGTGTCCTACGAGACTCAGAGCGACGCGCGTTTCGTGGCCCGTGATTGTTCGCCTGCTGTCGCGGGGCTCACGTTCGGGCTCATCATCGTTCAAGCCCGCCTGGCCTTCCGCAGGGCGTAGCAGAAAAGCGAACCGGAAACACCACAGACGAGCTGCGGTTTGCCTCGCAACACACGTCACACATGCTCACATCCATCGTGGTGAACGTGCCCGATATCGCACGGGAGCCCGAGGACATGGTTGCGGATAACCAGCACGACTCGTTGCCTCAAGTGAAGCTGTTGAAGCTGGATTCTCTTCATGGAATGCAGCACGGGTCTTATATAGGTCGGTCTAGTATGACTGTGGGTAGCCCGGTCCTATGCTCAGCGACAAACCACATTTCTATATGACTGCGAGCATTTTATGTACCTCTGTATCTGTTTTCCCAAAGGACATTGATAATGCGAACGCACACTACTGATAACCATGTTGCCCAGGGGGAACACTAGCTGACTATTAATCTCGACCTCGACTTAGGAACCTCCGACCAATGGCGATGCAGGTTGCCATTACATTCACGTCAGCCGCTCAGACTGACTTTGACTGCATCCAGTCAATTCGCAGAGCGCGGTCCGCGGCGGTATGCAGGTCAGGGGACGTGTCAATGGAACGTCCGGTACTATTGTCTAAGTATGGTATGCTACTCCCTATCTCTCGACGTTGCTGTGCAAAGACTGAAGCTTGAGCTTGCTTGGAGGTTGATTCGATGTCTGCCTACAGAAATGTACAATAAGTACGGTGCTAGCACGGTTTGTCGTGTCTTGCTATGGCTTTACATGTCATGAGAAACCCCTGACTTATATCGCACTTTCAGGTGAACCATTCGTCCCGAACATACTGAGCACCGGATGTCCTCCGTTGCCCACGCGAATATCCTCATTTGATGCTGAGCCGTTGTGGCGTCTGCTTCGCGGACCGATCCTCGTCACAGCGGCCATTATGCAGGAATTACCATCGCGCAACTTGCCGAAACGCCAGAGTTCTGCCAATGCAGTGTATATAAGCATGTGTTGCACACCAATACTCTGCTCCAGCCTTCCTCTACGCTATGGCGGGCGTGTCTCATCTTGCCGCGAATCTGGCCCTGGTATGTCTGGAGAACTTCCTGTATGGGATATTCTTTGTACTCTGCCTTACGTCGACCATCCTTCTACTGGGAAGGCGTCGACGCCTGCCTTCACGCGATGTTCAATCTGCCATCAACCCCTCTTTGTCGGCACCATCTTTCTCTTCTTGAGCATCACGGCGGTAAGAACGTCTGGAACCTGATCAATCCTACTTTGTTCAATGAGCCCATATAACTACAGCATTGGCTCTTGACCAACATACGCTTGTTTCAAGCGTTGATATTCTTTCAAGGGGGAGCGAAGCCTGTCCTATTTCTAGGCGATCTCTCTCAAGCAACGAACATCGCACAGACGGCCACATTGATTCTCTCTGGCTCCATCTTTGACGCAATGATGGTGAGCTACCGTATGGTCTCGATCCGTCAATATAAGCCGACGAACTAACAACCTTAGATCTATCGTGTCTGGGTGGTCTGGGCCCACACCAAATATGTTGTCATATTCCCGACGCTATGCTGGATAGCATATGCGGGTGAGTGAGGCAACGAGTATGATTGTCAGACCTTTCTCAACTCAACGCACAGTCTGCGGTATCATCATGATATACCGCTTCTCGCTCTATAAGCTGGGGACCGACGTCTTTGACACGCCGACGGGCCAATGGGTCACGGCTCTCTGTATACTAACAATATGGTTCGTTCGTTGTAAGCCTCGCACGTTATTGAATTTGCTCACAACGATGAGTGCAGCACCAGTGTCTACAGCACGTGTAAGTCACTATGGTGAAGATGAGGTATCGAGGTCTGAATTGATTCAGTCATGATCACGTTGCGCATATGGCAGACAAGCCACCGTCTCGAGATATTCGGGGACGATCCAATAATGGTTCGCAATTGATACTCGGATGCTGTGTATCTACTGACCTATCGCTCCACAGCGCGCTATTGCAGTCTTCTCCGAGAGCGCAGCACTCTATGCGTAAGTCAAACAGCACTGCTTCACATTGGACGCTTCATTCGGACGTTCCTTACAGGACCTGGACCATCTTTTTCTTCGCAACGTACGAAGCCGGGTCAAACCTGCAGAATATCGCCAATGCAACATGTCCCGCTATGGCCGGCATCGCTGCGACGCTCATCAACGTGCGTGTAGGACTCGGGTGGGCCTTCGGGTCCGCACCACACTCCCCTGCGCGCACCGACACCACCTTGTCTTTCGTCGTACCGTCCCGGCGGGAGTTCTGCAGTCGGGAGCTGTCCACACGCCCTGTGGAGGTGCACATATCGCAAGCCAGCGACAGATCGGATGAAAACGGGTCGGACAAGGGAGCCATGAAACGCTACGTTCCTCTTCAAACTCGGACCTGAGTGGGTGACATCGTCGAGTATGTGTATCGCTTCATTGGTCAGCCCGACCTACTGCTGATGTACTCAAGTAGCCACATGGTCTTCATAACGAATGTGCTGCTACGAAATAGGTCGGATGTTTCCAGACGACCGTTCGGACTGCATCCGTTCTTTGTCTTAGCCTGGTATCATGGCCCAATGTGCCGAATCGGGGCTCGGTTTGTATATATACCGTTTGCCACATGTAGTACGAACACACCTACCGTTCCCACACTTACTGACTAATAAGTGATGTCGGACCGACCGATCAGTCGGCACTAGTATGTGCCCTTATCACTCAATCTCCTTACCCTTGAAGATTTCCGTGAAGAATATTGACTTCGCAATGGTGCTCGCTGTCTAGGGCACGTGAGTTCTTCCCAATTGGGATGCCCGCTCACCTCCGTCCCCGTGAGTCGGGCTAGATCTCCCGATCCTTCTCCGATGTTCTCGGAGTCCGTTTCTGGTCACTGTCCCGTGCTCGCCGGCGCTTGCGGGCCCGTTCTGGCCACCACCCCGTGCTCGCCGGCGCTTGCGAGTACATCACGCCCCGTCCCGTGCTCGCCGGCGCTTGCGAGCACATCACGCCCCGTCCCGTGCTCGCCGGCGCTTGCGAGCACATCACGCCCTGTCCCGTGCTCGCCGGCGCTTGCGAGCACATCACGCCCTGTCCCGTGCTCGCCGGCGCTTGCGAGCACATCACGCCCCGTCCCGTGCTCGCCGGCGCTTCCTGCCGCCACTGCCTCGTCCCGACCTCGCCGGCGCTTCCCGCCGCCACTGCCTCGTCCCGACCTCGTCGGCGCTTCCCGCCACCACTGCCCCGCTGCCCGCTGCCCGCCGGCGCTCCCTTGTCCCCAGCGCCCCAGCGTCCCCGCCTGTGTCTGCCGTACTCGGCCATGCTGCCCTGTCCTGCCTTGCCCCGCCCGCCGCCGATGCCTTGCTCTGGCACGGCTGTGCTCTTTCGGGTACTCAATCACTGCCTCTCCTGATTGGGTAAGAAGCTGCCATCAATACTCCGACTCGCAGTCCGCCTAGGCTGGAGCCCTGAGCACGCTACCCGATTTGGCAATGTCTAACTCACACCTCGTCCTTGTTTCCTAATCCGGTTACACCTCCTGCCACGTCCGTCCGTGTCCTCGCTATCCTATCATGCCGAAGGTCCGCAGCTACCTCTCGAGCTCCGTCACGTTAGCCTCTGGCAATCCTCTCATCAGGCCCATGAAGCCGCGAAAGCTCAAGCACACTGATGCGCGAAAACGTCGTGCACAGGAGGAGCGAGAGCGTCGGGCTATGGTGGCCGGTAAGGTTGTTTCTCATCTAGGCTGAGTTGCTGACGTCGCACGATAGGGTTGTCGTTTGAGGAGCGAGAACACCTCGATGCGATGACTTCCGGTGGGTTCGCAGAAGCCGAGAGTGCAACACAGGACGACGACGAGCTATATCCCCTCCCTCCGGGCGAAGAAGCTATGTTTCTCAGCCATGCGGGGGCGGAGACGGAGGTTTGCCGGGACTTGTTCATAGAAAAGCGGTACGTTGATCGTTCCTTTGCGTATATTCTCTCACAGTTCCTCTAGGAAGCGCGTCGACTATCGCACAAGGCGCGACCGACTTCAACGTGCTCGCGCCCAGTGGCAGGCACAGATGCCGGCCCTCGTTGATGCGTATCTGGCATGGAAGGCTTCCTCGGCAGAGGATGATGCTCCTGCAGCTGGTCCTGCAGAGAATAGGTAACAGGTCGACGTCCTATTGTGTGGCCGCCCACTAACCATGCACACTAGGTCCTGTCCGGGCGGCGAAGAGCCTGGCAGTGCCAGGCGTCAGTCTCCTAGTCAAGACCACAACTGGCACGAAGAGACGACGGTAGGCGCAGGGGGTGATGCTGAAGGATCGGGTTCGTACGCGGAGTGGGATGTTGTTACAGTAGAGTTCTTCGGTGAGCTTCCTTTACTTCTCGCGCGCACTCTTCCTGACTGTGCCTGTATGCCAGACCTCTCAAGACAGACCTTCAAGCTGGCTTCGACAATGGTCCACGCCAACGTCGCCCTCGTCTCTCGCGGATTCCTCGGGTCTGCTCCTCAGAAGCCGACGGTCGCCATCTCCTTGAAAACCCTCGAAGCTTACCGACAACTTCACCGAGCGTGCCCGCGCCTGAGTGTACAAGCGCAAGTCAAAGCACTTTGTTACTTACACGAAGTATATACTGATTGTTATCTATACGCGGCTACGATTGACGACGCGTCACAGGTTCCTTTCAATAAACATCTAGTCAAGCAATTCAGTGACGCCTACGACGTGTACCTCGACATCCAGTATGGAGTCAATCGGTTGGTCAAGTCAGCCATGCACCGCGATACTCCCGACTGGCGCATGCTCAATGCCTGCGCACCGTGCCTCTACAAGATCGAAGACGAGCCGACACTCAAGTATGCGCTCTTAGCCACAATGGACGGCAACCAGTCCCTAAAGCTCGTCGACAACATGTTTCGGCACGGTACTACCCGCGAGGATGGGCGAAGTGCACGAACCGATATCTGGCTTTCGCCGGCAGAGGTCGATCGGTTCAAGGATGAGGCAGGCAAAATTGTACGTCGCCGTGCGTCGCCTCGTATCATCACCGCTCTAAATTTCCTCCATGTAGGCAAAGCTGGCTTCCTCTGACCCTACTTCGGACGAGCAAGGCAGTGGGGGAGCAGCCCCAATGCTTGTCGATGACTCGGCTGGCCAGGACAGTCGTGGGGAAAACGGAGCGGCCGGTGGTGCGACGGCACATGCAGATCAAACCGCCGATGATCCCGGACGACTTGATGATCACAGCGACGACATCGCGTGGCTGGATCTGCCCGAGTCCGAAGATGGTAAGCTCGAGGCCTCCGTCGACGTGTGCGTGGAGCGCTGGCGCAACGCGGGTCCCGAAGCGCGGAAGAAGATGTTCGCCCTGTTCGCGATGACAGGCATCTTCGTGTGCTTATGCCGCCATGGACAACTGCTCATCCTCTGTGACATGATCAGGAGTGGAGAACTGTAAGTGCTAACCTTTGTATCATTTCGCTGATCACTAATCCTTGCAGCGCGAAATACCCCCTCGCCATCGTCAACAAGCTGATGGAGGTCTACGGCCCCGACGTCTTGGTCGGCTACGACATCGCATGCGCCTTCGCCAAGACGCTCGCCAAGAGCTGCCTCGCGCCAGATGCACGTCGGCTCCGTATGGCAGGTGTCGTACCGGCATTCCACGGGCACGGCCACAATCGCGGCTGCCAAGTCAATTGGCATCCCCTCTACATGGATGGCGTCGGTAAGGAGGACTTCGAGGGTTGCGAGCGCTGCTTCTCTGAATCGAACAGCCTCGCCCCTGGGACGCGCCTATCGTCGGTCTTCCACCGGGAACAGGCAATCGAGGAACATTTCCAGTTCTGGGGCGAGCAGAAGCATTATGATTCGGGTGCGTTTTCTCGTCCGAGCAACATTCAGACACTGACGCATATCTTAGGAAACTTCATCTACAATAATTATCGACAGGCTCTCGACATCATTCAAGAAGACGGTTGCGTACTTGCGGCCCTGTCAGCGGAGCTGAACACGAGCGACAATGACTACGAGGAGTACCTGAGACAAGAGAGAGAGTACCTACGCGGTCGCAAAGCTGAACCACCCGAAGTTTCCCGCAAGCTGATGTATCTGGAAGCCTTACGAAGACTCGAGGATGCGGGGTACGTCACTCTGACTCCGATGGCGGATTCATCTGATGCAAAGGTTTTAGGGCAAAGAAAGCGACTGCAGATCAGCAGTTTCGCGAGCTCGACTTCAACATCTGTCATAACGGCTACACAACGAAGGAGATCACACGGGTCCGGACGAATCGAACGAACACCACAAAACGGTACTTCGAGACTGACGACGACTGCCAGGCGTACGAGAAGGAACTCGACATCAGTGTGCGATGGACGCCGAACAGCACGGAGTATCAGGAAGCATGCAAACTCCTGACAATGCGCCAGTATCAGCGCGCGGTGGATGAGCTCGAACGACTTGTCGTCCAGCGGCTTTTCGAGCTCACAAAGCTCGGGATGAGTGGCATCGGTATGACCATCCTCTTGCTTCAACTGGGACTCGCCTCACGGATAAGTGCTAGGTTACAAGCTCCGCGAAAAGATCGGGAAGGCCCTTAAAGCACGCGCGCAAGCGATCCAGAAAGCTCTCGGTCGATACAATGAGCAGGCTGCGCGTCTGACACCCCCGCGCGCAGCCCTTTCGTGGCAAGAAGTGGTAGGGATGGTTTCCCTAGCTGACTTCGACCTTCTTCGTGAAGGCCGCGAGGACATCCGTCAGAAGCCGTGGGCAAAACACTCGCAGCGACGTGCCATGAACCTGTACTTCAACATCAAGCGAGCACGCGAGGAGATTACGCGCCTGAACGTCGAGATTCGACGTCTGCTCACTCATATGTATGATGAACACGTTGATTACCACGTCGCGGTGCAAGAGCTCGCTTCGACCAATCCAGGCCTCGTGATGGAGTTGAAACGACGATGGCGTTATCGTAACGAAATCAACACCAGGATCGCCTTCAAGCTGTTCAAGACGTCTCAACTGCGCGGCTTCACAGGAAGTCTTCACACTGGTCAACGTATTGGACGCCCCGTGACGCGAAACGATGGTATTCCGATACCTCCGTGGGCGAAGTGCTTAGTAGATACTACAGTGGCTCGTGAGGTAGATGCAGATGCAGCCGAGGAGGATGATGAGATCGAACCGTTGTTGCCTGGAATCGAGTTCGACCACGATGCGAACGCGTACGTAGGATTCCTCGACGACCTGGGTAGACAAGATGTGGACATTCGTACAGAGTAGTATATCATTTGATGCATTTTTGTTGTATAGCAATGCATTGCAGAATTCTCATGACGCGAAATGCGACCGAATGCTGAATGTAACATTGGTGCATGTACGAGTCTGACCAGTCGAGATCGACCACGGCGCATTGACATATCCCATATATTCAAACGAACACGGAGCCGTGTCCTCGAGTGTACGCTACTAACAATATCTTTGATTTCTCGCAGCAGCGTCGACGCACTGACCCGTAGCAATTCCGTGAGTGTTCAAATGTTCACTGTCGGCGTCTCAAGCTTGCAGCTGAAGCGTGACGCGTGAAGTTGCAGGTTGAGCGGCAAATCTACTCGCGGCGACTCTCTGCCAACTACCACGTTCATTTACCTACCCCGTCACTGCTCTCTCGCGATGATGCCCGATCGTCGCGAAGAAGAATTGCGAAGGCGAGAGGAGGAAGAAAAGCGGGCACGCGAGGAGGAGGCTGCGGCAACTGTCGCGTCCCTTCGCTTCAATCCAACCGGCCTGCAAGGCCTCAGCGATGCCCTAAATCGATCCCTCAGTCCCACTTCGATACACGCATCACGACTTGCCGCCGCCGACATAGCCTTCTTCGTCGCCAATGCTCACCACGAACGCTCTGCACTGCCTGCCGGCGACTTCCACCCTATGTTCCACGAAGCTCGCGAACTCACGGGCACTGGTCTCGTTGGCCGGCAGGTTCGAGCGAAATTTCGAGACAACATCATGAACTTAGCATTCGACGCAGTATGTAGACGACTTTTACAGCATTCAAATGTCATTCTAACAGTGCGGGCAGCTGACGGCGTTGGACCGCGTTGACAGCGGGTGCACGGTGGCCGTACATGTGTCGGGCTCTCAGTCTCCAGGGACTCGTACGCCGGGAACCGTTCCACTCCCTCAAGATCTTCCTTTCCACGTCTATGCGTTTCCGCCTATCTTAGCTGAGATTCCGACGGCAAAAGCGGGGCTGGCGAGGATGGTGCAGATGTTCGCAGAGGAGATTGGTGTCTACGCCGTGCAGCGCTTCGAGAACATGGCCAAGGAAAGGCTCAAGTGGAACTTCAACAAGATGAATGATGAGCCCGCTGCATCTCGACCCCCGACTCAACATTTTCACCGTGCCCGGGCACCCTTGATCCCCAACTCTCAGGGTACCACCCACTTCGTGTTCCACGGCCGACCGCGAGGAGAGTTGGACGCGATGCTTGCCGACGTGCGTGAAGCACCTTCTTCTCAACAGCAGCAAGCCGAGTTGGAGGAGGAGATCGAGGTTTTGCGTCGACAGGCCGAGGACTACGAGGTGATGATTGATGGTCTGGATGTCGACCTTGCCAACGAAAAGGACAAGGTCACTGCGCTGACGGCTCAGCTCGCTGAACGGGTTCGCGAGCAGGACACCTTGGTCAAGGCCCAGAGCGAGGCACTTGGCCGGGTCCAGGCGGAGAAGGCCACGGTACTTGAGGCACACGAGAAGGTGCTCAAAGTCGTCATGAAGCAGAAGGAGACGATCCGCCAGTTGAAGTTACAGTTGACGACGAACGCAGGTAGGTGGTGCTATAACAATCTGTTCTGATTTTTTATGACAATCTTTTGCAGCCGTTCAGACATCGCCCGGCCTCTCGCAGTCTGAACCACCTCCGCCGCCGCCCACGCCTGCTCGGCCGAGCACACCGTCTGGTGTTCGCTCCGTCTTGTATGGTGCGGCGTCGGCTCATACGTTGCGGTCCAAGTATGCTCGCGGATTCGGCATCAAGGTTCAGCAGGTCGTCGAGAAGCATCAGCTCGACTACCTCACTCACAACGTCTGCGAGGCTGTCGCAAGCTCGTATGCTGCGATCATCTGGATACCCGAGCTTCAAGGGCGCCTCGCGGTGTCCGAGGCCATTGCCATGGATCTCAAGGAGGCTATGGAGGCGGATCTGTGCATTTACGATTAAGTGCAGTTCGTGTTGCCTTGAAAGTGCTTCCCGGTGTGTTTCATTTAATCTCCCGTCGTTGCTATCTACTTGCTCGTTGCTTGTTTTGTTTCTCGTCGTCGCATGTTCTGCTCTTGTCATCATCTGTCGAGTTATAGTCGTCGCTTCTCGTGTTCTTGTCACCGCATGTCGTGTTATAGTCGTTGCTCGTCGTATGCTCATCGTCTTCATTACTTGTTGCTCTCATGATCCCTGCCAGTGCTGTGGTACGAATATCGTCTGAGTCCGACCCGGCTTAGCTCATCGTCTCGTCCAATGATTTCGCCGTGTGTCGGACAAAAAAAATTGGACTCTCTTTTGAATGATATCCGTCTGGCGTCATCTTGCTAAATGTGGGAGCGAGAAGTCCGGTGTTGCTTGCCGCAGTGGGAACCCTGTCATGCATCATGGGAAGTGTTGTCAGGGAATCTATGAAAAATTACCATCTTGAGCGCTCGTTATGACCCGTTTTAATCCGCCTGTCTTGACATGCTGAGTCCCCGTGCTCCAAATTGCCCTTCTCGCTGAACTTCTCGTATCTTCTCGTATTCTGCACTGAACGTTTTCCGCACTGCCTTCGTCTCGTGGCCACATGGCAAGTGTCACGTATGGCCCGGCACTTGCCGTGACCGCGAGGCCTCAGCAGCCCGTCAAGCGTGCTCCTGCTCCTCCCGTCTCCCCCGAGGTCAGGAAAGCCATGACTCTTGCTCGTCAAGAGAAAGAGGCGAGGATCCGCGAGCGGATCGCGCAATGGCACGAGCAAACTGCTGCGTTCGCCCGGCAGATGGCTCAAGACTTCGGGAAGACGGAGGGGTACTTCCTCCACCTGCTTTTCTCTGGCTCCGTGAACACGAAGAACACTCGCAAGCCGAACGCTTACAACGCGTGGTCTAGTTCAGTAGCCAAGGCTGCGAACGAAGGTGAGTTGCTAGTATATCACGATGCAGAGCCGTCTTATCCCGGTGTCGCACTAGGAGCAGCTGCAGGCAAGTCGCAATCTCTGCTCGACGTTCAGAGGGACCATAAGGAAGCATACAAAAATCTTACGCCCGAAGCGAAGGCGGAGCTCGTCACGCTTTTAGAGGAGACCCGGGCGTCGCGGCAGTATGGTGTTCGTCTCTCAGCTCGGGCCAAGCACAACGACATCATTCGCACGTCGGCGAAGTTGGATGCGATGGTAGGTACTCGAACTATGGTCATCAGTTGCTGCTCACGCTTCTACACTAGCTGTTCGGTCTCAAGCTGCGTACGGGCGTCGAAGGATTCACTTGTATCTTCAAGGGCGACGTCGACATTACCTTCGCCCCGCGCTGGTATTTCACGAACTCGGACATCAACACCTACCTTGGTCAGGCAGTGCGTAGAGGGTGGGACATCCAGGCAATCGGGGCACTGGCCGAGGCGTTTGCAGTTGCTGGGTGCGACTTTATGAGTGCGTTCATTTAATACTCGACGAAGGCAGACACTTACTGTTCTTTGATAGGGTTCCTTCGGACTTCTAAGGATCGCGCAGACTATATGAAGTCAGAGATCCGTGACCTCGTGCAAAGTCAACTCGGTATGTTACACTCTGCTCGATGGGTGTCCCGATACTTACAGATGCACTCGCAGTCGAGCTGACTGGCAATGAGAAGATCAAGATGAACTATCTTAACTTCGAACGCGACTTCATTGTTAAGCAAGGAATCGACGTCTTAGGCTGGACCCACGACAAGTTCATCAACCCGTCCGACATGAGCACAAGCCTCCCCCCTCTTCGTAAACTCGTTGACGCGCTCAAGAATGGGTCTTGCAAGTTTGTTCGCCTGTCGCCGGCCGATCATCGCGTGCGAGAGAAGGAGTATTATTGAAAGGTTGAGGCCGGGGATGTCGCACCTCGTAAAGAGTGTCAGGACAAGGGCATCGCACGGGGAAAGCGCAGCCGTTCCGACGCGCGTGATGATGAGGATGATAGCCAGGAGACCGAGCAACCCGACGAGAACGTAGCGGAGGCCCCGGGCCCACCGCAGAAGCGTCGTCGGACGTCGAAGGCTGTGTCGAAGTCGAAGGCTGCGTCGAAGCCAAAGGCCGCGGCGAAGAACCATCCCAAGAGTGCACCGTTCGTCGAGAACGACAAGTAGGGCATTCGTACCTGCTTCCATTCGAGTATGTTGTCACTGCACACTGTCTTGCTCTCGTCGTCGTATGCTACTACCCTCGCTGTATGCTTTCGTCCTTGCTCTGTCTAATGCTTTTGTACGCGTTGTCCCATGCTGTTGTCATGTTGTCAGCTATCTCATGTTTCTTCTTGACTTACCCCATGTGTGATGGCTACTATACACGTTGCTGGCCAAGCACAATATACTGGACTTGGACATGACTCGATGAGCGCGAAGATAGCCATGATGAGAAGCACGAACCAGTGGTGCCTGCGATTACCAAAAGCAGTAACCCAGTTGTGGCAACACGTGCTGTGCCTGAGTAGTCGTGGCAACACACGCTGTGCCTGAGTAGTCACTGCTCTCACGTACACGCACCGCGGAGGCCGGTAGCCTCGTGGCCTCACTTCCCTAATGTGGACAATGACTCAGCCTCGCAAGCCTGAGTGATTGCCCTCTTGGCAGTGTGCGAATGCCGGTGTATGAGGGACGTCATACCAGACATCGCACAGACCACGTGTAGGTACCGGCGGAGGGTGGCAGCGCCAGGCGGGACAGCCGGGGACGAGGGAGCGCCGGCGGGCAGCGGGCAGCGGGGCAGTGGTGGCGGGAAGCGCCGGCGAGGTCGGGACGAGGCAGTGGCGGCGGGAAGCGCCGGCGAGCACGGGACGGGGCGTGATGTGCTCGCAAGCGCCGGCGAGCACGGGACAGGGCGTGATGTGCTCGCAAGCGCCGGCGAGCACGGGACGGGGCGTGATGTGCTCGCAAGCGCCGGCGAGCACGGGACGGGGCGTGATGTACTCGCAAGCGCCGGCGAGCACGGGGTGGTGGCCAGAACGGGCCCGCAAGCGCCGGCGAGCACGGGACAGTGACCAGAAACGGACTCCGAGAACATCGGAGAAGGATCGGGAGATCTAGCCCGACTCACGGGGACGGAGGTGAGCGGGCATCCCAATTGGGAAGAACTCACGTGCCCTAGACAGCGAGCACCATTGCGAAGTCAATATTCTTCACGGAAATCTTCAAGGGTAAGGAGATTGAGTGATAAGGGCACATACTAGTGCCGACTGATCGGTCGGTCCGACATCACTTATTAGTCAGTAAGTGTGGGAACGGTAGGTGACGAACAACTCTTCCAGCCTGAGTGAAGGTCTCGTGTGCATCGACGACTGTGAGTCTCCGTTGCAGACCATCATGATAATAGCCGGCAAGCGTGGCACTGTCGGGAACCTCCAGGAGCATGCGCTTCCATAATGACCGACATCGCGTGCCGTTTGGATCCTTCGTGTCCCGGCCTTAGCTGTCAGTGCCGCTGATCAGACCAAGATCAGACTTCTCGTGTACATTGTCCACTCGCCCCACTGCACCCCCTCCCCCAGTGTTCCTCGCATCATCGATCGCCAAGTGCATTACTGATTGTCTGTGACCTAAGCACTCCTAAGCAGCAGTGGCGACATACTTAATCGATACGGATGTCAGCGTATAAAGAAGCGAGCGCAAGCCCTAGTCCGGACGTTCGCGCGCCACAGGCCAACCTCCCGTTGTCGCGAGCTATACGCTTGAAAAATGCCCCTTCCCGAGTCTCCACTCATCATCTATGTAGGATCCATCATATCCAAAGACAATCTGACTGAGTACCTGGCCGGTATGTACAGCATGCTCTACTGACAAACACACAAACTAATGTCTGATTATCCAAGATCGACGACGTCTGGGTATCAAGTACAGAAGCTTCATCACATAAGTACTTACGATTGGACGTTCGATAATGGTTTTCGACGATGAGTATTAGAGCTGGTAGTGCCACCAGCTCTAATGCTCGTCGACGCTACCGCTGCATCGACTTCGGCCTCGGAGTTCAGCCTTCGCTGCTTCTGTAGTCGGGTATTTTTCGCGGGAAACTATGGGCTCAGCGGTGCGATCTTCGGGTGCGGGATGCTTTGACGAACGCCGAGTTGTGCGGGTTGTGCGATCTTGAGCGTGGCCTCTTTGTTCTAATTGCAGTGGCGATGGGCGGGATCGTCTGGTCAAGCTACATGTTAGCGACTAGCAATTACGATCCGAGAATACATGAACGTACCGAGGACCGACGTGGAGGATAGCCATACTTTCGGTAGTCAATAAATCCGTGTGCCACTCACTTTGATTGTGCTGGTCTTGTCTCGGTTGAGGAGACAGTGGCGAACTCTGAACTATCGTCCAATCTTCATCTGAACGAGGTATGCCTGCGTCTACCGCGACCTCAGGGATAGCATCCACCCCGAATCCAGACACCTGTTGAGGAGACAAGACCAGTGATCGAACGTTGCTTGGGCCCCTAGAACAATGCATGAATGATTGTCAGCTATGATTGTGCGTACACTACACACTGAGGCCTTCCGCTTACGCTGTCGGCGAGGCCACCTTGGCAATATCCTTTGTCGCTGAACTCGAGCTGCTGGCGCCTTGGGACACCGCAGGGGCTGGCGAGCTTTGTCGTTCTCTTTTAGGGCCACATTGGGAGCCCAAGTTCGAAAACACGTCTTGCCTACACATCGTAGTGGTCAACATACGCGTCTCTGGAACGCACCGGCCACCGACGTACCATCTACCTTGAGCCACACGGTTCGCGTAGCCATACCGCCGGGATTGTACAGTAGGATCGAGACTGGGACAAGGGCGCGTCAGAACATTGCGTGGTTCGACGAAGGGCGTTCAACGTACGTGTAGAAGGTCGCCGTTGAGAAGGCCCCGGACAAAGTTGCATGTGGCCGGTGGCTGGACGCTGGAGATAAAGAGGAGTGGTTGATAGTCGGCAAGTTGAGTGGCAACTCGGCGAGTATGGTGAACATGTTGGTGATGTCGTCTTGCACCAGGCGAGGAGTCTTCGAAAGGAGTAAAGAGGTGTGTGGATGATGGGAAGAGAGCAGGAGCGTTTTGGGGGCTAAGAGGCAGCGCAGCCACTTATAAAGGTGTCGAATCGGGACCAAACAAAGCAACCCGTCAGTTCCGGCTGAGTGGCGACAAACAAAGGTCTGCCACGAACGGCCCGTGAACAATGGTTTGCCCAAACGAACCTGGATACTGGATGTTCTCTTACAGTTTGCGCAGACCCGGCTGAGGGATTGAATACCTTTGACCCCCGCAAACGCGGCCGCGCGCAACATCTACTACCTGGCTTGACATGAACATCTCGCAAATGAACCACAGGCGGCGAGCGTACTCACCGCCTCGTCGCCGTCATCTTCCTTCTTATGCCACCCCATAGACGCCAGGCTTTCGGGCGCACAGATGATGCCGAGATGAACTCCAGTCACGAGCGAGTGCATTGTGCCAAAGATCAAAGGCTACGAAAGTCAGTCTCATTTCGCCACGTAGTGTACAACTTTGCCTTGCACTTGCACTTATTCGAATTCACAAGTCATCATACCCAGGCATCCCCGACTTCCTCTTCTCAACACCACGGCTCGGTGCCCCAAGCCTCACGAGCACCTCCGCCCACGCACAGCACATCCCCGCGACGCCTTCATACAGGCTGTACGGCTCATCGGGCACATACATCTCGCCCTTCCGTTCCAGCGCGCCGTACTCCGTGGCCAGGTGCGCGAGGTGCACCGCACGCACGAGCCAATAAGTGTCCCCCCGAGTTGAGCGCGCCAGAGACGGCGAGGAGGGCGTACACGCTGGTCCGATCGCGGAGGGACGACGAGATCGTCAATGAGCATGACTGCGCGGTTCGATTGAGGAACATGGACAGCAGCATGAGCACGCCGGGGGCGCCATGGCACCACCTGAAACCGACCCTTGGTAAGTCTTCCAGAGGCTAGGGAGCTGAAGACTCACTGCAACAGCTCGTGACGATCATCCTCGCCGATGCTCACGCGCTTCGCCTCTGTGCTTATCGCTGTTCCGCCAACGACGTGACACAAGTGCCTTCCAGCGTTTGAAGCTCAGTTCCAGAGCGGCTCCTGAATAGCAAGCAGCCATTCGACCATTCCGACGATGTCTGACCGGTGCGGATGAATGATGCTTGACGGCGCTAGCACGAGCATATGGAGGATCCCAGCTGTGTTGAGTCGGGTCAGTATCAGTCATCTTTACTTGATCACCGTTACTTACCGACACCGTGCGCGCCTCCAAGGTACCGAGGGCTGTGCCATCTCCACATGAAGGGAGGGATGTACATCTGACAGACCATCTATTAGACAGCGTTCTCGATTTCGTATCTTGCAGCACATACCTGCAGAGCCGATGTATAAACCAGCTTGGGTAGCCGAGTGCCTGTGGACACGCCTCATGTTGAAGACCAGTGCATCTTGGACGTCCCCCTGCAGAGCCCGCAGGTCGGAAGGTGGCTTGTTGGAGTACGCAATATATCAAGGAGTGAACATCTCTAGCTGGCTACCAACATCAGTTGATGGCTGTTTGAGCTCAGAAATATATTCACTTGTAAAAGTAGGAACGAGCCATTGCAACGTACCCAGTTGGGATGAAAGTGAGTTCAAGTTCACGCTCACCTTTGCCCCGAGTTTCCGCCTGGATTGCTCCTCAAGCCCTACAGCCTCCAGGCGTGTTATTGAATCCGTATCGCGAGGTACCAATCGTTTGGTCTTGAATTGCATACAGTGATAGAAGTCGTATTCAGCTTCGGTGTACAAGATTGGTGAAGGTCCATGATTTATCTGCGTATTCGGTGCATCCTCATTTGGCGATACGGGAGCTCTCACAGGGTGGAGGTGGTACAAGGATGAACTGCAATGTTTATGAGAGCAAAATCGAAATATGGTACGGTCTGTACTCATGTACGCCGCCAGAGCGAGTTTAGCAACCGTCACTTGGACTGTGAAATTCAAGGACACGTGTTTTGGTGGGGAGACATCCCAATTGCCATATTCGGTGACAACGCCAGTTGACCTCGACAGCTCACCTCTGCTCATAGCCATCGTGAGCCCGGAGTACTCCTGCATGGCACGTATTACATACTGAGCTCGATGTGTTTCGGCTTACAAGCCTAGGCGAATACTTATTGTCAGGTACTTTGGGCCAGTGGCCGCACGCCGTGTACTCAAGATCGGAAAGGTGACGTGGCATTACTGGCATAGTGTACGGAGCGTCTATTGCGGACTGCATCTACTTATGTATACTCTCTGAGTATCTACTTCAATTTGCTTCTGGTGATAATGTCCACGAGTCTGAATGGCAACCGTTGCGACTCCTGAGCCCTTGAGGCCTGGAAGCCCGAGTCGCTCGGAGATGTCGAACAAAGTTCTCTCAAGCTTGTCTGCAACTGGTGCTTCATTACTACTGTGGCTGACCCAGCTTTGCAAAACGGACCAGATATGCAAAATGACGATTCTGCCCTCACACAGGGCCAAACCTCTTCGGAAAAAAAGGGTTTGAATTGCTTTGTATGCTATCATTATTGTATCAGATGCTCAGAGGGCGGGACGCGATACGCGTGGAAAGAAAAATGCAATGCTCTATTTTCGGCGGGAGGGTGAGTCTCGTTTGCACGGCTGCCGACAGCATGTTCCTGCCTTCGTAAACACACAAAAATATTCATGCATGCAATCAATAAGTATAAGAATGGTACTATGAGAAAAAACCCCGCGGACCCTCCGATTTGAAGTGTGCGGGACAGCTTTGCAAACGCGTTTGCAAAGCTGGGTCAGCCACAGTAAGTACGAACGCCTTCGCAACATTGATTGGTAAGTGGTACTTAACTTGAAGTATACGGTCAGGTACTGTATCTTACTCAGGTTCGTCCCTGGCTAGCCATGCGGGGCCCACAAATCCAGATGGACGGCCTGTTCGCAGACAGGATGTCGACATACGGTGTGCCGCGGTCAGTGCGGCGATTACTCAGCCTATCCGGTCACCGGCCACCCTCCGTCGCGACGTGAGCTTCTGGGCGAATGGGTCGGTGTACGCCCGGAGATACAATTAAGCTTATGGCCGGGACACATAAATAAGAAGTGCCGATGCTGCTAAGTACACATCGACCATCACCAAAGAATCCACGCCATGTCTACATCAGCCATACCCAAACTCTTCCAGCCTACGGTAGTCGGCAAACACGCTTTGTCGCATCGCATTGTACTTGCGCCGCTAACACGCTTCCGCGCGAACAAGGAACACGTACCGAGCGAGCTTGCCGCAGAGTATTACGCTCAACGTGCGACTGTGCCGGGGACACTCCTCATCACAGAAGGCACATTCATTTCTGCCTCTGCGGGTGGACTCGACAATGTACCTGGCATCTGGAACGACGAGCAAGTCGATGCATGGAAACCGGTAGGTGCAGCTGGTGTACGTCAACGGAGTGTGTGCTCACTCGCATGAACGTCAGATTACAAGCGCCGTACACGAGAAGGGTTCCCGGATTTTCTGCCAGCTTTGGGCGTTAGGTCGTGGCGCGACCCCTGAAGTCCTGGATGCAGAAGGCCTGCCCTACGTCAGTGCATCCAATATCAAATTGTCCAACAGCAATAGAACGCCACGAGCGTTGACCATCGAAGGTAAATAAATGACTAGCTGTTTCTTTCTGTCTGTCTGACTCAGTCTTCTATGTAGAAATCAAGGAATACGTCGGGGCGTATACGACCGCTGCAGTCAACGCGGTCCGCGCTGGCTTCGACGGTATCGAGCTTCATGGTGCCAATGGCTACCTCATCGACCAGTTTCTGCAAGACACCAGTAACAAGCGGACAGATGAGTACGGGGGCTCCATCGAGAACCGTTCACGCTTTCCGCTGGAAGTTATTGAGAGCGTCGCGAAGGCCATTGGGGCCGACAAGACCGCCATCCGCCTGAGCCCTTGGGGCTTCATTCAAGGTGAGCTCCAGCCATGCATTACTTCGAATAGACTTACCAACGAATTTTCCGCCAGATATGCGTATGGACGATCCGATACCAACCTTTGCGTATTTTGTCTCTGAGCTTGCTCAGAAGTACTCCGACCTCGCCTACATCCACGTTGTCGAGCCACGCGTAAACGGAGTGACAACGCGCGAAGTCCAGCCTGGAGAGGTGCGTTCAATTGAGAAGGTGTGGCTGCATTGCCTCTGACCTACACATGACGTACAGACAAATGACTTCCTCCGGTCAATCTGGAGACCCCGCCCGTTCATCAGCGCAGGTGGTCATACAAGAGACAGCGCCTTTGATTTCGCAGAGCGCAATGACGACCTTGTCGCCTTCGGTAGATTATACATCTCGAACGTGAGCCTTTCATATGCGTCACACGAGTGAGGAACGCTGACAGAACGCTCGGCGTGCAGCCCGACTTACCAATTCGCATCGCAAGAAATCTGCCGCTCGTCAAGGGTAATCGCGAGACGTACTATGGTTTGGGCCCTGTTGGCTATATTGACTACCCGTTCGCGGAGGATGCCTTTGCCAAGCTGTGATCGGATGTATGCACCCGGTGTCCAATAGATGTGTGATAATCAGCCTGAGTCATTGAACCTCGGCCTGAGATGCGCATATGCCCAATCATACCCGGAATCATATCATGGGAGACGGATCCATAACAGATGCTTTTCAGGATTCATGGTCTTAGAACGAAGGCTGGGGGATGCAGTCGCTCTTCCGTCGTCAAGGTGCCGGATTGCTTGGTGCGTTCAATGTCTTCTCGTGTGTTCAGTGTATCAATACTAAGCGTCCCGCCATAACAGTACTCAAAGCAACGAAGATGCGCAGGCTGCTATCCAAAGGTGTTCCGTACTTGTGTATAGTGACTAGATGTAAAATTAACCTTTCCTGCAGGTGCGCAGTCGCGGCCGCACAGGCTGACCAGACTGCGTTCAGAAAGGCTGGGATGCAGTATGAATGCACGGGTGCTGTACTACTTGTAGTGCTCCCCGGCATTGCTGACAAACTTCCATCTCTTTATGGCTCGCGAACCCGAGCCTTACCACTGTTCAGATTAGAGCCCCATATGGCATTTTGAACTGTGCTATTCTCACCGGTTACTCTCGCTCGGCTGTCATCCGTTGGCACATGTCTGAAGCCTAATATTTCTGACCGACCGGCTACTTTACAGTGATCGACACGCCCGGTTTCGAATTCATTTCATGCGACTTTCGGCTCCGTGTCGCGGTTATGGTGCTTGCGCAGGCCTACGCATACGGAATGCGATCTCAGGACGGTGAGATCTGTCACGTAATACATGGGATTGCTTATGGACCTATGTAGTATTTTAGAATGTCCTAGATTTACGGAGGGGCTCCAATTAGACCTCAAGTATCCGTATTTTCCACGATTTCTCCGCGGATGCTGCACCCTGTGAACGGACCATGAGGTTTGCCTCGTTCTGTCCAAACGCGTCGCTCCCACTGGTCGGGGTTCTCTCCGGAGGCTGTAACTCTGAAAGGCAGAGGGCGGCCGCAAATTGGTTGCTGCGCTTCGATCTGAGCGGTTTGGAGGCGATCGTCGTGAGTAGAGTGATCATATCCTTGCAGTACACTCTGATTGAAGATCTGATAGTCTTGCTTCATCGGCCGCACAGGAGTACGACGTGCGAGACGCATCCCAAACTTCATTCTGAACGCGTCATCCTAGTGTGCGGATTCTCACATGCATCAGCCGCCCATTCAGATTTCGGTCTGTCGGAGTATCGACCTAGTTGCGACGTCTGCGCTGCTGAGGTGTTCCGGAAACGATGGCGGTGTGCTCATTTGCGCCCCGGTGCTTCTCGTGTGACCGAGTACGGACGTCCTATATGAGGGTGCTCTCGTCTGCGCAGCATCCACTATGTGCGAATTGCTCTGGCACCTGCCCCCTCCTGACGGCCCGCCATGGCAGCAGGCATACCAATGTTGTCCGTCATCCTGGTGACGATCTGCATCGAAAGTCTCTTGTATGGCATTTTCTTCGTGCTCTCTGTCATCTCGCTGTACATCTTGGCACGTCGGCAAGAGGACATGGTTAACGCCGCACTCAATGTCAGAGGCAAACGACGCGCGGCTTACATGACGCCGATGTCAGTAGCCGCGGTATTCCTCTTCATCACTAACACAGCCGTAGGTAGCTCTCCTCTCATATGTCGGGGGGCCTACTTTGAATGATACATGGTTTTCTCAGCACTGGATTGTGGCCGTCTATCGCCTCTTCGCGGGATTCATGCTTCACGAAGATGGAACGCAAGCGATAGCCTACTACACCAACCCATCTCAGCCGACTGAGGTGACACAGAATACATTGCTCATGTTTTCACTGATCATCGGTGATGCAATGATTGTAAGCATGCGACATTTTCCTCCATGACCAAACCTAATCCAACCTCGAACGACAGATCTATCGGCTTTGGCTAGTTTGGGCATACTACATCCCCGTCACCGTCTTTCCGATCTCCACACTTATTGGGTTAGTAGGTACGCTCGTCAGTGTTGATTCCCGTGCCAACTGCATTAATGTTCCGTGATAGTCTGCGCCGTCGGGTCAATTTATCGGGCTGCTATGTCGAAACCCGGTGAGAATATTTTCGCGACGGCCACTGGTCGCTGGATCACAGCGAACTGTGTCTTCACATTATGGTACGTTCGTGCCTTATGTGTCAAACCCACTTTCATGCAACCAGTTTTTGTTCACTGGCAGTACGAACGTGTACAGCACAGGTGAAGTTCCTTGCCATTTCCTCCAGCTAAGTTCTCGCGAATTGAAGTCACCTTTCTTCAGCTACAATTGCTTGGCGTATCTGGGACGCCAATAGGCGAGTGAGAAAGTTTGGTGGCTCTAGTCTCATGGTGCGTAGAACATCGGCCATGTGCATGACCTTTTTGACACTCAAACCATGTCGCAGGGCGTCGTTGGAATACTGATCGAGAGTGCCGCTCTCTATACGTGCGTACTTCATGCACGCCTCTCATTCAGGACATATTAATCAACCGGCCGTAGCGTCTGGACGATTCTTTTCTTCATAACCTATCGTGTCCAGTCTAATCTGCAGTACTTCGCCAGCGAGACGTACTGCGTGATAGCCGGCATTACGTTCATGCTCATTCACGTTAGAGTGGGCTTGGGATGGGAACAGCGTGCGCAGAGTAGCCACGACGGGTCCGTGGACTTGGTCGCCACGCGAGATAGCAGACAGAACTCTTACGGACCACCAAGCCGGGTCGCTGTGAACATCACACGTATAGTTCAACGCGACAACGAGTACGAGTCCGGTGCTTCAATCAAGTTCGCACCAAACAGTGATGTCGACCTGCCACTGGCAGGCCATTCATAGTTATTCCGCGGTGTAATGATTATATACCCTGTCGTGATATAATAGTGGTTGCTACTGCAAGTCTGCGACCTCATGCCGCGCTATACACGACCGCTCTCCACTCAATTGGACAAGGATGTGGTTGGGATCTGTATAAGTACAGGAACACCGCATAACTGTGGCAGCCACAAATACAGGACGACTCGGGATCCTCAATACATACTCACGCAGGCCGTTCCGGAAATGTCACAGCAGATTGATTATGAGCTACTGACGGAGCAGTTGGAGCTAGATAGCTGAGACAGTCTATTCGTGCATGTATCGAGGAGGAGAGAGACAAAGTTTTAGAGTCCGTTAAGTACACGACTTGTAAACGCACTACTCGAGACAACATGCCGAGGGTGCACTAAAATGCGCTAGATAATAAGCAATTGATGCGGGGACAAACACTGTACTGCGGACAACAAACTGGCGAGAGCGAGCACCGTGGTCTGCGGTGCGAACGCGGACACACAACCGAGACGAGCAAAAGAGCGGACGGTACGATATCAACGTACACAAAACGAGCGGGGACGATAAGCCACGATGTCAGGCAAGTGTCCATGTCCAACGTGGTATCATGGCCGGTGGTATATCGAACAGCGAAAAGCGTCGTGAGAGCACAGGCGGAGGCATGAGTGGACGTGAGCGTGTATACAGACCATCAGTAGGAGAACACCATCAGCCACGGGTTCAGCACAACCTAAAGGAACGCAATAAGCATCGCACGCAAGCTGACAGGGCAACAGCGACTCACTGGGTACAGCAGGTGGCATCCGATCTGGATCGACAACGGGAAGATGACGGCCCATGCTGACCCGTCGATGCGCCACTGCACGGGCACTAATGATGTCGACAGGATGATCAGGGCCGCCGTGAGCAGAATGCAAATCAGCCACGGCACCCAGAACCTCTTGAGGATCTTCGGGATCTCCTCGAAGAAGTTCGACCGCTCGACCTCCTTCTTCGTCGCACCCCACGAGATGTTGTATGAGAACAAGTGGGCGAGAATCGCCTGGCTGACGGGGATCGACAGACCACCGAAGAAGAAGAAGCTGTCCGACACGTCAGTCCTCAGCCGCGACACAACCATCCGCGCTGGACTCACAAGTATGGAATCCACATAACGTTGATGAGGAAGGACTTGATCAGCGGTTCTTCGCCGAGACGGTACTGGAGCAAGGTGTAGCCGACGTTGCCGGAGCCGATGAACACGACGGTCGTCGCCAGCCAAATCTCGAACGAGTGCATGTAGTAGCCGTCGACGGGAAGCTCGAAGCCGAGGAGGATGTAGTTGATGACACCGATCGTGATCGAGCACGCGATACCGTAGTACGAGAACATGTACGACATCATCGAGAACTTGTAGTGCAGCGGCGCGGACGACCAGAGGAACGAGTGGATCTCTCTCGCGATCGGGCCCTTGCGCCACCACTGAGCGATCGGGTTGAACAGCAGTTCGTTACAGCCGTACGCGTACTTTTGCCATCGGTTCAGCTCGTCGTCGCACGTCAAAGACACACCTTCCTTGAAACCACCGAGGGAGTACGTCGCCCATCGAATGATGAAACCGCGCTTCTGGAGCCGCATCGCCATGTCGAAGTCCTCCGACACGTTGCTCTCGGACCAGATCTTCTCCTGGCCGTCCGCGCGGTCGATGAACGCGGCGTCCTGGACGGCCCTCCAGCGAAGGAACGCGTTGTGCCCGACGAACGGCGCGACCTCGCCGTTCGCGCACGCGTACGAGATACACTTGTTGATACGCCGGGTGAAGTACGCGATGCCGTTCTCGAAGTAGTGGTGTGCGACCTGCATAACGTCCGACTCGTGCTGGATGACGCCGACATCGGGGCACTCCGCCATCTCGCGCGCCGCGTCCCGGAAGCAGTCCTCCGGCACGATGGTGTCCGAGTCGACGATCAGGATGATCTCGCCAACACGGCACGCACGTCCGTTGGCAGCCCAAGGGCGGAACTTGCGACCGCTCGACTCGTAGACCTCGTCGATGGCCAATTGCAGCGCGCGCTCCTCGAGCTCCCAGTCTTCTGAGTTGACCTTCTCGTCGTCCTCGCCGCCGAAGCCGACGACGCTGGCGTTGCCGCCGTCCCGGTGCTGGTACTGCATGCCGTAGCGCTGCTCTGCGTCATGACCGAGTGAGTCGCTCTTCCGGGGGCCGCGCTCCTTCTCCTCCGCGAGCAGCTTCTCGAGGTGCGTCTCGGCAATCAGCGAGAGCCTCAGACCGTAGTTCATGTTCGAGGCCTTCTTGAACCGCCCCGCACGCTGGAATCCGTCCGGCGCATCATCGTGCTTCGGCCGCGCGACCCAGCCAATGCCGTGGTTGGCGTAGAACGCTATGCGCGTGTCACGCTCCTCGACCGAGAGCAACTGTCACGCCGGCATCAGCGACCCGCACAGCAAGCGTACGTCGGAACTTACCCTGAGACCATCGTCGTTAACGAAGATTGTGGACGTACCACCTTGCCGGGCATACGTCTGCATCGCCTTCTTGATTGACTCGATAGATGGCGCCCTGACATCTCCGGTCAACAATCGCATAGCCCATAAGCCCGAATGGGAACTCACAAGACAGTTTCCAAAGATTCCTTGTACACCGGCATCTGAATCGTGATGTGCGGCAGATCGTTATCCACGATCTTGTTCGGCCGGGGCTTGACGGCGGAATAGTACTTGGAGTTTTCGTGGTACTGCGCGATGGGACCGATGGCCATGGACACGTTCTGGATGATCTGGAGGGCGAAAAAGAGCGACACACAGTACAGGAATGGCATCGTCGCCACGAGTGCAAACCGAACGAAGTTGTTGTCGAGCCGCCACTCGGCGAGCAGCGTCTTGAAACCGTTGCCGATGAAGTCTGTACACGCGCCATTAGCCTCGCAAACGAATCCACAGAGCACCCACTCACAGACAGAGAGACCCGCTGCAAGCCCATTGTAAATAGGCGCATACAATAGCGCAGGCCGCTTCTGGGGGAGCGCGTTGTCCAGCTCGCTCATGTCGGGGCCCTCGATGATGATCGTCTTCTTCTTGCCGTACCATGTCCGTATGGTCTTCGTCTTGACGACAGTCTCCTCGACGCCAGCCCCTTTCTCGATGTCGTCCTTGCCCATGAGCAGACTCATGCGGCCCATGCCGCGGGGGGTGCCAGGGACGCCCGGTGTGCCCGGTGCTGGTGGCAGTTGACTGCTTGATCGACCTGAACGGTAGAGTGAGTTACCAGATCCAGAGCCTATATCAAAGAAACAATATCAGCACCGGTACCGTACCAGCCCAGCCACGAAGATACGCAAGAAGGGCCCACGAAGTAGAACGGGCCCTCCAAAGTACAGTAGCACTTCATGAAAAGAAAGAAAGCAACTACTACCTACCAAATGTCCTGAAGAGAAATGCACGAGACACCATCCTACGAGAACTAACTAGCTCTCACGCGGTAAGGGGTTTTTCACTCACCACTGATGCTCGCAGGGTGACTGCTTGAGCTCGCGCCGTGGCTGCCCACTGCGTTTGGTCTTGATCGCCAGAGCAGCTTGATGAGGCGTTCCTCGAAGTCGTGGCATGTCGGGATGATGTCGTCGATCGAGTCTGACCAGACGACAAGCACACGCTCGTCACGCTGAGGACAAAACACTGGTGAGCCTCCGTCCCAGATTTGCGGTCCAAGCAATCAGAAGCGAATTAGGCAGACAGTCACGAAGGAGATGAGTATCGAAGATTCGAGTCCGCATCAATCGAAACGGGGCGACGGGTTTTAGTGGATATTGATCCGTACGAAGTCGAACAAAGAGAAACCGCACAGAGTCCCACACTGGCCGACGCAGGTCGTGCGTAAATGCATTTTTTCCCCTGGAGTACCGGAACGGGGAAACCCGCTAGCAGGCTGGGCTCCCGGGGCTGACCCATCGTCAGTTGCCGGAGTCCGCTATGGCCCTCCAGAAAAAAAAAAAGAAACGGGGCGACGAACGCACAGTAAAATGACAGCGGAAACGGCTGGTCCATCCCAGACCTGAACAGGGAACTTGTCGCTATAAACAAGCTCTCCACACCGCACTGGCATGCAGCCCGGTCTGATCAAATGCCGCGTTCGGCAGTTCATCCGGGCCATCATTTCGACAGAGGACTTGGCTCCTTCATCTCATCCTCCTGGAAGCTCCCACAAAAGCGCCCTATCTGAACACTCGACGACAGAAGGTGCACATACACGCGTATGCACCGGAGAATGCGGTAGACAGTTAGAGTCCCTCCACCGGGCAGCATAGCACAGCTTAACCAAGCTTGCACGTATGACAGAAGTCAGCAGGGCGGCTCCGACCGTTTTTGGGTGTACACCCTGGCCCCCATGATCGACGATCGTGGCAGCGATCATACCCGCGTCGCGGTCACCACCAAAACGCCGCACGACAACGAGCGACGCGTCGTGGTAATTGCTGTCCTCGGGCAAGCCCACCTGCGCATTATGGACGGTGTGCTTTCTCCCATAAGCTCCACTCGCCCGTCATCACATCTAAGCCTATATCGTCGGCCCCGCGCCTGCGTCCATCTGTGCACCTGAGAACTATCGACACAGTCCGCATGCAGAACTGCCTGTGACAAGGCAAGTATAGCGGATGCGGCCGTTGCCATGTACCCATCGAACTTTATTTGACGGGGAGCGTCGTTTTTCCATCCTGCACTGATGCAACACGAACCAAAGGCGCATATATGCATGCAAGATGCACGAGGAGAAAGGAGAGGAACAGGAGAAAGAAGGAAACGGAGAGCTAGACTTGTAGACACTCACAACGAAGGCCGCGTTCTGCTCCTTGTCCGCGGTGGGGAGGTCCATCATCGTCTCAATGATTTGGATACGCGTATTTGCGTCGACATAGATTGACCTGTCATCGGGGCCACTGTAGAGCAAAGATATGGTTAGCGCGACTGCTCACCACCACGAGGGCGCTCATGCTGCGGCGGGCTGGCGCGTAGGCATCGGCACGATAAGTCTTGCAAGCATGCACCCACCGCACACCGACCTCGCCACCGCACACCGGCCTCGCCACGCAAGCACGGAAGACGCGAAAAGGCTGCTCACACTTCTGCCAAAGCTGCATGCACGGATGCGCTGCGGACCTTGATGGCGACGGCCGGGTTCAGCGCAGAGACCGCTGCCTCGAACGGCTCGAGAGCGAGGTTCTCATAAGGGAAGACACGGAATTCTGGGCCATTGTCGACACGGAGCGCGACACCGGCGGAGAGGTTGTCCTCGTTGGGGCGGAACCACGCGTCGCCCTGAGTTTGCTTGAAGATGTGGTGGAGGAAGGCATCGTAGCGGTCGTAATCCATCGCGGCTGGCTCTTGCGGGCTGCGAAGCGATGGTACAGGCTAACGACGAGGTCGGATAAAGAGGGCGGGTCGCCGGGCGCGAGGGCGGGGAGAGGGGAGACGACGGCGGAGGAGAGGAGCAAGCGAATGAAAGGAAAGAAAGGCAGGAGTTCGCACGTCCGGCGAACGGTCAGTGGGGCTCTCCCGCATGTCACCCTTCCCTTATTTCCCAAGGCGCCAATCTCGGACCCTCCAGGCGCTCCCATTGGCCTTCCCTATTTTTGGGCCGGAGACGCCGGCCGCCGGCCGCCACGCCGCCCTTATCGTCCGCCAGCCGGCCTATGCCGGGTCGAGGCGCCGTGCCACAGCCCCGCCCTCCGTCCGAGCACCCGCTCGCCCGCCTGCTGTGCCCGCCGCCCCGCCTGCAGACGTCGGCGAGGCGGACGGCGGGCGACGGGCAGACGGCGACCGCCGGCCGCTGTGTACGCAGGAGCAGATGAGCACGAGCATTGAATATCGTTGCCTTGGAAGATTCGCAACATTGCGCAGCCTGTCTATCTAGCCTCCCATAATTCCTTTCACACATCACCTCGTCGCTCGGATACACTGCGAAACCTGTCACGCTCTGGCAGTCCCGTCAGGTACGCGTCCGCCGTGCGACTGTCGCCGACGTAACTCGGCCTCCATGTGCAGGATGAATTGCCTATGTTGGTCTACATATCGCGGGCTGCATATCGCCTTCGCTCGAGGATTCTGCTTCGCGATCCTCGAAGGCTACCTCCACTCTATCTGCACGCCAAGCCGACTCTGTTTGTAACCGTACCCACGTCCGCAAGATAGACAATTTACATCCGTAAGGGAAACGCTTTAGCTGTGCAAAGCCCTATCTTATTATGCCCGGATCGAACTTCGAAGCGCACGTCGACAACGTCAATGTCCTTCCGCCGGTTCCAGCGCATTCGTGTGCAGTACATTCCAGAGCGCGAACATGCCTCGCCTCCCGCATTCTTTCCAATGCGAACAGTGTCCCAATCCAGCCACCGGCCGGCTCTGATTGAAGGTCATCCGCGTCGCACCTTGTATGAATTGACATTGTTCGCCTCAGCGCTTCAATTCCTCCTTCACCACCTCTCGGACCCTTCGGGCTCCTCAGGCTCGCAAGCACTCCTCCATCCTCCTCGTGTCCTTGGAAACCACACACGACCCTGCATCCCCACTCCAGCCACGAACACGCCTGGAAGAAATTTACACCAGCGCATTCGTCACAGCGGACGTCATCTCCTCCCGGGCTCGGACGTTTTTCGCAGCAGGCACTCGCGCCCGTTCAGGCAATGCAGGCGCCGGAGACCCCGGCGACCGCCCGCACTGCCCGGTGGCGAGCAACGGTACGGGACCGAGGAAGCACCGCAGCGGCGTTGGGATCACGGACGGGCACACGCCTGGGCGGCCAGGCCGGAAGTGATGGTGATCACCGATGAGTTTGATCTCCGCCAGATGAGATCGCATGGATGGCGTCTGGACTTGCACCTCTCAGCGGGCTGCGCCTCGCCGCTCTGGACCACACTGCGAGTACGAGATGCGTTGTGTACGAAATTCGAACGACGGCATTCGTCGAGGATGTTCTGCTCTGGAAAACCCCGTCTGAGCCTTCCGGTGGTAGGAATTTTCGCGTTTCGCAGCGGCGAGCTTGAGCTTGAGGAACTGCCACTCAGCTTGAAGTTGCAATTGTTCCACTCATCCTCCCCCGGGCCGCTTACGTCAGGGGCGCCGTAATGAAAGATCAGTAATGCAATGCATTACATACTGTGTTGGTCCGCCGGCGAATGTTGCCTGTGAGTAACGCTGTCGATCAACCTCCCCAAAATGTAGTCTATTGCGTTTGACATACGTACGAAGATGGAAATGCATGGCCCGACAGAGGGTGATAGAACACCGCGAACCTCTAGGATGGAACGCATACAGAGTCCATAAAGAGCGGGAATTAATGCGGCGCCGCAAGCGCGGCTTCTCGTACGCAGCTAGCTGCACGAGGTACTCCTCGCCCGCGCGGGCATCTCGCCAGTCTTTTATGAACGGTCGAAAGCCAAGCCGTGGTATGTGCACGGCAGAACAGCCACGCGGACGCGCGACGCCTACGTGCGTACCCTAGTACCTGCCGTATGCACAGCCTCGAGCAGAGGAACCCGGCTAGTAGTTAGCCTTTGTGTGCTGCCACATGCCGTGCAAACATACCTTTGCAGTACGGAATTCGTGACTCGTCGAGTCGGACAGTGCACGATCACCTTCAAAGCTCAAAGTTCAGGATCGACAACTGGCGGCATATACACTGGCACAGCCTGCTCATGAACATACCTTCGCGCCCTCACTGGCAGCTGCCCTTGGGCTGCTACGGAGAACCACACCCGTCACTCCTTCACGCAAACGGCACCGAGGCCTACTAAGTCCCGGCAGGAACCCGACAGCCTGAGCATCCTGGTGCCCCTACCTCTTGGTTCGTTCACCGATCGAGGGCACTGGCAGAAGCCGATCGACGACACACCGGTCACCCTTCACACACGCAGATCCTCCAGCTCGATGTCAACCCTATCTTGTACTCCTGCTGGCCCGGGGAACCCTAGTCTCATACCAAGACCCTCCACACGGCGCTAGTGTGAGGGCTTGTGTCGAACCTACGGGGAACCCAAGGCTTGATGTCGAGCCGGTTAGTGCTCCCGGGACTGGCGAGGTGAGCTAGAACTTGCGTAATAATGTGAACGTTCCGCGGCCGGTGCGCGAATGTCGGCGTAGCAGTCCTGGGTGCCGGAAGGCTCAGGTGATAAGTAACTTAGGTGTTAGCGATGTGCTCGGCATACGACCCAGCCCTGGTCATCGGTATGAGCGATATATGCATGTAGGTGTGTAGGTGAAAACGTTGAGTTTCGTTTGACACTGCGTGTCTGCGACGGTGGAGTTCAGAATGGCATGGTACGGTTCGCTATCTTCATGCCTACCTTGTCTGCAGGTACGGATTTGTTTGACATCGAGGGAGTATGTTGCCATCGCAATGGGTCCCTGTGCTCGTTACAGATGCCATTTGCGACATGGGAGCGACTTTGAGCTCTCGGCCCGCTTTTTGATAGTTGAATTGCTTGATCTGGGCTGCTGCTACATTGTATGCAACTCAGCAACTGAATGAACCGTCGTTCGATTCACTGTGTGACTTGCTGTTCATGAAGGATATCAGATCCTTCATATAATGCCACCGCATTTGACTCCCAAACCCCGTTATCCTTGCACTGCGGATTCCGTTGCCGCAGTGCGCACCGAGGTCGATGGAACATGGCAGCTCCGAGTTGTCCTTCCGCACAGACCCTCCCCGGCCCCCGCCGGACAACCACTCCCAGTGATGCGCCACGGTGTTCCTCGATCGATCGGCGGCGCTCCACCTCCACCCTCCCTAGGTCCCCACCTCTTCTGTGGCGGCCGGCCCCAGCACAATCCCTGCCGTCGACTGCTCCAACTTGAGGGAATCCTATTGGCGACCACCTTAATGGGGGGACCCGTAAGGGCCAGTGACCAAGTGCGCAGGCATGGGAGCGGGGCGGGTACCATGGCAGCCAGGCCCAGTCCGGCGTGTTGCTGCCCGCAAATCCGCTTTTGGGTCGCCAGACTCTTATTGATGATTGCAATCATGAGGCTGGGTGAGAATCGGAGAATTTGTCACTTGAGCGCAGCTTGAGCGCCACATTTGTTCAGACGCGACGAACCAACGACGAACGCGTTTCTTGATAGTGAAGTGGCGAGTTCAACGTTCAACCAGCGTAGTGTATGATGGACAAGTCCATGACACTAGGACAATACTATCGCTAATAAGGACGATAGGGCTGGGGAGGCGCGGCGATAAGTCGCCATACAAGAAATGAGTTGTTAGCGCGCGCCTTTATTGATGGAGATAACAAGATCGCACACGCCGATCAGTGACTAAAGAAGATATATCAAGGGTCTGCGGTGCCCATTAGCGGTCCTCTCATTTCTACCATGTCAGGTATCCGAGTCGCGAGGGACACAAAACACTGGTGTCGTCTTGGTGTCGTCGGGTGTGTTGTGAGGTAGACATTGTACCGATGCGGACGACGTCATCGCAGAGGTCATTGCACCCGCGACGGGCGCGCCCGAAAACACGCTAAATCGGGATCGGGCGCATAGCGACGTCCACGCGAGAAAGGCTATTTACGCAGGGACCCCGGAAGTCCCTCGCGTACCTTGGCAGTCGACCTGCTTCATTATTGACGTCATTCCCAAATGGGACGCAGCGGGCTGATACGGGCGCGTCTGGCCCGGATGGGAATTCGTCGCGGAAAGCTGCACATGCAAATCGCGTGCAGCGGGCGAAACTGCGCGAGCAGGCACGTCGCTGTGGCCGTGTATCTTGAGGGCGAGCGGGGAATGGAGAGTAGGGGCAGCAAGGCGGAGGCGAGGGCGAAAGCACAAGTTAAACCTGGGCAACGTGGTGTCGGGCAGGAGACATTTTCGCCAGTCGCGACAGCGTGCGGAGCAGCCTGCAGGAAAGGTTCGGGAGCTGTAAGATAGGCCGGAACCGCACATATCGAGGAAGCGATGATTAGGGTCCGTGTGACTGGCGTCTTGTGCAGTTTTTAAGTGCTGAGTGCGACGCAGAGCCTGCAAAGTGGCAAACAACACTGGCGAAGTGGCAGAATGTCCAGTCGATGGCCTATTAGAAATGCGCCATGGACGTCTGGACACCGGTGGGATACCGCAAAAGGCAGATGCTTTTTTTGATCGAGCTGATCGGGTTTGACTGGGATGGCGTGAGATACTTAGTGGAAGTTCAGAATCGGCAGCTTCCGGTGGTTGCAGCTCGATCTCCATCTGTATGTATTCTTGTTGACTGAAGGCATTCCTACTGATTCTAGGCAGGTGTCAAAGTGCACAAGAGTGTATGAGATATGTGAAGACCTTTCTGAGTATTAACAGACAGTTCACCAGCTTGCTTGAGCTGGGCTTGAAACTGCTTTGTGAGTTGACGCCACTTGGGCCGAGGAGCCGGCGGTACGACGGGGACCCCAGACAGCGGGCGTGTGAGTCGATGGAGCGGGAGAATTGATGGAGGCCTGGACAGCAGCGCCTCGCTCACGTCGACCTCCTCGCTCGTCGCTTTTCGCTTCCATATCCTCCGCAAAGGCCTGTGAGTCGTCCCGCTCCCGCCTTTCGTCCGCAGACTTAGACCATCCAACTTGCACTCACACTCTTTCCTTCTCCCAGCCACCATGTCCGCCTACCGCAGACGGGACAATGCGGCCTCCGGCTACTCGAGCGCGGACGCCTATCGCGCCGTCCCCAGCACCTCTCCGTCCCTGCAACACGCGCGCGCCGTGAACAGCAATGGCGCCGCATCGTCGTCGGAAGAAGACCACCTCACGTCCCCGGTCACGTCCCCAGCACCAGTCGCGAATGTATTCGTGCGTACCCGCGCAGGCTCTCGCTCTCGCCCGCGCCGCGATTCCCAAGAACAGGGCGGCGAGCCGCTTAGCCCTCCACGCCCCGGGTTCCTCGCCGGCGACCGACGGTCGTGGTCCGCATCAAGCGGGGCTAGCGAAGCCGAAGGCAACAGCGACTCTGATGTCCCCGCGGCAGGCCTGGCCGGGGTAGGCGCCGGGGCTTCGCAGTCCGCGCGCCCACCGGCTGGTACAAATGCAGGACGTGTTCCCGTCCGCGGTCACGATCGTGTCCGCAGCAATAGCAACAGTCAACAAGCTGGTCGCTCTCCCGCCGTCGCTCCCCAGACCCGTGCCCGCAACCACCGCCGACGCTCAAGCATGGCCAACGAGTACGCCTATGCCGGGTCTGCAGGCGAGGAGGAGCCCCAGTCGCCGTCGTCGCAGGGCCACTCGTCGTTCGGCATCAGTAACCCCTTTGGCACACCGAACGACACCCCGCGCAACTCCTTCTACGGCGCACAAGGTGCACCAGCCGTGCCCGAGAAGATCAACCGCTCGCCCCCTTCGGCGTTCCCCTCCTTCCCCTTCCAAAGCCATGCAGGCAACCCCGACCCCGGCACCGTCATTCCCGGCATTGGGCGGCGTGAGTCGCTAGACTCTCTCGCTGCCCTCGCGCAGAACGGCCAGATCCTACACACTCCTGCCAACCTCAACAACCACCCACTGTCCCCGCCCGGAAGCGGCACCGCCTACCCCACTGGCGCTGCCCCGGGCGGCTACGGCCTCGTTGAGGAGAGTGAGGACCTCGGTCGTCCCTTCGCTCCTTTCATGGGCGACGTCCCCGAGCGCGCGCAGACGCCATCCAGTGCCGGCAGTCAGCTCTATCGCAACTCTGCCGCCGCCGCCGTATCAGGCAAGGGCGAATACGGTCAGTAGCCGCTGTTCCCCCTACTGCTACTCGCAGTCGACCCAAAAGTAAGCTGACTCTTTGTATTATTCATCTGAAATAGGCAGCGACAACGGCCATGGGCTTCCACGGACCGGCAGCGGGCAGCAGATCAGCATGCGCGCGCCGTTCCTCAGCCCTGCAAGCCGTCCGACGAGCAGCCTATGGGCACCTCCGAGCTTCCCGTATGCGTACCCGCCTGGTAGTGGGAGCAGCACGGCTTTGGGCGGCTACGCGGGCAGTGGTATTTTGGGCCAGTACTCCAGCTACGCCGACATCCAAGCGCAGCTCCGCAAGAGCAAGCCAATAATGCCATCGTCGAAGTGAGCGACACTCACCTTTGTCCATCGCCCCCACTCATTCTCCTCAGGATCTCGCAGAAGCTGACGAAGGAGGACAAACCGTGGTTGTTGCAGAAGGACAGCAGGTCGCGCGCGAGCTACTGGCTGACCCTCGCCGGTGTCTTCGCGGGCATTGCTGGCGCGGCGGTCCTCTGCTACTTCACCTGGGTCGACACGTACTTCCTCGCGGATAGCCAGGTCTGCTCGTACTTCTACGACGACTTCAGTGGCGGCCTGGATACGACGAACAATTGGAACACGGACAACGAGCTGGGTGGTTTCGGGTGAGTGGTCGCTTTTTGGACGCATATAGTCGAGTCCGGTTCGTCGAGGGCGTAGTGCTCAGGTGTGGGCCTTTGTCGGGTCGCATATAGTCGGGTGGGGTTGTCGGAGCGCATACAGTCCGGTGTGTGGGTGGCGGGAGCAGGATGCGTTCGCGACGAGCCGCTGCAGTGGGCGTGCGATTGCCTTTTTAGGCAGCCATGGTATGCGACAGATTTGGGCCACTATCGGACGAAACTGGTCAAGATCTGGTTTATGGTCCGGATGGAATCCACACGAGGCCTCTTTACTCCGTTTGAATCTCGTCTTCAGACAGAGTTTGTGAGCGTGCACTCGGGCGGGCACAGGCACGTCCATACTTTGCTCACCACCCTTTGGGCGTTCAATCTTCCTCCTTTCGTGGATGGCGTATTGGTCATAAAATCTGCCTTGCGTTGAACTCGTCCGCATCATGCTGACGAAATTTTTTCTGGCAGCAATGGCGAGTTCCAAATCACGACTGACGACTCTACGAACTTGCACGTCACGAATGGCCAGCTATACATCACCCCGACGCTCACTAGCGACAATCTCGACGGTGGCTATCCGGCGATCTTCGACGGCGGTTCGTTCGATTTGGGTGACAGTTGCTCGACAGATAACACGGTCCGTACACTTTCTCTCACTCTCGCGTGTGCCAGTACGTTGACATACTCTCTTCGCAGACTGCGTGTTCGGTCAAGTCGTCCAACGACACTGGTACCGTCATCAACCCCGTCACCTCTGCTCGTATCAACACGAAGGGCCACTATCAGCTCAAGTATGGCAAGGTCGAGGTCGTGGCTAAACTTCCCCAGGGTGACTGGCTTTGGCCTGCCATCTGGATGTTGCCCAACAGCACCGACGTGTACGGACAGTGGCCGATGTCTGGTGAGATCGATGTACGTAGACCTGCTATGCACCTGCTCGCACGAACGGTACTGACTTCCAGTCGTCGTAGATTATGGAGGCTCGTGGCAACGCAGCGTCCTATGCTGGCCAGGGAGTGAACTACGTGCGCTCGTCGCTGAACTACGGCCCGCTCGCAGCGTTGTACACCACGCTGTACGGATGGTGGAGCGAGAAGCAGTCTACGTTCGCCGATGACTTCCACACGTACACACTCGAGTGGACGGAAGACTTCATGCGGCTCTACGTCGACACGCGCCTCGACGCCATGCTCACGGTCAAGCTCCAGGGCAAGAGCGGCAAGAGCTTCTTCAACCGTGGCGGCTACCCCAGCACCACGCAGAACGGCTCTAGTGAGGCCGTCGTCACCAATATATGGGAACAGGCAGGCGGAGGCCCGAATGCACCGTTCGACCAGGAGTTCTACCTGCTTATTGACTTGGCCGCTGGAGGCACCAGCGGGTGGTTCCCGGACAATGTTGGTGGCAAGCCGTGGTATGACGGCTCGGACTCGGCTATGCGCGAGTTCGCGGAGGCGCAGGCGACATGGTCGGGCACTTGGCCGTCGAGCACCGACGACCGGTCCTTCAGGATGTGAGTGTTGCGTGCGCTTCCCTTGAATCATCGGTGCTGACGTCGTGTCCTAGCAAATCGGTCAAGATGTCGAAGCTGTGCTGATCGTGTTCAATATGGGCCCTCTCGAATCCTCTCCGCTTGCTCTTCCTTGCTCTCGTCCATCACCATGCTTCCGCTCCCAGCATCCAACATCTGTCTCATTGTTCGCTAACCTGTGTGTATACCCTGCGGGGGCCTGCTGCCATACATCGCCACGGACATCGACGATCGCGAGACGAAACGAAATTCGGACTTTTTCCTTTGCTGTTGCTACTCTACCGCTCGTACCTACTTACACGTCTGCATACGCGGCCAGACACGGACTCTCCTCTCCTCTCCTCCTTGCGCACCTAGACTGTCATACTAGTGTAGCAGCCAGCGGGCTCGTCGAGTGACGATGCCGCTGGCTTCAGTAAACTCCCCGTCTGCATCCATGCTCGTGTCTCGTAGCCTCCTCCTCCTCCTCATCGTACGTCTGTTGTCTATTACATATCTCCTGTTGTCCATGCCTTTGGGGTATGTACGACGTTTTGGGTTCCTTGTGCTCGGGGCAGGGCCTGTCCATTCGTTATTTATCACAATCGTCAATTCATGCGGTGCATACAAGACCGATTTCTTGTTCGCTTGCGGACGGTCACTACAGCTGTTGTTCGAGTGATATGTTGGTAATCAGAGTCTATTGGTGTGCTGGTATCATATTACTAGGTGCCGTTGGCGCCACTTGCGACGCTATGCGTTGGAGTCGTGGTGGACGTTCGATTGTGTTCGTGTAATGATCAATCTCGCATCGAGCCTTGAGGTACTCCGGTGCGTAGGCCTAGCCTGGACCATCAGCCTGGCGCCTCGAGTGTTCAACTCAGTGAAGCTTTGAAGCTTGTCAGTGGAGCGTTGCAGTACGTACACGTACGACTACTACCATCGTACACAGCCGAGATGCGCTTATAGCCAGTTCATATACAACGAGTTGCCCACGGGCGAAGGCTCAAAATCTGCCCATCGCACATGTACATACTATTGTACAAGAGAGTTTTGGAAACAACTGTTGAAGTTGAATTGAACGGTGGAGGTGGAGCTGAGGTCTGGTGGTGGTGGGGCTCCGTGGGGCTGGTCGAGAGTGTGACGCCGAGTGACGGGCCGTGACACTCCTACTATTCATGGCAATTCGCTCACGGACGACGCTCGGGAGGGCGGGCTGGCCGGTAACGCCCGTGTCACGCCCACCGCAGATCTGACAGAGATCGGTGGTGTCGGAGCTGTGGTCTGGTGGTGGCGTGAACTTTCACAGTTGTTGCCAAAACTCTCTACAGTACCGAGCCTGAGCCGGTCACTGAGGCACTCATGAGCCTGGTGGGAGACAATCGGCAAATTTTTGAGCCTGACCCGCAGCCAGGCAGTGGGGATAATCCCCTTCCGGCCTTTGAGTCCAGGTATAGACGCATCTCCGAGATGTGCCCAGTCCCCTCGAGCGCGCACAATTTACTAGAAAGCGCTCAAAGGATCCGTGTAGAAGGCGGACGCATTTCAACGAAAGTGGACGGCGTTCTGATGTGCTCGTGCCACCCATATGCTCGCCTAGCGTCAGGAACGGGGGTAAGCGAGACCCATCACGTAGGGGCAGTTACACACTCGGGGCGGTGGATAATCGTGATGAGTAACGCTGGGAATACCGGTGAGGGTACATAACATAGGTTACTTATGACGAGATGACTAGGGCGGTTTGGACATGGTCAGAGTACTAAGTTAGTGTCCGTGGGCGTTCGGTTCACGTTCATCCTCGACGAACTGATTTGCGAATGCAAGTGGAGCACATCTGACTTTAGACGAGTCATGGAGCTTGAACTTACATGAGATGAGTTACACATGACGCAGGGTCTGTATGTAGTCAGTCTTATTGCTGCCAGCGGAGCCCCGAACAGGAGCGGGTGAGCGGGATACCTTGGCTACGACATCGGTGTGTATGTCATCATAGAGCGGATTTTCCATCTCGAGGACTCGGTGTTTCGTTTCCCAGGGACCACCCCAGCCAGTGCCGTCACGGTGTGAAGATTCGAACGTATGATGATGAAGCACTGGTTTTTCACGACGAGACGTGGTAATATTCATACCAAGACATCCACGTGAGGGGTCTTTGTCGAACCTAGGTCGAGATGTCAGTTGATCTGAACTCGACCAGTACCGGACCTACTAAAAGTGGATGCAGAATCACGTTGGCACTCGCACTGATACACTCACATTTTGCTTTTTGCTACAGCTTGATACAGTCTTGCGCATACTACGTGCCCGCCTACCGAACCTGTTTGACTGGCGGTCAAGCTTTCAAGTTGTCGGTCGGTGGTGATCATGGCGGCGACAACATACCTGCCATGTAGTAGCGATTACGCCGTTGAAACGTCGCTCCCAACGGTGATCATCGTGTCGACAATACTGGCAATCTAATACAATGAGCTTCTGAGTAATGCCGTCTTCCCCGGGACGTGCCGTAAACACCGCTACTACCGCTGAACGCACTGGTACCTTCTGGAAGGCTGGTTTAGGCCGCGATGTGCTCGGCCTAATACGGGTATCCAGGGTACGAACCTGAGAAATGAACGTGAGGTAATATAGTCTTGTCCGCATACGTATATCCTTGTACTCGCATGCATTGCACCCTTGGAGCGGAACCGAACCTAGAAGTCATGTCGTGGGACAGAGAAGTGTCACCCTCGGATGATCTACGTTCCGTAGACGATGACTTGCCAGTGAATACAGCAATTCTTCTGAGGATGTTCGAAACTGGTCAACCATAAGTAGCAACATTACTACTGCCGTACCTTGGAAGATGAGGTTCCAACAGCGTGAGTAGATCTGGAAGCTAGCGGACCTGCTGTGTTCGGAAGGCGGTTGTTAGGTAGGCGCCCCAACGCTGTATCCAGGTATGGTTATAGATGAGAAGAACCGCGCTTTTGGATATCTACTTACCTATGGAGAGCAATCTATTACCACCGTCTTGCCAAAACGCAGGATGAGCGACTCCGGGTCGAGCGTAGTCTGCATACACCCAAGTACTGTGGCGACCGACAGCATTGTAGTCGCAAGCGCCATGCTTTCAGGTCTGATGTCGTTCACTGCATGAAAAATCAAAAAAATATGTGGACGTATATGCCGAGCATAGCGTACCAACCTGAACTGGAGGATGCTGATATCAGAACGACCTTGCTGGTAGGAGAGTCCACGCAAGGGGTAAGAGAAGGCCTCAGAAAGTCCTCTGACGATCACAGAGGTAGGAGAGGAGAACCTGAGCCTCGCGGAGTTGTCATTAGCATCATTGAGCCTCCTGCGATCGGACAAGGACATCGCACCGTGGCTTCTCATCCAACGACGTGAGCCGCTAAGTGTACGCAAAGTCCACCTTTATGTAACTGAGTACATCGCGCATGTCCCGACCCACTTCCTCAAGGACGATGACGCCATGTGCAGGCCGTCATCCTGCCGAAGATGGCCCCGGCTGCGTTGAGACGCAGGAGAAGGCATTATTCATGGTCCCTGAATTCTAATGTCTGCTTGAGTGGGAAAATATAGTCAGAGTGGCATCGCAGCGAGGACTTGCTGGCTCGTCACGCACCGGTTACAAACGCCCGTTACCAAATTGCAGATCACCTCCCCACTGGCACAACGCTTGCGTAGCGCTTCGGCATCGACCGTACTTGCATTTCCAGAGACAGAAACACTGTGCGAATCCTCCGTACACCACAGGAATACCAGTGTGACTCAAGCTATGTACGTGACCACCGGGACTCAGTGAAGAGTGGAGCCCGACAGCGGAGCCCGTGGATGCGGAGGCTGGAGCGCAACTTCGAGGGTAAGGGGTTTGCCGCGGTTCGAGTGATGAGTCTGTTGGATCTCAACAGCTTGAACGGACTGGCTCACCTGTTCACAAATATTTGACTGGATACCTCCTGGTTTGTCGCCACGAAACTGTTCGCCAAACCATAGCTACAGTCTCCAAAAAGGCGGGCGGCATGAAAGGCGGCTCGTAGCCGTGAATCAGAGTGTTGTGTTTGAGACAACTTGAAGGGAGTGGAGATCATATGTTGCGAGAGGGCACCCATGTGGCAGACAGGCCAACCTACTACGTGGTCAGCGAGACTGCTCCCACGACCGGACCCGAAGTGATGGCACAGAAGGCAATCAGTCTATTCCTAGCAGTTATCCATCAGGAAAGCGTGACGGAACCGAGAGAAGGTCCACACAAGGGAAGTTCGGCAACTTGAATAACGACGACGCCTTCAAGTTATCAACGTGACTTTGCTGACGGCAAAGAAGATTTCTGCAATGGTCTCGAAAGTGCGTCGATGACAGTCTTCGTGCCACGTACGGCTCATTCTCTATCAAGACCTCTTTTCGACCTTGCACAACCTAGTATTCTGTAGGTGCACGTCTGTCCCAGTAGCGCAACGGACGAATCTGAGCAAAGGATCCTTACATTTTCAAAAATTCTGCCTATTTCAATCTCAAGTAGCGCTGCCTGGCTCTGACGTCAAATTGCTGCTATGCTCACCACGTTTATTGAGGATCATAGTCATGACGAGCCTGGCCAAGCTCTATCCGAGTCGGCGCTCTCCCGTGTGGCGGATTTCCGCGGCGCCGGTCACGATGGCCCTTTATCTCTGCTTCCTTCGACTGGCTGTGCGGCGGGGCTCGGACGCACTTAAAAAAATCCTCTCATCGCTCCGTGATGAATCTCTGTATGGAAAAATATCAGGGCCAAAGCCGCGACTCGCGAAAAAGGATGCCGGTCATAAACATACCAGAGTATGCTCTGGCGGTGGTTAGTGGGGAGCCTACGTCCTGGCATCTCCATCGAACATGACTTTGACCTCCCGTGTCTTGCCTTGAATTGTGGTCAACTCAATACCCCGCCCACATGCAGGGCGATGCCTAGGTTCGATGCGACCTTCGGAGCTCAGCAGGTAGATCATCACCTCAGGGACGTCCGTCACGAAGCTGTCATATACCCGGTCAGCGATTTGCCGACGGGCGGTTCAGTCTTCCGGACGTCGGCCGCGGCCACCGGGGCCATTCATTCCCTTGTGCGATGGTTGTGAGAGTGGCATCATACGTGACAGCAGGGTCTTCTATCAGGGATCGTATACAACTGATATCAGGACGTAGACGTACGAACGGAGGCCTGAGGGAAGCAAGTTCGAGCGACTTTCTTCTGGCGCTCGGAACCTAGCGCCTTGGGTACAGGCGGTGCAGAAAGAAGTCAGGCTACTTAGGAAATCCCGACGAGTGATTCTTAACACTCGCCTACGTTCTTCAGTGCTGATACACCCTCGGAGGCAAGGCTGCGGACTGCCCAATCATGGGCTTTCTTTTTGCCCAACAGTGACATTCGGGGAAGTCGTGAGGCCTAGTCTGGGCGCGATCATGATGACAGAATGAACAAGCAAGCAGGTGTGACGTAACTGCAGAACAAGCCGTACATCGCGAAACGAGCTGAGTAGAAAAAGGAGGGTCTGCGGTGATACACGATTTTTAATGGTTACAATTGCACACGGAAGGCAGTTGAATGCCATCGATACAAGTGAACGACTGAGACGAAAGCACGATAGCAGATGAAGGGAGGGGATGGTCGTCTAGCCAAGCCGTAAACCAAGGATGTCGTCATGGGCTCGCAGGATCCTAAGCGTTTATGAGACACAGGCTCATCCGAAAGGAATTGAACATACTGTGTCCCCGTCCGCAGGCAACTGGCGTGAGGGATGGTTGGAATCGGTGGCCATGTAAGCGAAGATTGGCGACAAACCCACTCTGCGGAACCCGGCCTGAAAATAGTCATGGTCAATACGAACCCAAGAATGAAATAGGAAGGACACAATTGGAGTGGCGGAAAACCTACCTTACGGGCGAATCTAAGGTTACGTCTCAGATACAGCGTTTCAACAGGCGTCCCCTTGTACTCCGGCTCAAGGCGAGGAGCGGTAGGCCGCGTTAGCACCACCTTCACGCCCTATAGAAATCCGGGACTGAGAAAGGGCCGTCACGCAGCTGTGTGATCGAACGGATTGACTCACCTCGTCACGGAGCACTTGGAGGAGCGCCTGAAGTGCCCATTGACCAATCCCGTGTCGGCGAAAATCCTCGTGTACCATAAGAAAGTCGCCGCGCGGATCCTTGTCGACGCAGGAAAGTACTGCGATCTTCGTAGCCTTGGCACTCAGCTCTGGTCCGAAGATTCTTGTGCCGGCGTCTCGGCCGGTCATCCACCTGTCGCGCAAGCGGCCATCGTTTTCGTACAGGAGAGTAAATATTTCCTCTAGTTCCTAGCACCCAAGGAAGAATCAACGCATGTCGTTTTGACCGCTTGATGAAGCAGTGCGTTTACCTGGCCGCCATACTCGGACATTTGAAGATCCTCATGGAAATCTTCGAGATAATTTCCATTCACGACTCGGTAGGTGAGTTGGGCGACCTGTCGGCCGTCTGCCGTCTCTATTTTAGCCTTATAGTACTGGGCAAGTAGCGTGAGTTTCGGGTCGATACAGTCAAATGGAGGTGGCGGTACTCTGAGCCATGGTTCGAACTGATTGCGCAGCTCACGTTGAACCTGGAAACCGACGCGATAGGTGACACCCTTCAGCCTGCCAAGTCCATTGAAGTGTAGCTGAGGATCAGACGATATCTCGCGTTCGGGGACCCCCTTAGCATCGGGAAAGGAAGTGAGTCCTGCCTGTTCTTGCATTATCTATGAAGTGTCAGTGAGATCAGAAGCGGATATGCAGGGAGACAACGCACATGTAAGTTTAGAACGCTGAGGGAGGATACAGCACGGCGGGCTCTTCAGGACCAAGTCTGACGATGCATGCTGCTTTAAATACAAGTGTCCGAAAAGAAGCACCAGGATTTGTTGGTGCGTGTTGTATGATTCTGTGTAGCCATGCTGCAAAATTGCCCGCAGCGCATACTAACCCGACCGCTAGGATTGTGCGGTGCCGCGGGAACAAACACCCGTATCTCCACGTCGTACATCCGATCAGACCCATCGACGAGCGGCTGTGATTGACGGATCTCCCCTGCCAGTTGTGCATCCCCTGTATACTTCCGCTTGCTGCCATACTCAGGAAAGGCTCGTCTGGTGCACGAGTCGCTTAGCTCGATGCTCGGACCAAGTCGGCTACCACGCCGATTCCGTCTGCATGTCCGAGGGAACCGGCTCTCTATGTTTCAATTCTCCCGCGAAGCTGTTGATAATTAAGCAGGGCTGTCTGCGACCGCTAGTGTACGTACGCTGAGACCGGCACGGTCCGAATTGCATCTGGACCAACTTGTCTACCTAGTCACGTAGCTCAACGACCATACCCTGCATGAGAGGACACGGGTGACTTACATCAGGCCGAATGGGCCTCAGGCTCATGGGAGCCATATGAGGAACCGGCGGTGGGAGACACCGCGGCAGCGGCGACGTGACCGTGTGTTCTTATTTGATTACGTAAGAGCGGTTCGAGAGCGCCACAAAGCGCTCACACCCGCATCCTCGCCTTCCTTCTTGCCTCGTGCAGTCGCGTGAGGTCCATTCTCCCAACGCGTCGGAAGGACCGTAGGTGCGCTCGGTACAGCCATTCGCGATAAGAACCGCATCTGGCGCCCCCAGCGTGGCCTCTCATTTGTAACAAACCTACGGGCCCGGCCCCGGAGCGAAGCAAGAACATGTGAGTCCCATGTGAGGTTGTGCAGTGTGACGATGGAAATCAGTTGACGTCTTTTCCTACAGAATTCCATGTGGCAAAACGGCCCTTGTGAAATATTTTCGGTATACATAGCTCGAAGCCAACTGTAAACTTTGTTCTCGCCCAGTCCGTCGCGGCATCATCCACGGCATTGCTCGAAAGTAGCGTCTCCTTCCATATCTGATCGCCGCAAACCTACCGGGCCTGTGCTTCAATTCGCCACTGCGCGGGTGACATAGTCATGTGAGGCCTTCGCGTTGACACAGAGCATGCCGTTGTAAACTCACCGCCCGGTCGCCGTGGGCCGTGGAAGCCGCAGAATGCAGCTAAGTAGCATGCAACACGCACCCTTGCAAGCAGTGCTTGCCCCCCCTCTGCTACAGTCTGGGCTGCAAGGTGCTTCTTACCATGTTTCGTGTAAGGCGCGGCACGTTTCTAACTGCGGCGCTTTTCACGCTTCTGGTCGAAGCAGCCCCCCCAGCCTTTCCCTCATCTGGTAACGGTTTGTGGTACACCGCTCCTGGTGACGTGGACGCCTGGTCATCGGAATGGCTCCCCATCGGCAATGGGTACATCGCGGGCAAGTGGCTCAAGGGCTTTGGAGTCGTGTTAGATCTAGAACTGAGTCATCCGTCTAGCTACGCTCCCTGGAGGCACCATTCAGGAAACTATGCTCGTGAACATCGAATCCCTGTGGTCTGGTGGTCCTATGCAAGATCCGGTATGTCCGTGCTACTACTCATGATAATATTTGAATCCCGGAAAGCTCGATCGCGTTCGGACTTTTGTTTATGTGATAGTCGTGTCGCGGACTTGACATCCCACTCCGGTCGAGCTATCTGGGCGTTGTGGATCAATTGATCGGGAGTCCGTGCAACTAACCGGTTATATAGACGTACAATGGAGGGAACAAGTTACCATCCCAGCAGGCCGCGATGGCTGAAGACATGCAGACGTACCGCCAAGCTATATTTGGCAGCTCTACCGGCACCATCCAGAGTAGGTGTTGTAGACGTCCATGTATTGCCTCCTGACCTGGGCAATCATTAGACATTGATAATTTGATGACGGATGCTGGCGCTTACGGTATGTCGAGTACCTTCAAGATGATTATGCGGTCGAACGTATTCATGCAGGTTCCTATGCCGCCGCTGGCGCGCTTTTGACGACCATGAACTCAACTGACGCTGGGTCGGACTACTTCCGTTGGCTTGATCTGGACGCAGCTGTAGCACGTACTCAGTGGACCGATGAGAGTGGCAATTCCTATTTCCGGTAAGTTGGCATCTTTGACTCTCGTCAAACCCGGCCATCTCATTGACACTAAACCTTGTTATTCGCAGCGAGCAATTCTGCTCCCACCCTGCAGAGGCTTGTGTGCAATACGTGAACAGTACCGGTACTCTCCCGTCACTGACTTACGCCCTGTCGGTCACCCTCGAGACTAGTCTCCCGGTTCCTAACGTGACTTGCCTCGATAATGCAACCCTTATGGTCCAAGGCCTCGTGAACAACCCCGGCATGTCATACGAAGTCCTTGCACGGGTCCGTGCGTCTCCCAACGCGACCATCGCATGTACACCCTCTGGATCCAATGCGACTCTCAGCGTGGACGGCGCAAATGAGGCCTGGATTACTTGGGTCGGCGGGACCGAGTATGACATGCACGCAGGCAGCGCCACAAGCAGTTTCTCCTTTGCGGGCCCGGATCCTCACAACGCGCTCAATGGCTCGCTGGACGCGGCAACGGCTCAGACCTACAATGACTTGCTTGAGGCTCATATATCTGATTATACTTCTGTCATCTCTCCGTTCTCCCTAGACCTGGGTCAGACGCCTGACCTGTCGACACCCACGGACCAGCTTAAAGCGGCGTACCAGACTAATATAGGAAATCCTTATTTCGAGTGGCTCTTGTTCAATTATGGAAGGTATCTGCTGGTGTCCAGCGCACGAGGGGTGTTGCCCCCGAACCTGCAAGGCAAATGGGTAGAATCATGGACGAATGCTTGGGGCTCCGGTATGTAGCTCTAATCCTGGTTTCTGAGTTTTAACACTAATCTCTATCGTTCCGAACAGATTATCGTAAGTGTATGGCTCAGCTGCCCTGGATTTGGGAGCTTCACGCGGTATTCCTGCAGACTCCAACATCAACATACAAATGAATCATTGGTTCGCAGAGATGACCAACATGGACGTGGTTCTGCCATTGTTCGACTATATAGAGGTTAGAACCGCATGTGCACAGGGCTGAATAGTAGAACTGAGCCCTGCGCAGAATACCTGGGCTCCGCGTGGCGTATCTACGGCGCAAATCCTATACAACATCTCGCGAGGCTGGGTTACTCACGATGAGGTACGCGCCTGGCGCACTTCTGAGCGAAGTCGTGTATTCACGCGCTTCATTTCGACCAGATGAATGTACGTCCGTCTGATGTCCTCTACATTGCCGATCAATTCACGACACGTAGATCTTCGGTCATACCGGTATGAAACTCGAAGGTAACTCGGCGCAATGGGCCGACTATCCAGGTATGTTCTCGATACAATTGAGAAGTACTTCAGAAGCAGTCGTCTAACCACGCACACAGAATCTGCAGTCTGGATGGTGCGTCATATGTAGTCGTGATTCTCAACTAGAACTGACGTGTCACAGATGTTTCACGTTTGGGACCATTATGATTACACGGGAAACAAAACTTGGTTTCAACAACAGGGATGGCCCTTGCTCAAGGTTCGTCAGTCGCGCTCTATCTCTACGTCAATTAACTCGTGATCGGTCAAAGGGCGTCGCGCAATTCCATCTAGATAAACTTATTCCTGACCTGTATTTCAACGACTCTACGTTGGTCACGGCTCCGTGTAACTCTCCGGAGCAAGTACCGATCACATTTGGTTAGTCCATGTTCGCACTGCGATTGCAGAAGAGAATCTGATGACTTGGTACAGGCTGCGCTCACGCCCAGCAGGTAATCTGGCAACTGTTCAACGCCATCGAGAAGGGTTACCAGGTCTCAGGGGACACTGATACGTCTTTCTTGGAAGGTATGCCATGCTACGTGTTAATCTATTTGCAACTGATGTGAATACACTCGAAGAAATCCGGTCGAAACGGGCTCAAATGGACAACGGCATTCATATCGGCTCATGGGGTCAGCTACAAGGTAGGCTTCGCTTCTTCTCGTAACGTAATGGCAATAGCCACTAATCACTACCCTCAGAATGGAAGGTCGATATGGACTCACCTACCGATACGCATCGTCATCTATCGCATCTCATCGGACTGTACCCTGGCTACGCTATAGCTTCATACGACCCATCGATTCAGAACAGTAGCACCACCTATACCAAGAGCGATGTGCTCGCAGCGGCGGAGACAAGTTTATATCATCGTGGAAACGGCACTGGCCCAGACGCGGACGCCGGATGGGAGAAAGCATGGCGAGCTGCGTGCTGGGCCCAGCTCGGGAATGCGAGCGAATTCTACTTCGAACTCTCGGTAGGTTCTGGAGTTGCATCGATTGCGGCACGAGGTTGACCAGGCTTCGTGCATGCAGTACACCATTGAACGAAACATCGCGCCCAACCTGTTCAGCATCTACACTCCGACCGGTGGGCCAGATGGAATCTTCCAGATTGATGCAAATTTCGGATATCCTGCCGCGCTCCTCGTGCGTTTGTGGCCCTTTTTTACCCAGGCGTGTAGATTGACGTAACACAGAATGGATTGCTGCAAGCCCCGGACGTGGCGTCTTACTCGACGCCCCTCGTCATAACCATACTCCCAGCACTGCCTGATGTCTGGCCCGCCGGTTCCATCAAAGGGGCCAGGGTGCGAGGAGGGATGACGCTGGATTTGGAGTGGGCTGAAGGAAAGCCCACTTTGGTGAACGTCACGGTCGACGAGGGCATCACCGCGAGGCCGGTCGAAGTCGTCTACGGGGGAGACGTAGTGACATCCTTCACAACTTCCGGTGGTTTGACGAAGTCCATTGGCTTCTCATAACGTTGTCGGACATTTCTTGGCATGACAGAGTTTATCTCCGAACCTTTTGTGGGACTTATATGATGTGCTACGGACCCTCGGTATCGTGTAGACGATGGGGGGGTTGTCTTGCATGCTCGAACAACTACTTAAAGGCACTCACTAGCTGAGATTGTTCGCTCATGGAGTACCTCACGCACTTCATCTATATGATTTGTGGCACGCAGTTGTACTTCATACCACGCGTTACATCCGACTGTCTCTTAGTCTAGATGATCGGGCTCACTGGCAAGTAACCCGCGGCCGACACGAGTGAAAAAGGTTCACTGAGCCCGCGACTGACTAGTGTGGTGCATGCCTTCCGCATCAAACGTCGCTTCCCTTCTACGCAAGCCATGCCTTTCAGATGAGCATCTCCCATTCAATGCTATCCAGACTACGACGGGATCCGAACCTAGTCCGAATCATCGCAGCTCATCCATTCGGGACCCCCCTGGTAGCGCTACAGCCCAACTTGGCAACTCCGTAGTGGTCATGACCAGCTGCGATGTGCACCTTTCACTCCAATCCTCCCGCCTTCACGTCGCTGACATTTCTTACCAGAGAGAAGGAGTAGGCTGCCTGAGCCGACAAGTAAGAGAAGCAGTTACACTGCTATCCATCAGATTGCATGAGGAACCACGCTTCGCCGATGGTTGCCAGGCGAGTCATGGTTCATGTCGAGGCATATATACCTTTTACCTTCTCAAGGTAGCACACGTAGACGTCACCAGCATATCAATGCCGCGAACAGCTCAACGGTAGAATTGGTCGATGTTGATGACGAGCTCAGTACTATCGGACTACGGATCGACGAGAAGACGGAACATGCCTACTCGAATCCCGGGTCCATGTCCTTCGCACCTAAAGCTACGGCGATAGCCATCCGCTTGACCGGTGACCGGTAGTGGCCAACAAACCACTTATGACACTGGTCATGCGCTGGCTCGATTCCGGACCCTCAGAGCTGGTCAGCGACTACGAGCGTTAGTGGGACGTTACAGTAAGTTCTAAATTTACGCACTACTCACCAAATGAAGTTCGGTCCGCGGGTGGAGGAACCTTGATCATCCCTTGTCCCCAGCATCCTCGCGCGAGTCCCGTGATTGGGTGGCTTGAGCTTCAGTGTTGTCGTAGGTCTCCGACACCCACTCCGGTATCCACGTTGTAAACTGCGGCGCTCTGTCCCACATACCCCCTTGCCGCTGTTCGCTCTTCGGTAGTTGATCAAACCCGATATGAACGTTGATAAGCGTGCAAGCGATTCCAGCTGCAGCGGGCAAACACGCTGCGCCAATGTATCTCGCGGCGCTCTGTGCTCCATAGGTTATGGCGTAGAAGAGTGTCCATGCCGTATAGAAAGCCGCACTCTCAATGTATATTGGGAGCCAGTTCTACATGGTCGTGAGGGAGTCATGTATTGCAGTCATTCGCAGAGCAGACAGACTCACCAGAATAACTGCACAGGACGCGCCTGCGCGCTCGGTACAGCGGTGTGTACGAAGGAGCTTCCCTGCGATCATACCTGCGATCATTCAGTAATGCGCGAGCTAGAGCAAAGCAAAACTCACATGAACAGTACAAGTCCGTGCAGAGCGTGCAGATCAAGCCGCTCATAGTCCACTTTCCGACTTTGCTCGTCAACCCATCATTCTCTGTGTGTCCCACCTCCATGGAAGTATATGTTCCGCCTACGCTACAGACTGAGATACGCTCAGTGAGGGCCAACGATCGACGCCGCATATAGGCTACTGACCCACGAGTCCAACCATGATAGCAAGAGGAGGTACGACCACAGTCTTATTGTGTGACCAGACGACCCAGAGTCGGAAGACCTGAAAACGTTATAGCACGCAATCAACACACGATCATGTTTCTGCAAGATGCACTTTACTCACCAAGACCGCGTCTGCTACTATTGTGCACAGAAACACTATGGCGACTTCTGCCACATAAAGTGGCTGGCCACATTCGGTCAAGTACTCTACAGCTGCTTGTGATCCATGACCTCCCAGACCTATAAACAAGCGACAAATGCTCAGAATCCAATGCTAATTGGTATGAGCGTCTGACCGGGTGGTGCAAGATAAGGTGGCGTACCGTTGTGACTGCTACCAGCAGGGTCCCAGAAACGACGAGTACCGGTAATGTCAAAGGCGGTCTTCCGCCACGTCTTGCCTCCGTTCGGATGTGCAATATATAGATGGACGCCACGGTGAGGGAGTCAAACATGCCGCACAGGAGACTCTCAATGCAGATACTGGCGAGATTTACAGAGAGAACCCCGTTCACGTTCTCGGACGCGGTGTTAGCCATGTGCGCAAAGCGGCTAAGCGTCCAGTCGCTGCCTGGTTGGATGTACACTCATGAGGGTGAGAGACGAGCTGACCGAGGGAGGAATGAAGCGAAGCCTGGGGTCGAATAACACGCTCAAATCGCCGATATGAGACCAGACTGAGTGCATCCTAACTTACGTTATGTCGGCCACGGCGTCAGCTGTAGGCTGCATCCTTTTTGGGTGGCAACGGTATCAGCCTAACGCCGAATCGGAGGCCTGAAACGCCGCTGAAAGTGAAACATCGTTCTTTCGCAGACACAGAACCGCTGGGCCAGCTCACACAAATGGCGTGTACTAGAACGAATTCTTCAATAAGTGTCCACTCTGAAGCCGACTTTTTTGAGGTGAATACGCACGAAGTGTGGCCGCGCAAACATTGGGCGGCGCGGGTGTAAGGCAGGAGTGATGGGGTGAGCGCTCCCGAACCCAGCTTGGGAAGTGTCCAACAGACGAGACTTGATATGCACACAGTAGAGCTAGAGACATGGCAATTCGCCCAAAGATGGATTGTGGAGGAGGAGGAGCAGGGGGAGGATATTCCATTTAGCCACAGTATCGCGGAGTTGAGAAATTATCTGCGGTGGCCGTTGGGTGGCCGCGCCACCGCGCAGGCGCTTGTTGTTCAACCCGTTTTTCGTAACGATCTGATCTTCAAGTTGGCCGATATAAAGCAGAATTGAGGACGTCAGGCAGAGGAACGACGGTCGAAAAGCATTGCAATAAATAGACACATGGAGAGCAAGTAACTCTTACAGTGACGAGAGGAGTTCAAGCAGAAGCTTCCTGAGCCATGGCGCACAAGATTTCCTATGCCACAGTAGGCTGGCCCCACCACGTCCTATTAGGAGATTCAAAGTCATACTTTCATACACATACGAGAACGTCATTAGTTCATGTGGTGAACGGCATACCGTAAAGTGAGTCTCAACTGGGAGCACCCAGGCTCAGCGGACCCACAGGTTAAGATCGTGACAGACAACTGAAGCAGTCGTCTTGGGAAGACCGAGCCTGTTGGGTGGGAAAGAACTTGCTCAAAAGCGTTCTGTTACTTGAGCACATTAGCCGGAGATTGGGCTGATTCGAAGATACGGATGCATACCCCCCAACGTTGGCACCCGCTTACTAGGTCTGCGAGAGTATGTTGATTCGTGACTGCGAAACTTACAACAAACCGTATCATCGAACCATACACAGAGTCGTGACCCCACGGCCGGTCGGCGTATCAGCCTCAATTACAGAGCGAGACGCAGTATGTAGATCATGACGATTCCGCGGTTGAAGTTGATGTACATTCCGATTGACGTCATACGGAGGTGACACAGATAGAGATGTGAGCATCATCCTGGATTATACCATCAGCATTTCTGTTTAAATTTGAGCGAGGTGTCAAGCGAGAAATGGATATAATCACGCACGGAATCATGTCCAGAGCACCATGCAAGTGTGCTAGTCTTTCCTGGAGTATCTTCGCCTCCGCCAGACCTCGCGGCCAGCCCTCGGTGCAGGCCGCAACACAGGCATCCAGTTTCGCGAGATCAGAGGACGTGAGGAAATGGGCTTGCCTCCGAGCCATGACACCGTAAACCGAGAGGATCCCTCGCAAGTAATCGAACATGCCGTAGCGGTCCAAGTAGCTGATCGAATCGAGGAAATCGTGAAGAGCAGAGCGCAAAGGGCCGGATACGTCTGCTAGCCCATCGTCTGACCCAATGTTGTCGAGAGATGTCCCGATAGCAGTACAGAGGCATAAAGTGTTCTGTGAGCGTATGTCGTTGTGAGGCTCTTTAGAAAGCATTCGTAGGCAAGCTACAAGACCAATGACCGCTACTTTGATGATCAGCACATTGTCACGCGTCTCACGGTAGTGACTCACATTTTGCTTCCAAGGGTAGATCTGCCGCAACTCTTGCAGCCAGCCATATTAAGGTAGTGCGAGTACCGGGCGGGATTGGTTTGTCACCTCCCAGCAAGTGGCAGAGACGCGACACGACAAGGGCAGACTCTTCTGTCCCGGGGATTGTCGATTATCGAGTACGACGCCTATCAGTCTCAGTAGCCCCCGTTCTGCGTGGCGATGTTGGAAGCTCCCAGAGGCGGAATCATGCAACAACTGTTCGAGTCGATCCATGGCTTTTGAACCCAAGACGGCTTGTTGACGAACTGTACATGCGATTAGCATGAGATAGACAGCAAAGCAAGGGACGAACCAGGCATTGCCTTGATCTTAGACCGGTACCGGACTGCATGCTGGGAGATCACCTCCACTGGGTCATCTTCACAAGCATGGGAAGGTCGGCAGGTCGTTCCCTCGTCGCAATACCAGTCGATAAGACGAATGAGGGCACGGGATTGGGATCGAGGGAGCGCAGCAAGGAGCGCTTGTAGTATCGCGAGGATCCGTGATATCTCTCGCGCCTGTTTCGCTCGGTTGGGTCTCAGCTCCCCAGCTACTTTGATGAGCATCTCCAAGGTCAAATCGGCCATGGCAGCTACCGATCCGCTGTCCATCTCGTCCTTGAACCAAGACATGATCGGTAGGGCCAACGAATCGCCCGTGCTGTGGGCGGATGGCAACGCGACGTGCGCCCTGGACTGTACTAGTTGATAGAATGCTTGAAGAGACTCGTCGAAATCCCTGCGTGACGAGTCCACCAATTGGAATGCAGGAACGATAACAGCCTGGAGAAATTCGTCGTCGCGGACCAGTTGATCTGCCGCCACAAGCACGGCTACCGTATCCAGGACGGACTCGGACGTCTGCTCCCGTGCCTCCGAGCGAAGCAGATTATTTTCGCGATCCAGCCAGTCTCGTGTCGTCACGACGGTTCTCCAGAGGCGCAGCAGAAAGTGTCGGCGGGTTTCGAATAGCCGCCTTTTGAGCGTTCCGTCGAAACGAGTGAGTCGATGGATGAGCAAGTAGATCCACCACGCTTGTGGTGACTTGTACGGACAGTCGGGTGCGAAGGTCGGGATGATGGCGACGAGACCAGAGAGCAGGATAAGCACAGCCACTGGGACCATGACGACAATAGCGACGATCATGTTCAGCGTCCACAGGAGCACGACAACGCCAGCCAAGAATAATAGCAGGGAAAGCTGGAGGAGGATCGGGAGCATAGCCACGATGGCGGGTACCCGCCATTTACGCAAACCGCGATGTCGCAGGTGCCATATTCGAGCGCGCTGGCGCGCGGTAGTGCTTTCCGGAGGGATGTACGCTACGAGCCATTGCTTCACGCTGATGCCGACGGATGCCGCAGCTAGGCTCAGGACGAGAGCGAGGAACCAGAGTATGTTAATGACAATTGCCGATGCAGCAACCGGGGAATTCGAAGTGGTCGCCAGGGTGGATAGAAGGACGGGGGTGGCAATGTCTGCGGGGAGTTGTAACATTACTTGAGTGCTCTGCAGCGCTGCGTAATATTGCACGTTGAAAGCAGTTAGGACCGCCGAGAAAAGACCTGCCTGTAGATCATATGAGCATGCGTGAATTCCAGTGTTGCGAGGTAAGAGATAGGCGTCTGCGGTGAGTGTGCATCACAGAAGAAATCGACTAACAAAGACGAGGAGCGTATCAATCTGCCCATTCCATCCCGCTATCGTTGTTTGCTCGTGCTTCCAGACCTTCTCTGCGCACGTCCTCCAGGCGCCATCGCCTGTGAAAGTCTGCTCTTCCACGGACTCATACGAGGGTACAGTATCTTCTCTCTATAACGTTCATGAGCAAATGGGACAAATAAACTACAAGAGTCACTGGCCTCGGGTTCTCTCGTCAAGGCGGGATCTTGTCGAGATTCCTTTCCCGTGATATCATGGCCGCCAGTCATCATGTCTTCACGAGTAGACCCGGGAGCTGCGCGCGTAAGCCTCCTGTTGAGTGACCGATCCACTGTTCGGGGGGTTTGGAAGAGTACGAGATTTCACTGCAATGATTGAGCAGGTCAAGCCGCCCTATCAACGCTAAGGCATGAGAACCTTGTTGTAGACCCTTCATACCGCTGGTCGCGCTGATATGGCAACAATGCATTCAGATCCGCTCTCGAGCACGTCGTTCTGCGCATTGATCATCAATAATCTCAGGCTGTCAACGGCGACAGCCCAGTCCATAGCGTAAACCGCGCAAGGCTGTCCTTAACACGGGGTCGTTTCAAAGTCGGTTTGGCCACATTCGAGCTTTGCCTCAGCATCCAAGTGCATTCTCGTAAAGCTTAAGCTAGTTTGTGATTGGCAGGACGACTGGACGATCTCAGAGCAAGGGACCGCGCGCCAGGCGGACGTTTGGGAGCAAACACCGAATTGGGTATGTACGCTCATGTACGCTTCCCACGGATGACGGTCCTAGCAGCTTAAATAATGTTACCTCTTGTTACCCGTCCACCAATCTCTTGAACAATAAGTTGTCGACCTGCCTTTGACCGACCTCATTCTCATTCTGTGCGGGGGACATGAACTAGTACTTGATCCTGGCCTTGCAGAGAATCAACAATTATTCATAGATATGGGTCTGACTTTATCGCGGTCCCCTCCTCCTCCCCCTCGATCGTCGCCGTCGTTGTATAGTGCGATCGCAAAACTAGGTCATTTGTAGACATGCAGGTTTGTTTTCTATCCAATTGGAGACTTCAGGGAGCATTTCAGGTGGAAACTCGGGGCAAGGGCCCGCCTGACGTCAGCGGCATGAACTCAGTTCTATGATTCTGGGTAAGTTGGCTCGTTCTGCAGCTGACTAGTAATCATTTTCTTTGAACTGAAGCAGCCATCAACAGTCCCTCGTAGTCCACAGTGACAGCTGGCAATGTCTACCTCTCGATACATCCCTCACTCTAACAAGCCGCCTGCCGACCTGCGGGTCCTGCAAGAGGACATTCAAGACGCACTCATGTCTAACGCGAGGCGTATTCACAGGCACTCGGCTACCCGAGCTGGTGTACACATTGGTTCTGCAGGCATGTATTCCAAGGATCGGATCCAGAAGGCTGCCTAACAGATGGACTGGCAGGAGTATATCTCATGGACAAGAGCGTGGCAGGATTCGTGCCATCGGACCTGGCGAAATCGACCATCGCTCCCCTTACGTCCCAGCAGTTGACGGTCCCACATTCAGGATCCCGCGCTTCGTTTCTCGAAACCAGCGTCGGATCAGCAACCCTCATCCTGAAGGAGAGGCTCTGGGTCAGCTCTGGTCTGCGCAAGGCCAGCGTCAGCGGGAGCGATCTGCAGAAGATTGAAGAGTCGTGGACGACTTGCGTTCAGCTACTCGAAGCTGCCCTCCAGGTTTCGGCCAATGAAGAGATGGACGATGACGGTTGCGAAGTCCTGTATGGCCGCGCAGGACTGCTGTACGCTCTGCATTTTCTTCGTACGGAACTCGCGTCTCTTCGCGACGGTGGTGTGTCGATCAGCCAGACCGAGGACCCCGCCATTCATGCCGTTGCATCGCTCTGCGCCAATGCCAACGTACAAGCGCTCGTTGAGGACATCATGAAGCGAGGCAAAATCGGTGCTCGCGAATACAAAGAGGAGCTTGCAAGTCTCAGAGACGAGCGCGACAAGGTGCCTCCCCTCATGTGGAGATGGCACAGCTCTCGGTATCTTGGAGGCGCACACGGTGTCGGTAAGTGATAGTAAATTTGGGAGTATTGTTACTGACTCGATTTGCCACAGTTGGGATTCTGCATATGCTCGTCCTAACGCCGTCAAGCATCATTCAACCCCATTGGCCAGACATCGTCGAGATGATCGAATGGCTGCTGGCGATTCAGGAGCCGCTTGGGAATTGGCCTTCAAAAGCTGGAAGGCACTTGTATCACGTCGCTGGCGGTACAGCGACAAGCACAGAGGCGAAGCGGGTGAGCATCGGCGAGGATGATCGCCACGAGCTGTTGCAGTGAGTCTTCAGCTCCCTGGCCTCTGGAAGACTTACCAAGGGTCGGTTTCAGGTGGTGTCATGGCGCCCCCGGCGTGCTCATGCTGCTGTCCATGTTCCTCAATCGAACCGCGCAGTCATCTTCGCTCGCCATCTCATCGTCCCTCCGCGATCGGACCATCGCGGCCTTGCAGCGCGGCGGCGAGCTCGTCTACACTCACGGCCTACTCCGCAAGGGCGTCGGACTCTGCCATGGCGTTGGTGGCAGCGTGTATGCGCTCCTCGCCGTCTCCGACGCGCTCGACTCGGGGGAGGACACTTATTGGCTCGTGCGCGCGGTGCACCTCGCGCACCTGGCCACGGAGTACGGCGCGCTGGAACGGAAGGGCGAGATGTATGTGCCCGACGAGCCGTACAGCCTGTATGAAGGCGTTGCGGGGATGTGCTGTGCATGGGCGGAGGTGCTCGCGAGGCTCGGCGTACCGAGCCGTGGTGTTGAGAAGAGAAAGTCGGGGATGCCCGGTTATGATGACTTATGAACATGAGCAAGTGCGAGACGGAGTTGTACAGTGCGTGGCGAAATGATCATAGCCTGTGTGTCTGGGACCATTCACGGGCTCATGACTGGAGTTCATCTCGGCATTTTCTGCGCGCACGACGTCTATGGAGCGACATAAGAAGGAAAGTGGCGCAGAGCATGAGGTGAGTATCTTCGCTACCTGTGGTTCATTTGTGAGATGTTCATGTCAAGCCGAATAGTACATGCCACAAATGTTACCTGCGGTCGCCTTTGCGGGGTCAAAGGTATTCGACCCCTGAGTCGGCGGATCTACGTAAATTTGAAGAGAACGTCCAGGTCCGTTTGGTAAGTCATTGTTTCCAAGCCGTCCGTGGCGGTTTGTTTGTCGCCACTCCGGCCGGAACTAGCAGGTTGGTTTGTTTGGTCCCGGTTCGACTCTTTCATAAGTGGCTGCGCCGCCCCTCAGGCCCCTCATAACGCTCTGTTCTCTCCCTATCACTCACGCGCCTCCTTACTCCTTTCGACGAGCCTTCACCTTACACAACAAGACATCGACATGTTCGCCACCCTCGCCGAGTCACCCCTCAACTTGCCGACTACCAACGGCTCCCGTTTGTCTCCAGCGTCCAGCCGCCGGCCACACGCAACTTTGTCCGGGGCCTTCTCGGCCACGACCTTTTACACGTACGTTGACCGCCCTCCGCCGAACCACGCGATGTTCTGACGCGCCCTTATTTCAGTCTCGATCCCACTGTGCAATCCCGGCGGTATGGCCACGCGAATCGGTTGGCTCAAGGCAGATGGTACGTCTATGGCCGATGGGTTCCAGAGACGCGTATGTTGACCACTCCCATGCGTAGGCAAGACGTGTTTCCGAACTTGGGCTCCCAATGTGGCCCTAAAAGAGAACGACAAAGGTCGCCAGCCCCTGCAGCGTCTGAAGGGGCCAGCAGCTCGAGTTCTGCGACACAGGAGACTGACAAGGTGGCCTCGCCGATAGGGTGAGTGGAAGGCCATAGTGTACCTACGGTCATGGCTGATAATCATTCACGTATTGTTCTAAGGGGTCAAAACGATGCTCGACCATTAGTCTTGTCTCCTCAACAGGTGTCTCGATCCGGGGTGGATGCTATCCCTGAGGTCGCGGTAGACGCAGATCGGCCGATAGTTCAGAGTCCGCGTCTGTCTCCTCAACCCGAGAAAAGGCCTACACAATCAAAGTGAGTGTCACACAGAGGTGTTGAGTACCGATAGTATGGCTATCCTCCACGTCGGTTCTCAGCACCTTCATGTATCTTCGGATTCTAATTGCTGATATGCAGCTTGACCAGACGATCCCGCCCATCACCACTACGATTGGGACAAAGAGGCGATGCTCAAGATCGCACAACCCGCACAACTCGGCGTTCCTCCTTGAAGCGTCCCGCCCCTGCAGACCCCGAGCCGGTCAGCCCATCGCCTCCCGCGAAAAACACGCGACTACAAAAGCGGCGAAGGCTGCAATCGGAGGCGGCAGCTGGCCATGTCGATGCAGCGGCCGCGTCGACTAACATCAGAGCTGCTGGTGGCACAATCAGCTCTTATACCCATACCCGTCGCCGAAAACCACTGTCGAACGTCCAATCGTGACCTTCTAATGGAGCCTGTGTACATATACCCGCTTGATATGTGGATGTTATTTCCTAGAGGTAGATGGCAATTTACATGTTTACGGCCACACTCAAGAACTCGGCACACACATGCTGTCAACAAAGTACTGATAACGTGTTCGCGATGAAATCTATGTAAGTAGGTGGTATATGCCAGGCTCAAGCGCTCAAGCTTGGGCAAGCGCGACCTTTCAGTGTGTCGATTGCGTGACAAAGACTTCAAACAGGCGGCGATCCTGGTCGGGTGTTGCTTGGATCTTAGACTTGTGCTCAGTAGCAGTACTTACTAGCTGTACAGCCCATCGTAGTAGCATTTGATCGTATAATGAATGAATCGAGGCGCAACCTGCGTTCTATTAATATGTACTGCTCAAGTAGATGATGCGGCAATGATGCGGTCATCTTGGTTACAGGTGACGTAGTGGTCGACTTAGCACTTCCAAATAAGGCTACGCGACGCGCGCCCGACGCGTCGGTGGCCACTCGATCGATCTCAGATCGCGTTCTGTGCATGCGCCCGCCCTCAAGCTCGCTACAACTTCATCCTCACGTTATGGCTTGACTTCAATCTCCAACAGTCTGCGCGCATATATAAGACTCTCGTCGAGGTACCCACTGTCGTACATCTTCTCCTACAACCACCATGTAGCTCCAGGCCCCGCGCCGTCTCTTCTATTGACAACGGTAGCTGACAGTGACTATATGCGCCCGTTATGCAGCGCGTCGCTTCCCCTGCCTCTTGCGCATTCGTACATTCATTGCGCACAGGAGGACGTCATCACGGATGGGTCAGCCCTCTAGCTCGTCCCGCGCCCTCTAGCTCATCTCCCTCGCCGGCCTGCACCCCAACGCCGCGACGGCCGAGCTTGCGCACAGCATGCTCGCATACGTCGGCGCTGCTGTCCACAATATCCAGCTGAGTATCCTGGGTTCAGACTACCCCTCTCGTCATCGTTTACGTTCCGTGTTCGGTATGTCCGACGCTTCTGGAGTGTGCAGTCCTACCCATCCTGGACAAGACCGTGAGGAACCATAGGCGAGCGTAAGCCTCCCGCTGTCACTCCTACTTAATGCAGGACTTACCTCCGGCTACAAGCTGTCTTGCCACAAGTATGACAACGAGGAGCGCATTGCGCACACTTGCTGCTCGTGCAGAGGGCTTTGAGCAGTCACCACTGGTTGGATCTGCGCCTCCGCCCACTTGGCAGTACTGCCACATGGCAGTCAGTTCCAAGATGATAGGCCTCGCCTTCAAACGGCGCACTCAGGTGGAGTCTTGCTGTTCCCATCGAAATGGGATTATAACCGGCAGTGTCGAGGGCGAACTAGACTACGGTGGGCGGCTGAGGTCGAACGATCCGCACCCGCCGTCAGATCTCGGCCAAGAGACTCGGTCTAGCTCGCCCTCGACATTCCTCCTTACGGGACGCCCCAGCGATACTAAGGCCGCCACATTCCGCCTGTGCGCACGTCTGCAGTTGGGGGTGTATAGCATGATGTCATTAGGAAAACATCTGGAATACTTCGACACTACTATGGAATTCAACTCTCATCAACCTCAGAAGTGGACATCAACGAAATCAACAACTCAGCCTAACACTGGCGAACCATCAAGAGCGTACTCGCGATATGTGCTGGCAAAGGACTAGCACGCGCAAGGCCAGGGCCAGCTGGCGGATAGGCGTCGAACCTAATCACGAAATTTATGGAGCAACCCCGAGGAGATTGCAAAACTGCAACGACTCACAAGGCGGACGGTGCGGGTGCACATGGTCAGAAATTCATGATCGTCCACCGGAGGTGCATCCCATATACCTTTCAAGTTTGTTTCAAGTAAGGCCATGGTTCCGACAGGCGGAACAATCGAGATCAACGAGTGTCAAGCGGCATGCGCAAAGCCGAAGGGCGCCCGATACAGTTCCCCCTAAATTGCAGTTCTCCCATCGACGTGCGACCTTCGCAAGGCTCACGAGCTGGCAGAAGACCAAAAATAAAACTGGCGCGTGCATTACACGCTGAGTCGTCATGCAGAACGCGACTCACGAATAGAACTTCAACCTAGGACAGCAAGCTTCTGGCATGCCGATCGGCACCAGTTAATGAAGATTCCATGTCTGGATTTTGCTCGTCTAGATCTGCGGTGAGTGTCTTTTCATGCGCTACAGACTGGATAAAGGCGACGCGTATCAGAACTCGCACAAGGCCGTCGAGGGAGTTATACATACGCTGAACATACACGTATGTACGCACCAGGTACGTGCAACCGCTGGTCAGTCGCCACAAAGCCCGTGTCGGTCTCTTTGTGCCTGGCAGCGGAGTGTTGATTGTCCAAGAATAGCTTGGGTGGTTTGATATGATCTTCACAGGTGACACTGGCAAAGACTGCCGGCGCCGGGCCGCCGGCGAGAGGCAGAACCGAATGAGCCAGAAGAAGAGGGTCGTCTCAGATATTCGCTATGCGGAAGCGACGGGCGCGATGCGTCGAAAAGGCAGTCGAGAGATGTCGAGGCAGCTCTCGGAAGGCTGAGGCGTCGGCGAGGCCTCACCGCCACGGCGGAACAGGAGGTCCAAGAACAACGCCCGATCAGGAAACTGCGCGACCGGGAGACACCGCATGGGCGGTACTTTTTTGGCAGGCGACAGGCGGCAAATCAATAAGTCACGCAGCCACTTCCCCTTCTCAACCACCTCCCCGAGGCTGAAGCCCCCCCTCGCGTCCTCCACACTCCTTTCTCCTCGCTATCCGGACGCCCTTCCCCTTCTCTAGTCCATTATTAGCCCAAATACTGCTTTATTCGCCAGCTCAACGGTGACGCGGACGATTGGAATCTTTTCAAGATGCTCGCTCGCCAGCTCTCGCTGCTGGCTCTCGCGGCGGCCGCACCGGCCGCCTTCGCTCAGACACACACACCCGGTTCGTTCGAGGATGGAGGGGATACGCTCGTCAGCGCGATGATGGTGAGGGACTCTTCTGCTTGCGACTTGGGGAACGTGCATTGATGGCGGCGCATCAGATGTTCTTGGGCAACGACGAAGTCGTCTACGTCCTCGACAAGGCTGAGGGCAACGCTGCTCAGATTAACGGACACGCTGCGTGGGGTTCTGCGTACAACATTGCGGGCCGCACCTCGCAGACGATGGACGTCGTTACGAACACGTTTTGTGCGTCCGGCATGCATCTACCGAACGGGTCGTACGCTACGTTTGGCGGCAATGGCGCCGCGGGCCCCGGAGGCAATATGGGCGACGTGCTCGCGCCAGGCGGCTACTCGGCGACGTATGACACGACGTACCAAGACTACTCTGGGTCGAAGTCGATTCGCATCCTGAATCCGTGCAAGTGGGACGACCTGTCGGGCGCGAGTGCCAATGGTTTGACAACGCGACGCAGCTACACATGCAGAAGCAGCGGTGGTACTCCGCAGCAGAGCCGCTCGGGGACGGTTCTATCGCGCTCATTGGTGGGTTCGTCGAGGGTGGCTACATCAACAGGAACTATCCGAACGTTGACCCGGCGACGGAGGGCGGTGCGGCGGAGCCGACGTACGAGTTCTATCCGAGCAAGGGCGATGCGACATTGATGAACTTCATGGTCAAGACGTCGGGCCTCAACTCGTACGCGCACACGTATCTGATGCCGTCTGGGAAGATGTTCGTACAGGCGAACCTGTCGACGAGTGAGTGCTGTGCGAGTGCTGACAGGATTTTGGCGCTAAATGTGGATGGTCAGTGCTCTGGGATCCTGAGAACAACGTGGAGACGGACTTGCCTCCCATGCCGGACGGTATTGTCCGCGTGTATCCCGCTTCGGGCGCTACGGCGATGATGCCGCTGACACCTGCGAACGACTACACGCCGAGCGTGCTCTTCTGCGGTGGCTCGGACATGCCCGACTACTACTGGGGCAACTACTCGTGGCCGTTCTACAACACCTGGACGTACGGCGCATCGGCGAAGTGTCATTACATTACACCTGAGCCGACGGACGGTTCCACTCCAAAGTATGTGGAAACCGACGATATGCCGAAGGGCCGGACCATGGGTCAGTTCATCCACCTGCCCGATGGTAAGATGCTCGTCGTGAACGGCGGCGCTATGGGCACTGCCGGATTCTCGAAGCAGACTCTCTACGCGACCACCCTTTCCCAAATGACGTTCGGAGAGTCCCTTGCTGCAGACCCTGTCGGTCAACCTGCTATATACGACCCAACTGCTTCCTCCGGTTCCTACTGGTCAACGGAAGGTTTGGACACCTCGAACATCGCGCGTTTGTACCACTCCTCGGCTATATTGCTGCCCGACGCCTCAGTGCTCATCGCGGGCTCTAACCCCAACCTTGATGTCAATATGAGCACCGTCTATCCCACAACGTACAAGGCCGAGCTCTTCTACCCGCCATACTTCTCTGCGTCCACTCGCCCCACTCCTCAGAACGTACCGAGTACGCTCAGCTACGGTGGCGCTTACTTCGATGTCTTGATCCCCCCTTCGTCGTACTCCGGCTCTGCGAACGATGCCGCCGCGAACACGACTGTGTGGGTCATCCGCACGGGCTGGACCACGCACGCTATGAACATGGGTCAGCGCTCCATGCAGTTGAACAACACGTACACTGTGAACAGCAACGGGTCCATCTCCTTGCATGTTTCTCAGCTCCCTCCCAATGCCAACCTCTTCCAGCCCGGCCCTGCCATGCTGTTTGTCACCATGTCTGGCATCCCGAGCAACGGCACGTTCGTCCTCATCGGCAGCGGCGACTTCGGCACACAACCTACGTCCCCTGCGGCCTCCCTTCCCCCTAGCGTACAGGCCGACAACGTGAGCGGCTCTGCTCCGAGTGGCTCCGCTGGTAGCTCTTCTACCTCCTCCAACTCAAGCAGCTCATCGTCTGGGAGCACGTCACACACTGCCGCCATCATCGGTGGCATCGTCGGAGCCGTCGCTGTTGTTGGTATCCTGGGCGCCGCTTTCGGCGTCTATGTCGCACGTCGGAGACGCGCAGCATCGCAAGCGAAGCCTGCATCGATGTACGCCATGTCCTCCGTCGGGGGCGCTGGCGCGCTTGGCAGGCGTGACCTTCGCAACTCCGACTCGAGCGCGTTCGTGCCGCTGCAGCACGAGAACAAGAGCATGTGGGATGGGAACGCGAGCAACATCAGCCTGTCGCCTTATCACGACGAGGTGCGGACGGGCGGGCCCAGCGCAGAGTTTGACCCTTACTACCAGAACGCGCCTCGTCGGTGAACGAGGAAGTACAGTAATGACCGGACTTCGTCTTTTTATACATTCCTATTAGCGTGCCTCGCCTCTTCATGGGGGCCGATCGCTCGTTGGGCTTGTGTGAGTGCTCATAGGTTCGTCTGCATGCATAGATTCTCATTCGCGCTTCGCCTCTAATCTTCATACCCTCCCGTATCGCCTGCTCCTGTAACCGATCAGTTCCCTAAAGTAATGTCGTTTCCTCCTCGTATGGACCTTTACGACGCGTCTCTCCCTTTTGTGGCACCACCGTGTCACTTGGACTCTTTTCCCGAGCTTGATTGGACTTGGCAGTATGTAGAGATAACGGAATCAGCACGAGTGCGAAGTCCAATGAAGCTATGAAAGGGTCGCCTGAAAAGTGGGTCAGTGGGTCAGTGGGTGGCAGTCTCTCGTGTAGCCAGGTTGGCTCCGAGACGAGCTTGTCGCACGCGAGTCACCCGCAGCACCGACCAGTGTATGACGGCTTATGTAGGTGTCGCTGATAGCTGCTCTGCACGACAATTACACTCTAGTCCAGTGCGGTATGGCGGGCGCAGTATCTTCAGGTCGTCTCATCGCCCATTCGGGACAACCACCTCCGAATCATCAAGCAGTGCGGGACAAGATCCGGAATGCGCTCATCAAGAACGTGCGACTCGTACGTGAACAGCCTACATCCAGAACATGTATATTCACTATGGGGCCGCAGGCGAGTGCACCGTACAACTCAAGGGGACACAGACATTGACGATGCCTTTCAGGTGTGGTGCTCATGGACGGGAAGATGTCTGGACTTGTACCATCCGACATCCTCCTGTGCACCTTTACCTCTCTGGTGACCTCATTTCTTGAGATGAGTGTCAGGCCGGTGATGCTGATCCTTGTGAGAAGCTGCGTAGTTCGCTCACACAGGATGTTGTTGGTCTGAATGAAGACGACTTACGGCGCCTTGACGGAGCGTGGTAGCCCTGTCTTGACCTTCTCCAAGGTGTTCTGAAGATAGTACCACGAGAGACGCAGAGCCGGGATAGCTATGGCTGTGAGGCGCTATAAGGGCGACTCGGTTTCCTCTACGCCCTGCTGGTGCTGCGCTCCGGGCTCTCGTCCCCGAGCGCAGTAAGCAAGGGCCATAAGGAACCAGCTGTTCAAGCGGTCGCTGAGCTATGCTCTGACGATAATCTCAGAGAGTTCATGGACGACATCATTCACCGCGGCAAGCTCAATGCTCATTCGCCGAGCTCGGCCTCTCGGAAGCAGGGCTAGGAAAGGGCTCGTCGCTTAATGTAGAAGGAGTCCGGGTATCTCGGCGCAGCGCATGGAAGAGGTACAGAATAGTCAACATTTTTTTGGTGCCATGCTCCTGATTCAATTGCAACCCACAGCTGGCATCCTACAGATGCTCATTTCTGCCCCGCCATCTATCGTCGAGCACCAGTGGCCGATCATCATGGAGAATGTATGCCACCCGAGCGATAACGGGTCGGATATGCTTATCCAGTGAGTCCTATAGCACCTTCATGAGTCCACCATGCCTGAAATCCCTACATGGTGCCATGCCGCTCCTGCTGTCCTCGTGTCCCTATCGACACTCCTTACTCGTCCTTCCTCCACCCGGGCGCCTGCGCTCCAGCTCTCAACCTGCATGCACAAGGTCATTGCCGCACTTATTCGCGGAGGCAAGCTCCTGTACACTCGGGCTCACTTCGCAAGGGTATTGGTCTCTGCCACGATGTCTGAGGCACAACGTGTGGTTTCTGCTTGCCGGATCCGATGCGTTTGAATCTCGGGGTCACCACTCCGACAGGATCACGAGCAACTGGCCAACACTGATACCATAGATATGCGCTGGACTTACGGACATTACGCCTTGCTTCGCCACAGAATAAGAACATTAACAGAGGAGGGCGAGATGGTGATATGCTTGGGTGGAATTCTCGGTAGGAACCTCAACAATGAGTGGTCGCGGAGCTCAATGCCTGGATTGATACATGCCGAATGTCAACTGAGAGGCTAATTCGATGAGTGCCAGCCCGCGTCCCTATACAACGCTAACAGTGCATTCAATTTCGCAGCGGCAGGTCATGCCGTTCAACTCTGGGGCAACGTCCCATGCTGCTTCAGCGCCTTGGCAGTACGTCTTGAATGCATTCCTTGGGTATCATGACCATTGACCCAAACCATCCTCGCCAGATACGTGCTGTACAGCCATGCAATAGGAGGTCTGTTTCATGGCCGTTGGCGGTGAGCGCCTTCGTTGATTATCTAGTACCATCGTTTGTGGGCGCATGTGTGCGTGGCAGCACTGCTTATTGCACCATCGATGCATGCTGTGTCTCTACGATTCTATGAACACCTGATAGGTAATGATACTCTCGCACGAGCCAACCTGTCACATCAGCTTCCTGACATTCTGCTGCTATAGATGCTATGTCTAGTCACTCACACCATGGGAGTGCAATGTGTTAGATCACTCAGGCGACGCTATAGAAGAGACACAACACCGATGGTCGTCAATGGTGAGACTGCGTATCCAGACGAGTTATGCTAGTCACAGAGCTGATTGCATGCCGGCTTATTGTGTGTGGTCCCCAGACGCGCGCAAGGTAGTTCCCTTCTGGCCTGTGATGATCAGAGACTGTTCACAGGACTCGGACTTCATATCCGCAGGGCAGCAGGCCATGCTCGAGGCTTTATAACGAACATGCCGCCTGATCGGCTGTCGTGCTCCAAGTATCGGGGTGCCCCTCGACGGATGCCCGCTAGCCCTTCTGCAGGCTCTGTCCCATTTCATTGGTTGCATCGAGAGCCTACGGAGTGTCCCTGATATGTCGTATCAGCCTTACAATATCTCCTTTGACGACAAGTCGCCTCTCTTTTACTACTTGCCGTATCGGGGTGGATACAGCAGCGGCCCAGAGCCTATGCACTATGGTACAGATCATGATTCTTGGTACGCGTACAACACTACTACGATAGTGCGTCGAGGCTATGCTGTTCCGATACATCCATCCGTAACTCACGGAATCACAGGAATCCTCGTTCACTACTTACGCCGTTAACGCCTCGGTCGCCCTCCAATGGGCGGGTACAGCGGTCTGGCTGCACGGGGAAGCGAACGCGACATATACGATCACGAGGAGTTGGAATGCAAGCAAGATCGCGGGTGAAGGCACCGCAGTGGTTGGAGGCGTGCTGTACAGCGAGAGCGGCTTGCCGTATGGACTGAACACGCTCACACTCACCGTCCAAGAAGGCCCTGTCACCATCACTGGTGCCACTATCACAGTCGGCATGGGTGAGCCTGGGTGAGTCCTGTCGATAGCGCACTATACACAGACTGACTCTCTGTTTGTGAGCAAGCTCGTCGATCAAAGCAACAAATATTTCCACTATCATCGAAGACATTCCCGCCATTAACCCTGTCTTCACCGTTAACTCGAACGGCACATGGGAAGGCGACTTGGCATTCGCGCCAAATAATGGGCTGGAGCCAATCATCCTAACAACCAAACAGGGCGACTATGTCACATTCGTAGTCAATTCCAGCGTAGGGTTCGCTGTGTATGGAGCAACTGACCCCATGCAGGGCACGTTCCTGGTGGACATAGATCCTCCTGTGCCGAATAGCCCGAACACTAGGACACACCTGTTCAACGCCACGACGCCGTGGGTGGAGATCGAGGAAATCAAGTACCTGGCTACTGGGTTGAACAGAACCAGAACTACACGGTGAAGCTGACCAATGCACAGTTGGGGAAGGAGTTCAACGTGGGTGAAGTAATACTGTTTGATGCCATACCTCCGTACGTGGTTCTCGGTCCTTCAACTTGGATCGCTTGCTGATGCGCCAACGCGGCACAGCACATCATCCTTGTCCTCTACCACTGTCTCAAGCCAAACCGTCTCGCAGGCAATCCTACCAATTCGGGATCCGTCTCAGTGGCCGCGTCGCATGAAGACTTGAGTCGCGGAGCCGTCGCTGGCATCGTTGTAAGTGACAATTGGCTTGCTATCGACTGATATATTCATGACCGCTCCGCAGGTAGGGAGTGTTGCGGGGATAGTCTTGATCGCATTCATTGCACTCGCGCGTTTCCGTAGAAGGCGAGCGAGCATCGCTAGTTACGAGATTGAGCCGGACCTGGCGGAACCGAAGCCGGACGAGCAGGATGCTCCTCCATCTAGTGTCGGCGTGCAAGATCTTCGCGCTCCCGAGATGGCTACGGATCCATGTGAGTCAATCATCCGTCCATGCGCCAAAGAGCCCGGTCTGAAGCGGAATGTTCCACAAGACATGAAAGCGTATGTAGAGTCACCTGGCTCTCCACCAATCGAGGCTGCAGACCGGCCTCCCCGTGTGGCGAGTTCATCGTATCGCAAGTCGGAAGAAATGACTTCGACACTCATCCTCGGTGCAATAGTCGAGGGTTCTTCCTCATCAGCTGAAGCCCCGGCGCCGGCGCCACCACCATCACCACCACCGCCACCGCCAGTGCTCCCGGTTCACGAAGAAGACGCAGGACCAGTGCCCGAATCGCTACCGCCGATGTACAACCCTGACTGGAACTCAGCTCAGGCGCAAAGTACTCTTGAAGAACGCTGATCGCGGTTAGGCTGCATCGATGAATTGATTAGTCTTGATGGTCTTGAAATAAATCACTACACGGCTTACGGTACGGGTATTGTACGGTCCTTGACCATAATTACCGAAATGCACGGATGTGCATAAGACAGTCGCAAGGACGAAGCCTTGTGAATACAACTTCTTGAAGCATTTGGCTGTCGACACCAGCTGGTGGTGGATAACCTAACAGCAGAGTGTGCGAAGGGTGAGTCGAGAGCATATTCTACATGCCTGGCAGCAGACATGTAAGCCATTGAGATGATCGTACATAATATACACACTAGCACAAGTGAGCGGCAATTGCAATCTGATACAGTTGACGACGTGCCAAACGTCCGTCTCCAAGGGCTCCAGCACGGTCAGTAGTCACTTCACAATCGGGTTGACGCCTCTCGCAGCAAGGTAGTCCTTGGCAGCTGTTGCACTCTGACGGACCACGACGTGAGAAAAAGCACCCCTAGGGTATGAGGTAGCTCACCAAACCACGTAACATGTCATATACGCTCTTGTCGTGGTAGCGTAGACCAGTCGCTGGGTCAGTATATGGTCCCTGTAGTTCGACTGAGGACCCGAACCGCTCAACTGACAGATACTTGACCCACCTCTAGTCCTGTGATATCACAGTATCTCCTTTGCGGAAGAACAGAGGGTGGCGCTTCAATAGAAGAGTCTATAGCAAAGCTGTAAGGACCGGAGGTCAATCCGGGTGCAGCATGCGACGCACAAGTTGGCATGTCCTCGTCAGGGATGTATTCCTTCTCTACGCCGTCAACGTCCATCTGCTCCTCTCTTTGCTGTCGCCTTTGTTCTCGTTCCAGCCGCTCTCGCTCCCGCTCTTGCGCGAGGACCGCCTCAAGTTCTTGGTTCTCCGGTTCGTGTTCTTCGTGTACTCTGGATTCTTGAAGGGGCGCGGCAGATGGTTGTACGAGAATTGCTCCGCGAGAGACTCATCATCAACAATTAGAGTACTTCAGGCTATGTATGGCAGAGACTCACGACGACCGGTGGTGTTGGGGAATCATCGCTGACCACTGTCAACGGCTTGCGCTTCGTATAACCTTCGGAGGCCTTGAACATACATCAAGTTCAAGCATCAGAGGCACATATATGCACGCACATTATGTAATATGCTATAAACAAATCGATAGACAAGCACTGGTTCGATATCGTACACTGGTTCACCGACCGACACGGGCACAGCGTTCAAGACTGTGGCGTTCAGAGATCCCATATCTCGATTGCATCTTGCGCATCGTTAGAACCTCGATCACGTGCAGCCTGCTAACTTCGCTTCGGAGGTGCCTGCCTGCAAGTCCTCGGTCTTAACTCTGGCCTACTCTGACACAGGGCCCCGCACGACCACTGGGAGCAGTTGGCACTGATTATCTGTGATCAACGTATACTTGCTCTGCCGCTGGGCTGGATTCTGGTACAGCAGCTGAAAACTAGCCAGAAATGGACGCCCTCATCGCCAAAGCAGATGCGGTACGCCCAATAACGAAGAAGAGGCGTATTCACAAGGATGAACCAGCGAAGAAGTCGAGCTCATCACGTCCAGGTCCTTCAGATGACCGCACGCTGGGCTCGGTGTCCCTGCATACCACATTGCCAAAGTCTCTTCGACCGACGTCTCCTCCTCCGGAAAACGTGCCCAAATATGGTCACGTAAAGGACAAGAAGCTTCGAACCCAACTGACGAGACAGTCATCGCAATCCGCGAGGGCGAGGGCATTGGTGAAGGATGCAGAGCTTTTACTCACGGAGGAGGCGGGGCTCATGGAGGTGGAGGGAGACTTAGAGAAGACTTGGAGGGTTGGTCAGGACGAGATTGCACAAGCGGCAGGGCAAGAAGCTGCGCAAGGACGGAAAGAGTGGAAGTTAGATGGTGGGCCGTACCGCGCGAGTTATACGCGGAATGGAAGGTGCGTAGTGATAGCTTGGACGTGCGAGGGTCTGCAGTAATTGATGTCGGTATATCAGACATCTTGCCATCGTTGGTAGAAAAGGCCATGTCGCGACGTTTGACTGGCAGACTGGGACGATGCATGCTGAGCTACAACTCAGAGAGACATGCCGGGACATTACGTCGGTATCCACCCTACGCTTATAGCCCGTTCCACTCACCTGTACGTCTGCAGATTCCTTCATGACCACTCGCACTTTGCGGTGGCTCAGCAGAAGTATGTTTACATCTACGACCGCGACGGTGTCGAATTGCACCAACTGAAGTCGCATATTGAGCCCACAAGGCTTGAGTTTCTCCCATACCACTGGCTCCTTGCTAGCGTTGTACGTCTCGTTCTTCACCAGATCCCGAACACAACATTCACATCCTGGCATTCGTAGGGTAATGCGGGCTATCTCAAATACCAAGACACCTCTACGGGTCAATTGCTCGTCGAGCATCGCACAAAACTCGGTGCGCCAAGCGCCATGACTCAAAACGCACACAACGCGGTCATTCATCTCGGACACGCCAACGGCACCGTCACCCTCTGGACGCCGAACCTCCCGCACCCCGCTGTCCGGTTGTTGGCACACCTCGGGCCCGTCGCGAGTGTCAGTGTCGATCCGAGCACAGGTGGGAGGTACATGGCGACGGCAGGTCAGGATGGGCTAGTGAAGGTCTGGGACTGTCGGAATTGGAAAGGTGCGGTGCGGACGTGGAACGCGAGAGGCGGAGGAGGCGAGGTAGAATGGAGCCAGAGAGGCGCGCTGGCCGTTGCCTCAGGCGGGAGCGTCAACGTAGGTTTCTGCTATGAGAACTCGGTGACCATCGTCTCAACGGCATCTTTTAGGTGTACACCAAGCCATCTATCCAAACCCCGTTCATCCCGGCCGTATCTCCACCTCTCTACCTCACTCATGCCGTACCCATCGCCCACTCACTTCCCTCCGTTCTGTCCCTTCCACGATCTCCTCACCATCGGGCACAACGCGGGTCTGTCAAGCATTCTAGTCCCTGGCTCCGGCGAGCCCAACTTCGACAGCGCCGAAGCAGATCCGTTCGAGAACAAGCGCGCAAGGAGAGAGCGGGAGGTCAAGGGCCTATTGGACAAGGTGCGTAGATTTGATTATCGTTGACCCGAAACGACGGCTGAGCAGTACTGCCTCCCAGATCCAACCGGACATGATCACCCTCGACCCCGAGTTCGTCGGCTCACTCGCCCCGGAGCTCAAACTGACCACAGCTGTCGGCGGCGAACCCGACATCCCCTTCGCGCGCCTCCCGCGCTTAGAGCGCCTCCGTGTGCAGGCAAGGCGGACGAGATGGAGGGTGGCGACGAAGGGCTCGCTGCGGGCGGCGACGACGACGACGACGAGGCCTTGAAGCCGACGAAAGAGGAGAAGGAGAAAAAGAAGATGCGCGGGAAAAACAAGGCGCTCAAGAGGTACCTCCGCAAGCAGCGCAAGAATGTCGTCGATCCCAAAGCGGTGCGTCGTCTTTGCGTCATCTGTCGGTGAGGCAAGGGTTGAGTCTGACGGCTATTTGTATAGCTCGCTGTCCGTGCGAAGCTGGAGAAGCAGAGGAAGGAGAAGCAGAAGGCCAGGGCCGCCGCTGCCGGGCAGTCAGTGGATCGGAAGCCCTCCGCTTTGGATCGTTTCAAACGATCAGCGCAATGATGAACTGTGTCTGTGCTTCATCATGTTGTGTGGACGATGCCTACATCGATTGTTCTGTTGCTCGACATGTCTGATGCTTCGCCGGCGTGGCTATGCATTCTCGTGAATTTGATGACCAGGGAGAGCAATCGCCTCATCTATCGTTTAGGCTCGATCATTGTCGAAAATTCCGGGCAATGACGCCTCTCATTTGAATCTCATCTATCGTGCAGCGCTGTGGTGTGAAATCTGCTCTGCAGCTGTTGTAGAGGTAGGTGTGCTGTTGGTACATCGAAGATTGGTACATACGGGCCAGTCCCCGAAATCATCTACTGGTACAAGTCATTCCGTTTTGCATAGATGTCCCAGTTGAACCGAATAGATGCGGCACTGCTGATATCGATGACATCGTCACACGCACCGGCACTTGTTTCGGGCGAGCAGGACAGTGACTGACTTGGCGAGGCGCTGTGATGATCGGAGGTCGAACTCTTCAGAGGGGCCGTAGATGATGTACGTGGACTCTGTGCCAAAGGCGAGAGTGGCCTACGCTTCGGGTCCGAGCTTTGTCGCCACCGTCTTCGTCGTCCTCGTCCTCGTCCTCGTCCTCAATAGACCCGCGCGAAGCCTGCGGAAAGGCCTGCTTGCTATCGCCTCTTGGTGCTTGCGACCCGCACGAGCGATGTGCAGCTTCGTGTAGTGTCAAATTGTCGTGAGATTATCCCGCCAGACTCCGTCACACTCACCATCATACGACAACCAAGCACGGAGGTCAGCGCAATGTTGACCCTGCTTTTGTTGTCAGCTCGTCCACATAGATAACCTCCACCGACGGAACTACGGAATCAGTGCAAAGAACAAAGCCGTAACCTGTTAGAGAGGGCGTGAGCCTTTCATAGTCAACGTGGCTGCGCCGGGTCTTACCTGGGCCTTCCATACGATGAAGTTCGCCAGAATCGACGCCAGAGCACCACCAAAGTACAGGACCGAGTCCCGCAGAAGCACGACCATGAGGCGGGGAGTTCCTGCCTCCTCGCGCGCCTGCTGCGCACTGCGATAGAGGGAGAGCGCGAGCAACAGCGATTCCCAGACCATGACGGGGACCCAGTACGCCCACGCCCACTTCTTGATCCCGTCGGCGACGCATGTCGAGATTAAACTATCGGCTGGGAGGATTATATCTGCGCCGGGCGAAACGTGTCAGTGTCAATGACAAGCACCCGTTGCGTTGAACCTGCCTTTGAGGCCGTAGATGACTTCGGCAATAAGGGTGGTCTCGATGGCAAGCTCAACGATAAGCATGGCGCAGAGCGTGATCAAGAGAGTGCGGTTGCAGCGATACATGAGGTACAGTCTCATTATCAGGATGCCTGAGTTGATGTCAGCACGATGAAGTTGAGGCTGAGGCGAGGATGTGCTACACACCTGACATGGATATTCGCATGATAAAGTTGGCGTATAGGAACCATTGGTACCAAAAGTTACAACTGAGATATACAGGGCTGCTTAGCCAAGGGAAGGCTGTGGAGGCATGTCTTACAGCTGTGGTCATGAGTGGATGTTAAGTGAAGTGCCCGGTCGCAGGCTATGAGCACTTACTGAGAGATCCGAACTGCGAGCAGTTGCTTCGACTACAATGTTCTGGGTTATAACATTGTTCACGCCAACGACGGGGGAGGAGGCATACATATGTTAGCAAATCTGTCTCCGCGATTGTATCGGTAAGACACAACACTTCCACGAAAGGCGGGTGAATCCTCACATTAGGTTTATGAGCCTAGGCACGGCAATTCCACTTAGTTCCCGTGCAGCGCTACATAGAAGAATGGCGTACGGAAAATAGCGGTTCTGCAACCGTCAGTAGCTCAGTACAAGAATACTCCGAGCGAAGTGAAATCCGTACGACAAAGTACAGGAGCCGAGTCCGGACAAATCGGCCATGCCACATAAATTCGATCTATCACTTGTGAGCTCAACCGTTGGCAGACTATGGTTGATCTCCCCATCTCGTCGTCATACGTCACCACTTCGCAGGGGCGTCAGTCAAGAGTAGTCCCGCAGCGAACGATGTCCCTCACTAATCTCGTAGAAGAGTAACGTCAATGAAGCCACTGTTGGGGGAGCGGTCAGCATGTCGACGCAATGCTGACATACAGTACAGCGGGGAATGACGTACGCCAGAAAGACCGCACGACGCGGTAGTCATTCACCCCGGTCATGAGATCCTGCCATAATGGTGCGTCAATCGAGTCTGACGCCGAGGACATCTCTGGAACCTGGGGCGAAAGAACTATAATAGAACACAACAGCAGAAAGGGGCGGCAAAGAAGATAAGTAGAAGAACCGGGGAGTACAGGGGAGGGGGCACCGAGCGCATACCAACTCTACATATACGACTAGTGCTTTTGAAATGATCATCTTTAGTGGAGACGTATCATGCAGCGCGCCTCCTCCACCGTAGGTCAACAATCATAACAGCTGACGATGCTTCAGCAGGCTTCAGCGCTCCATAACTTCGCAGAAAATCAAGAGGATCACTCACGCAGCCATGTTGATCACTGAATCTGCTGCCAGCGACATGCGTCGACACGAGGATTGCAGGGTTCTCGAGCAATTTGAATGAACAGTCGGAAGAGAGTGAAGTAGTCGAGAGCTACGCTCAGTAACGCAGTTGTCAGATAGTTGGCAGCTCAGACTCTGAAATTCAAATGATCAGACATCTCCGAGCTGCCAGAGGTCATTTAGCGGTCCAGCAGACCCGCGAGCACGATAGGATTAGCTATAAGCTCAAAGGGCGCCGTCGTAGTTTCCACGACGTACTGTTCAATGTTCTCGTATGATCTTGTCACAGGTATTTGAGAGCAATCATGTTGGGTGGGAGAGACCACACACCGTCACACCATGCGATGCGTTGTATCATGGGAACGCTGACCTCCGACAGATGGGCCACCAGTGGTCAAGATGCCCGTCATATGTCAGAGCGCTCGTCACTCGAGGGAACTGCGGCCCTGATAGTGGCGCACGGCCATCGAAATGCGACGCCATCCAGGCTGTCCAATATCAGCCCTGCATGACGGCACTGTCGTGTGCGGCGTGTTGAATGTACTTCCATCGGAGAATTGCCTCGTTCGGCGTTCGCACTACGAGACTAAGGACGACTCAGAAGGCATGCGCATACTGAAGATACTCACAATTTCCACGCCCAGAGGCCCACGGTTGTGCGACCCTCTCAGCCTGAGGTGCGGTGTTACAGGTCACGAATTCGGATACTAAGGCCTATGGCTAAGTTCATGTCATCCATGGTTCCGCACTTACTGAGTTTATGCATGGTGGTAGTGTAGAACACCGAGTCAAGTACGCCTACATGGCTGTCCAATGAAGAAGCTATTACTTTCTGTATCCGGCCAAAATGAGTTGATCACTATTTGGCCACGAAAACATTATCACGTGACTGTCCGCCAGGCGATGCCTCCGATGGTTTCAGAACTACTCACTTACATGACATCTTGTATACAGCGACAACTCTGCGATTGCGATAGCGCACTTGCTTTTACTACTCTCCGACCCATCAGCATGCTCGCGACGGGGCCTGGAGTCTGATCACCTCTTGGGACATTGCAGCAGTACTAGTACTTGAAGCTGAACGTAGTTCATGCATTAAATGTGACCTCTCGGAGTGCCGTGTATATACACTGCCCTTGTCACCTAGACCGCCCCGGAGTCAGCTCGAAACCGACAAGCAATTGGAACCTCTCGAGCTTGCGTAAATAACATGTACACAGGATGCCTTGATACGGTAAATTAAGGTCGCCTGAGCTTGTCGGTCGAGCCAACTTCATTGAAGGATAACTCGAAGCATAGCACCAAACAGCACTTGGTACGTCGGGCGATAGACTTCCATGGCCTCAGGCTCATAGTTGACCACAGCCAAGACTGCCTGTTACCTGGATTGTAACTACCACACGCGTAAACACCATAGAGCAGTATTGTTCCATCGCAACATCCTCGAATGTGTGAAACTCGCGAGACGGTTTCGCATCATTTCTGTGGTCGCCACACACGAAGTGTCCCCGGTGGCTCTGGATCCCGTTTTGATGGTGTACTGGATGCGATGCAGCATCGGTGCGTCACGATCGGTTTATGATTTGCATGTATTGATACGGAGGTAAAGTCTAATATCACCATTTGTAGAGCCCATCGCATCGTTCTCGGGTCATGATCCAGTGCATTCGAACGCAACATGTTGTCTTCAAGCTGTGTACCACGTCTAAGCCATGACGAGGGGAGTTTCGCAATGGTATGTTAGGTCGTCGCTTACCTCCACTGCCGGAAAGTCTGGAACCGTTTCGTGATGTACTCCCGAGTCCCAGACAACATGCATCCCGTGTGCAGCGTGGTCATTCAGCCTAGGCGCTGACCTCTTCACCCTGCAGGCGACTTGATGAGTGGGGTGAGCGCCATTGCGGATCGATCTCGCAATGGACTCATACTGGCAACATTGCGGACTGAGGACCCTGTCGATCCGCTCAACAGGGACAGCGTGATGTAGATCCAACACCCGCGGTCTGCATATAAGAGGCAGCATTAGTCTCCAGAACCGCAACAGTCGTTCACATTCACGTCTCTCGCTTTCCATTTTCGACTTCAAGGATGCTTCGATCGCTGTTCCCGTTTTCTCTCTCATTACATCTCTTTGGTTTTCGACGGCCGGTAAGTAACCTGTCTATTGTGTTGCGGGTGTACGTTCTCAAGTAGCTTTTCCAGGTGCGGCTGTGGTTAGGCCCCCTCCTATGCGAAGGAGCACGACTGCCTTCGATGGCCAGTACATCAGCACCTCTGCGGACAGCACCGCCGTAGAATGGTGGTACCTCCAGGCTCTTGCCTCAGACGTCGAGGGCGACAACCCTCCAGCGAACGTGCAAGTTCTGTACTACCAAGGTATGACCATTAGTCTCACGAACAGTCCAGACACTCACATACTACTGTCGCCAGGTTACCCGGTTTCAGATGGCTCTACTGCGACCCAGACGGGCCAGCCTGAGTACTACATCACGATCAACGGCATGTTCGCCAACGGCACGGTTTTCAACTTCAACGTGCCTACTTCGACCGGCGCTGTCACTACGTCGGGCAACGCTGTCACCGGAAAGTGGGGCGACGCTGGCGAGTTCGCCGTCACGGATGATCTCTCTTCGCTGTCAGCGACAGTGAGCGCAGCGGACTATGGCATCGAGGCCTCGATTTCCTTTACCTCACGCACGTCGCACCACTTTGGCTGCAACAACACCGACGACGCCTACTTCGACTCCGCTGTGTCCTCGTCGCAGTCTCTCAGCACCCCAGAGCAGCTGCTCTACAAGCAGCTCGGGTGGGCGACGACGATCCCAGGCGGCACCGCAAACGTGACGCTCACCGTGAACGGCACAGCGCTCTCCTTCGTGGGCACGGCCTACCACGATGCGAACTGGCTGCCGGCTGCGCTCAACGAGGCGGTCAGCAGCTGGTACTTCCTGAACGCGGCGGTCGGCTCATACGACATGTCCGCGGTGCTCGTGCAGCCGGTCAACTCGTCGCTACAGCTTGGCACGGGCTTCCTCGCCAAGGACGGCGTCGTCCTCCAGAACCAGTGCAGCGTCGTCGGCGGCCGCACGACCGACATCAGCACCGCGACGCCCACTGGGTCGTACACCGACGGCGGCCTCACCCTCCCGACTGGCTTCACGCTCAGCTACACGCTTGCGAATGGAGACGAGTACACGTTCGACCTGAAGTCGCAAGGTGCGAATCCGAACCAGGCGATCTACCATCGCTGGATCGGCAGCGCGACTGGGGGACCCGTGGGCGGAGCGCAGGAGACGGGCACGACGGTGTTCGAGTGGCTGAACCCCGGCAATAACGTCTACAATCCTTAAGGACACTCTTTATTGTGATTTCGTGGGCGGAAAAGAGGCTTTCGCAGGTACTTACTCTCGTATTCGAAGGTTGTGTACTTCTTGACCTGCGCTGGCCAATCTGTCACTACTGCTGCATCCGTTTATTGGGCAATATTTATTCTAGTGGCTCGTGAAATAAACCCGTTCAGTCTTCGATGGTGTGGCTACGTTACCGTCGTACATATCTGAATGAGCCAGGTCGCGCACACCAAAATGCACAACCTCTCAGGTTCACCGCACACGAATTGGGTTTGACCGCCAGTAGAGAGACCAGCCTGGCAAGTGCAAGTGTGATCACAACACAATATGAGCGAGTGTGAATTTGAAGATCGCACAAGCGCCTCGGTTTTGCAAGCGCCCTGCCTCCTCCTCCTCCTCCAACTTCAGGGTCGCCCAGGCATTCACAATCTTCCTTCTGCTTCATTGAACGCCTCTAGGGAGAGGCACACTCAGCCATGGTATCTGCCACAAAATCATCACAGAAACGGGCTGCGCCTGCGCAAGCCGGACCCAAAGCCAAGAGGCCGCACGTAGAAAAGAGCAGCAAAAACAAGTCGGAGACAGCTGCATCTGACAAGGGAAAGAAGCGTAGCAGGCCTGTTACAAAGCCCGTATCAGAAGATGAGGAGTCAGGATTGGACGAATCGGGAGAGGAAGGTCTCCAGGAGGAAGGGGACAACTTCGAGGAGGACGGAGAGTCAAAAAGCGCACCCGCGAAGGATCCGAATGGTGAGTGCTCTGTAAATCCTGTATTGTAGTTTCTAATTCATACGTCACACATCGCAGCCGCACGAGAATCCCACAAAGCCCAGCGTGTACTCCTCAGCGAACGGCGTGCAGCAAAACCGCACTCTGACCTTCTCGTAGAAGCCAAACGCACCTGGCGCCTGGCGCACCAAAAGAACATCCCTCGTGCGGAACGCGAGAAACACATAACCGCGCTGATGGACGTCATCCGTGGAAATGTGAAAGACATCGTGCTGAAGCACGACGCAAGCCGGATCGTACAGACGGTCGTGCGCTATGGCGGAGAGAAGGAGCGGAATGAGATCGCCCAGGAGCTGAAGGGGAGGTATAAGGAGCTGTCGCAGAACAAGTACTCTAAGGTGCGTGGACATCCGTTGCAGGTCAAATTTGATAGGTGCTGAAGTCTAGACTGCGTGTAGTTCCTGGTGACGAAGCTCGTCCGCTTCTGCCCCGGACATCGCGCGTCGATCCTACGCGAGTTCCAGGGCCACATCCTACGCCTGCTTCTCCACCGCGAAGCATCCAGCGTACTGGCAGATGCTTTCGAGCTCTATGCGAATGCATACGAACGATCCATCCTTCTGCGCGATTTCTACGGCAAGGAGGCGAATCTAGTGGTGAGCGTCACAGCAGGGAGTGGGGAGGAAAAGGAGCGCGCGAAGAAGGGGCTGCAGGGCGTGCTGGAGGGGCTCGAGGGTGAGCGGAGGAAGAGGGTATTGAATGCTGTGAAGGAGAACCTCGTGACGATGTGAGTGCCAGTGAGGGCTTCCGTCCGCCTTGATGCTCATCGTTCTGTAGTTCCAATAACCCTGACAAGGGTGCGATATCGCACGCGATTGTCCACCGCGCTCTTTGGGAGTACCTGTCCGCGGTTGCTTCAATCGAGGACGAGGCGGAGCAGGAGAAGCTCAGGCGGGAGATATTCGAGAGGTCCGGTTCTCCTATGACTGCGCGCACATGATTCCTTGCTGACTTATAACAGCTGTCAGGACCTCATCGCAGAGATGGTCCACACGAAAGATGGTAGTCGCGCTGTCCGCGAGTTCATCGCCCACGGCACCGCGAAGGATAGGAAGCAGATCGTCAAGACGATCAAGCCGCACGTCCAGCGGATGTGCACCGACGACGAGGCGCAGCTGGTGCTCTTCACTGCCCTGGATGTGATTGAGTGCGCCGTGCATTCTACTCGCAATGAGACACTCATTAACTGTAACTTGTAGTGACACAAAGTTGACGGCGAAGTCATTAGTGTCAGACATGATAGCGTCCGCATCAACCCTCTACACGTCGCCACAAGGCCGCCGTGCACTCATCTATCTGGTCGCACCAAGAACAAGGCGGCACTTCACACCCGCGCAGGTATACCCGTCGCACCTCCTGTACTCCATACTGTCCACTGACCCGCTCCGCGTTAGATCGCGACGCTGGCAGAAACGGATGCAGTGCGCGCACGGACGAGCAAGAAAGACGGCGCCCTGCGAGCCGCCGAGATCCGCAAGGCAGCGAGCGACGGTCTCCTCTCATGGCTCGCAGAGAGCGGCGCGGACGTCGCGCGCGAACCCGGCGGGAGTTTGGTCGTGTGTGAGGTCATGCTCCACGCTGAGGGCGGTACGTCGTGTTCGTCAACCTTGCTTTCAATCAAACGTGCTGACGTCCCCGACCACATAGACAAGTCGCCTGCATCCGATACCCTCCTCAAAGCCCTCTCCGCACCATACCCGTCACCCGAAGCGATCTCTCCGCACCCCATCTCCCTCCCACACACGTCCCGTCTCTACAAGACGCTCCTTCAGGGCGGCCACTTTAACCACTCTACGAAGGCGATCGAACCCGCGGAGCACTGGTCCGCAGCGGCCTTCGCGAGACGGTTCGTCGAGCTGGTTGGGCGTGAGCCGACGGTGGCAATGGCGCGCGGGGATGGCGCGTTCGTCGTCGCTGCGCTATGCGAGCAGCTGGCGAAAGACGGGGAGGGGCGAAGGAGAGGAAGACTGTAAGTGTGTGGTTCACGGAGGGTGTGAGGAAGGAGGTTGCGGATGCGAAGGGGAAGGGGTGTGCGGTGCTGCTCGAGGCGTTGAAGCCGCTGTGATCGTGATCGCGTATGCCGTCCTCAAGTAATTCGTCACATCTGTTTTGCTATGTGCCTTGCTGGAACCGGTTTGGTGCGCGAGCCTTGCTACGGGGACCTCCTTTGGATTATAGTGATTAATATCGCGACTAATGTACAGGGTTCTGTCCATCCATCATGCGTGATAAATTGTAGTGAGGTTGGCTATAGCTACATAAGACAGTCCCATTGCCAGACACAAGCTCACGACGACTCATTCATCAGATCCTTCAACAACGACCGACCCTTCAAGATAGCCTCATCCGCGATGGCGGACTTTCTGCCCTTTTTATTCGGCCTCGTTGGGGTGTTCTCCTTGCGGTCAGGAGACAGTGGCTCCGCGAGGTCGTCAGCAGAACGCTTCTTCATGTTCGAGTCCGTCAGGGCCGGGAGTGTATGCATCTCATGGGCATTCGGGGGCAGCGGGAGGATCCAGTCCTTCTCGTCCATGAGTTGAAGGAATTCCTTGAGCAGGGGCGTGCCTTGCAACGTCGTCCGTGAGCCGACGATGATGAGCTTAGCTCGGGCCCGCGTAAACGCGACGTTCATGCGACGCCAGTCCTTCATCAGGTCTCCCACCTACAAACGGGTCAGCACGTCACTTATATGCGTGTTCGAGACACAACACTCGCCTGTCCGTCATCGTTCGAGCGCACCATGGAATGATGATGCACTCCTTGTCCCTTCCTTGACTCCGGTCCGCGGTCAGGATCTCGACCTCTTGCCTATGGTGCAGAAGGTGGGAGAGCAACTTGATCTGTTGGCGATACAGGGACAGGACACCGATCTGGTCTTGCCGGATCCCGCTGCGGATCAGACATTCGGTGACCTGGTAGACGAGACGCGCTTCGACACGATTCTCGACTAGGTCTCCTACGGGGGAGTCGTAGGCGGGCACAGCGTCTGTGTCGACGAAGACGGCTTTGCACCTGAGCCACGACGGTCAGACTAGCATCGGAATACGGGACTACTGCGTACCTTTCGTCTAACAACTGACCCAGCCAACAGATACCTCCCGCCTTCTCGCAGGGAGACAACTTCGGGTGCAAACCACGGAGAACGTGGGATCTGGTATCTTCAGAGACTGTTGGGCCACAGTTTCGGAACCGCAACGAAGCCTGTCGCTATAGATGAGTTTGTTCGAGAGGAGCATGATGTCGGCGTTCATGCGGTACTGCTCGTTGAGGTCAACCACCGCATGTGGATGTGTATCGGAAAGCATCCTGAATAGAGACACCTCGAGGCCAGTTCTCCGTGCGGTTCGATTGCGGACCTATACATAGACGACCGTTAACATCGTCATCCATTATGCCATGCTATTCTCGCCCACCAGAGGGGGTAATTGGAAATGGTCTCCAACTAGCACGAACTTGTCTGCAAAGCGCAGGGGTCCTATGCAAGTGGGCAGAGTAATCTGCGATGCTTCGTCTACGATGCAGTAGTCGAATTTGCGCCGCGAGAACAAAGGGCTACAGAGTCGTTAGACGCTACATTACGGCGACCCGACGATGCTTACTGGTCGATAGATAGACATGTTGTAGCGACAACTGGGGGTGACATGACCTGGTGCTCGAGTTGCTCCATCGTTGTTGCCACGCGGCGATTGGCGAGGGTGAATTCGTGAACGTCAGGATGCATCTGCATGCCGCGGAATGTCATCAGTTGGAGCGTCAAGGAAAGCCTGTTCACCATACCTTGTCCAAGTTCCCGATGCGCAGGATGCCGAAGTCGGCGACGTGCTTCAACTTGAGCAAGATAGTATCGACGGCGGAATGCGTATACGAGGCAAGCAGCACAGTCTTCCCCAGGCTGACCAGCATCTGTATGATGGCTGCAATGACGGTAGTCTTCCCAGTCCCCGGCATTCCGAGAATGAGCGCGTAGTCCTGCGCGGTGAGCACCTTCGCTGCAGCTATCTGTTGACTGGTATTCAGCTTGTTCATAGCAGAACGCGCCGTTTTGTCAAGCGTTAGCTGTTCAATCTCATCGAACTCCGGTCGTTTCAGGTCGACGATGAGTTCCAGTCGCTTCGTGTCACCGTCTGGGTGGTAGAGCTGTGCGAGATTGTCCCGTATACGTCCGAGACCGCTGAATAGCTCGTCCTTGTCGATGCGGAAGATGACATTCTCGAACAGGTTGGCGCGGATCCGAGCTCTGACGGCCTCCATGTCGATCTCATGATCCACCCCGACAATGACCTCCTGCGGAGTGAGATCGACGATGAATCCCTTTGCGAATGCCAGGAGGTCGGGCTCAACAGAGACGGTGATAGCGTCTCCGCAGCTCATGTGCCCATTGAGCAGTGACGACTGTGTGAAAGATGACGTCTGTGTGAGGGATTCCTTGAAGAAGCGATACGTATAGCCGTGGATTCTGCTGTCGGTCTGTGCTTCCGGCCGCCAGTGATACGTCCGATCCAGCACCATGTTGCTGAAGCACCGACCGTGCCGCTCGCGTTCTTGTGCACCCATTGTCCATAGCTCTTTCTTGAAGCGAACGAGATCCTGTTCCTCCAAAGAGACCAGGGCTTCCCATTTCTTGAAGAACGCGCCTTGCTCTGGGGTGATGTGACCGGTCTTCAGAGCGTAGATATCGGCAATGGGAGAAGCGGTATCAACGACGTTCTCAACCGTCTACATGGAGCCACCTCAGCATTCGACTGACCATTCCGAATGAAGAACGAACTGACCTTGCGATAGAGCATACATGTGTCCAAGGCAAAGCACTTCCCACATTGCCACGCATCGTCGATGGTGGGTGGCAAAAACGCCTCGACCTCGAGGACACTGTCTTTCTCGCCTCCTCCTCCGCCACCACCAGTCCGCATCCTACGCATCATATACGCTGCCATCTCGTTGCGCGTTACGAGCAGAGCGCGGACCTCATTTCTGACCGCAGGCACACGCACGACCTCGTCACTGCGCGTATAGTACAGCAGCCCGCTGGGCACCTCCGTTCCGTAGCGTTCAGCCATGAGCAGCGTGTAGAGCATCGTCTGTGCGCGGTGCTCCATGCCTGCGACTGCGCGGCCGGTCTTGATCTCAAAGGGCATCGTCCAGGTCTGTGGTACGTTCTTGCGCGGCGGCCCAGCCTTTGTGAACGGATTGTCGCGTGGGCCGTCATCTGTGTCGACGATGATGGCCTGTACAGATGCATCGACCTTTCCCTTCAGTCCGTACGTCGGGGACCAGATATCCTCTTCGATGTCGTGCAGCTTGCCAATGGCCAAAAGAGAGGTCTGTCCGTTGGCCGCCCGTGTGTTCGTCAGTATCGCCTCGGGCTAGACAGCGAGCACACCAGGGTCAGCATGACACGATGCAGCCGGCAAAACGACTGCACCGACCTTCGGCTCCTCCGCCATGTACTTGTCTGCGAAGGACCGCAAGCCTTGCGCGCGGAGCCTGACCTCATTGACAGCCTGCTCGATGCCCATGTTGACGCGCATCAAGTCTCCGAGGCACTTCCGCACGACCTCGTTAATCTGGGTCTCGATCCACGGTCCATCCCACCGACCCTCGCACAGACACGCCTGCATGACTTCGTGAAGGATGTTGCCCCACACGAGCGAAGGCGTCACGTCTACCGAGCTGCGCACCAGACTCGTTACCAACGGTTTGCGACGGCATTGCGATGCTGTGGAGAGAGCCGTCGCGGTGATGAGGAGGTCGGGGTGGTGAATGAATAGGTTCTTGTGAGCGTTGATCGTGATCGTGGGCACCGGTGCGGCTTTGGATGTGGACGCGGGGGCTGAAAAGTCCCCGAGTACATTGATGACATCACCTATAGAGCAGTCTAAGGCAGATATCAAGCAGACCGCGATGAAGACATACCTGGGCGGATATCTGTGTCAACCCAGTCGTCTTGTAGGATTACACAACGGCGCTCCTCTCCCGGTATTACTTGCACGGCTAACACCTGACATAATCGAGTCAGTAAAGGAAGGGCATTGACATGGCTCGGAGGTGGCAGACGTGCATACCTTCTGCAGGTAGCCAGTTGAGAGACGCTCTTCGACGCCTTTGACTACGCAGCGAGTACGAGTGGGAGGGACGTACGCAGGCGCTGGAGCAGCAATCCGAGCAGCCGAGGGCTGAAGGCCTAAGGTGAGTACGACGTCATGAGCGGTCGTAGACATTGCAAACATACCGTCTTCTTTGGGGACCGAGTACGCCTGGGCGAAAGTATATCCGAGTTCATGTCGTCCCAATCCCAGTTTTCCGCGCCCTCCACCAGTTCTGCGAAGTCGACGTCGTGAGCGGCGAAGACATTCGCAGATGGAGTGGATGTCGCGAGAGCGCGATGAGTGCATGGAGATTCAGTTTTAAGACAAGAGCGGTGTTTCGGTGTCGCTGGAGGCTCTAGTTTCGGTCCTTCGTTGAGTATGGCAGCCATGAAGTCGTCCTCCTCTTCTTTTGTCCGTGCAAGAGGAGGCATTGTGAGTGTCTCAGTGGAAGAAGAGGTATCGCTAGTAAGAACACCGGCTTCTATAGGAGGTAGGTCAGATATATGGCTCTAGAACATCGATAGTCACCTCTACGGAGGTGGCGAGCGGCTTCACCGCGGGGGGTACGGTAACTTAGACGGTAGGCGTAATACTGCCTTGCACTTCCCCTCAAGTAAACGGTTATCTGAGACAGAATACACAGCAAGTGAGCAAGTTACGTAGGCGAGGATGCAGATGGGAGTGGTCTGCAATGTCAGCGCGTCGCGCACGCGTAAGGCCTGCCAACGCGTTATTTGTTCCTATTGACGCGTTCAGTGGCTGAATCACGTGCTGCACGGGATCGCGTTGAGTGTGGCGGCAATTGTGTAGCACGAACTTGAACTTCAGCCTGCTCTACTCACTCCATAAATCATCAGCGGTCGCACTTCGTCCCTCAGAAACAAAACAACGTGCTATCTGCATCTTGTCTCTAATGATCAAAGTTACTCACTGAACGTGTCCCATACATGAATCGAGCTACTTCATCCATTTGCCATTGAAGCAGTGGCGAGAATCGCCGACGAAGAACAGGTTCTATCAAGCGCATTTCTGGTCTGCCAGGCCTCGTGAATCTGCGGTCACAAAACAACGGACACTGAATACACATTTTATTCTCCACTTCTAGACTTGGAACGGGCCGCTTCAAGTTAGACTCTCCTGAGAGTGACGGACCAAGTGAAGATCGCTTCGCGACCAGCAATATTGCCACTCAGGAAGCTGCCTTGTCCCTCGAAGAGCCACTGCCTATTGTTAATGATACTGGCGAGTATATAATCTTGGACAAGATTTGACGGATCTCTCCCACATCTCTTCCGCCTAGTCTCGCGCTTGCCACAGCCTTCAGCCATGGTCACAAAACTGGCCGCCGATTTTGCAGCACGTCTCAATGTTACCGATGAACTCCAGGACACTGCTATGGATGTCGACTCCGATTCAGAGGTGTGATCCACCCTTGTCTCATCCGCGTTTGCTCGCGTCTCACGGTTGTACCCCTCGTTTACTAGACCTCTAGCTCTGAAGGCAGCGAAGAGCCTCAGGAGATCCGCTTCCAGGGACGACAGAACAACCGCGTGGGCTTCCCGCTGCGCGTATTTGTGAAAAGTCCTCTTCCGGTATCGTCATTGCGTGACGGCGAGGAGCCAGTAACGATCTTCGAGGAGTCGAAGCACGATTATATCCAGCTTGATTTGACGGTATGTTAATCCCGGTATCTTTTGTGCTGTTTTCTGACTGAGAACGATGGTACTTTTTCATGCGGGCGCGCAACAGTGGCCCGGCTACGGCACAAAATCAAAGCTAATATCGGTCAAGAACGGCAAGAGAGACCCTATTGCCCTACGAACTCTTGCGGAAGAGGTGGCGAAGTACTGCCTAAGCTACATGCAGGTGAGTTATTCTCGATATACTACGCAATCCTTTTGCTTCACTCTGACGCGGACTGGCCTTGCAGGAACAGAGCGGCGATTACAATTCGGAGAACCCGACCCTGGGCAATGTGTCGTTCTATCAGGTCTATCTCGTTGCGCTACACCGCAGTAAGGGACCCGTGTGGAAGGTTGAGATCCAAGCCTGAGAAGAAGCTGCTTGTGAAGCAAGTGTGCCGGAGTATCTTATCGCTCTTATGGAATTCTTATGTCTCGGTAGTCGATCCTCAACTTCATGATGCAGGCTGGCCTGCTGCTATCGGTGCTTCCCCCGCAATAATTATTGTCTCTCCTCATTCCACATTTGATCCGACATAAACAACAATGTAGCAGGAGCCATGCGCGTAAGCCGTGCTCAACGCGGCATTTGAGTTCATCAACATGTCTCGCTGCTCAAGTCGGAGTACTGGCGCTGTGGCAGTGTCGGGGCGGCAAAGAGGTCACCTGACAAGCCACACTTGCAAGCGTGGGATGTTGATTCGTCGGACCTGGATCTAGATAAAGACCCTACTGAACTCCTTTTGAACCTTCAAATGCACGGGCGCCTTTTCTTTGGGCTCGGTTGCTTCGCACAGTCGGGCAGCGGGGTGGCTCGCAGGCAATTTGGATTAGTTCTATATTAAACTGTGCCGATAGTAAGCTAGCGCTGCTATCAGCCCCCCGGAAATGGTCCACCAACGGTGACTATCAGCCGATTATGTCCACCTAGATCGTTGCATTCCCCTACTTCGTCGTGGGCCGGTGGAAGCACGTATGTCGGTACGTGGGTGGGTACATCTTCCCTCTGCCAGTAGACCTCCTTCAGCGGAGCGACTCTCCATGGTGTTCGCTGTACGAGTGATACACCGTTCTTCGGACGAGATGTCATGCCGGCCAAGACCATTAGACAATCATTCAATCTGAAGTCAGTACAGCCGTCCTTATCCCTACTTTGATCCAGGCTGATAATCCCCAAGACAGCCGACGGCCACGGCATCTTCCGAGGGACCGCGCGGTCCACCCCAGCCGAGTCCAGCATCGTCTTCGCGCAGCCACAAAGGCCGCGCACGCTGCGATTGCTCGGTGCTCCCACCCTGGAATCACCCGGCTATACTGTGGCTCCGCCTCATGTACGCGGGAGAAGCTCCGTTGATGCGAAGCCTACCCAATAGCGAGGGCGGGAGAGCAGATTGGGGGGCAGTCCACGGCGCCTCACCGAGGAACCATTGTGCTCGCCCACCGTAATTGCCAGATCTGGGTGATCTACTTGTCCCTAAATTTCCAGAATCCCACGGGTGGCCCACTCGGGATCGCATTAATAGGCCGCCCGCCCCCCTCCGGGCCCCAAGCTCGCAGCCCCGCACGCTGCGGTCCCGTCGTTTCCTCCCCTTTCCTCCGGTCTCTCGGTTCATTCTCTGTATACTGTTATCGGTTTCTCGTTTGTATTACCCCAAAAATGTCGGATTACTTGTGGGACTCCTTTTCGTGTCCGATCCCATTTTGGACCTCGAAGCACTCTTCAGCCCGGGCCCGGTGTGGCCTCCCCCTGGCAGTCCGAGCCCACATCTTCGGATTCGTCGGATAGAGATCATTCTACGGAGGAGTTTGGCTGGTCCTCAGGCTCTGGCGAGTCTGGGGACCCTCAGGTTGCAGCGCGGTCTAGTCCGGAGCCTGAGGTGAGTTGTCTTTCTTTCTTTCTCTAGTTCGAGATATTCATGAGCATGGTACCAAGTCGGCCGTCTCACAGAGCACTTGCCTACTGTGCAGGAAATACCGCACGACTTGGCGCCGTCCCATCCGCCCTCCATCTCTCGCCGGGATGTCGCCCCGGAGCCTGAGGTAAGTCGTCTTTCTTTCTTCCCTTTGAGGATATTCATGAACATGGTACCCAGTCGACCGTCTCACAGAGCGCTCTGCCTGCCGTGCAGGCCATACCGCACCATCTGGCGCCGTTCCCTCCGCCCCGCACCTCTCGCGGGGATGTCGCCCCGACTACGGGTTGGGAGTATTACAGGCTCTCGGACGTCCCGCGCCCGGACAACGTGCGGGTGATTCGCTTCACCGCCAGGCGCAAGCGTTGGGGGACCGCGAAGGGTGTACGCCTCTTCGACCTGCTGGAGATGAATATTTACGGGCTGCTCGTGGGGGCATGGATCCCCACCACGACCTAAAGAAGAAGCAGTCGATCAAGATCCAGTTCGACGTGAGTGGTCTCTTCTTCTCTGCGACGCATCAATTAGAAGGCTGACTGGACTCATGGTGCGACGTAGTGGCTAGACCATGATAGGGAAAGATGGGACATTCCATGCCAACGCGACTTCGGCGGAGGCGTCCGAGGACCGGCGTCCATCAAATATGTCGTGACGGAATTCGCGAAGCACGTCCGCGAGTACATGCAGGTGTGTTTCTCCTCTCCGCTCCTTTCTGCACAGGGCGGCTTACACCGAGTTCGTGCCTACACAGACGTTTGGATTCGGCTCGTCCGCCAGCGACCCGGTCTTAGGCGCGATCCGTTTCTCCCAGCTCTATCTGGGGTCGATTTACTCCAGTAACGGGTATGACTGGGTCGCTGAGACCTACATCGGGTTCCCGCCGGGCGCCGGCCCCGCCTTCCACACCGTCGACGGCCACCTTTCGTCGAGTTTCTGGTTGAGGATCCTTGCCACGGCATAGGTCCACTCCGACACCACTATGCGCCGCATAGTTCCTCCTATTTAATGATTAGCGCTACTTCAAGTAGTCGCTCGCTCACGACTCCGGGATACGTTACGAATCACGAATCACGGTCTTTGTTCTTCGTTCATGACTACTACTCGACTTGTTTTCCTAGTTTTTCCTGCTCTGTCCTGCTCATCATATGCTACCCCTGCACCTCGCGCTTGCTAGTCCGTACTCATACATCCTATGCTATCACCCAAGACAGTTATCGTAGTCAACACAGCTATCGTAGTCAACACAGTTATCGTAGCCTGTCACATACTCGCAGATATACATCGCAGTATTCGTGGACGCTCACTGTGCGCAGACTTGACCAAGTCATTTTGTGCACAGCAAGGTGCTTACTGGTGCGTCGCCCTCAAGATCGATCTAGACATTGAATTCTCTTTCCTCAGGCAAGCTTGTCCGAGTCGGCGGGCCCGAATTCGGTCGCATCCGATGATGACCACTGCTCTTTTCTTGCGTCTGTCATACGTATCTGCTCAGCTCAAGCTCAGCATCCTACCGTGACGTGGAAGCGCAACTGCCGACTCGGATGGTATGCTTTGTCGGCGGACATGCTAGTTTCAACACTTCACTGGCACATGCGGGTGTGGATGGGCCTATTTCTATCGCACCACCAGTCGTCCAGCCCCGAAATCCGTCCTGTTCGACATACTGCTACGAGAAAGCTTGCCCGTCGCTGCCAGAACTCCGAGTAGGCCGGGTTGAGTCTACGCAGGACTTGCATGTAACTACCCACTCACACGCGATCCCCTCCGAGTCAAAGCCTCGGCAATCCAGCCACCCGCCAACCGCCTACACCTGTCGACGAATCCTTGAATCCAACATGCCCATCCTTCACGCGCACTGCCCCGACTCAAATCCCGCATGCGACGTGACCAACCGGTTCCGGGCGTGCACAAGTACAAACGTCCACCAAACGATCGAGATCCCATCATTCCTCCCCGGGGAAGCATCGAAGATTCGAACCTGCGACCCGCCGATGCCAGGCACGGACACGGACTCGGACGCATCGCGCCCGCGCCCGATCGAACCTGAACCGGAGTCGAGCCGCGGACGAATCAGCGTCCCAGGATTCCATGCGGTATGTACGCACCGCCGCAAGGGCGACATCCATAAAAGCGCTTGCCGTTCCTTTGTGGTATGTAACAGAGTGTAGTCGACATCCACGCACCGACTCGGCCTGTTTCCGACCAGGCCGTCGACACAGTCCACCCGGAGCTCGAGGCACGAGGGCGGCGGAACCCGCACCCATGCTCGCCCGAACGCATATGAAGTCAGAGGAATGAAACACTCGGATGAATGAATTCATGAAGGCTAGTACATGCTCCGAGCCGAGGACGGTGCGGTCAATCCAGATTCCGAGTCCGTCCTTCAAGCTGCAATGAATGAAAGAACGGCACCAGTACCATATGTCACTCCGCCTGACGCTATGAGGATAGACCCGGGATGGGTACCGCATGTACAGTGCAGCGCGCTCCGTGCGCGGGGTACCGGTTGGCGGCGACCACGGTACGGAGGTGTCGTGTGAGCGGAATGCGCGGCCACGATTGGACGGTTGTATACGCCGCTTACCCCCATGATACATTCCAAGTACTCCACTTGCCAGGCAGGTCGTCAGACGGAGCGGCCTCGAGGCTGCGACGCGGCACACACGCGCGATACCTGGCCACCTACGCATTGCGCACAACCACACGAGAACAGCGCAGCGCTTGTGGCGACAGGAAGAGAGCTTCATCAGTTAATACTATGGACAGCAGCGTCGAATCCGGAAGAGAGAGAGCAAAATAGAACGAGGAAATGCACTGTGGATACAACTTCTAGCCAGCGACGACGATGATCGATCTAGAGACGGGGTCCAGTACCGTATCTGTCCACGGGCACATGAGAGAGCAGAGGCAGGAAGAGCGAGAGAGATAGACTAAACGGAGGCAGATGTACAATTACGGCGAGGACCGAGGCCGCGCGATAAGTTATGTGGCCGAGAGGGAGGAAAGGGAGATAGGAATGGATGGATGTGCAGACGGGGAAGTCCTGGAGGATGTCGCGCAAGTGCGTGCAGCAGAGGGTGGAACATGCAGGCGTGATCGTGTCAGCGTCAGGCTACGCGCGACACCGACGATCAGCGACCGGGTCGAAGAAAGAGAGAGCAAAAGGCACGCACGAGTCATCGCCAGTCATGAATGTCATCTCGGTCATCATTGCACGCTTGCGTGCGCACTCGGCGTCGCCGCCGCCACGGGGGGCCGCTCGCGCGCCCAGGTGCGGACCCAGTCAAACTGCGGGCCCGTCTCGGGGCTGTAGGGGTAGCGCTTGTACTTCTCGACGCCCTTCCACTCCTCCGCGATCATGCGCAACGCATCTGTGCCGTCCCGCGCGCGCCCGCTGTCCACGAGCCAGCAGCCGACGACGAGGCCCGTGCGCCCGATCCCGCCGCGGCAGTGCACGGCGGCGACGCGCCCGCGCCGCTCCGTGTCGCGCAGGACGGCGAGGACCTTGCGCACGTACGCGGGCGACGCGGGCAGCGCACGGTCGCGGATGGGGAAGCTGTGGTACTCGACGTCGTGCGGGTCGATGCCGAGCTGGGCGCACGCGGACGCGAGGTGCGGTGCGTACGGGAAGAGCTCGTGCGGCTCGGTGAGGTCGATGAACGTGCGCACGCCCGCGGCGAGGAGCGCGTCGAGCTTCTGCGTGGTGCACCGGCGCGCGATCTGCGCGGGCGTGAGCGGGCAGTACGGGAACTCGCACGCGACCAGGAAGGGCGTCGCCCAGTACGAGTTGGGGATCGGGCGTGCGCGCGCGCGGAGGGCGCTGGCCTCGCTGCTTGCGGACGCGGTGGGTGAAGAGCCGCTGCGGGTGCGGTACTCTGGCGGGGTGCGGGGGAGCGACGAGGATCCTGAGCGCTCGAGGGTAGCAACGGCCATCTGGGGACGGGGGTAGGGCTGGGGTGAGGCAGGGAGGGCGCGGGTATTATAGGCGGGCGGGCAGAGCACCAGTCTCTGGCTCTGGGGGGGCGTCGCGGGAGGTTGTTGGAGAGGCTCCTGTCGGGTGGCAGGAGGAGGTGCAGGACGGCGGCGCGTGTGGCTTGCAATTTAGCCTGGGCCATCCCAGCTCGGCCCAGCTCCGTCCGTCTGCCGCCGGTCCGCCCGGAGCACGTGCCCGCCACCGCTCGAGTGCAGCATCCTCGTCCGAGTCGCTCGACCATGCCAGGGCACTCGGTGGGCCGCTCCGCGCTGCCCTATAAGCTCCCGCTGTCGCGCCCGGCTCGCGCCATCTCTCCCCGCCCTATGTCCACTGCCGCCCCATCGCCTCCTCAGATGACCGCTCGCGCCGTCGTACCACCCGCTCTTCCAACACCACAGGCTCCGCCCTCAACACCCCAAGATCTACGCAGCAGGCGTGATCAGTGGCAGTAGTCTATCGGACGCACAGAGCACCACCGGCCAGAACAGCATGTCGTGGATACGCTCGCGAACTCCACCGCGAGCCGCTCGCGCTCAAGCACCGCCGGTCACCGGGCCTGGGTTCGGTCGCTCGAGGACTCGGAGTCGAAGGCGCTCCTGTCATACGCGTGGGAGGCTGCATATTCGGTGAGCGGTGAGCTATCTATGATATCACGGATTCGCACCTTCGTGTGTTGCCCACGCACTTGCTTCCCCATCGACGCCGTCTGTCAGTCTCTCCGACGACCAGGCGAAGGATCTTCGGTCTGTACAACCTAGTCCATCCCAGGTTATGACAGGGGACGGCACTGCGCACGTTCCTGTCCCATAGCGGGAAGATCCATGGACTTTCTGTGTCTCGGAACGATTGCGAGGCAGTGTCAAGTCGCACGTTCTTTTTCGCTGCTGTCTGGGCTTTAAACTCAATATAGCTCCAGCTTGCCGGAGAAGGTGGGCGTTCGAGGTCAAGAGAGGTTCTGACCTGTGGACGAAACACCTTAAGTACAAATGACCTGACACTTGATGAACCAACGAAGAAGTCTGTCAGCGGTGCAGACTTTGAATCTGGACGGCATGCATTTTAGTCGTCAATATGGCAGGTCAGTTGCCAAGTCAGGAAGGTTTTCATGCGCCTGGCACAAGTCCTACCACAGCATCTATATCGATTCTCACCAGTTTTGCTAGATCTTGTGCCCGTCAAAGTCTTCTGAATTCACTGGCAAAATGAACCTCGTGGGACTGTATACTTGGTACCTGATCGTCGTCCAGCTGAGTAGCCTGTCATGACTACTCCTGATCACTTACAGTAAGTAGCTGGCTCACAGATCCACGGAGGATCGATTGGGTCTCGCAATATCATCGGCTTCGGTTGCATCTCCTCCCCACGGCTACGTGACCGCCCGAGACACGCCGATGAAGTAGCGATTCCAGGTCGGCGTATGTTCCAGGCAAGTGGTGTGAACTCGACCATCGTCCGCCTCTAGAGCTCACCGACGAGGCCTAAGGACCATTTCATGCATTAATTCGGGGAACGGTGGTCCAGGATTCGTGTCAGAGACAAGGTCAATCCGTACCGAAGCCGAACCTAAACGCAAGGCGCCGGTTCACGATAGTGTCAATGAGGATGGTTCGGGGCCCTACTATGGATATATGGCTAGACCATCCTGCGTCTGTCTCCCCCGCGACACGCCCAGTGAGCGTGGGCAATGTCACTGGGCATGCCAATTTGATCCGGGACCGGGGTAGGACCTCGGCGCGCGGCGGCTGCTCTGTGGTGTATCAGGTCGTAGACACGCTCGGAGGGCATCTTCGCCGCATCTGTGCGATCGGAAGCTTGGGGCGTGTTTCGATCGTCCACTACTCCGAAGAGGGACGTCAGTGTCTCTACGGAGGGATCCCTGTCGTGCGGCCCTGGAGGATGGTGTATATCTGGTATGTATCGTCCTGTATTACTATCTGATCTGTCATGCTGCAAATCACTTGCCACGCATGCCCGATTCCAGACATCGACGACGCCTTCACCCCATCTAGTGCCCAAGCCACAAAATCTAGTCTTGTCCCCCTGAACAAGCACATCGCCTCCAAGACGGAAACAGGCGTCGTGCACGTTCCGTGATACATCGCACGTCCAGCGCGATCTTCGCCGTAGCTTTTGGCTCGGGGCGCAAGGCGGCCTGGCACGTTGACGGGGCCCACCAGTGGGACATCTCGACACAACGGGTTTCAAGGAACGTCTCGATTAGCTACGTGCTATATACGTCGCACCCACTGTGATCGTCCGAATGCAGGTCTCGTTTAGGCCTGCACGTCGCTGCCACAACTTGGATCAGGAACGACTCAGAAACCCCCCGGCCGCCACTGCCTCCGAGTGTCTCCCGGATCCGCGCAAGGCCGTCACGGTCGGCCTCTTCGATTAACACTGCGACTAACAGATATGCATAAGGGCACAGCGAGCTCTGCGCACGCTCCCGCGTGCGCGCGTGCAACGAGTTGTTGTTGCGACAGTAATGCGGTCCGCGACATCCTCGACGTCCCTTTAAATCGAGTCCGTGGTGCGTCGAATGCACTCAAGTACCCCGCCGAACGCCAGTACTGGCATATTCGCTGACATTTGAAACTGGTCCACGGTCCAGCTCCCTGTCATGCTCTGGCGGCGAGTCTGGGCACGGGTCGGACGATTTGGGAACGGGAATTACTGGCTGGCCTCTGGAGCTTCTAAATCTCAACGTTTCCTAATGCTGTCACGTACATAGGCGTTGCGTGTCCTATCTCGGGCACTATGCAACAACCATGCCTAAGTAGTCGGAACTGGCAGGTTCGATTTGTTCAATGCGCATGCCCTGGCAGGCCGTGTTGGCGGCACCTATGTACTTAGGTTACTACAGATCTATGTAGACCAGATCCCACCATCCTAGATATGTACGTCATCAGTCGTCGTAAGCAAAATCGCAATGTGCCCAATAAGTCGAAGGCAAAAGGAGCATTCCCGCTGAAACATTCCGACACGGGGAATCGAACCCCGGGCTATCGCGTGAGAGGCGATAATGTTAGCCACTACACCATATCGGATATACACTGATTGGAACCAAAATGTTACAGTATCAATATATGGCTACCCATTTCTCCATGCCGGTAAACCTTGTATGTCCAGCACTTGGCTACTAAACTAACTACCTCTTGCGTTCGCCGGCATGGATGAAATCCCAGCACGCCTTCCCTGGCTCCGCACCCATATCTCCTGCATCTGCACCAGACTCAACTCGCACAACTCCAGCACACTTCCCACCTTGCTCATAACGTGCTTCACATTCTTCGCGGTTATACCGGGCAATGATTGCACGAGCTCTTCTGCGACTGCGTTGACACCCGCTCCGGCGTCGGGGTCTTCTCGGCGCCGACACGATGGCTTTCGTCAGATCAGGCTCCGGGCTGTTTGCTTTGAGGTCGCGGAAGATGTCGGCGGTTGCGTACGGAGACGAGGACCAGATGATCCGCAGGCGAGGGAACGTCAGGGTGAGGAGAACCAGCTTGGACTGAATGCTCGCAGAAGCACTGTTGCTGGAGTCGAGAATAGCAGTCGGTTTCTTCTTCTGTGCGTACTTGTCGACCTTCGCGTAAGACTTGATGTCTGCCACCGCCTGCATGACAATTAGCACATGGATCGCGCCAGTCCTCATGGACGTACCTCGAGGGAGAAAGATTTGTGCTCCTCGAATTCGATCAACAAGATGGGTTGCTTGTAGTGAACCGACATCAGCTCGCATTGCGTGTACCTTCGGAACATCAGAACGAGGCCAATTGTGGTGAAGCCTGCTTACAATCGACCACTATTAAAGCTAGATACCAGGTCGGGGATACTCTTTCGTTCAACGCAAATATCCGGCGTGAGGATGTAATCGCCGACAGTCAGTGTTGCTGGGATGACCAGAAGGTTGGCTGCGTGAAGCAATGACGGCAAGGATGAGCGGAATTCTCGCAGATCCACGATAACCTGTGACACCATTTAGCTCAACCAGTCTACCAGCAGAATACTGCACATACACGCGATGGCTCAATGGAGACCTCTTTTCTACCGCCAGCGATCCGCGTGCTAATAGTCTTAATGAGCGATTCTTCTGCTCGCCCGGCGTTCCGATCTTCCATGATAGGCATGAGCATCGACTAGGCGATCCGTCAGTAGCGAGCTTGAGGAAGTAGTAAAGCAAAGGATAACTGACCCCTCGCTCCCTGATGAGCCTCTCAAACGATTCCTTCTCTCTTCTGAGACCGGTCAGGTACTTCCCTTCTTCACTGCTAAGCCGGTACATCATAAAGTAAACCCGGACACCCAGCCCAGGGTGTGAATTCCTGTAAACCTTCACGCGCACCGGATGAGTACCACATGAATGTCAATGTCATTGACCTACCTCAATACGTCGGATGAATTCCAGGTTTGGTTCGAACATCACGACGAATCTGGGTTGGACTTCGCGTAGCACCAAGTCGTCCCCATCGTCCGTATACGGCCTCACTATGACCGTCTGCTGGGGCGCCAGAAGACCGTAATGCACATTGAAATCGGTAGTGAAGTCAATCAAGGCGATATCTTCCGCGAGTTGATCCTCGGGCGCGACAGCGCCCTGGGAAGACAAACTGACACGTTGATCAGCTACACTTGACCTCGCCGTGTGCCAAAGACACTCACAACGCAGCTATGCTGTCAGCCTCGTCCAATGCCTCGGCCTGACCTCCAGGCGTAACGACCGGTGCAACCGACTTCGCCCTCTCGGATGACGGCTGAACAGGCGCGCCGCCCCTCAAACGCCTGCGGTTCGCCACTCGCTCCCTCGCCTCCCTGTCCTTCTTCCTCAGCGCCTCGCTGACGCCCGCATCGCCATCGCCTTTCGCCCCACCCGCAGTTCGAGATGACGCAGACGGCCATGGCTGGGGCCTGCCCTGTTGCCTACGGCTGTTGAGCTCACCCTTCCACCAGAGGTACCCCCGCAGCTTCTTCTCCATCATCCGGCGCCCCTGCGATCCGCGCGGCGCGTCGTAGTCCATCGTCGCGAGGAACTCGTTCACCAGCTCGCACGTCCGCGCCGACGAGGTCATCACGAGCACAGTGTTCGTCCCGGGGGTGACTGGAGACGGTCGCAGTCACGTCAGCCAGTCATAATACAGTGCGACGCGAAGCACGCACGAGAGGTGAACTTGGACTCGAGCCGAACCATTTCCTCCTCGATCTCCTGGAGCACATCCGCGAGCAAGCTGAGCTTGGGCTGTTCCTCGAGGACAGGCTCCATCCCCTCAGGGAGCCAGCTTGGCCGACTCGTACCCGGCGCTTGCGTGGTACCGCCGACCGCATTCGGTACATTGCCCTCCATCTCGTACAATGCCTCCCACGCGTCCGCGTCATCATACGGGTCTGGTTGTGCGGAGGCAGCAGCCTGCGCCTTTCGTGCGGTAGTATCCATCGTGTAACACCGGCGCTTCGCGTATTGGAAAATGATGTTCGCTGCATCGGTGAGCATCCAGGGCGACTGGTTTTGTCGCGCAGTGCCCGCATCGGTAGTCGTGTTCGAAGCAATGAGTGTGTCGACGAAGCCTTGGAACGCGATCGCGTCATATGTCAGCAAATAGCTTTCGAGCGACGTCAGAACCCGAGACGGAGAGCCGGGGTGGAAACGCACCTGAGCATGCGTCGAGCACAGCGAGGTCTCCGACGAGCTGCTTTGTGCGGGGACCAACCTTGTGCCAGACGGGATCAGCATGCGGCGGACGATCATGTCGAAGGACTGAAATACGCGTTGTCGATGTTCAGTCATCCAAGTCGAGCTGTGTAGTCCGATATCAGTATGCGTGGTGGCGCTTTAGTTTTCACAAGACGCACGGAGGAATTAGCTCGTTTGAGATCAGAAAGTGTGGTTGTCATGCACTGCACGATGGCATGGTGAATTTCGCTCATCGACTCGGTCATATTCTGGTGGAGTTCGACGAGGTCTGGCCTCTTCGCGTCGAGCGATTCTTTTACTTCGACGTGGAACCTGATTCCGATTGATATTAAGGCTGCAGTATACGACGAGTTGATAAGTACCTAGGATGTATATGGACCGTGCGTAGTTGTAGTTCTTTCATGATGGTGCGTAGCGGTGACATTCCGCTCGTTATGTGCTCGGGCTGGTCCGAGAACGCTTTGAGGAAGCCTGTAGTGTTCTTCTCTCGATATAGTCGTACAATGAATGCCTCAGAGGAAGTGGGCGTGACCCTGAGGGTAATGATATGAGTATGAGCGATGGAGCCGTCAACAATAAGATGCTCACTTCTCTGCGTGCAGCATGATGATCCCCGTTATCACTTTGGTAGGGATATCTGAAGACAACATGTCCACGGTAAAGATACGGGACGTTATGGACAGCAAACCGCCCCTCTTGTACATGTCCTGTCTGTAAATGCATCAGTGAGGTGGCCATCACATTGTCAGGAGGCAAGAGCGTACCTTTCCTTCTTTCCCTGCTCGAACCCAACAATACGCAGTCCAGGCTTTCGACATCCGAGAATACCCAGCTCCTCACCAATGGCAGACTCGTCTTCAGGCGTGGCGTTTACGAGGAGTATGAGGTTCGTCGGCGCATCATATATCTGAAGCAACTTGCAAACGATCCTCCGCAGGCCAAGGCCCCTCGCCAGAAGGACGAACTCACTCGTCGAGGGGTCATGTATCTTCTCAAGCAGGGATTTATGAAAAGGTAGGAGGTAGGACATGCACGCTCAAATGGTCGGATACTGGACGACTTGTAGTTGTTCGACTTGTCCCAGTCTCTTGAATCGGAGGCGTTGTGCGACTTCAGTTTGCGTCTGGATGCTGCAGTCTCCCGTCAATATGTCACTACATCAAGCAAAGGCTTTTCTAGTAAGGAGACGCTGCATTCAAGAGCTGAGCGATGTGGTCGCAAGAAACAAGCCGAACTGGTGGCCTGTTGTGGTGGCTGACAACCGCTTGTCTCGCGGCCCGGCGAGGACGGTCATTTCATGCACTAGATTACTCGGTAATTCGAAGCATCATACAAAGTACTACATATGTAGTACTTGGGCACGAGTAAAGATGCCTGCCGGCTCTTGGAGCCGAGACTAGTTGGCCAACACGTCCGACATCGTTATGACAAGCCTACTCGTGTTCAAACGTTCAAGTTGTGCACAGCGCACACACAATACAGACACTCAGATAGAATTGGAAGATATAACTGGGACAAGACATAAGTAGTATTGGCGAACTGTCATCGCAGGGTCATCTACTTGTTAGGTTGTGACAGCCCAAGGAATTCCCGAACGGCTTCGCATTTGGCGACCGTATCCCCTTTGATGGGCAGGTTATACGACTTCAGTAGATGCTCATATCGCTCCTCTGAACACGACAAAGACCAATCAACCTTTGCACGCAAATGGGAAACAAGAGACATGGACGTACTGGTCATATGCTCGAACTCGCCCTTCGTGCCGGGGAAATTGGGGGTGTCTTTCCGTTCGCCATGACCAATGGCTTGACGGGCATCTTCTGGTTCGTGATAGTGGCATTCTGCAGGCGGTTGTACAAGCGCGCTTGACTGAGCAAACGTTCGATTGAGTCAGACAACGCCTATGCATACAGTAGGAGGGCTCACTCTAGCCGGATGATCTCTGCAAGCTCGCCCACTTTCTTCTGGAGCTCCTCCACAGTACGGGCGAGACTATTCTCTTTTGCGCTCCGCGTAACGGAGCTCCTCCTCTCGGTTCCTCCTCCACGCCTGTGTCCGAGTGCCCATTCAGAGCAGGCGCAGTGCGACCGCCTCAATTCTCGCAACCACGCCCGCGATCTCCTGCCCTATGCGCACTTGGGTATCTTCAATGGCATCAAGGCGGGCGGTGAGATGCGCGAGAGCGCTTGCGACATCACCATTAGCAGGGATGCTTGCTGGAACCTCGACGGCGGCGAGCGCCTGCGACGCGGCACTGATCTGCTCGGCGATGTTGCCGAATGACGATGAGAGACGCCGCGTCCATGCCGTAGGGTCGGAGTCCGTCGTCTGGGTGACCCTGGGTACAGGAGGTATGTCGGCGGGGGTTGCGGAGCTCATGCCTACGCGGAAGTGCTCGACGAGGGTCGCACTGGAGGATGCGGTTGTCAAGGGCTGTGACAGTGGCGAGCGGACGGTGCGCGAGAAGTCGGATTCGCTGGGCGAGGACATACGAGCTACTGGGAGAGTGTGAAATAACACTCGACCTGGTGGTGGGTGGACTGGGCGAGAGTGGGGGAGGGGGCCGCGATCGGAATAGCGTGGGGAGGGGAGCATCTCGACCCTACTTGTGTGCGGGGAGAACGTAGATACGCCAAACCCGCGACTTGAAGAGAACATCGGGTACGCACGCCACCGCGCTGGACAGTCGGATGTGCCCAAGGTTGACAGATTGGCAGTCGCGGCGCTCGACCTAGATTTCAGGACCATGTCGCCTGCCGTGTGAGATTAGGCAATGGTGAGAAACCTGAGCAGACGAGCCGAGCATCCGGTGGGAGTCTCATAAGTAGTTCCAGCGAGTGAGAGACGCGTGCGAGTGAGCAGCGCGCTTGTTGACAACGTACGTGAAGATGAGTCCCTTTCGAGGTAGTATTCGGAGTGAAGCATGAGAAACATGTCGTAGTCCTTGTTTGCCTCCTACACAAGGGCCTGCGGGTGCGAGGGAAGTCCGAGTCAAGAGCTGCCCCAAGAGCGGGAGCCACCACAAGCGCTTGTAAGGAAAGTCGGTTTATACTCGTTGCAGGGCTGACTACTTGGTCTGTCGACGCAAAACGGCTCGCCCTAACGAACCAGCGTGCCATAGCCGCGCCAGTGAATTCTAACAATCAAACAAGTTCGTCAGCATAGACGTGAAACTAACTTAGGAGGCGATGTACAAACCTTCTCATCAGGATTCAGCCGTGCCGTCGCCGAGCAAGGCCTAGTATAAGGCCAGTATGCAGTGTCAGCGCACATACCTAAGTATCTGCGATCACAGACCGCCAGAAGCATGAGCCCTCGACTTCAGAACAAGCTTCATCGACACTGCCTCAGATAGATGTTTGCGACTAGACCTCCTAACGAAGCAGCGCGTCGATCATGCGAGTAAGTCACAATCCCAGACATACGAGACCAATTAAGGCCCTCTATCGTGTACCCAGTGTCCCAGTCCTAGTCTCACAATCACGCCAACCACATTGGCCGCTCACGCCTTCGCGCCTCCGATTGACGATGGGCCACTGGGCGGACTCACCGGGACCGGTGCGTTCGCGCCCTCGCTGATTGGTTCTCGGGAGTCCCCCGGTTCACCGAGTAGCTCGCGCATGCGGGCGGTGTTCAGGAGCTTGGCGTACTTCGGTTGAATGAACAGCGCCCTGAGGGAAAGGCGAGTCTGGGTTTCAGTAGGACGGAGGTAGGGGTTAATGGAATGGCGTACTCGGCCTCAACGAGGACGTTGCCGTCCATGTCTTCGATGACACCTGCGACCTTCGATTTGCGGCCCTTGGCTTCGATGAGGCGGGTCTTGATAACCAGGAACTAGGCGAGGTTTCGTTAGTCTCGTGAGATCTTGAACGCAGAAGGGAGCGTAGACGTACTTGGTCAGCGCGAGTGGGGCTTTGTAGTTGAGATGCAGGTAGGCCGTCACACCAATTTCTCTGGAAGGTTATGAGTGCCTAGCACTGTCCGTCAGCCATGAAGATCAGATTCATGGAGGCTCAAAACATGGTATGGCATGGACTGAATCTCGCTAGGAGATGTTACAAGTAGGAATAGCGGCACTAAGTAGTCTAGTCATGGTACTCACCTGTCGACCTAGTGTCTCGTCCAGCACGTCGCGAGTAAACCACCGTGAACAATCCCTTCGTGGCCACATAGTGCGCTCCCCACATGGACGAACGCCATCGCTTCACTGTTGTCCCACTTCGCCGGACCAGTGGCGGGAGCGCGAGTTTCCTGGTCCATTGAGCGAGCCGCTCGTTAAGCTGTTCACCCGCCGTTCCCGCGGGACCTTCGCATACGGTCGCGCTTCGTACCACTCGTCGGGCTTAGCTGTCTCTCTATGTCTTTGGAGTGGTGGTAGCCGCTGCAGGGAGTCTTCTAGCGATTCGACGTAGGCGACCGCTTCCGGGGCCTCTGGGTGTAGTGGTGGTGGTGCTGGCCGCGGGGAGATATACGTTGCGACTGTAGGAGGGTAAATGACCCGACTGTGTAGGCAATGCCAGCAATAGAAGTGTATACGGAGAGTTTGCGGATAGTCCTGAAGGACGAAGATGACTCTCCTGAAGTGGATGCGAACCGCTGCGGTACGTGTCCGAGTCGTGAACGAAGCTGAGCAGTGATGCGGCGAGCAGCGAGGCTGCAAGCATATCTAGTGGTGCACCTCCAAAGAGGTCGTCGAGCAATGTGCTGCGTCCAAGCTGCGTCTATAGTGTCGTGCAGCTAGCGAGAGGGAGTGGTATGTATGAAGTCGGCGAAACGCGACAGGTTGGGGTGTGGCTGATTCCGGCCCGGAGTGGTAGCGGTTCAACCGTGAACGCGTGAACGTCCTCCCTCTTCGGAGTCTTCCACCATGGTCTGCGGAATCACTTGCAGTAACCCACTGTAGTACTTACTACTACTGTGCGTGAGGTGAGTTTATTATGTTATACATGTCATAGGCGGTGTACTGAGTATGCACCCAGCAGGCCCAAAACGCCGTGTGCGGAATAGTCGCAAGTTGAGGCCGAGCCTTCAGCTTCAAGTTCAATCGTTCCGACCGGGCTCGAGAGCCTATGGAGTTCTTGTGATACTCACTGAAGCTTGTAGCTACCAGGCGTAATGACTACTCAAGACTCCTGTGGATACCTGGAACACCCACCAACATACCAAGACTTCCTTGACCACTACCTCTTACCCAACAAACCGGTAGTCATCGGGCCTGCCTTGATCTCCTCCTGGCCTGCGCTTTCAAAGTGGGTCTCCGAGTCTGACGGGTCTCCGCGCATTAACTGGGAATCCCTCTCGCGAGCGTATGGCGACCAGCCAGTCACGGCAGCAGACTGCTCCACTCGCGAGTTCAGCGATCAAAAGCGACAAGACAAGACCTTCCGCGAAGTAGTCGATCTATGGCGTTCTGGCGAGGGCGTCTCGCTCTACGTGAAAGACTGGCATCTCGCTCGCGCTGTGCACCCGGAGATCTTCTACGAAACCCCGGACATATTCAGGGACGACTGGATGAACGCGTACTACTCTGTCTGCACATCGGACGACTTCCGGTTCGTCTACACTGGTGCAGCGGGGACGTTCACGCCGCTCCACCGGGATGTCTATACTAGCTATTCCTGGTCTACGAACGTCTGCGGTAGAAGAGGTGGTGGCTCTTCCCTCCTGAGCAAACCAAGTTCTTGCTCCGGAAAGGTGCTGAGGAGCATCTGGAAACGGCCTTCGACGTACGGCATGTAAATCAAGCCGATTTTCCCAAGTTCTCGGAAGCAAAGCCAATTGTAGTCGAGCAGAAAGACGGAGAGACGATTTTTGTGTGAGTGCAGTTCTTTGCGCCGTTTGAAGACACTGCTCGATCCTGTACAAGGCCGAGTGGGTGGTATCACCAGGTATGCCCCCATTACGCTGCGCGCGCAGTCAGTGCGCAGCTTGCTGTACTTAGTCTTCCCGCAGGTTGAGAATATAACTGAATGCGTCTCCATCAATCACAACTGGTGCAACTCTGTCAACCTCCCTTCCTTATACGAGTCTATGTGCGCTAAGGTGATCGAGGTCGAGCACGCACTGGAAGACGTACGCGAGCTGCTTTCGCAGAACAATCAGAGCGAGTCGGACAGTCACGGATGGGAACATGAGTGGGTTAAGATTGTACAGGATGTAGTAGAGAAAGACGCTGGGTGGAAGTACGTGCAATCCTCCTAACAAGCACATCGATGCTAACCAATATATCTCAACGTTGTACAGCTGGCTGACGTTTTGGAAGATGGTTCGGCACGCATTCGGGACAGCAGTACGCCCTGTCACGGATTGCGAGGTACACATCTACCGCTGTCTACTGGCGGGTCACCCATCTGACAGCTCTTTTTTTGTCACGCCTAGCTCTCAGGACCACTCTGGGAACCTGCCCCGCCATGGCTCACGCCTCCCTTACCCTTCGTCTACGACCGCGTGCGGACGTGCTACGATCATTTCCTCCGGCGCACGGAACGCGAGGTCGATCTCGTAGATGGTCTCCGTGATGTCCTAGACGAAATCAAACGGATATCAGACGGCGTCGAGACCACGCAGGGTACTCGCAATGACGGCACTCGGGGGATTTGACTGGTCCTGGTGACCCGTCGTAACGATCTCAGTTGACCACAGGAGGCTGTTTTCTGTGCGGTCGCATGTCAGCTCTGTCAAGCGACCGTGTCCGATACACGCGAAGTGCACACGACAGACATTTCGTCGACAGATCTGTATACTGGAACATGCCAATACCATGACTGGAAGCCTGGTGAACGGTGAATGGAACAACAGTGACCTGTCTCATCGACTCCGATGGTGATCTGTCGATGGTCTGGCTTTGGCGCGTCCGAGTCCGGCGACAATTGTTGCTCAGTGACACCGAGCGCCCATTCGGGAACGTTGATCACCCGGACCCAAGATTTCCCTACGGATTTAATACCCCGCCAGGTTTGGCAATTATACTCACCGCCACACCGTTGTGCTGGCATCCATCTCTTCCAAGTTATACACGAGCTCGTTCGTAACTCTGCGACAATGCAGCACGCCATTCCGTCTGCGACGGAGGCCGCCCAAATAAAACATCACCACGACCTTGATTACATCATCTTGATTCCCGAGATTACCTAGGTCAGTAACTCGGGCAATTCCAGCCTGAGGGCGGTGATGCTGAGACGATGATTGGCAGGACGATGATGCAGTGCATTCAGGCTATGCTCAAGCACGCGGTGTCGGCCTTGCATATAACACACGGCGCTTGCGACGTCTTCTGTTTCGTCGACTACCAGGTGTTCATATACAGTACCCTACCGTCCCCTTCCCTAATTTCTTCAGTGGCTGGCCCACTTTCGCTTTCGCGCTATCACGCTTTCGCAACCCCGCATTTCACGTCAATAACGACCTTTCACGTCTCACTACGTCAAGAATGCTTTACAGGACCGCTGGAACATTGGACGCAATGTCTCTACCCCACTCTCCCCTGGACTCATGAAGCTTGAGCCCGAGCAGCGCTCGCGGATACTCAAGTCAGGCCAGAAGGTCAACAAGATGCTGGGTGCGACACCGGTCATAGACGTCGTGTCCCCTGGCAAGAGCGCGCTTACGCCCATAAGCACGCCGAGGTCTGCTTTAAACGCCAGCGTTTTGGATGGTAAACGCGCGCCCTTGCGCGCGTTCACCGCCCCGTCGCCAGCCAGGCGCGTGCATATCGCTACGACTCGGGCAGACACGTACGACAATGGCCTCAAGTCGCCGGTATTGCAAATCACGGTGACGTCCCCTTCGAACGAAAATCAAGACGCGTCCGCGCACACCAGCAAGACCACGAACGCGGGCAGAGGGATCCGGAGGAAGAAGGTCCCAGCTGCCCTTCCTTTGAACCAGGCGTCGCGCACGGAGGCGCTGCCCTTGTCACCATTCCGCTATGCTACACTCAAGTAAGTCTCATTGTGCAGCATGTTGAAATCAGTTTCTCATGGGTTCTCAGAGCGGTCAAGGCGCCATCTCTGTCCCCAGTCGCCCCCTTTTCTCCGTTCTCTCCTATCACTGTAAAGAAGGTGGAAGAGAGCAAGGTCGAAAAGCTGCAGAATCTGGAGAAACTCGCGCAGTACTCCGCAGTGGGCATCCCTCAAGAGATGATCTACCCCTCCTTCGGCCAGGTGGAGGAGAAAACAGAGCAGATCACTTGTTTCCTTGATCTCTACCGCATGGGGACGATGGGCCAAGTACCCGGGCGTTCCGCATCGCTCGCTTCGGGATTGCACACTGCCCCTGTGCCGGTGCCCGAAGTTACCCTTACGAGCCCGACCGCCGCGGTCACCGCGCTCCTCATCAAGCGGCGGGGCAGGGCGAACAGCCGCAGCTCAACGGGGTCCATGAAGCGGCGTAGCCGGTCTGCAGGCGACTTTTACAGCGTCACAGATGCGCTCGCGCTCGAGAGCCCGAGTTTCGGCGCGCGCATGAACAGCCAGCTGCACGCGGCGTCCGTCCTCTCCCCAGTCGGGACGTATTCCGCCTTCCTCGCGCCCCCGGAGCCTGTCCTGTCCGCCGGGCGTGCCTCCTTCACCTCCGCGCTCTTCTCGCCCTCTATCTACTCCCAGATCTCTGCGCGCAGTGCTGAGTTCCCCTTGTCCCCGGAGCTGGTGACTTCGCCCGTGCAGCGCCAACGCACGATCGCGAAGGCGCGCCGCTCGATCCTGACGGACGACGCACAGAGGATGGCGACCTTCCGGACGCGCTTCGGCGTGCGCCCGCTCGAGTTCGCGCTCCCGGTGACGCCGCTGCCGCTCCCGATGGGTCCGCTGCCAAGCCCGCCCATGTCGCCTGCGCCGCCCGCGGAGGTGCGCTCGCCCCGCGTACCGTACTGGGTGAAGAGCTCGTACCGCCCTCGGGACTCCACGCACGCGCTGGAGCTCGTCAACATGCGCTACGATCCAGAGGGTAAGCGCCGGAGCGCGAAGAGGAAGACTGTCTTGCCGACGCCGACGACGCAGCGCTTTGAGCGTAGGATGGGGTGGGGAGGCGAGTGGAATCAAGGGGGTATGGCCAACTGGGTAGATTCGCTGAAGCAGCTGTGAGCAATTGAGTAGGAGGATGCGAGTGGGCGGTGAGGTTGCGTGGGGTCGCGCGTCGAGCACCGGTCTGTACGGTTGTTGTGGGTGCTCTGACGGTGCGTCGTCCGAAAGTCGTGAGAGTCCATGTATCAGTTTAACTATCTTTTTCTTTCCGAAATGACATGGGCATGCGCAAGTTTATTCCTAGTGCGTGTCACTGTTTGAACTTTGAATTGAAAGGCCTGCTCACTGAACGAGCTAAGTTCGTACTATGTGGAGGCCTTCCGCGGTCCATAGACTACGTATGTACTACTACCGCGCATCGCGTCTATGGTACGCAATTAACACGATACCATAGCTCAGGGGGGCCGCCCTGCACACTGGCAGTACTTACCGTGACTGAAGTACTTGTCAGTGATGTCCGTACCATTCACATGCCACTGGGTTTTGACTCTTGTATAGTCAATGCGCGTTCGGCTCGAGGCTTCGCCTGCGAAGAACTGAGTCACGTAGAATATTGTAGCTGGAAGGCGACAATCATACGTGGAGTAAGTGTGTGTTGTAAGTATCATCCCGGTATCATCGAATGTGAATTGGCAAGAGGAATCAAGTTGTTCGCAAGCGCCTGCCCCGGTGGCGGAAACCATCGGAGCCGCAAATGTTGAGTCAAACTTTAGGGCGGAGTTTAAAGCCACTCGATCGCGTGGACTCGACTGCCTCCATTCCCTCGTCAACGACCTTACCCAGCCTTCCTCAAGACTACCTACGACGATGGTGAGCATAACTTCCGTGGCGTCGTGCTGGGAGATGTATTCGACGCTCTCGGACGGCGGGAATTCTGGTTAGGACGTGTGCAAGACATTGGATGGTGCGTCTTGCGTCCAGATGACATCTCGAAGACTATCTAACGCCCAGCTGCAGCACCAGAATCCCCGTCTCAGCAAGGACAATACCATGTCCAAGCCCACGCTGAGCTCATTCATGGGCGATGAGGCGTAGCTATGCTGGGCCCGTGCTCATTCTGTGAGCGCGGGCGTTAGAGCTCCGAGTACATCGCGCCAGCACCTGCTTCTATGCAGTGGCATGGATCGCTGATGGCACTCGTCTCAATGACCAGCCCAAGGCCACTACCGGAAAGAAGGTCGCGCCCGCTCCCGCTGGGGCGCGCAAGCCGACCAAGACCCAGAAGAACCCTCTCTTTGAGGCTCGCTCGAAGAACTTCGGTATTGGTGCGTGCGCAGGCCTCCCGACATCTTTCACTCGTTGACCGTGTCGTCCATGACCGCGCTATGCAGGCCAGGACATCCAACACAAGACCGACCTCACGCGCTTCGTCAAGTGGCCGCAGTACGTGCGCCTCCAGCGCCAGAAGGTCATCCTCCACCAGCGCCTCAAGGTGCCCCCCGCGATCGCACAGTTCTCGCACACCCTCGACAAGAACACTGCGACCCAGCTGTTCAAGCTCCTGAACAAGTACCGCCCCGAGACGAAGCAGGAGAAGAAGACCCGCCTCGAGGCGACCGCGAAGGCAACCGCCGAGGAGAAGGAGGCGCAGGCGAAGGAGTCGAAGAAGCCTCTCTTCGTCAAGTACGGCTTGAACCACTGCGTCGCGCTCATCGAGGCGAAGAAGGCGTCGCTCGTCGTCATCGCGCACGATGTCGACCCCATCGAGCTCGTCATCTTCGTCCCCGCGCTCTGCCGTAAGATGGGTGTACCCTACGTGATCGTCAAGGGCAAGGCCCGTCTCGGCACGGTCGTCCACAAGAAGACGGCTGCCGTCCTGACCCTCCAGGACGTCCGCAGCGAGGACCAGCGCGAGCTGAGCACGATCGTCTCTGCTGCTAAGGCGAACTTGTACGTCGTCTCGCCTTATTGTAGTCGTGCATCACCTGACACGTCTCGGTAGCTCTGACAAGTACGAGGACAACCGTCGCCAGTGGGGTGGAGGCATCCGTGGCAACAAGTCCGCGCAGATGCTCCGCAAGCGTGCCAAGGCTGCCGGCCAGACCCTCTCGCTGGCCAACGCCCAGAAGCTCTGAACGGTCGCGTCCAACGTCGATGAAGAGCATCGTCGGAGGTGTTGTATGGGTCACAAAAAGCGTACTGTCGTCCTCGCTATGCATCGCTGGAGCTCGCTGCTATCGCTGCTAAGTTACCACATGTTGTATGTCGTTATGCTATGAGATGGAGATGATCTGTCTCATTCCCTATGCCGCTGTGACCTGCTGAGCATGTCGGTCTAGGATGGCCGTGGTGATGCCGCTTGTATCATACCGTGTACACTAGATGCAGTCCAGGCCTGAGGCGTCCGCGTCCGGCCGTTTCAAAACGTTCGTGAGCAGGCATTAAGTAGTACACTTGAAGTTGGGTACGAATTCCTCTGATGCCTCGGGTCAAACGTCAAACCTCTAGCACCATATGGTATACACTGTGTTCTGGGGCTGGTCAGCATTTGCAGGTACTGTGAATTGCGATAATTCAGGAGGCAGCCACGTGAATATGTGCAGTCCCATCCCCGTGGAAGTTCGCCTTGATCGCCTCAACGGCCTCTGCGACCTTCGCACCTCGTTCCATCGTTACGAGTAGCCCCTGCTGCTTGATGCTGCCGTCCTCCGTCTCGCGGAAAGGGCCCCATAGTCCCATCGGGTACACCCAGAAAATGCGCGCCTCGAGAGTGCGGTCTTCGGCGTCGACGCGCTCTTGGCCACGGATGTACCCCGCCATGGCCATTTGAAAGGTGTCGGACCCGATCGAGATCTCGTCGAGGGTGCTGGCGGCGAGGAGGGCGGCGAGGAGAGGCGTGCATTCGGTGCCAGTTGAGCGCGCGGCGTTGTAGGGCCATTTGGGTGGGGGCGAGGAGGATGAGGTCGTCGGCGTGGACGAGGATGGTGTCACGGTGGTCATGCCTCCAGGCTCGGCGAGTGAGTGTTGTGTTTGCGATTGGATTGCGAGTTGTCTGTGGTGAGGCGATCAGGCGTACCCCTCGGGTAGTACTGGTGAGCGTACCGAAGTCTGGCGGCAAAGTCGAAGCAGAATCAAGGAAGAAGGAGCGTAGGGAAACGGGCGGATAGTGCTCTTCAGAGCCTTGGCAGAAGTGTACGCACGAGCATATGCTGGTATGCATCATCATCGCCTCGCCTGCGCCGGTCCTAGGTTGTGTTCGTGAGCGTTATAATATGGTTGATGGGCCTCTTACAGATGCCAGTGGCAGTTGCCCCGAGCGGCGACAGCTATGTCGATACTCTGCGCAGAGTATGTATCTCAGTGAAGGGGCCATGCTATAGGGCAATTCCGAGTTCACTCCCAGGTGCATAGGTCAGAATTGATGGTATACATTCAGACTGAACATATTGCGAAGTATATATCGATACGTTCCTCAGAGATAGGGAAGATGCAACCAGGCTCATTGAACATTGTTGCGTACAACGTCCTCCGCAATGGGCAATACGTCGTTCCACATCGGAAAGTCCTCCCGTGCCCACCGCTTCCTACCTTCCTCACTGGTCACATCCAGGAAATGCTTGACAGCAAGAATCATCTGCCGCGCACAGACCTCCTTGCGCACTCCGCCCACACCCGTCGCCAGCCCCGTCATGCACACCTTCCGTATGGACTCACCCTCGCGCTCGCCGCGATTCACACTCTCGTTCCACCGCTCTACCTCCACCAGGAGGCTCCACATCGTGTTGTACACGAGGTCCTCGTGCCAGCTGACGTCTACTGGGTAGCGCATCGTGGGGCAGACCGCGAGGACGCTGCAGCGGGGGAAGCGCGGGTTCTGGCGCAGCTCGGGGGTGAGCGGGACGAGCGTGCAGGTGCCGGGCGGGGCGAAGCCGAAATGGCGGGCCTTGAGCGCGGCTTGGGCGCATCGAGTGAGCGCCATGATGTCGCCCTTGGGTGAGAGGGCCTCGGAGAGGTAGTAGTCGAAGCTGTCAGTGGTCGCGCGTGGAACAGGCGGTTCAGCGAATCATGGTCGTGCGTGGAAGAGAGGATACTGACCCGCCGTCCATGATCCCATATGAATTCGCTGGCGAGACCATGCAGTCGAACTCGGAGTGGGGAGGCTCGAGCGTGTCGAGCCGAGCCTCTACGACGTGAGAACGTTGCTGATCCTGTGAAGGCAGCAGCTCCTGGATATGGCGTTTCCAAGCTTCATTAAGGCTCGGTCCCGGCGAGGACGCCTTCTGCTTCGGCTCCATGAATACGAAGGTAACACTTGTCATGGTTCCTGAAACTGGTGAGAGACTGGTGAGTTGACTTCAGCCTGCATCATTTGGCGTCGACGACTTACAACTCTGAGTCTGGCGCTTCGGGGCGGCCTGAGTTCTGCCTGAACAGATAGAATGCCTGCTTTTCGAGCCGGGATCTGCTGCAGCGTTAATCTTAGACTCGGAGGTGTTGCCTGTCGTAGACACAATCAATTGAATACCCAGTCATTCTCGAAAAGGATCAATGTACGCACGTCTGTGCAACACCGATACCAACGGCCCAGGCAGAACTCTCTGTGAATGTGATCCAGGTTTGACAGAACGAACCCTGAGATTGCCACTCCGAATCAGCATGCAGCACCCTGGCGGAGCCGAGTCTAGTTGGATTGTATCGAACGTGCATACAGTAGGTAAGTAAGTTACCGGGTAAGATATTACTTCAGTGAAGTGCATAGGGAAGCTTACGTAACTATTTCGTCGAGACTGTAGACAGCTGTAGACTCGGGGTATCGTGACTGATGTACAACTACACTGATGGCACTCTGCACACCGGAAGGCTACTCGTACCGTCGTACTACTTATACATGGCGTGAAATGGGTTGTGCTCTAAGGCGGAGGCTCCCGAAACACAGATCCCCACAGGAACGGACATGTCCGCCAGACGACTGGTAGTCTGGTACTGGTCTGGAGAAGGAAGAAGGACCAAAGAGGCAGTTTCGGCGACAGCGCGCGGGTAGCGATAGGGGGGTGCTCACACATGACGTCGTCATATCGTCCGCTGCGCGCATACGCGAGTCAGCATGCGCATCATCCCTATGCCGCCAGCCACCCTATAAAGAGGCGCACTAGCGGGAGACGCGGACGCACCTTCACGTCCGACCACTGCACGACCAGCCGCTTGATGCGCGCGGCCAAGTTCTTCTTGCACACCCCGCACGACAGGTGCTCTCCCAGCGGGCACAGCGTCGCCTCCATCGCGCCCGTCGACTGGTCTGCCGCAGAAACGTGAGTCGTCGCTCGGATACAACCTCTCACGAACGCACCTGGACGGGCATCCCACGCTAAATACGCCGAGGCCAGTGCCCACGCGCAAGTCAGCCTCTTCTGCTCTGCGGAGTTGCAGGCCGCAGTCGGCGTGTGCGTGCGCGGAGGCGGCAACAGGAGCCGCTTGAGCGCGTCGATCCGCCCCAGGTGCAGGAAGAACAGCTGCCTCATGTACAGCGGGCCCATGCGCACGATGTGCTCGTCAGAGAGGGTCCACAGCTGAAGGCCGAGCAAGTGCGCGGACGCGGGCACGGCGAGGTCGTGCAGGTCGTGGTGCGCCGCGAGCGCGTAGACCTCGACCGGCGCGAGTGGCGCGTGCCCGAGGATGAGCACGTACAGCGGCGTCGAGGTCGCGCAGTGCTGCGCGACGGGCACGCCGTATAGCGCGAGCGCGTCGACTGCCGCGATGAGCACGTCGAGCGAAGGCGAGTACCGCGCACATGAAAGGTTGTAGATGCTGTGGAGGACGACGTTCAGGGTGGCGGCGGACTCGGGAAGAAGAATGACCGATCCGAGGTCCTCAGAGAGACCCACAGCCTCGAGCGCAGGGTGGGGGCCTTTCGGAGACTTCATGGGCAGCAGCCCGCGGAAGCCGTTCTCAGAGGCGCCCAGGACCTGATTTGAGTGGACGTAGAAGAAGACGGCGTCCGAGGAAATGAGGATGAGATCAGGCGGGAGCGGGTTAAGGTTGGCGGTGGAGGAGAACGTAGTCGAGACGGAGACAACGGTGTTTGTCTCCGCATTGGCCTCACCAGGCGACCCTTGGTCCGAGGCCTGTACCGTCGCAGAGGATTAGGGCGGATCCAGGAAGATCCATCGCGGAGAGAGATGCTTGTTAGCCGACTGGAGAGAAAGAGACTCTGATTGCGCTTGCTCACCGGTGGAGTGGGCACCTGAGAAGGGGGATAAGAAGCGTACAGGGACGTCTTCCCTAGAACAGACTTTCCGGGAACTGCGGAGCCTTCGACAGGGTCGGTCACAAACTGAAAGACTTGATCCCACTCTTGAGTCTCCATCAGACTGAGTGAATCGGTCGCCGAGGATGCCTTTGGCAGGCGGGCTAAAGTCGTAGTAACACCAGACCTTGGGTGGGCGTGGCTAGGATGCGTATGGACGGGGTGCTGTGAAATATGAGGCTGTTGGGCTACTCGACTGCGTTCGTTGGGTACCGGAGTCGGGACCTGGTACGGGGGACAAGGGGCGGCTTGTAGCGAAAGGTGAGGTGTCTGCGCGCGCGCAGCCGGGGCTGAGGGAGTGTATAAGCATGAGCAGTCCGACTCTGTACGAACTTACACCAGAACTGACCGACGAGGCGGCGGACCCGACAGGCCGGCGGTGGCTGGTGCTTCTCGCTCGCCCAGGCTCGCCCGCTGCTTCAATCGCAGGCTCCCGGCCAGGCACCATTGAACGCACGCGTCCCCGCGCCAGACGCGTTTTCTACGTCGCTTTCTCAGTACCAGCCCGTACGCAGCCACGAGCATGGGAGCACTCACCGCGTCAACAAGGGATATATACATAGACGCGCTACGAAGAGACAACCTCGAACGCGTGTGACACAATCAGAGAACCGTAAAGTTACGCTATGCAATGACGACCAATCGGCATGTGAGATTGGAAATCTCCGGGGTGTGAGTCGCATGTTGTCGCGGGATTGAGGCGTTGTCGACGCGTCGATCTCCACCAACGCACGCGACGGACGGGCGTGTTCCCACCTCGAACGGCGGTTGTATTGCGGGCGCGGAGGCAAAAGCCTGATGATGTTGCCGGACAAGCGAGCCGCCATCTGTTCACCGACGTGGTCAGTGCTTGGAGGCATGCGAAGAGCTCGTCCGGGATTATCAAAGGCGAGCTCAGTGTGGTATTCGCTCCCGCCAGTGAGGAGTCGTCTGGACACCGCGGTCCGAGCAGTGTCGCGAGCTAACCGGAAGCCCTGGGTCACATGATGTATAGGAGACCGTCCTCCCCCACTCAAAGAGGTCTCGTTTAGAGTCTGCCTACGGGAGACTAATAGAGGCGGTTGCGGGTGCGCTGTGCCGCCGCCAGTCTTCCACATTCGAGGTATGGAGGACCGCTCGTCTTGTCTCTGTTATTTGATCGCGGAATGCAGTCAGTATGTTACTCTCGCCCAGCCCGAGAGTTTAGCCACCGACCGACAACTTGAACAAGTACATTTTTTCTCTTTTTGGTGGAGCGTTGCGTTGACCGAAGTGATCAACGCTGGACCTGGCAGTCGACAAAGTCGCCTCCAGGTATCCCGTTGGCGGTCCGGGGGGTTAATACCCCGGATGAGTTGGACCGACAACAAGTACTTGCTTGAGCAACTTAAATAACTTAGTGAGAGTGACGATCGGAGTGAGGCTCGTGAGAACTTCCTCGGCACGGATCCTCTCAATTGGATACTAGAATCCTACGCCGTCTTGCTCTCGTCGTAACATGCATGGCTCGCATTTTATCCTATATAGCATTCTGTGTGCCTTGGGACTTCCTCTGATATACCTCTGTTCCCTGCAAACGTGGTCAAATCTGCCTTACCACTGTGCTGGAACCACTGACAGATGTTCGACTCGCCCAGCGTGAGCGACGACCTGCGATGTACGACAGCAAATTTACCTCCAGAGGCTTGTGGACCAGCGGTGCCCAATCTCAGCGGAGCCGACGATCTGCAATGCACGATGCTCAGGCTTTGCTTGGGCCGAACTCGCTCACCGCCACGCGCGACCCTCTTCTACAGTAAGTGGCTGAGGTCCGGTTGGTGCACCTAGCGGTTGACTGTGAGTGGCATCTTCAAGATCCAATTTCCACATTCCTCATCCCCACGTAACCATTGTTTAGGCTGAAACCGAGACTGACGTGAATCTGGGACGGCGACCAGTCATAAGCTCGCTGTGTTCGGGTCACTAGTCGATTGTCGGCATGAAACGGAACTGCTTATTACCTTGAGCTTGTGTATCTGCAGACCCCGACGCCTTACGGGTTGATCCACGAACAGACGCGCCGCGCCAGACACAGCGCAATGAACCGTTCTGAGTTTCAGAATCGCAACACCAAAGAGTCACCCTGAACCTGTTCGTCCATGCAGGCGCATCTGCCCTCGCATCCGAAGGGCGACGGTGTTGTGTGTCCGAGTCCGTGTAGTCTGGTTCAAGACAACGCTCTTCCGCTATCAAGCCTTTGTATTGCGCCAAAAATGGTATGTCTACCCTTGGCAAACCATAACCGACACTTAGGGCCTTTCACTCCCCACAACTTTGCCAGCGTTAAGCCTCCCTTGTTGTGATACCTGCGCAAGCCATCGTTTCCGTCCCTGTTTGCCTCTCTAGCTTCACTCATTCAGCATAGGCTACAGCAATGCGTTCGAGGTGCGTACAACACCCTTGCTGTCGTGCCGCACCGGGACTGAGATTCGGGGAATTTGGCGGGCTCTGCAGCTGCATATGGAAAAGACACCAAGCAGGCAAGCAACATATTCGTCAGTAGAGCATATTGGAACTTCCCCGAATGACTACTCGCCGGAGGTTCGTGAGCGACATAGAAGGCCCCGAGACTCCTCAGCTCCTTGCGCGCGTTGTTGCATTGATCCTCTACTCAGCATGCGCTTCTCCCAGCGCATACATCCACCTTGAGATGGCGTCCGAGACTGGACCTCGCGTTGGTCCGTTTATCGTTGTTCATCGGTGCGCGAACCCAGTTGGGACACCCGCTTAGCCCTTCGCGCTCCTTCTGCCCAGAGACGCAGTGCGTCGCGGGGCAGATTGGGCGGGGTCGGACGCAGTGATGGAAGAATGGGACGAGAACGGACGGAACAAGAAGAAATGGAACGAAGACGAACGGAGTGGCGATCGACGGAATGGTGACGTTCTCTTCTCAAACATCTCGCCATGGGCCCTCTCCGCTCGTGTTTCACGGGAGGTTCTCGAACACATCGTTCATGCGATGGACCAGCCACGCGCAACTTGTACTCCCCCCAACCACGCGAACGTCGACATGCTCGTCAAGCATTCGAAGAGAAGCTGTGGCGTTATGGCAGGTGGCTATATGCTCGTCGCTCGTCGCTCGAGCCTGGGCGGAAACACGGACACCCATCTTCCGAGTCGTCGTCGTGGGACCCACTTCTGTGCGTCCATGGTTGAATGTGTCAGCCTGACAGACAGGGTTGCATTCCATCCATACGGCATAACGGGCCACACATTTGGTTGTGACCCCTACAATTGCGCTCGCTGTTGCACGGAGCCATTGGACAGCTGGCTCTAGAACGTCGAAGACTTCGTGTGGTTCTCCGTCAACCTAAGTGAGTATACTTTCGTTGCACACGTTTTCAGGCCAAGGCGTCAAGAAACCTTGCGCGTTTGGAATGAAGTACGGAACCATGGCGGTAGAGCAGCCTTGATGCTCGGGGCAGCGCGAGCGGTCTCGTCGAAGAATATTGATAGCCACAGCCCAAGAGAATGTCATGATTAAGGACTGAGATTCTCCGGCCATTCGATCAGGCTTCCCGCTACATACGGAAGGGAAATCAGGCAGTCAATCATTGCATACAATGGCTACCGTGCGTTACCGTTTTGCTCCTCTACTCGCATGGCGCATACACTGAGAGCCTTGACCAGAACCCGCGTCAGTCCGTCCATTATCGTCGGTGCGCGAGCCCAACTGACACGATTACCTAGCTCTTCGCTCCTCCTTCCAAAAGCGCGTGGTTTCTCGAGTGGGATGAATCTTATGACGTCAAACACGTTGAAGACGAATGCAACGAAGACGAATGGAGTGACGGCGGATCAGCCCACCGTGACGCTGGCGGTCGTGGCCCTGGTCTGCGCAGCGTGTCACCCCCGAGTATACTCTACGATCGCGATCCGCCCTTGCGCGACGCTTCGAGATAATATTCAAGCAGTCTCGCAAGTCTGGACATTGCCATGCAGACTCGTTGTCTCGTCGCCCTGTCTGTCCCTCGGTTTGCACCACCCATCTATGCCCTGTGGATCGGACTTCCTGCGCCACGGCGGCGCTCATTCCTGTCAGGTTACAGGGTCTCCGAGTCGATGATGATCGATGTCCCTTGATGGTGTGGCAGAGGCGTCTGGTGACCTGCTCCAGTGATTCTTGGGCCTATCGCGAATCAGTAAGTGTGACATAGGATACCACACTCTACCGCACAGACATATCGCCGTCGCAATGCGCGCACAGAGATTGGGCAACCAAAGACTCGAGACTTGTGCGAGACGCATCTGCGTCTCGCTCACCGAATCAGGCAAGGGCTTGCTTCCATCCTGTTGAACGCTCACTTATGTGTCCTATAGCTTGATGCATCATGATGCCATGCGGACCCGGCTTCAGGGTATGCCGATTACAATTGCGGACTGAGCAGACATCAGTCTCTCATGCTGTCGGTACTATGCTTCCTGTCTTCGAATTCTGGCTCACCGCTCGCTGTGGAACACGTCTCGTATCTTCGACGGATTGTCCGAGCGCGCGAGGCGATAGGGAGCGAACGTCCCATCGGACTGGCCCCATGGATGGTTTGATAAACCGTTTCATCGCCGCCTATCCAGGTCGCGATATCATATCAAGTTGCGAGGAGGTTGACCGTATCTCCCTTGCCCGAGGTCCTTGTCTCGCTTGGGTTCCCGACCTGAGAAACCTAGTCACTACGCTTCTTGGTGGTACAGAACAGACGGATACACTGCATTTACAAGGTGCGCCCGACATATTTTCTTACCGAGCTCATCGGAGTTTACAGTGCGTGTGACTTGGGGTAGCACCCTTGCCAGCACGATGTCTCAGCCAGACAATGACACTCTGCTACAGTCGTCCACTCACGATGCAAATAGATCGCTGTAAGTCTAGTCATCTCTTCGAGTCTTTGTATTCTGATGTACCCTTGAGGAGTGATATCATGCAATTGCCCCCGATCATTGCTGCCAACCAGCGACGCGAGTTCCCTATCGATATTTGGGAGCGTGTCATCGAAACTCTGGCTTCAGAGACCATCCTCGCCGATCGTCGCAACTGGTCTGTCCCTGTGGAATGGAAAACTCTGGTCGCCTGTACCCTAGTGTGCAAGGCATGGTACCATCGCAGCTGGTTCTGCCTCAACCACCATGTTACGTTGCGTCGGCGCGAGCAGGTCACGAGGCTTTTCAACAGCTCCGTGCCGTACTGCCGCTACGGAGAGCAGTGACACGCGTTACAATCGCAGGTGGTCTGGATAGCACCTCGAGCGCCTACGTATTCCACATCTGGGACGCTTTGCGGCAGCACTGGCGCGCCCTGACATGTTGCCCCAATTGACGAAGCTGAGGATTCGACACGCCCATTGGAGGGCGGCCGACATCCCACCTCGTTCGGTAGCCTTCCTGGATACCTTCCGCTCTGTCCGTTCGCTGCAGCTTGTCAACATTTCCTTTCGACTGCCTCACAGTTGGTCGATTGATAGCAGCACTCCCTGCCCTCACTTGGTTGCACTGTGTTTCGTGTACTATGTGACGGGGCAGAGCGAAGGACTCGAAGCATTCCTGCCACAGAGCCCACCTCACTCCGCAAGTTGTCACTCTGCGAACCCGTGGAACTCCAGTTCCAAACATCCCTCATCCGTTTGGAGAAGTGCACGGTTATAAACTGCAGGACTCCAGCTCGAGATATACTCCCATCCACGTCACTCTCGAATCAGGCAACACTCAGCGACTACTAGATTGAATCGCCAGTTCCTGCAACTTGTCAGTTGGAGCTACATATATTGGATGTTCCCCTCAGATGCAGGCGAGGCTCTACGTGAGTATTCGTCACGATTTGTCGATGTTTTCAGGCTGACATGTGTCATGCACAGTTTCGCACGTCAATCTTGGCAAACTCAAGTTGAAGCGACTCGCCATCGGATTACATGCCCACTAAACCGGATTACTCCTGGATTGCTCCGTTGATATCTACTGTATCATCAACCACGATCGAAACACTCGCATTCACGTTCAGGTCCCACAACACGAATGGCACGGAAGACAGGATGAAGATCCTGCTGGATCGCCTGGCGCAGCATGCTGATCTCAAGTTGCTCGATGATGCGCTGGCCAGCGATCGTTTCGAGAACCTTCACAAAGGGGGGGTTGACATTTCCCTCGGACTCTCTCGTGCGCATGACCCCTAGGGCTTGGATGGATAGGTCAACAAAAGGAGAAATGGCAGGAGCTCATCAGGCAGAAGATGCCTCAGTCCGCGAGAAGAGGCATTCTGAGGTATGACGTGCACGATATCGCGATGATCATATCTGACGCGTAGCATTAGCATTGGCTTGTCTCCCGAGGAGTAGGAACCTGAGATCTTGGGAGGCATGTAATTGCCGCAGTGGAGAGCATTCAAGTTGAAAGCGAGGAAGGCTGACAAGACGGTCTTTGCTACCGTGTGGCCCTACCGTACGTTTGCGGAGAGGCGATAAGTACGCAGGTTGGGACTGGTAGGTGCTGGTGCAACACGTCATCGCCTGTTCTTTGACTTCGCCCCCGCCTCTCCGCCTCTGATCACTCTGGCTCATCAATGATTCTCTTCGACGGACTCGGTATAACTAATGAACACACTCCCTTCTACTCTACCGCCACTCTACTGGCGGTGCGCCAGCGATGAGCTGGAGGTGGCGACGCGACCGTTGGTTCGTCGTTAAAGCCGGAAAGGGATGTCCATCACCACCGGGTGTCACTAGACCGCTGTACGGTTTCTACCCTTCGTACTTCCTGAGCTAAACATCGTCCTTCATTCACTACATGTTTTGCTTAAACATCGCTTTCCCTCTTGTTTTTCTCCATCGCTTCTCGCTGTCACTGGGCTGGATTGTCCGTCTCGATATCGTAGCTCTCTCCGCTGCCGCCACCAATAGAAATGATAAATGGTCGTACATCTTTGCGAAACTCGTTCCATGGCACGCCAGAATAGCCCCGCTATCTGCGTGATGCCCGAATGAGCTGCACGAGCGACTGTGCCCGCGCCCACCAGCTGTTGCCATAGGCAAAGCGATCAGCTCGCTGACGAATTCCCTGAAAGACCTCATGAATTGTATGGGCAGCAGGGAGAGGCGGGTATACGTACCAGCTGTCCTTCAATGAGCCGACGGGGTAGTCGAGTTGCCGAGGAATTGTTGTCTGCATGGCCCACCCGAAGCGGTCCTCCACGATTGCCTTTGTCGTCGTGAGCGCTCGGAGACCCTCAGCGCCCCCTGCGATTGCGATGACGAGTGAGATCACAGCCATGCATGTTGTCCATGAACCACTGCGCACCAAATCTGCCGTAACCACTCGACTTCGTGCCACCGAACGGAAGATCTTGGCTGTTAAGAACATATCATGTCAGGGGCCCCCCCATCGTAAGTTGCCACTCACTTCAACTGCAGCGGAGGTCAGTCAGGACGATTCTCGGTGAGCACAAGCACACTCGCTCACGTAGAACTCGCCATAGCCGTTGATAGAGACCATGCCGCACTCCAGCTGCCTCGCCACCTTGACGCACTGCTCCTGATGGGTCCGAAGACGCTCGCTCCGAGACCGTAGCGTGTGCCATTGGCAATGTCGATGGCCTCCTGAACAGTTTCGTACTTGATAATGAGAGTACGGGCGCGGAGACTGTAGTCCAGAAGCTTGGCTCAATCTTACTACCATGTACACCAGAGATTGACCACTCACGCTCGCGTTGCGCGCATTGCGACTGGGGGCTCACATCGCCGATGACGGTCGGTATGAAGTATGTACCATGCTCAAGGTACGGATGCCTGTACCGCTCTCCACCTTGGAAATCAAGACCGGCATTCGCAGCAAGCCGCACGAGCTCCTCCGTGTGTCGCACCCTGTCTTCGTTGATCATCGCGCCGACGTCTACAGTGGGTACGAACCCATCGCCGGGATTAGTGAGCGTCGATCCAAGCCGCAGCTCCTCTGCGCGACGCTGAATATATTGTGCAGTTCGTCGTACTGCGAGCTATGGACGATGAGCCGCTCGATGCCGATGCAATTCTGGCCTGCGTTATGGCTAGAGCACTGAATCAGGAGTGGATAACGGGCCAGGTACGAGGGAGTCACTCACAAGATACCACGCATCCAAAGACTGGCCCATTGCTTGAGGTTCGTGTACGGCAGGATGATGGCCGGGTCTTTACCACCGAGTTCCAGAGTGACTGGTGTGAGGTGCTCAGTTGCGGCCATCGCTACCTGTCGCCCGACGTCCTCCGACCCAATGAAGGTGATGTGACGAATGATGGGAGACCTCGTGATGGTTCTGCATCCTCTATATAGCAGCACACGAGCTGTTCGCAGACGGTTCAGTAGGAGCTCCAGCATCTAAGTAGTCACAACTCACCTGGATCAGTTCAGGATCGCGCCCGCACGCCCGCAGACACTCCCTGACCGCCTCGACGAACCACGTTGTCGACCAGACTACATTTTTAGAACATTTGAGCACAATAGCATTACCGGAGAACAGGGCAGCAACGATAGGCGACCAGGCATTGTAGAGGGCTACCCAGGAGCGTCAGCATTGGCACAGCTCGAACTCTCCGGGAGTGCACGCACGATAGTTCCAAGATACGATGGCCGCTACGACCCCGAGCGGCTCATAGCAGACCCAAGATTTTTGTAGAACAGGAGGAGGTTGCCCCGCCTGCTTTGCGGACGCAGCTGCTCTTCTCCGTGTTTGATCAGCCAATCCAACTTCGAACATGTCGTCATAATTTCTCCCAGTGCGGCATCGAGTACTATAAGATGGGCGATATCAATGCATTGCACGAGCATGGCATATACCGGCAGCACTCACGAGTCTTCCCGGTGTCGCGGCACACAACCCTCGCACATGTCTCCTGATTATCGACGAGCCATTCCTTCAAGCTGATCATGACACGTCTGCGATCCCGGAATGAGGTCTTCTTCCACTCCTTCTGGGCGTCCGCTGCACGCGCGATCTTGTTTAGAATTTGACCCGTGTTGTCCGCTGGTAAGGTGTCGAGATAGAAGCCACCAGTGGGGTCGAAACAAGTGATATATCTGATGCCCTCGATCCAAGGCGAAGGTCTGAGCTCCGGGTGACGTTGATGCGACTCCACGTTAGGATTCGGGATCGTGCGCGCTTCGAAGCGGGGGCCTATCTGCTGCAGCAGGATCATCATGAGCGGCCTTACTGAACGTCAAAGGGGGACACACAGGAGGTGGTGGTATCCTGAATGGCACGGCATTGTTATGGAAACCGCGGTTGATGACAAGGCTTACGCCCACAACGAAGAACAGAGAAAGCGGCAGCAAGAAGCTAGGGCCGTCTTCGTCCATTGCGATGTCGTAAGTGACACGAAGGTCTCGTAGTAGAGCAGAGCAGAGCGAGGAGGCCTAGAGGAGACAGACGTCTTGTCCGAGTCGCTGGTTCGCAGTCAATTGAAACGATTGCCTGAACTCGCGACGCTACAAAAGAACATGATTTCAGTGAGAGCACACATCAGTCAAGTTGAAAGCGACTCCGCACTGTGCGAGCACTGTTGATCGCTCTTGGGGCGGTACTCCGAGAAGTCAGCACCGGACGAAGGAGAGAGAGCAAGGACAACAGAGGCAAGTACTGATAGGAAGTATTTCACACATTTGTAGTGTGCCGGCACGGATAGATGCGTTGATTGAAGATGCATACACACGGCGTCGGAAGCGGTGTGTTCAACTTCTAATGGACGCCATGAGGTCTAGGCTGTTCATAGGCTATAGCCGACTCGGATGGCCCTCAGTGGCCTGAAGCCTCTGCAAGGTGGGTAGGTTATCGTCAGCGTCCATGATGTCAACCCACACCCGCTCACTGGCGATTAAACGAGAAAATGAGTACCCGGGGAGAGGACTGGTCTCCTTCTATGCAGTGCGCTTATAGCAACATGCTGTAATTTTGGGAAGCGCGTGCCACTGCGACGCAGCCATGTCCAAACCTTGTTCGATGAATGTTATAAACAAACTTAATCAGTGCGCACCGCATCGACGTGCAATCCTCGGGGAATGCTGCACGTACACACATACTGGGCGACGCGTTGCGCTGGGTTCCGAGTATCAGCAAAGACAAGTCGGGGACTGCGGAGGTGGATGTAACATCCGCGAAGCGCACGAAATCACAGCTTCACAGTTCGTCCGCGACTTCGGAGGAGGAAGTACGCGCACGGCACGTGATATGCGAGAGTTACCGTGGATTGTGGGTCGCATTGTCTAGCGGGCTACAAAGCTTGCGCTCTCTCCGGTCTATGACCGGACACCACAGTCATCCGGAGTACCGAGTGCCCTCAAGACACCGAAGGCTATGCAAGAGGTTCCATCAGTGCGTATATCAAAGGCGAGGCAACCACCCGCGTACCGATTATTCCAGCCGCTCGTATGCATCCGAGTTCCTCGTGTGGTCATGGAGGCGTCGCTGGATGTTGTGATCATGAAATTCTGGTGCATACACGAGGTCATTGCCGAAGTCACGGGCAACATCCGTGAGGAGCCACGCCAAGAGGTCGCGAGGGAGCCGTAATAGCTTGGATGAGCGCACTGCGCAGCGAATTAACAGAAATGCGCCTAAGTACTTCAATTCGAACTCGGTTACTTGCGCCACAAAACGAACTGTCCGTCTGGCCGAGCCTCGGGTCAAAACGGCCACTCAAGTACTCAAATACTCACCTGCGAGACGAGCCTGTTTTGTGCTTGGAGATGCATGATCGGCCTTTTGTGGGGTGTAGACATAGTGCAATTCATGGCAAGCTCAGGCTGAGCACTTGAAGGCTTTGATAGCGAGCGCGCTAAACCCTGGCGATATGTAGAAATAACAAAGTAAGACGAAAGACCAGCTTGGGATCAGCCTTCCGAGTCCGTGGCGTGTGCTTATAGTGTCCCCGTGGCTCCCCATGGCGTGCAGCAGTGGACAGATTGAAGTTCATGGAAAGCTGAATACTTGGAGATTGAAAGCTTTGGCTAACGAGGGCGAGCGCGCGTAGCAACCATCCTTGCCGAACAGACTTGCAAGTAAGACGGAAGGCAAAGGCAGCTCGACGACGAATTCGAGTCCGAAGGAGATTCAAGCCGGCGTCACGCCGACGGTCGTGAGTTGCCATATACAGGTTACATACACGAGATGTGACCCATTAAGACTTACTGAACGCAACTGCTCTTAAATGCCGCCTACACCCGCTCGTGCTTGAGAATCCTACTCAGGTTCTTGCGTGCGCCAGATAAAATATCCTAATCACCAAGGCTGAGGGAACTGCCAACTCTCCTCGGAGATTAACTTCCGCTTGCTGTGAGTCAGCACACTTTGTCGCCTTCCTCAATTATCCGAACACATCTACTACAGATATACTCGGAGATGTCGTCCACTCTGCCGCACGAAGTGGTTGACTACATCTCGAGTTCTTATGGGACGACGTGCGGTCATTGATCAACTTCTCCTTGACATGCCACCGCTACTACGACGCACCCATCTGTAGCCACCTCCTGAGACCTCTGCATTCGATATACGTCTATAGCCGTCGCGATCTGGACTTCGTATCGCGCGTCCTATCCTCGAAGCGACGAGAAAGTTCTACGAGCAACACGACCTCAGGTTCCTCAATATTTCTGAGCGTTCGCGGAAGCCCTTCGCACATACCGTGCCTCTTTGCATTTCACCATCGCATCTACCGCATCTGGAAACCATCTCCATGCACAGCGTCAACTGGACGACATTCAGACCCCCTGTGTCCTTCTTTCTTCGGCTGGCGCAATTTGTCTCCGTGACGCGCCTCGAGCTGTCGAGCTGCCGCTTCCGTTTCGCCCACGACTTGCGCAGGCTCACCAATTCTCTTCCCAATCTGGCGGAACTGCAACTGAACAGGATCAGTTGCGCTTTTTCTGCCGTCATGGAACAGCCCTCTCATGTTATACAGACGTTGGCGAAGCTCGACATGCGGCTAGTCTGCCTTGAAGGGCATCCGGATTCGTTGCTCGCTACTTGTGCGAGCTATTCGACTGTTACCCATCTCCAGGTACAGACGGAGTGGTTTACCTCTCTTGGCCACTTCCGTAACTTCGTCGAAGGCTTCCCAGTCCTGACGACACTGACCATCATTCTGGGATATGGACGCACCTGGGATTCTGCTGTGATGGCTGGGCCACCGTCGCTGGAATCGCATTCATCGGTCCCATCCCTCGCCACGTTCACTCTTATTTGTTACAGGAGTGATCTATATCACTCTGCGCTCATAGAGCAGACCCTCGCCTGGGCAGCGGGTACCCCTTCAGTTACTACGTTGAGGGATCTGCGCATAGGCGTGGCGGAGTACTCCACCATAGCCGGACTTACCATCGGGCTCGTGCTGGAGAAGGTGTCTCATACGCTGGAGACCCTACACATAGAATGGAGAATCCCTGGTGAGTGTAGCCTCACATTCTCTTGCTCTCGCTGACGTCGTCGTATATAGGCAGCACATTCTCACTCATGGGTGACTGCCTGGAGACCCTCCACTTGACCATCCACGTTGACGAGGATACACGCGCCTTCGAGAGAACCCGCTACACGATCGCTATGCACTCTCCAGCATCACCAGTCGCAATCTACGAGAGATACATCTATGCGTAGTCTTCCATTACAAGGACTATCCCGCATGCGACGTCGTATCAGGCGTGGCGGAGCCCCGGCACGTCGACTCGCTCGAATCAATTCTATCGCGCGAAGTCTTCGATGGCCTTCCTCAGGATTCTCATGGCGTCTCGCTTACGATCAACGAGGACGATGACCTCGAGAACCCAGTACTCGACGCGGCGTTGATTGCGATCCCTGCGCTCTTCGCGCCGTGGGACGCGCGCGGAATCCTCGAAGTATATATACCCCGCATGTACCGGTACAATCCAATCATCAATTTTCAGAAGACCCAAACATAGGGCATACCTCGATCGCGCCGGCTGTCCACGATGCGGATGTGTCCGGGCTCGCAGATGTACCGTAACGTGCACACGCCTGCATGGCGGTATCCAGCCACGAGGAGCGGATGGCAACGGGAGTCAACGGCACAGGGATTTGACGTATCCAGAGAGGGCAGTTATATTGCTACAGTTTCGCCTAGGGACCAGTCTACGTCTAACACACAATTGAGTCTGCCATGCCAGACTATCAACGATCTGCGTTGGAGAGCGGGCGGAAGCGATGGCTCACCAAATGCGCGAATCTAACTCTAGCATGTCGTCCACAATGCCTGGCTCATGGGCCAATAAGACCGTGCGTGCACAAAGAAAGAACATATATGAACACACCGAGATTCTAAGAGAAGAGTTCGCTCTAATAGCCGGAGGAACCGAATGGCATGCTCACGCACACCAGCCTATCACATAATGCACGTACTCCACCTCCTGCGCGGCACCGCTCCTCGAGCGCACCTCGCCGCTGGCTTCGCAGACAATGATGTCCTTCGACAGTATGATCAGGTCCCCATTCGGACCACCCTTCCCGGAAGAAGGGAACAGCTCCTCGACGGTACTCGACTCGAGCGTGTGTGTTGGCCGCAGCGGGATGATCAGGTGGAACGCAGGCGGTAGGCGGCCCGGCCTGCGGAGGAGCTTCTCCACGCAGTTCTTGATCCAGTGTGCATGCTCCGCCTCGTATATGATGTCCGCGCCGAAGATAAGGTCAAACGGCTCGTCGAACGGCGCGGCTGGAGCGTCTAGGGCGGGGAACTTCGCCCAGTCGAGAACGTGCGCGCTAACGGACGTTGAACCAGAAGACAATCCATGGAAGTTGGAGGCGATGTTGTCCCGTAGGTTTGCGAGGACAGACGGGTGGAAGTCCGTTGCGACTACCGAGCCGCCTGTACCGCCCTCCGCATCGAGCAGCTTGCCGAGTGCTACGCTGACCAGGCCCGTCCCCGCGCCTAACTCCAGTACACGCAGATTTGCTGTGGCGAGCGTAGCCCGAAAATGTCGGAGTCTTCGACGAGCATCTCAGCGAGGAGACACGCGCTCCCCCACGTCTGCGCGCCGACGCTAGAGTAGTCCTGGTTCTCGAGCGGCACGTCCGTCAGCTGGACCTCAATCGCACGTCGCCATTCTGAAAGCGAAAGGTCCGAGTTATCGTGCCAGCGGAGGCGGTGCCCGCACAGATCGCCAGCAGGGCAGATGCCTGCTGGAGGAGGGCCTCGAGGCTCGGGGTCCCTGCTGGTTCGTCCGCATCTTCGTCAGCAGATGCAAGGAGCTTGTAGACCTGCGAGACGAGCGCGGTGAGCCACCTGATCGCGTAGGCGCGTTCGAAGGCGTCCGAGCGGAGGGCCTCGAAGATGGGATCCGACGAAGGATGAGATCCGGACTTGAGAGACGCAGCGAATTCGGTGGGGTTATTCTGCGGGCGGTGACGATCGACGCGCCGGATGCCGCGGACGTCTGGATTGTAGATTAGTCGCAAGTAACGGACGGCCTTGGTGAGATCCTCAGCTGAATACGTTTGGATCTTGCCGATGGGTGGGAGGTAAGTTGAAGGTGCAGATAGGATGGTCATGCAGCTCCGAGTCTAGTATGGTATCTAGAATCTAGCTTGCAGTCTATATCTATGTTCCTGCCGACTGAGTGAGCTCGCCATCTCACGCGAAGTCTTCACAATGTGTAGAAGCTTACAACGAAGACTTGCGGTGTGGTTGCGGTTAGAAGTCAGAGACTGCCAGTGTTCTGTACCTATAAAGTTGAGCCTGAGAATGCAAACGACTGCAGAACAAATGTCACGCGTGACGAATCAGTAACAAACTCACTGTGACAGCTACTCACCATAATAATGACGTCAGACGTGGTTCAGCGACACCGTCATAAAGTGGGCTGAGTGGGGTCGTCCACCTGTATATAAAGCAGCTCGAAGCAGAGCAGCAGCAGCAATCACTTCTTCTCAACGACCATCACGACACTGTATTATCGCATTTTTTATTCTCAATATCACTATGGCCAACACGAGTGGAAACGGCGCAGGTGCCAACTTCGGTCAGAAGGTTAGGTGAGTGGGCAGAATGGCCTATAACAAAGGCATTTCCCTGAAAATAGAATTATAGAGGAGCTTGGAACGCTGTAGAGGGTAAGTCAAAGCAGTTGTGGATGTTGCAGGCGATTGACAGAGATCGCAGGCGCCGGCGACAAGCTAAGGGGCGGTGCCATGGACTTCGTCGACTCTGCCACGGGCACCGGTGGGCACCACGCAGAGACAGATGTGGGTGACGCAAAAATGCGGCAAGGTGTTGCGCAGACGAGGCAACCCGCTACCACTGGCACCGCTACCACCACAGCTGCCCCTGCCTCGACCACGGCGAACGCGCCCACTACGGCTGCCCCTGCCTCGACCCCGACGAACGCGTCCACTACAGCGGCCCCCGCCTCCGCCCAGACGAACGCGTCCACTACAGCGCCGGCTGTCGGTGCTCAGCCGTCCAACACTGCAGCGCCGGCCGTCGGTGCCCAACCGTCCACCGCCGCCACTACCAACGGAAATACGGGTGTTACAGGCACCACCAACTGAGCAGTTTGTACATTACCTGCCGCAGAAGTACGTGTTTAGTCCGACGTTTCCTCACTGTCGCACTGACCATGGCAGTAGACCACATACCCGACTTGAAGTTCGTGTACCTTGTAGACTGTAATCGACGAACAGCATGTAATCTCAGCCATATACATCATATGCATCTTGTGGTATGAAAGATGGGAAGCTCCAGCTTACCTCGATGAGAGCATTTCCCGAGCAAGTCGACAAGCGTGCGCAGACGTACGTGCCCTGCAGCTGAACTGTGCAGCGGAAGCACCCCCGAACTTGCCACTACGCCGAACGTTTGTGGTCATTCTTGGTAGGATTGGTTGGGACAATGAGCCTCGCTTGATTGTTTACGTTGCTGTGCTTCATTTTGATGGTTCAGCGCAGGTTCAGCGTGTGTCTGACCACGATGTAGGCATCGTGGTCTCGCCTAAGGAAGGGTGACCGCGCGACGGCCTCGCGTACGAATTCCGTACGCAACGCGTCCACGTGACGATAGGCCCGTTTTGTAGTTGAGCAGAACAACTTCTTGCTATAAGAACAAGCCCGAGCGTTTTCCACGGCCTGAAGAGCATCGTTCTGACAAGATCTTGTCTAGATCCGACTTGTTGCTGCTTCTGTCGGCATTCAGCACCCTCGGGATATGCGTGACAGGTACACACGTGGGGTCACAACAGTATCCGTGACGACCGGAAAAGGGAATTCTGTTGTAAAGGAAGATGCAATGCGCCAAGCGCGTGCATGACTCTCCCTGATTCATTTCAGCAGAGCGCGAACAGGCGCTTTGTTCGATCTTCCCTCCCGCAACGCCCATCCACGTACATACAGAGGTGAGAGCGATGCAAGCTTGAGCTGCCGAGGTCCGCTGGGCCCTCCCCTCCTCAAGCACAAGGTCGACTGCTTGTTGGTCTTCGCCATGGAATCTCAGGAAGAACGCCAACAGTTGGAGATTACAGCGCTCAAGGTACGCACCCGGGTAGAGGTTCGAACAATAATATTGGGAGGGCTGACGGGAACGGGCAGAGTATTTACGACAATGACTTTATCGACTGCCCCCCTCCAAAGGTTTGGAAGGTACGCCCGTTATGTTTTGTTTCCGTTCAGTACATCCGACTTCGAGTGCCCACGTTGAGGGAACCGGGCCACCCATTCGACCTGCCAAATAGCTCAGATTGTCACATTGCCTATCATTGGGCTTTGCCTTGATGCCCCTGTCTTGTGGGTGCTACATCTCGTTGTTCGCTGCGTTCCACCGCGATGCAGGACCTCACAGTCGACAAGGCGCCCTTGTATTGCTCGTTGTTCTGCCGGTGAACGCAGCTTTTAAATTCAGTCGTCATAGGTGCCGCTGAAGAGTTGCCGTCACGCCTGGAGTTAAGATCGTTGTTGAGAGTGTGCCTGATACCTATGCACCATCGTCGCGACATCTAATCTCTTATGTGCTCCTTCTTTCCATTCATGTTAGGGCAGTCTGCAGGCGACTCTTTAAGATGCGAATTGACCAGATGTAGAGCGCCGTCTGTCTGGGCCTGCCGCCTTATTTCCACATGTCGAGCGTCTTGTCGCTCCTCGAGCAGCGCACTACATTCTGGTCCTTGGCGTTGAGATATCGGATCTTCTCATTCCATCTGTTAGGATCTGTGTACTGGCATTCCTTTGATTCAAAGGCACTCAGAAGTCGGGTTACCTGTCTGTTGTTCCTTGAACTGATGCCTTAATGCAGGGAGCACCACGTTTGCCCGAGTTCATCATCAAGGTCTCTCACCCCGACCCCGAACACACTGACAAGATCTATTTCCATTTACACACCAAGTGAGTCTGGTCCCTTGCTTTGGGAAGTGCTTCTGTCGTCGCCATCTTGCTGGGGATCGCAACGTCTGTTTGAACAGACGACCATTGGGGTCCCGTGGGGTTAGGGTTTGCCTAGCTAGGTGCTCAGAAGGATCGCTCCGCCAATGGGATTCCTTCTGTCACTGACTGTTTTAACACAGGTTTCCCAAGACATACCCCACTATCGCATGTCCGACATTCACGATACAACAACCTATCCACGGTCTCAAGACCAATGACATAACGCAGCTCTCGAATACCATCCATGCGGAAGCGCAGAAACAGAAGGGCGAAGAGATGGTCTTCCAGATCGTCACCTTCGCACAGGAGTGGATCACGCACAATGTGAAGCCTCCTGTCGAGGTCGTCGGATCTCTAGCGACGGAGATGAACCGACGCGCCCACGAGGAAGAACTGGTACGTCATATTGCATTTGCGACTGGCGATTTCGACTGGTGGTGGCTGACGCTCGGTCGGCAGGCGAAGAGGCAGAAAGAGGAAGAACAGGCGGAGCAGGAGGAGGAGCGTAACCACCAGCTGGCTCTGGAACTTGAGGAGCAGATCCGTGTAGACGCGTATCGACAGCAGCTTGAACGGGAGCGGTTGCAGCAAGTGCGCAAGCGAGCGATGTCCGACGCAACGGAAGTTCCAACCACAGAAGATCTTACTCCGACCGAGTCGTTCACCCAGGAGATCGAGTGGCAGGGTGCGCGGTTCAGCAAGGTCAAGCTGTTCCATCCGAGGCAAGGTAAGTGCTACTTGAGTAAGTGACGAAGCCGTTTCTGACGAGTGAGTAAATCAGAGTGCTTAGGGACCATGTACCAAGCCGATCCTGTATGCGAGGATGACGACCAGAAGAAGACGCTGCCCCTCGAACTGCTCTCCATCACATTCCATGCACAGTACTACACCACAACGCAAGGTAAACTCGTTCAGCAAATAGCTGTAAGTTGCATGGCACTAAAACTGGTGCACAGGCAGGAAGAAGCTCAAGCAGCTCGAGAGCGAGATCCAGCGCCTCACGCTCATCCGCCACGCGAATGTTCTGACGACTCTAGCAGTGAAGCTGACTAGTCCCACTTCGAGCGGGTCTCCTCGACTGATCATCCTGACCGAGCAACGGCCGGCCGTGACGCTCAAAGACGTCCTCGAGGATTGCGACTGGCTCCGCGAAGACCGTGCATCTGTACGTAATACTGAGTACCATCTCGCAATCGCGCGACTGAATCTTTCGCCGTATACAGGACTACCTCCTACAGATACTTTCTGGTTTGCAAGCCATTCACGCCCGTGAACTTGTACATCGCGGGCTATGCATCAACCATATCGGGCTTGCACCGCGCGAAGAGGGAGGCAGACGAAGATCGTCAAAATTTCAAGGTGCGTACCACGTCCGCCTTCTCGATCTCACCGCTCCGACCCTTTGGGTTCAACATGGACCCTAAGGTGGACGAGACGCCCATACCGGAAGGATGGTAAGTTCAGGTGCAGTAATGCAACGTTAAGTGATTGACGAGGAGGGTAGGTGGCCCCCGAGGCGGTCGAGTCGCCACTGGTGTACACCAGTTCCGAGACATTCATGCGGTAGGGATCATACTCTCCAGATGTTGATGGGCAGCGATGTTGCGGAGCGTTTCCCCGACGTGCACACGGCACTGCGGAACTGTACGAAACTTCGTCTATGGGAGTGCTGGTCTGTTAATGACGTTGACTGCGGCAGCTTCGATCTCCCTCATCTGCAGCAGCAAGCGGTCGACATGCTGACACAGAGCAAGAAGCATCCGGTTTCCTCCGGCAGTCTGCTTGCTAACATGCAAGGCGCCCTGTCTCCCTGCCACAGTGCGAAGTGCAGCCATACCCATCCCAGGTACGCTGTCTATAGTTAGTAGTAACTGTGCAAGACGGTATTGTCAGGCACCGCGCGAACCCCGGTCCAAAGACGCCTATGTGGCATCCATTTGTGAATGGCTCTCCCGAGACTGATTACTTCAGGATGCCGCCTCCGAAAGCAAAGCACGCTAGCAGGTGGAAGGAGGACTGGGAAGAACTCGAGCTTCTGGTAGGAGCACAACGTTTATAGTGCTCAACGTGCATTCTGACCTGCTCTACTGCACACATAGGGTCGCGGCGCGTTTGGGTCCGTCGTCAAAGCCCGTAATAAGATCGACTCTCGTATCTACGCAGGTGTGTGATGACCACTGAACGTTGACGCTACTGTCTTTGTTCATGACGATCAACAGTGAAGAAGATCAGATTGCGTGCAACCCAGAGCGACAGCAAGATCTTCCGAGAGGTCAACGCCTTAAGCCGCTTGAACCACCGCTCTATCGTCCGCTACTACACGACCTGGGTGGAAACGTCGGAGCCAGACTCTACGGCAGTGTCGTCCGAGTCTGATCGAGAAACGGCAACAGACGGCGACACGTCGGTACCCGACTCGCGCTCGCGGGATCCGACCCTGACCCTTTCACCGTCGACCTCGATGACATAGGCTCCGGGAGTAGACACTCTTTCCCCAGCATCCACTTCACGCGTTCGGGCTCGGCGGACCCCGAGAAAGGGAGCGAGTCTGCGTCTAGCGGGGAGAGCGAAGAGGCATTCGACAGTCTCTTCAAAAGCAACGGGTCCTTTGCTGCGAACCCGGCACCGACTGTCTTCAGGACGCTATACATTCAGATGGTCAGTCATTTCTCTCGGGTCGACAAGACATAGTGACATGACTCTTTCTCGCAGGAGTATGTAGAGCGCCAAACTCTGAAGGAGGTGCGTGTTGCATCAAGCTGATTGACGGATGCGATCAGCTTATGACATAACTCAGCGCATTGCTGAAGGGCTTTCTGAGGAAGATGCCTGGCGGTTGTTTCAACAGATTGTTGACGCACTCGTGCACATGTCCAGCCTCGGCATCGTAAGTGGAACCATTCACCTACTGGCAACATGGCTTGCTCATATCATATTACGCGTAGCTACATCGAGATATTAAGTTAACCAACATCTTCATAGGTATGTGTCTGAGATGTTGCTGCATGAAATACGTCCTAATCTTCCCGTAGACGGCAAGGGAGATTGCAAAGGTATGGAATCTCCGCTGGTACGCCGGGGTTCACCATCACTGACATGTCTCAGTTGGCGACTTCGGTCTTGCAACTTCGAGTTTGGCCGCTGTTGATCCTTCTGATGTCACCGCTCCCAACGTTCAGGATGCGGATATGACGTTGGGTGAGTCCTATTTATACTACGTTGAATGGTACGGTGACGCTACATACAGATGTCGGAACGAGGCTTTACATTGCTCCGGAAGTACAATCTTCCAGGGGAGGACCTCGCGACCACACGAAAGCTGACATCTACAGCCTTGGAGTGCGTCATTCTTAGTCGAAACAGTCGTGCAACCGTTGACGGCATATCACAGGTTGTCTTCTTCGAGATGAACTACACGTTCTCGACTGGTGCGGAGCGTATCGCCGTCCTAGAGGATCTGCGGAAGCTCGGTATCTTCTTCCCTATCAGTTGGCAACCACACCGTGCGAGACAACGACGGAGTATGTAAATCGACCACGCTCCTTCACTCAGCGCTGACATCGTGCAGTCATCACTTGGCTATTGCAGCACAACCCGAATGATCGACCCACTGCGCTGGAACTGTCGCAGAGTTCATTGTTGCCTCCGCGTCTGGAAGACGAGTACTTCAAGGGTGCTTTGAAGATGATGAGTAAGTGTCTTGCTGAAATCGTACCTGACAATCTCCCTTACTGTATCGTTCAGCCAAACCGGATTCACCTCACTTGCAGGCTGTCCTTTCTTCGCTGTTCAATCAACCTGCAAAGCCCGTGCGGGGCTTTCTCTACGACACACAAGCCGGGCTTCTGGAACATGTGACGCTGAATGGCAAGGTTATTGATTGTCTCGTGGAGATATTCCGTCTTCACGGCGCTGTGAATATGGAGCCCCCCTTACTCATGCCAAACACGAATCCTGAAGAAGAGCGCAACCGCGCAGTCTTTTTGGACCGACATGGCGAAGTCGTCGCATTACCGAACAACGCTCTTTTGCCTTTTGCTAGGTTAGCGGCTCGAGAAGGAACCAAGCGAATCAAACGATTTTACATCGGCGATATCTACCGACCGAAGTGTGTGATTGTTGTGCGATCTGCTGCTTTACCACTGACCACATCATGCGCAGCGTTGTCTCCGGTCATCCCAGGGTAGCAAAGGCAGCAGTGTTCGATATCATCACCCCGGATCTGGTGGTCGGGCCCACTGCTGCCGCTGCTGAAGCGCTGTCAATCGTCAACGACTGCCTCAATAATTTTGCGAATCTGGCCCAATTGTATGAGATTCATATATCACATTCAAGAAGTAAGTGTCTTGCTAGACCATGTGAGCTATTTGCTAACCCTGATGTAGTCCTCGATGTCGCCTTGGACCGTGTGCCCAGCGATGTGCGCGATGCAGTCATGGACATACTCGACCAAACGAAGTCTTCTCAGTCTCAAAAGCGTTCCATGCTACTGCGCAAGGGCATCTCGAGGAATGTTGCGGACGAACTTGAGCTATTGTGCGATGTTGGTCAGTAGCGAACTTATATTACTCCCGGGCGCCCCGTTGACAATCAGTACAGACGAGGACATTGACAGCGTCGTATCACGCCTGGAGAAGGCAGCACCCGCACTACTACCTGTTCTCATTCCCTACATTCAGGATGTCAAGAGCACGATTGCCTTTGCGGCGGCTTCGGGAGTGACGCGACCCATCCTCTTCAATCCTTTGATGACGAGCAATCGCAACCCGTACTTCAAAGACGGAGTCTGCTTTGAAGTAGTAAGGCGCAACAAGAGGTCAGACATCTTGGCAGCAGGCGGACGGTGAGTAGTACATTCTCGTTCAGAACTCGAGAATTTACGATAGGGGCAGGTACGACAACCTCATATCTCGGCTTTCTCCACCCAAGCCCAAGTCCGAAATGACTTGCGCTGTCGCCGTTCAAATTGCTCTTGACAAGATTACCGCTGCACTGGCGGCTTTCCAAAGCGCGTCGGTCAAGACTCTTCTCAAGGAGCATCGCTCATTTGGCTACTGGAGCCCACGCCGTTGTGATGTGTACGTTGTCTCATACCAGCCTGGGTATCTCGCCGATCGCCTGGAAGTGGCAGCCATGCTCTGGCAGCACAACATCAGCACCGATGTCATCTATGACTCCAGCATCGCCGACGGCGATGGCGAGAATCATCTGGACGTTTGCTACCGCGAAGGCATTCTGTAAGTTTGAATAACTGTCTTGCGGACGCGTCAGTCATTGCTTCATCTCGGTAGTTTCGTTGTCTATCCGCGGCCCAGGACTGCGCGACGGGCTGACCAGCCATGGCTACCTTACAAAGTCAAGAGTGTCTTACGGGGCACCGAGTATGAAGGTAACACGAAATTATCTTCTTTCTTCCAAGACTAACCTTTTGGGTAGTGTCACGACACGAACTCGTACTGTTCTTGCAGCAGCAGCTCTTGGAACAAAAGAGGATTGATGCCTCCATCTCCGGTGTCCCCGCTGTTGCTGAGAGTTCACCCTTGGCCAGTGGACCGAAGGAGCCTGTCAGCCGGTCCGATGTACAACTCATACTGCCCAGCGACACCAAGAAGCGCGCCAAATACACCAAGCAGATGTTCCTGGATAGAAGTGAGCTGCGATACCTCTGCACCGGATGAGAGCAGGGCTGACCATGACTTGTGCGTTAGCGTTCGAAGCCGCGCTTGAGGTGAAGCAGGCAGCCGCATCGGGCATGCCCACCATCGCGGTCGACCTGCCGGCCTCGGTGTTCGACGAGCTGTCGAAGAATGCGAGCTGGGTAACGGACGAAGAAGCGTGGAAGGCGATAGCGGTGACGCTTCCCGCGCAGTACGGGGCCTATGCGCACCAAATTCGAGACGCTGTCTCGAGGAAGAAGGCGGACGGCCAGAAGTATATCCTGTTGTTTGCAGTTAAGGACGAGCGGATCTCATTGCTTACTCTCTGATAGGGGACGATATGTATGTATGCTAATCTTAATATGCTATGTTTAATATCTCGACGGCGGCTCTGAGTCAGATGCTGAGACAGCGTGATAGAAGTTGAAGTGTGGCGCCAAACGGCTCGAAGTCGCTTTGGACGAGACAGCTTACAAGTGCTGGCTAGGCCGGGGAGCAATGCGCGCTGTGAGTGATCTGGCGTACAATGTGAACCGCAGGGCAGTACGAAAGGCTCGACAATGTGACCGGGAAACAACATGTGAGGGGTGCTGCCGGATGACGGTGTCTCGAGACAGCGTGTAGACCATGCTTCCAGAGAACGAAGACGAGACAAGCTTTACGAGAGGAGGAGTGGCATGAGAGGCTCGTCGCGCTGAGCAGACGATCCCCATCCGAGTCATGCCACTCACAAGGCATGTAAGCTGTTTAGCAGGCATCGTTATGAGTGTGCGACTGTTGACTAGCATTGTGTCCACTGACCGGAAGGGAATGTTGTGGGGGTCATAGGTGAGACCATCCAAGTGGTATTTATCAACGCTGCGGGACGATCTCAATTGTATAAGACGGGTAAGGAATGAATGGAGCACGTACACTATGTCGGCAGACTCCACGAAGACGTCCAGCGGTGCCTTACGGGAGATAGCCAACTGAAAACTCTTGATGTAGCCTGCGTTCAACCAGCAATGCGATATCTTCGGGCTCTTGCCTTTCCCGCGGGCCTACGAAGCGATTATCGGACATTGTACGCGTTAGGCCGAGTTGTTGACTCACGGGTATAACAAAACGTCCATGTCTGTCGCCATTGACACCGCTGAACGTATGCCTAACGGTTGCCACGTGCGAACCTCTGATGCTAACTTGCAGCTGCATGCTCTTGAGCTCAAGGGTAGTATCGAACGGATTGTCTGCACAATGTCAGCGCAATGATCCCAGTTTGTTATGAAACACGCCTACCCATTGTGAATTCAAAGGACAGTCCTCGCGTAATGAGAACCTTGGGTGAGATATGAACGTCGACCGAGGTAACGATGCCGATTCCGAAGCCTTCTATCTGGGTATCGATAGAGAAGGGTGGGAGGTTGACGAGGCTCCCGCAGACGGTCGTGCTGATTGTGTCAACGACGAGTTTGACGGGCAATGACAGCTGTGTCATGACCCATCGATCCATGAAGCTGCGCAGTTCGTCATTTGCCGGGCTCATGGGGCGGGATTTCCACCGCACTCCTCGATAAGTATCAACGTTAGGGCCGATAGTGAAGGCCTATTGAACCTTATGAGCATACTCAATAGCGACAGGGGCCCTTATATCGTACCTGAAGGGTTGCTATGCCTAGCTACAGTCCGATAATATGAACAAGTCGACAACTGCGGTCATGAAATGCATATGCCATAGCATACTTTAGTATTCCCGTAGTAGATGCTGATGACAGCATCCCCCGAGAACGTGAGCAGACATCCCATATTCATGATATGGACATCTATGGCGGCGTTGATGTAGGGTTCATGTGTGCGCGAGTCGCTGGCGCTGCCTAGCATCCTCAAGTTCTTCAGAGTGATGCATTCCCGAAAGGAGTGCAGTCCTAGAATGCAAGTACGTTCAGCTCGGAGAATGATGGGTCATAGCACATACCTTTGAACCTGACTTCCTTTACCCATCCGTGACAGAACACGTAGTCTCTGTCCTGGGCCGATCCCTGCTCGGAAGGATTGGAATGATACAGCTTGTACTTCTTGATTCGCAGACGCGCTTGTACATCGCAATCGATCAGTACAGCAGCGGCAAATGCTTGGAATCTGTTGGTATGATTTGTCGCTGTGTCTTCCACAACGGCAGAGGTTACGTGTGCTCACTGGGTGTTATCCTTCGGATGAAAGTGCATGCGGATGCGCTCCGTCTCTGTAACAAACATCCCGTTTCCGGGCACCGTCATCTCTGCGACCTCTTCACCACGATATAGCAACGAAAGAGGCTCCTGGAAGTGCAAAATCATGCCAGGACTCGAAAGGCCTTTCCATGCACACTCCACGTCTAGGTACCTCGGATCAGAGCTAGTAGTTCATGTTATGTTGACTGCGAGATACGGAGCGCGGCACACGTGAAGACATACGTTTGATCCACAGAGACCAGAGTCAAGGTGGATTTGTCGTTCCCGGGCGTTTCGACAGGCGACGTCCTGCGAGCCGCAGGCGGATATGGACTTATCTGAGATGGAGCACATGTAAGGCGTGGTGAAGTAGGGTGAGCGTATTGTAAGAATACTCGCCTGCCACATGTTGCGTCTGTCCTTTGCAAATCGAACAAGTGAGATCTGTGTTTGTTGTGGTCCATTAAGTACTTGGTGGCATATGATATCCGAGAAACTTCGTCGTACAGGCGCTCCGTTTCGACAATCGTCGATTGTCCAGACGAGGTTGGAAAACCCCTCCGCATATATGCTATGAATCCAGAAGTGTCAGCGTCAACGAAGCGCACGTAATGTCGCCGCACTCCTACTGACTTGTAAACATCTGATCCGTAATCTTCACACTCCTTGATTGTCCAGGCCATCGAAATATCGTCCCGAACACCGTAAACGAGAGCAGCTTCAGCCGCATTCGTCTGCGTCATAACGTGTAGTTGATGTTCCTCGTTCCGTATGGAGTAACGGTCCCCGGGATATCTTGTGAACCTCCACTGAAATTAGAGCGAGTGTCTATCAGTCTTTGCCGCTTATATGAAGGTCACTGTTCGATTGAGCTGACCTTTTGTCCGACGCATTCCGGATGGGGGAGCTTGCAGCTGACGATCTCTTCGTCGTCTCCCTTGGTGAGGCTCGCGCGGTTGGAGTATAACACATTGGTGATTGTGTACGTGCCGGAAGGCAACCCGGAGCTCATATCACTCAGGTATCGTGGTGAATGGGTGCAGAATAGACGGAATAAAACGCAAGCACGTAGCAACGTCAGTCACTCTTGTACGAAAGTCCTATGGGGTTAATATAGGGAGTCCCAAACTTCCGACGAAGCACGCAGATTACCAGTCCTGACACGTAATACATCACTGTATGCAGGTAATTTATTCAGCATGAAGTATCCTCACGAGCTCCATGAGGGTGGTGTCCACGTACCACCCTTGCAGGGAATGAGTGGTGATGGTTGCATAGAGTCGCTCTGGTTCGCGTATTCCGGAACCAATTCCATGTAGATCACATCCTCAGTGGCATGGAATGATGATTTTCATCGTGCGGTATACCGTCCGGATACTGGACATTCGGTTATGAGCTGCTCGTATGACCTACTCATGTTTGCTAAACGGCGAGTCGATACCTGGACTGTCAGTCCTTGGTTGTCTCTAACAAAGACGCCCGGCCCGAAAGACATGGATTACTCAGGCTTGCATGAGCATCACAGTACTCAAAGTCTGCAAGGGGAAGCAACGTATCACTGAGCACGACTTCAAGCCAAAGGTTAGCGAGCTATGACGTTCGCAGTAGGTACGTACCAGCACCAATTCTATCAGTGTCCACAGATTGATTGGTGGTCCGCACCTGCGGAACTGGCAACAGGCCCCGTCGATAGCTCTCTCTGCACGGTAGAATCCGTGATGCTGTTACCATGCAGTGCAGACTCGGAAGCCCGAAAAAACCTGGATGTGTGTCAGCGACCAGACTCGAAGCTCGTATTGTGTCCCAACCTTATGCCATGCGTCCTGAGCTTAGATCTCGTTACCCAGAGTTCCAATCCCCCGATCCTTAGCGGGTACTTCGGGGTCGATTTGTCGACTCAGGACTGCCAGACCCAGCCCAAAGGCGCAACACTCCACCCAAAATCATGATAGAACGTGTCCGTCTTCGCTTTTACTGAATCGACCTGTTGTTGTCTGAGTAAAGATTGGAAGTCACTATACGGCACCTTTAGAGCAGAAACAGAACGATACATACTAGTCGCATCAATATTCATTTGAGCTCGGACCAAGCTCGGACTGGGAGGTCGAAGCATGGTGCTGGTTTGCGACTCGCGCGGAGTCAGATATTCGTCCCTCGTTGGGACCTTACTGTGGCATGCGTTCTGTAGGGTCATGGAATGTCTTGCAGTCGACAAACAAGACAATATTGGGTTCATCCCAGTTAAGTTAGCCGGCGCCGTTGCCAGCGAACTCGTCCGACTTGGAAGAGGTTGGGTTTCGCGGGTTGGCTGTTTCCAGGACCCCCGACTACCTCCATTCTACATCACGAATGTGGCCACAAGGCCCCCAAACACCGCCGGCGTCCGATCTTCATGCGGGACTGGCGGCACTGGCCGAAGCCGACTCGTTGGCACACTTTGCCTCGTACCGCACACGGTCGCATCCCTCCACCGCACTATGTTATGTACACATGGTCACAGCGTGCTCATAAATGAGCCCTGCTTCTGTGTCCTCGATTCCATTGCTAGGCATCATGAAGTGTCGTTCAAGAATAGTCGCCGCTGTGATGAGGAGTGAAGCAAGAGGTTATGAGGTACTCAATTTTCGACGTGTTTACGGACCTGGCGCTGGCGCCGCGAGCATATCAAAATTTCAGATTTGAAGCAGCCTGCTTGGTGAGTCGGTGCCTTGTCTTTGCTCAGTGATGATTCTAAATTGCATTCGTTGTTCGGTTTCAAGTTGAGTTTGGGGTCTATGCAGCATCTGAGCCTGAGTAGCTGGGGTGGTCACAGCAAGACCAATGAGGATCGCCGCAAATCGTACCGTATGTCACCTATACAATTTGCTGCTTTGTGAAGTCAACAATGGCTCAGTATTAATGGAGATTTTTGACCCGTCGACTCGGAGCCACTAACCCGCGATGCATGGAACACGGCAGTTTCCACTTCCTTCCGTTCGGTCTCGATGCAGATGTCACTGCGGAAAATAAGACAGCTATTTTGGAATTGGGACACCTGCGCGCCACCCTGATGATGGGAAATGGAGGTTCATTCGACAACGGCAGGGAACGGCTGGAGCCTGACAACCAAATTCATGGCCGATGGCCTCGAAGTAAGCTACTAGACTCGAGGCAAGTATCGGCCTAGTATCGTGTGACCTGTGGAGCAATACGAAGTGCAATGTGGACCCGGATTCGGACACACGGGCACCTGTGCGCAGTCATTGTATGCATAGTCGCGCTCAAGTCGCGCTGACTCGGTGTTTTATGCGAATAGGCCTACAAACTTCCAAAAGAACACATCATGTCCCCCAGGCTGGTTATAAAAGCTTGACGGTCTGCCACATTCCTCAGCAAATCCGACCACCACCGCCACCACCCGACGCGCGATGTCTCTCAGCACGGGCACATATGTCATCAAGAACGTCCTCAGCGGGAATTCGCTCGCTCTGCTGGATCCCAACGACGGAACCTCGGTCGTCGGCTCCGCCGAGCAAGTCGGACGCGTCATGCATGTGAGTACCATCTCAACTTGTCCTCCGTGGATCCCGACGTACTCACCACGCATGCTCAGTGGAACGTAGTCAGGCTCGGGAACGGCAAGTACACTGTCGAGAACGTAGAGCAGGCCTCGTATGCGAACGCCGGCCCTCGTTCCCCTGCGGGTGGATACGTCGTCGGCAGGGGCACCTCGCAGCAGCTCGCGATTCAGGAGACGAGAAGGAAGGACGTGTACACGTGCGCATCCGTCCTTGTGATACTGCGCTGCGGCTAACTTATGTCTGACTGCGTTTGGTCGCTCAGTATCTCTCCAGCCGACCGCACGCTGTACTTTTGGGGCCTTGAGGACGGCGACGAGGAGACGCCGGTATGTGAGGAACCGCCGACGATGGAAGACTTTCTGATGAGTGTGCTTTTGCTAGGTCACGCTCGGTACGACGGCTACGGACAGCCACAACCACTGGCAGTTCGAACACGTCAAGTACTAGGCAGATCACGCAGTACTCTGTGTTGCAAGCTCGCGCGAAACTTCCTCCGTGTGAACGTGTACAATAGATAGACTGCCTCCCGGTTGTGCTTGTACGAAGTCTGCACGTGTCTGGAAGCCGGTGCTTTGCAAGTGCAGAGCATGGTCTTCAAGTCCCTAGTCACAAACACTCGTCTCAAGACAGCATGATCTCGTAATTCTGAGGCCCACGATTATCTCATATTCGTTCGATATCAGGGAAGTACAGCCGGTCCACCGCTCGGGACTCCCGTTCCCGGCCCCGAACTCGTCGCATCCGCAGCGGGGAGCGGCTCGTCCTCCCTAGGTAGCGTCCCCGGGCGCCTCCGGGCGGGCCATACTTCGTCTCGAACTCGCGGTCATTCCTCCCGCCATCCTGACTGACCCCGCGGCTCGTCTCGTAGGCGTCCTGCGAGGGGTGCGCGCTCTCAAATCGTCCCTGCGGAAGCGCACCGACCTGAGCGGTGGTTGGCTGGGCACCACCTGCGCCTGCGACGCCGGAAGGGAGGTAGGTCGAGGTGGTCACTGCGCTGGAGCCGAGCGTGGCTGGGTTCGAGTCGCTGTCGCTGTCGCTGCCTGGGGCCCCTCCGCCGGTGCCGGAGCTCATCTGCTGCACGCCTCGTTGGGCTTCCTCTCTGTTTGCTGTCGTCATACGTTCGGACGCGAGTCGTTAGGTACGTGGAAGTCGGAAGGGAAAACCGGCAGGTCTGACAGTCGAGTATCGACTCACCCTTGGCGACGTGACCAGCCCCTCTGTCGCCGGGATATCAGCACTAGTCAATGCTAGTGAAAGGATATGAGCACGCACTTGACCTTCTCCGCCACACCTCCACTGCCGTGACTTGCGTTGGTTGACATCATGGTGCTCGAACTTCGCCCAACAGTACTGCCAGATATCTGTTGCTTCAGGCTGCACGTGGATAATCAAGAGGAAGACTGCACGACAACTGCGACTTGCAGCCGCGGTACCAAGTGGCTACTTACTGGCGTGGTCATTGTGACGCAGACACCTGACCTTAGGCTATGGTTCCAGTCGGAGTCCTGATTACCACGGCTAACTTAGGTTGTCGTGAGAAGCCTGATCAACCAAAAACGAGTTATATAGCATATTCAGAGATGCTACATGTTTTGAAATTGATACTGATCGGTGTAAGTCCTGGTCAGTCGAAGGTGGAAAGTATACTGGCATACTCAGAGTCAGACTTTGCTCAGACTGGTGCCACAGGCGGAGCCCGAGTGCTGTGCATGTCATATACATACATTCAAAATAAACCTTTATTAATGGCCGACTAGCTCAGTTGGTTAGAGCGTGGTGCTAATATGGCTTACGTAAAACCCAATTATGTAATGCTTACGTAACGCCAAGGTCGTCGGTTCGATCCCGGCGTTGGCCACCCATTTTGCTTCCCGTTACTATCATGTTCTCCCAGTCCTATCCCACTCTTCCGTCCACCACTTCCACCTACTTCACACCCTCCACGAGTCTGACTGGTCTCTACGATGCCCCGCTGGGCAGTATCAGCCAATTCTCGCAATCTGTGGCCACATCGGAGGCAGGATCGCCGGATATGTTCAAGCAGAATGTCCAGCTCGCGCTGAGCCAGGTGTCGCGCGTACAGGCGTTGGCGAGGAGCGTATTGTTGGCAACGTGAGTGTGTCAGTTACCTTGTCTTTTGCATGCTGACGTATCGCTGCTGGCCCTCTGTTGCACATAGTCAGCATGCGTATCAAGCGGGCAACAATCCCATCCAGACCGCAGGTGCGTCTGGACGCTTTCACTATACACTTCTTCATGACATCTTCCACGCGTTTCATATACGTAGCGGACATGGCCACGCTTCAACAAGGGCTTCAGCTTCTCGCCGAAGTCCTTCGTCACTCGGGCGTCGGCGCGCTGCCCCTGCGCCCGCGGGACCCTTTGCACGTGCAGCAGCCCGAGGTGGAGGAGGAGCAGTTGATCGCGGAGATGACGGTTGCGGTACAGGCGTTGTTCGAGAAGAGGAAGAGGCTGGAGGAGAGCGCGGGCGTTGTGGCGAGTTTGCTGGGTGCCACGGAGAAGGAAGGGAGGAGATGATGGTGAGTCCTAGGTCGCTGGAAGACTCGGATCTGACGTTCATCTACGTGTGCGATGTTGCAGGTGTTTCTCATTGTAGACTTGTTCGTGACGCGTCCCAGTCTCAAGTGCCCCTGGATTTCATGACGAGATCTGTATGAATACCTCAAACCTGAAAGTTGTCGACAAGTGCACAGTATATGTAACAATAGCAGTATTCAGCGCCTTGTACGGCAAGCGGGTGCTCTGGAACTGTGTCTCTTTCTCCAGTCTGCAACGGTCAAACGGTGCACTTTCGCGATAGTCACGGTGAATCTGCTGCTTTCCTCTCACCAGTAAGTCGCGAGCTTTGTGAGCTCTACTATCTTCTGAACTGGTTGTCCTCTTCCTGCCGAAAATTCAAGTTTTCATACACACTGGATATGCTTCAAAAAGATTCGGTGTCTACAACGACTGTGATATGCTGACTATCATCGTGGCATAACCCTAACCTTGCCATGGGTCTCCCTGCGCAGACGGACCGCAATCCCCGTCAAGCTGGTCACCAGGTTGGAGTCAATACCAGCCCAGCTCCATCTAGTAGCCACTCGGCCCGCGCACATCATGCTCTCCTGCAACCTCTAGACTGACACTGTCGTCGCTACAGATACCTCCCAGCAATCAAATACTCAATACCAGCAACCGCCTGCAGGGCCAGCACCATGGCACACCTCGACCCCCTCACCGCGCTCACGACCGACCTCGCGCGCGCGGCGCTCATACCTGACGTCCTCCCGTCCTCTTTTCACCCCTCTGTCCTCCTCACGATCACCTACCCGAACAGCCAGGAGGCCCTCCCCGGGAACACCCTCACAGTCGACGCAGCGAGCGAGGAGCCCGAGATCGTGTTCATGCCGATGAGCCTTGGCCCGGAGCAGGCAGACGTCATCGCACCCGCACCCGCAGGGGGGCTTGGCTCGGACGCGCCGATGGCGGAGGTCGCGTACACGCTTGCGATGGTCGACCCAGACGCGCCGAGCAGGGTGGACCCGCAGTTCAGGTGCTTCAGGCATTGGTTGGTGCGTTCGATGCCCCATGGTGTAGCCAATGAGCGACTGATCGTGCGCAGATCACTGGCTTGAAAGCGCCCCCACGGACAGCGAGCCGCACAGCGAGTCCGTACGCGCTCAAGACCGAGCCCGCGACGACGCCGTACCGGCCACCAGGACCGCGTCCGGCCAGCGGCATCCACCGATACAGTGAGCAGATAGAACATGACCCGCTTCAGACGATGTTGCTGAACGCCGAGCACAGCGTTCCTGCTCTGGCAGGAGCCCTCCACCGCGCAGACGCTGCGCCTACCTGCCGGTGCGCCAGAGTATGGCGCGGCTCTAGAGGAGAGACGGAGCTGGGACCCCGTCGTGTTCGCGGAGAAGTATGGGCTGAAGCTTGTGGGCGCGACGTACTTCTTGGTGGAGGCGCCGCCGACTGAGGAGGCTTGATCATTGCGAGAGGTGTGTGGATGAAGCGTGTAGCATCGCAGTAAGGATAACAATGGTCCGTAGTCGACACCATGTTATTTCTTCGTAACAGCTGAACATGCAGCTTCAGTGTTGTCGCCAGGTCGTGGGGCACCAGGTCTCCCTACGTCCCGCGCCCGGACTGTTGGTGCCTGCATCGTTTACAAGCCTGAACTCCGCCCCCGACTCCCATAGAATGATGCATAGCGAGGATTGTTTCGAAAGCTGACTAGCCTAGGTGTATCGCTTTGACAGGGTTGAGTATCGCAGCTGTCATGATCAGCCAGCGCGTGGTAGAGGGAAAGCGGGCTTGCTGTGGAGCCAAAGCGAGTATTAGTAGGCTATGCAGTGTCTGCGCCGCCTTTGCAATATTGGGTCTCGAAGTTCTTCATAGTCTCCGTTGCTGACCAAAAAGAGATACTCTCGGTTTTGAGTTCTTCACGGTCCGTCATAAGACGTGGGAGCACTCCCTCTTCACACAGGCACGTGACCGCGTGTCTCCTTCATGTCTTCCTGCCGGACAGTTCATGACGTCGCGGCCGACGTCGGGACGGGCGCATCGCGTTTGCCTTACACGTTCACTGCGTCATGGAACGTAGATTTCTGGCACTTCGCGCCACACCGACAGTATATAAACCCCCCACCCCGCCTGCGAAGCCGCCACAGCACTTAACCTCGTTCCACTACACGCGACGACGATGGCCACAGCTTCGCAAACAACTTACAAGCCCAACGAGGCCTTCGCGGCGTCGAAGGTGTTCTCGCTCGACGGATTCAAAGCCGTCGTGACCGGCGGCGGGACGGGCATTGGGCTCATGATCACCCAGGCGCTCGTCGCGAACGGCGCGAAGGTCTACATCACTGGGCGGAGGCAGGACGCACTCGACAATGTCGTGCAGCGGTACGGACCCAACGGCGAGATCATCGGGTGCGTTGTGAATTGTCAACGCGTCTGTACAGCGTAATGACTGACGCGGAGAGAACAGACTGTCTGCCGACATCACCAAGCGCGACGATGTGCTGCGCCTCGCGAAGAAAATCCAGGAGCTGGAGTCGGACGGAATACAGCTGCTCGTGAACAACGCGGGCGTCGCAAAGGAGAAGTCGACTACTGCATACTCCAAGCAGGGCGAACCGGACATGCGTGATGCGAACGCGATTGCGGAGCACCTCCTGCAGTCGACGCACGAGTCCTGGGCAGGTCTGTTTCTGGAATCGTTCAATTGCTAGCTTGAAGGCTGACGCGAGCGGATGACACAGAGACGTTCGAGACGAACGTGACGGCGCAATTCTTCGTAGCAGCGGCGTTCATCCCACTGCTCTCGAAAGGGACCGCAAACACGCACGGATATTCGTCTAGCATCGTCAACATCGCCTCCATCAGCGGCATGATGCGCACGAGCTCCTCCGGCCAGTTCGCGTACGCTGCCTCGAAGGCTGGTACGTGCATTTTCAGCCCTTCCCTATACTCGCGCTGATCGTGCGTCCGCGTCCACAGCGATGCTTCACTTATCGAAGATTCTGGGCACGACCCTCGCGCAGGCGAAGATCCGTGTGAACACCATCTGCCCTGGGATATTCCCGTCCGAGATGACGGCGGACAGTTCTGACGAGGCGAACAAGTCGCGCCTGCAGGATGTCGGCAAGTCGCTGCCTGCGGGCAGGACAGGCGATGACGGCGACATGGCGGCGGCGATCTTGTACTTGGTCGGCCCAAACTCGAACTTCTTGAACGGCCAGGTGTTACATCCCGATGGAGGTGCGTACTTTGGACGGAACATCACGTCTACGTTTGCGTGTGCCGGCGATGGATCGACTGACGCTTCTTGTAGGCGCGGTACTCACGAGCCCCGCGAATTGAAGTTGCCAGCGAATTACCGTTGAAGAGCAAGTCCAAAAGTAAGAACGCCCACATGTAGCACGAGCCTCTTTGTATCCATAGTTATAGCCTCCAACTGTGGAGTGACCGAGTTGTTCATAGGGAATATTTAAGTCCTGCAGTGAGATTGAGGTCAATATTGTTTCCAGGTTTGATGTCAACATGATGGTCTTCACCCACACACTTTCCTGATGGAAGCGGCGAGTGTGTAGTACTACGCAGATCGACGTCACAGACCGCTGATGTCGTCATTGGTTTGCGGTCACTTGCCTTTACGAGCGATTTTATGTCGAATTAGGCAACTCGTGCGTACCGTAGTTCAAGACCTGTCAGACTCTGCAAGAGTATATAAGGGTTCAGCTCGTATGTTGAACTGGGCATTGCTCTTTACTCTTAACGACCACCTTCCTGAGCCCACGGGCAGGCTATCGTGCGACTCGAGCGACACAATAGTCGGTCTTTGTTCAGCTTGTTCCAGGAAGGCTTGGCTCCTTCAGCTCTCAGATCTCAGCTCTTGAGTGACAACGATCAATAAGCAGATGTCGTCGACGACGAACAAGCAAATCGAGACTCACGCTGAATGAGATTATGATTTGAAGGTGAGCTGAAGCTCGCCGTTGTACTCGACTGTACCTCAGTACTGTAGTTCCCTGTGTGAGGTGACATACGACGTACTCGTATTGCGAAGAAGCCACAGTCGTTGTTCAGCCTAATGTAAGTCCACTATGGCTAGCACTTCGGTCGATATTTTGAATCGTCACTGATGGATTGTCTGGATGCAGGCGCTGACCGAGACGCGATCACATGCAGACAACGCGTTACCGCGTTATTTGTTGCTGTTGTCGTATAAGTTGAACCTCGAACAAGGCAAGTATGCGGTGCGCCCACTGAGCCAAACACCTCTTGTTTGGCATGTTGAAGTCGGTCTCCGGACTCTGCGTCTCTCTTACCCTTGCCGACGCGTCCGAAGTACAGCGTACACAGAACCTTCCCAGTTCTCGTATTCTCCGGTCGTTCGCGGGGTACGGTGGAGGAGACCGGTTGGCAAAGCGACCTTGTGCAATTCGCAAGGTATGTATTCATCTGTCTGTGTTCTTGTCGTCACGCTCATGCTGCACCTGCAGTGGCAAGTAGCCCTCCTAACAACAACAGAAAGAAGAGGAACATCAAGTAACGAAGTTCGACCACTCGAACGAAGACGATTAGGACCGCACGACACGTTCAGCAAGCCTAGATCGACACCATCTCACGTTTCATAACGACTGCACATATTCTTGCTCCCGACTCATCTATCACGACTCGACGCGCCCTTCGCGCGTCTTCTCTTTTTCTGTTTGACTTATCTTCAACAAAATCCGTGTTTTATTAACGACGTTTCACGTTTCTGTACTCAACGCAAGACCGTTCACGACGACTCACAAGAACAAGCAAAAGCAAGATGCGTAACACGTTGCCCCTCTTGTCTCGTGCACCGGCCCCTTCCTCTTCGTCGTCTGCTGTACACCCTAGACCTTCGACCGACACGCCTCCCCAAGCCGTTCCCACCATTCGACTGATCTCTGCGACCCCGTCCGCGACGGGCTCGGCCGCCGACGCCAGCGGCAGCACCTCACTGTCATCTATCGCACCCTTCGCGACGTCGTCCCCTCTTGCCCCACGCCCTACGTCCGAGACCCCACGCAAGCGGCTCGTGCCGAAGAAGTCCAAACTAGGGCTGCTTGCGGGAGTTGCTGGCTCCAAGTCCAAATCCAAGGCCAGCAAGGATTTCTCTGATGTAGTGCGCCGCGTGGGTGGTGACCAAGGGCCGGCTTCGAGCGGACGCGGCGGCTTCGAGATCTACGTCGATCATGCCGAGGACGAGGAGCTTGGTGAGATCCTGGTGGTGAAGAAGAAGAAGAGCCGGATGGGCCTGGACAGCCTCCGCTGGGGAGGCGCGCTCGGTGATGCGACGAATGTCGCTTCCGGTGCGCACAAGGAAGGAAAGACGGGGGAGACATTGGTACCCGTAAAGGTGGAGGAGAACCAGAAGTGGTGGAGTATTGGGCGCGGGCGGAAAGACTCCAAGGGCAAGGAGAAGGAGAAAGACAAGGAGAATGTCGGGTCGAGCATGCGCGCGAAGCTGGCTCCTCGGTCAAAGAGTGAGTGCTCCGGTACTTACGGTTGGTGCTCTCAGACTAATGCTTTTGTTGCAGCCCCGGAGCCAGTCAAATCGCTTGACATTGACTGCCAGTCTCAGTCGCGCGCGCGATTCAACTCGCTCGACTCGGGCATCATGCTCTCCAAATTCTCGTCCCCCGCGCCGGAGCAGCCCGCGCAAACCGTCTATGTAAGGCCCCCTCGGGAGAGCACCACGACGTCGGCATCCCAGGCACCGAAGGGCTGCAACGGCCTGCTCGCCCCCGAGCCGAATCCCGCTACAGGCTCGATCGCCGTACGCGCAATCAAGTCGATGCGCTCTCTCGCTCGGATGGCTAGCTGGGCACAGCTGACGAACAATGGCGAGCAGGAGAACGTGGAGCCCGGCACCAAGGCGGCTGCCCCGAAGAAGACGAAGGAGAAGAGCGATGCGGGCAAGAAGAAGAAGAAGGAGAAGAAGAAGGACGAGGAGAAGAAGAAAGAGGAGAAGGGGACGATGAAGCGGAGGGAGAAGGAGGAGACGAAGCAGTCGACTCTGCGCTACTCGAGCAGCAGCTTCGAGGCAGGCGCCCTCAGCACGCAGGCGAGTCCATTACCGCCGTTGCGCGAAGGTGCGAAGACCCTTGGTCGCAAGAAGCAATCCACGCTTGGACTGGGCCTGCCATCTACAATGCGCCTAACGACTGCCACTGCTACTGATACCATGCGCAAGGTCTCGAACACATCTTCGACGGGTTCTGCAGAGGTTGGACAACCCCAAGCACCCTCGAGGCTTTCGGTAGACTCAGCGCACCTCATCATGAACGCACAGGGCCGGCCAACATCTATCATATCCAGCGGCTCGTCGCTCCGACCGCCGTCTACGGCAAGCGTGATTAGCGAGCGTAGCAAGAGCTCGTCATCAAGCAGCGTTGCGAGCGTGCGTTGGGATGATGAAGGCATCCGAAGTTCGCGGGAGCTCCAGCGACTTGAGAGGAAGAGTAGAGACAGCGCACGGCCCCGCGAGAGCAGGCGTACCAGCGACGGAAGGCGGCGTGTGGCCATCGTGGACATTTTCCCGGAGACCCAGGGTCAGATGAGCAGGCCGGTGTCGACATCTTCAGCGGGTTCCGCCCAGGGTGGTGGACAGGCGAGCGTGTTTGAGAGGCCGGTCGTCAACGTGGAGTCGGCGACATCTGATGGCCATTCGGACGGCGCAGACAGCGTAGCATCTGAGACGCCAGCTAAGAGGGCGCGCCCGAGACCAGTGTCCGAGCAGATGCTAGGTAGACCAAGGCCCCAGCCGATAGTCGAGGATCCTGAGGGTGAGTGTACTTAGCTCCTATTGCGTGCAAGCACTGACTGCGATCATGACTACTAGGCATGCTTTCCATGCTGGATGCTGCGACAAACGATCTTGCGTCGCTCATAAACCGCCTTGACTTAGAGGCTACGCCGGGGAGTACGAACGGAGGTTCACCGCTTCATTTGTCGCCTGGTCAGCGTCCCTTTCATGAGAGCCCAATCAAGCGGCGTCATGCTAATGGAGGCAGCCCTCTCAAGTCGGATCTCAGAGGCAAGACGGAGTCAATGCAGTCTCTCCGTCCGTACGCACAGATGCTGGCCGCACCGTCGGCGAACAAGGACTTCCCGAGCTCGGTCCCTCCTACAGCGCAGCAGGCCACAGACATGAGAAGATTCTTGGGGCAGCAAATCGCTCCTTGGTCTGAGCTCGATTGGCAAGTTTCGCCGAAGAAGCCTGTGGGCACATTTGTGCCGCGTCCTACCCACAAGCGCACAAATACGCCGACACCAGCGCTCGATGCACCCTTCGTCTTCCAACCGCTCAAGCCGGCGAAGAACAGGGTTACGCCTGCGGTGTCTGCCTCTCCGGCTCCGAGTGTCGCCACGCCGATCGCTACGGCGGATGGTGTAGCGCCGTCGTCGAGCACGTTCGGCTCGAGGCCGTCCAAGGTCGGCTTGAGGGAACTCGCACATGGTGAGAGGGATGCGTCGCCGACGCCCGTCTTCAAGCGCAGCGCCAAGCACATCAGGAAGGGCTCTTCGCTGGCAACAATGACTACCAAGGCTAGCGTGCTCAGCCTGCGCAAGCAAGTCTCAAAGGACGTGATCCGGATTTCACCTGAAGCGAAGAAAGGTCTTGGTCTTGCTGGGACGCTAGGAGGACGCGTGTCCAATGAGCCTCCGGTTGACCCTGAAGAACCAGACTCTGACATCCCGAATGAGCTGCAGGTAATAATTGCTGGCCAGTCTGACGACGACTGCACACGGCGCCTCGACGAGACGTTCTCGCGCTGCAGCACCCCGGCAAGTCCCATGTCACCCCAAGCGTTCACATTCCCCAAGGCTCTCCCTGAAGATCCTGCTGCGGACTCGCCGCCTTCACTCCCACCTGTCCCGGTCTTCCAACTCTTCGATGAGGAAGCAAACCATGCAGACATCGAGAGTAGCCCGACGTCGCCTGCAGAGGACGATACGAAGAAGTCGTTTGATTTCACTGGGGAACTGCGGAAGCTCAATGAGTCTGGTGGCTCTGACCGCCGCAGCTTCGTCGAGCAGCTGGAGAACGCGTTCCGTACTCCTGCTAAGATCGAGCTTGAGTATGGTCTAGGTGAGCAACTTGGGCTCGACAACAACTTCTTGGCCGTCCCACCTGTTCCACCCTTGCCCCCGAATCTGCGCTCGATGCCGTCCGACGATGTGGCACCCCGCAGCGTCTCGAACCCTGAGGACGATTCGGCCATGTTTAGCTCATCTGGCGACGCTTTATACCGAGACTCTTATGCCTCTGACGACATTCAATTCGACATGGTTGCCGGTGTAGACGACGAATGTAGGGTCTATCCTGTCACCAAGCGATCTGGCTCCATGCGCTCGAAGGCATCCGATGGACAGCTCAATGTGGACTTCAAGTTCGGAGGCAAGCTAGCAGTCCCTTCGACAGTGGAAGAGAAATCGGAGCGCCCGTTGACGCTGTCCGACATCATCCCACCTTTGACGCACTCAGCTTCGCGATCGTCTGTCGTTGAAGAAGATTCGGTGCTCAAATCCATCATGGCGAAGGCCGCTGAATCCTCGGTCGAAGAGGATAGCTCCGTGCTGAAGTCTATTATGGCACAAGCTGAGGAAATTGTGGAAGTGCCAAGAAGGCGTGCCCTATCTGACTCTAGCTCAAAGCGTGTCATCATCGACCCTCAGTCTTATGCGTCCCGTGCCCCCGACTTCACTCATTCGAGGCGCGAGTCTGAGGCCAGTTTCGCTGGTTTCGATTCCTTCGACGAGGTCCGGCGTGGTTTCGAGTTTGCGAACCGTCCTGCCTTTTACCCGCCTCCTGGTGCGGGCACCCGTCGCTCTCACTTCCGGGATGAGTCTTTGTTCAGTATTGCATCCGTCTCATCCTACGGCGACGTCCTCCACGCTGGAGCTCCTGATCCCTTCGGCTTTGGTCCCAGCCGTCCCGCTTCCGGTGACATTTCCATGTCAATGTCAGTGGACGACACGTTCTCGTTCATGCACAGAGGACGTCGACAACGCATTGACAGTGACGCGTCGAGCTTTTACTTCCGTGCGCCGGGCACGACATTCTCCCATGGTAGCAGACGCGTCGGCCATCGTCGAGATGACTCGCGCATGTCGATCGCTTCGAATGCGCCCCCCGTTAGCATGTACAACCGTAGCTTTGGCGGGCATCGACGCAACGACTCGAACATGAGCACGAGCTCTGTTGCTCAGTCGTACGCTATGCATGGTGCTTCCGGAGGACGCGCGGCTTGGGCTCGTCATCGCCAGGATCAATCCATTGACTCGGTATACAGCGACTACTCTGCGGCTCGACTTGGACGTCCTGGCCTTGGAGACAAGATGTTCGACAACGACCATGGCATGCCACTCAGTGCTATCTCGGCTTCGCCGCCGGAGAGTGTTGCAGGTGATTTGCGCAGCCAACCGTCATGGGAGTCGTTCGTTCCAGCCGACAGGGGTGTCGCCGCCGATGATTCTGTCTACGAGGACTCTGAAGACTACCACACGACGATGTCTCGCGACTCTGTCTTCGGTAACGCTGGTTCTAATTCGCAGTACTATAATCAGCTGCAAAGGCGGCCATTCCGTCCTGTGTCCGTGATTAGCGATATGAGCGTGCACGATCCGAGGAAGGAGGACGACACAATGATCACTGTGAGTACTCTATTTCTGTTCGAGATGATCCCTCTCACCACGATTGTCAGATGTTCGATGGTGGTCGTGTACGTCGTCTATCCGTCGATTCCAGGATCGGTGGCTCTCCCTGTGTCAGAATCGAGAAGGCGAAGCAGACTACTGGACCTTTACCTCAGGCTGTTCTACAGTTCCAGCAGTCCGAGCCAGAGAACAAGGACTCTCCAAACTCTACGAGCAAGAATAAGCTAATCGAGAAACCGTCGATTGCGTCCACATCGTCTCACCAGTTCGGTGGGGAACGCATGATCAAGGCACGCAAGGGTTTGTTAGAACGCCAGAGCCTCGAGGACAGTGCACTCATTGCTCAAGGAGAAGATGTCCTGGCATCCTGTATGTACAATCTCGTAGTAACTGTAGTGATGATCACTGATGCACGATTTTTTTAGTGCGCTCACAGTCTGTCTTCTCTAGACCAGATACAGCTTCCCGCTCTCGCTCGAGCACGGTGAGCACGAGCTCAGGAACGGAGACACCTCCTCTTTCCATGTCCGACGGCTCGTCTCAGTCTGGTGGCTCGCAGTCTAGTATCGACGTCAGCCAACTCAATGCGCTTTTGCTCAATACTACCCACCCAAGCAGCGGCGTCGCACGCGCTCGTGTACGCAGCCGAGCTCGAGGAGTCGGACACCGTCGTCGTGTATCCCAAGCCAGAGCATCGCGTTCGTCAGTGTACGAGACCATCGAAGAAGAGTCCTCATTTGCGCCGTCGCCATCGCCAGCAAAGCCACTGTCCCCGATTTCGTCGCATATGGCCACACCTGGAGACTCGGTGTTCATCGTCGACGGTGACAGTCAATCGATGTACAGCGACTGGGATGAAGAACATGGTATCACGACGCTGCGAAGGTACTACGCGCTCAAGGATGAGGCGCATGAGACCGTCGTCGAGAGCAAGCGGATTTGGGTGGACACGCCGTTCTCCGTCTTCGCTGTGCAGTGTAAGCCGGCTTCATGGTGCATACAACGTGTTTTTCCTGACATATGTTCACAGCATTCTGTCCTCCCAACACCGTGGGGCATGTGTGCACTGCTCGAGCACTCACAGAAGAACTACGGTCCGCTGCCCTCGGAACTTCACCCACGGCGTATACGCTCAAGGACGTCTTCAAGAGCGTCACCTTATCCGCTTCCGAGCCATCGCTGTTCGTTCTCGCCCGACAAGCCAGTGCATGTCCACGTAGACTCCAGCCCGGAGCTGCACGTCAGTCCACAGCAAGCGCCCTCGTTCTCCGTCCTGCGCGAAGTGTCTGCAAACGTCAAGAACCAGTCGCCCGTGCCCGCGTTGGGGACGATCAAGCCGTTCACGCCGTTCAGCGTCGAGTTCGACAAGTCGAAGGCGGACATCAGCAAGGACAGCTTCGTCGCGCCCATGCCTGCTCGGCAGAGGGTCACCTCAAGTGTTCGTCGCAACGCTCTTGGATGGAAACGCCAGACAGGGAAGTCGTCGTCTAACACTCAGAAGGAGAACATGAGTCAAGGAATGCTAATCACGTAAGTCGACCGTTTGATGACGGTTGGACGGTGCTGATGTGTGTGTCGACCGCAGTCCCTCCGAGACACTCAGGATCAATCGCCCTCGTCCCCAGCGCGGCCGTCCGACGCCAGCGCCCGCTCGAGCCTCCGCTCAAATCGCATAAACCCACCTCCACATCGTATAAACCCACACACCACCGGTCCTGACACGAAGACTTGCACCCTGTCTGCCTGCCCCCGAGGTCGACGGGGCTGCGGCGAGGACTGACATCTTTATGCTATGGTTATTGCTCTATGCTCCATCTCCTCCCAAGCTCGCACCACATCTCGCTCTCGACATCGCACATCGCCTCGCACACTGCCGCATTTTGCTTGAAAGTTCAACAAGTCTTCACACGAACACACGCGTGCTTTGACGAGTACACGACGCTGACGCCGTTCACGTTCGCGCTCGCGGATCCGGGTTCACGATCCGAGCGCACTCACGAATACAACATCGAACAAGACCCACGATCCGACGTCTCTAAATCCCTTTGGTCACGACCTGCTTGTTTCCCGTTTCCCTGCTGTGCTGGGGGATGGAGTTGCCCGTTTGTTTCTTGACACACACGCACACTGTTGTTGTTGTACAGTAGACACGGCTCGCTCTGTTTCTCTCCTATGCACACTCACGAATCGTATTGCCTATCTCACGAACGTAAAGTGTCAGACTGGTGTATCACTTATTCGTAGAACGAATATATGATGCATTTTCTCTGAGTGCAACGCGTTCGAAACGCTTGAGAACTGAGGAGGAAGAGGAGGAGGAAGAGGAGGAGGAATAGAAGATACATACTGACGCTGAACCAGTAATGCAAAATGCCGGTTTTTACCTGCGTGTATGATCACTGCACACGAGAAAAGTTGCATAGTTTCGCCACATGTCGCTCCACAGTACCTGCATGGTCCTGCTCTCTGTATCTCAAGAAACATCGCAAGGTGCGCCTACCTGCAGCGCGAGCGAAACCATTCGCTCGTTTGCAGGCCTACAGACAACATCCGGGCCTCCGCTTCGCCTAACGATATTTGGGGACGTACTCAAGATGTATAATATTGAGCCTAGCAGGCTAAAATCGGAGAACCCTTTATGTTGCGGATGTAGGACAGTGAATGCAAAACGCGTTTGCATTACCGGTTCAGCGCCAGTAGGTACATGGTGGCTATGAGTAGCCTTGATTCCGAACGAAGCTGGCTGCAGGGCCGTTGCGCTTCATGACGCCGACGTTCGCTAAGCAACACTCAGACCTTCGCAGTACAAAATAGCCAGGGTGCGGTGCGTACCTGCTCTGCGTTCCCAGCCTTTCGCTCTGGCAGGCTCGGGCTTGCCCTTGAGGTTGAGGCTGCGACTGAGGAACTTGTTCACCCGCGGGGGCGGCATCATCGCGCGCGGTGTGGGGGTGGGCACCGCCGAGGATGTAGGCGCGAGCGTGCGGATCGTCCGCGAGCTATGTCATGCCATGTCAGTCTCGCCGTCGGTATGGAGAACGAGGACTAGTGCGGCGCACCCGACTACGACGTCCGTGCCCTTGCCCGACCGTTTGGTGCGCTTGCGCTGCTTCTTGCGTGGGCGCGACTCGGACGGCTCGTCCGCCGTGTCGAGCCGCCGTTTTGAAGAGGACGCGGAGGTGGAGAAGGCAGCTTTGAAGAGGTGGTCGGGGAGGTAGGTCGGTGTCGTAGGGGCTTTTTTCCGGGGTGCTGGGGCTTCTTCGAGATCTGGGTCCTCCTCGGAGTCGGAAGAGTCTGACTGTGAGGCGTTGGAGGAGTGTACGTCCCCGGTCGCGTCGCTGTCCTCATCTGAGGAGTCGTCTGAGGTGCCGTCTCGGTCGCCTGCTCTGTGCGTACGGTTTGAGGCGTCCTCGCTGCCCAGACCACCCCATGCCTCCTCCGCCTCGTCGTCCTCGTTAGACTCCTGCTCCGCCTCCTGCATCGCCCTCTCCATCCGCGCTTCCAGCCCGCTCTTTGGCCGGCCCTCCAGCTCATCCTCACTGTCACTCTCCTCGGATGCTCCCTTGCCTTTCCCCTTCCCACTCCCGGCGGTCGCGGCGGCCTTAGCCTGCGCCTGCTCCTTCCGCAGACGGTCCCGCTCCCGGTTCAGTTTCTTGAGCTTTTGTTTTTCTGCGGTTTGATACCGCTGTAGCGCGTGCTCCGCGTCCTTTGCGGCGACCTTGGAGGTGTTGAAGGAGAAGGTCTCGGGGGCGTCGTCTTCGCTCTCACTCCCGCTCGAGGAGGCTGCTTTTCGGTGGGCCATGATTTGTGTGAAGTTGAGCGAATCTAGAGAAAGAATGATTCAATACAGTGTCGCGGCGGTTTGCAGAGTCCCTGTCAGGGGGCACCGGGGGCTCAAATTTTGGAAGGTAACCTCCCGTACTCAGAAGCGCGACCCCGGAAACCACTTGGGGGGGGGCCCTCCGATAAGATAAGATTAGCCTAATACGGTATTCATTGCCATCTGTGCTGCGCTCAGGCTGCGCTCGCCGTACATCGCTCGAGGTCGTCTGGGTTGACTACGCCAGGACTACGCCGTCTTCGTCGCTTTCGAACGCGGCTCTCTCACCACCGTCGACTGACCCCTACCTCGCTTTTGGCCTACTTGAAGCTCCTCCCTGACCAGCTGGATGTCGTCACTGTCTGGTATGTCGAACTCCTCGCGGTAGTCGGTCGTCGCATCCTCGTCAACCTTCATCGCTTCCTCTTCGGCTCTCGAGATGTGCATGTCCAGGAGAAGTTGCGGGGGAACCGAAGGCAATTCGATTGCGTCTGGAGTGCTGTGCTCGAGGAGGAGGTGGATGAAGGTGTTGTACTTCCAAATGGTGCGTGGTTGGCCGTTCGATGTTGGAGGGCATAGCGGGCAGTGTATAGGGACATTTGTACAGGGGGTATTCTTGTTCGTCTTCGATGCAGCACCGTATTTCATCTTGGTGTGATGGTACTCGCAGCTCGAATGAAGAATCCGCGAGTTCCCCTTCTTGACAAGTTGTGTGATGCACTCGCCGTCGCGTCCGCACCATCCGCACGGTTCGGTCCCAATCTGTGGCGCGAAACCTATGAGCACAGGATTCCAGCAATCCCAGAAGGCTTACCTCGATCTTGTGAGGCTTCGGGTCAGGTACGTCGCGCAGTTCATACAGTAGATGATGCCCTACATGATTCCGCATCTGCGCGATGGTCTCGGACTCACCGCAGATGAAGCAAGTCACTTTTGTGGACCCGGACTTCTTCTCCACAGTCAAGTGTGCTGGAAGGTCTACTACGATGAATTGCGGCTCATCTGGCTCGTTGGTGAGTTTGTTATGCAAGCATTGATTGACCGAGTCACTCACGAGTCTGACCGTGACGGCTTGTATAGGGTAGCTCGCCTGTTTCGAGAACTGGTAACATCGCGACGTTCGCCATGAGCTCCTCCGACTCAGAGCCAAGTGCATCCCATGCGATGTCCAGTGCATCGTGTAGGTCAGACGCGATGTACGACCAAGTCGTCTGTGCACGAGATGACTCTCCGTCCGAGTTGGCCTGTGGTTCATGTGGCCTGTTCGGTTGACCTGAGTTGTCTGCTTCGGTCTCGCGCGTAAGCTCGACGATCTGAGGGCTCAACGGAAGAATGAGAAACCCGGGAACGAGCAAGGTGTGTTGCTTGGTTGTGGCTTGTTCATGGTCCGATCCCTTCGTTCCGGAGCGGACATACTGTCTAGTCCATTGCCAGGCATCGGAACCGCTTTGCTGACACTCTATGAGCTGCAGTGTCTGAACCTCGACAGTGAGGGTAGATCCCTGTTGAGACAGCTCGGCGGCTTCAACACCAGTGAGCCACGCGCTGTCTCCCTGCCGCAAGAACTTCATGATCTCGACGACAGCTAGGCATATAGTCCCAGAGTCGGAGATGCAAACGAGTGTCGCGGCGGTGTCCCCCGAACGAATGACGTTCTCACCAGTTAAGCCTGGCAAGTTCCATTTGTCCGAATTGCGGAGGTCTTCGAGCGTCACACCCTGAGCGCGGAGCGTCCGCATGGGAACCTTCTTACCCCGGTTGGATGTCAGGAACGCAGCGACAACAGATGACTTGAGAAAGCGTTTCTCGCCGACCTGAATGAAGCGCGTCGTGTCGTGTGATAGAGGTGATTCCTCTGGTAGGGTTCCACTGCTCGTCGCATTGATTGTGTCGGGCAGAAAGTCGTCTATCTCGACTCCGAGAGGTACGTCGTTGAAGTCTTCCGAGTCGGGTAGTACTGTTGATTGTGACTCTGTGGCATCCCCGGCATTCCCAGGATCAGGGTCTCTTGGGATCGAAGTGTCAGTTGAGGCTTCTTCTTCACCCTCTGTGCGGTCGTCATCATTGGTATGTCGTAATCCCACATACTTGCCATGAGGCCCAGGTCGCAGTAGGTCGCACGTGCTGTGTGCGAATAGCGATGCAAAGTCGACACGCGCTGCCTCGCCAAAATACTCGTCAAGGAGAGCACTCGCATCCAACCGCCCTCGGGTCCACTCAACCTCGACCTCGACGTGACCCACGATGACGTCGCCCTTCCATGAAACAGGATTGACGTGGTCGACTCCTAGTGCGTCGACAAGATTGAGTCGTCGATGGCCGCGATCGAGGTCAGGATTGCGCTCGAAGATCGAGCTGATCAGGGTGCTGACACTGAGCTTCTCGCACAGTTGTAGGATATCGAAATTCCGGCTGTGATCCTGGGTACGGCACTCAGAGAAGAGGCGTTCGAGGCGGTCGGTACCCTCCAGGATGATATGGAATGGTATGTTCCTGTCCACTATCTGAAGTCGTAGTGCCGTGATGATGATGTTCCGTACGATCGCCTGCGAATCAGCATACAGCGCCCCAGTCATGAAGGACGTGCCATGTCGGATCCACATGGCTGATGCGAGGAATGCGTAGGTCGCCAGCGACTTGATTTGCTGTGCGAGGCTATAGCCAACAGAGATGAACGGCAGCGTGAAGTAGGCGAATGTCCGTGCGATGAAGATCAGCATCCGACGTCGATGAAGGTGACTGGGCGAGGATGATGCTTTTGCGTCTGTCGCAAGGCGTAGAAGAGTCTGCATGAGGGTGACTGCCTTCGGTACGTTCTGCTTGTCTACAGGGTCGAGGAGCTGACGAGCCTTTTCGGGTGTCATGGAGGGTAGATCTTGTAGATGCTGGTAGACGTCGAGAGACTGGATGCATGTATCGTGTACAAGGATGCCTCTTGGGTTGCGCAACAGGGTCGCAAACCCTACGAGAGCTGTCAGTCCCGGCATTCATACATCGTAAGCAAATGTGATGCTTACTCTTGATTACGTGCTTTGGATCACAGGTAGCTACAATGCCATCACGTCCGCAGGTCGTGTTCATGCCAATCATCCGATAGAGGTGTGTCCCCAGCTCCGAGTCATGCGGTATTGACTCAGACATACACAGATTGAACTTCGCTTTGCGAAACGATGCTTCGCCGTCACTCCCAACAGTCCATATAGGTCCGTGCATCGTCTCTCCATTCGGATGGGTCTTCCATGCTGTCAAGAATGTTCCCAGCCAAAGGCCGAGATCTGCACCATCCTCGCTCTTGCATGACGGTGATGCAAAAAGCGGAGTAGCACCGTAATGGTCGGTGCGAGCATAAGGTGCGACTGCGCCGATCGTCGCATCCTTCCCATAATGACAGGTCGGATCCTCGCCATGTAGCGCACGGTTAACTGCCTCAACATCCTCGAGGCTCGTAACGCGCGTCACGATGTCTGCGGAATGTTCACGACAGAGGCCAGCAATAGAGTCGCTGGCAGCAAGATATCGGCACTTCTCTTCGATTGCAACACCATCAAACATCGCAATCATGCCTGCCTGCTTATTCGACTCGTATACCGGCGCGGGCGGCTTGACCTCGGGTGCCATGAGCCGTCCAATGTTACCAGAGACTTCGTGGTGCACCGGGGCCTTGATGCATGGGAGGAGTTGAGGGACAGGGTAAGTGTCGTTGACAGTAGATGGGGATGGCAATCCATGCGAGTGATTGAGAGCATACAGGAGCCGTGGACCACCGAGAGCTTTGGCAAGGAATGCGATCTCAAGATCGCGTTTATCAAACCGGCCTCCAGGCCCCCGCGCCTTGTAGACACCGGAGATCGCGCGCTGAAGCTGCGAGAATAGGTAGCGTGGGCTGGACCCGTTTCGCAGCGCTACAGCAAGCAGCTCGCGTAGCCGCTTCACATCATTGGTAGCGAGTAGCATGGTGAGTCGTTGGTGGTCATTGATCCGCCGGTCTCTCCGTGAAATCTTCTTCTTCTGGTTGAACGACTGTCAGATCATGCTCATTAGTCTCTCTTGCTCAGATTAGACACAGCAAGCATACCTGTAACTCCAGCTCCCGAGCACGAGCAGCAAGCTTCGTCGTGACAGCTATCAACTGCTTGTGAGTCAAATAGAGGTATGGCGTGTTCTTCGGTGCGTCCCCATCCGCTCTGTTTACGAAATTGATGTACTCCGATAGACGTGGGATCTTTTCACAGGGGTCGCACTGGGTTGTGTTCCTCGTGTGCGCATATCGTCGACAGTCTGTGGAGCGCAAACGAAGCCAGTTGGTATTCTCGATCCCAACAAGCTCCCACGGAAACGTGCGTGATTCATGGCGATGAAAGGGATAAGTATCCCATACTGATCCGGGTGTCCAGTGTACAAGGATGCCCCGACATTTCGGGTGCTTGGGGCTCGGCGATGAATGGCTGTCAGATGCGGACGAACCAGACTCTTCGTCCGACTCGGACTGAGACTCGGACGCATCCAAGTCCTCGCTATGATCATCTCCATCCTGCACCAGATCCCCGTCGCCCCGCCAGGCCTCCGATGAACGCCATCCTGCGTGATGCACGCCGTGCAGAGACGATCCTCGTGCATCCGAGTCGCGGTCACTAACTCGGATTCCCATAGAAGGTGAGTCTGTGGCCTGGGATCCTGCGGCTTCAGGTTCCAATCCATACGAGATTGAAGTACTGGGAGCGCCTCTGTGCGAGTTAGGCGTAGTGGGTGTGGCCGAGAAGAGGCCCAGTGGTGTCTGCTCCGAGCTGCCAGCAATGTTGACTCGGCGGACTGTGTCAGTCACCGAATGATCATGCTCCTGCAGTCGGCCTCGGGAACTGCTAGTGGGAGCTGCTGAACCTGCAAGCAAATGCCATCAAGATGACTCTTGCTCTGGTTGAGCTGATACGGGCATGCTCGTGGCTCACCTGCTAGCCTCGCCGTCGGCGGAGGGCGCTGTAGCTGAAGCCTATGAAGAGCTTCAGTGGTTTGCTCTCGCTCATACTTCTGCTTGTTTCTTTTGCACTGTGGTGTTCCTCGATGCTGATTGATCGCCGTAGGATCTGGACAGACCTCTCGTCCCGAAAGTGTGATCCATTGGTAGCAAAGATCACACTGGACCTCATGACGAAGGCTCACAGGATTGACTCGGGTCATCCTGGACTCGCCATTTCGGAGGATAATTTCGGTAGGCTTGGGAGGCGGTCGCTGCTGGGACATGGTAGACAGTAGAAAGATATAATCAGTGAATCATTGATGATATTCCTTTCGTGCCTCGCTCAGCCGGCTCTACGCCACTGTACCATAGTTGTACTAGCGAGTGGCGATTAGTACGATCTGGATCTGCTTATGTGAGTTGCCTATTCTGGACACATGCCTGCTTCCGCCATTCATTCAGGTCCCTACACCGTCTCGCGAGCCTCTCTAACATACCCCTATGATGTCTTATATCATGTGTTATATTTCCGAGGTGTAATGGCTAATGTATGAGAGGTATAAGTACCATGGTAGGGAACTTCGTGCATGACGGACTCGGAAGCTGCCATCAAGCCCCCGGAAACCGGTTGAGGGGGGGGGACCCCCACTAGTTGCTTCCACGGCACCCGACCCCGGGTGCCCCCTGGTCCCTGTACTACTGCTGTGGCTGAAATCGTTTGGGATCTTGAGATTTGTCCCAGCACGTGACTGAGCGGACGATCTCAGACTAATGCGGACAATGGACAACATTTCCTGGTTATACGAGTCACCGTGGGCCGGCGATTATGTTCTACGACAACAAAGCTGTACATCTATGACAAGGTATGACATTGTATAGATAACTTGAAGAGCCAACATCTCATGGGAATCTTTGGCGACTCTCAGGCTCTTGTCTCAGGCGCCAGGCTCGTGGCGGGCTTGGCACGCACTGGCATACAGTACGTCTGCTATATGCAACCGCTATGTGAGCCTCCCTTTGTCACGGTCTGTGTCTCAGTCCATCTGATTGTTCACTACCTCCAAGCTTCATTTTTCGTCCTCTTCCACAGATAGGGGCCGTTTAGACGAGACGAGCCCAGGCGTCTAGTGTCTAGTTCTTGGATTCCCATTTGCGGAACGTTCATGCTCTGAAGCTGTGCGGCCGACGCGCCCAGCTGTCCTCGCAACCCACGGACAGAGCAGTGCGGTTTACCTGTTTCGCGCACACATCCGACGTAGGATCACTCTGAGGCAGCGCCGAGCCACTCTCATCCCAAAGAGCGCGTCTTCGGGGACAGCACTAGCATCCTCGCCGACTCGGACCAATCAGGCCAGCTGCTGTCGACATTGTGCGCGTCTGGCCCTCACTATATAACACTTCGGGCGGCGTTGAGTCTCAAACTTCACCCGGTGTCCTTAAGTCACTAGTAACTCGACCTCCGACCACGACCTCCCCGTTTGTTTGATCTAATCATTCATGATGTGGGATCCATACGGGTACGCGAACTACCAACAGAGCCCGCCCGCTAGTCCGTATTACCAGCCGGCGGTGTACTTCCCGGTACCCATGTAAGAAAAATACATTGGTAAGTAGAGGAAATCGCGCTGAAATGTCTATGTTACAGGATGTACCCCGGGTGCGTACTAAAGAGCGTGCAGAACGCGTAACTCAACAGCACATACAGGTCACCTCCGGGATTCAGTTCCCCAGGACCGCCCACGCCCTGGGCGCAGAATGGCGCGCTTACTAGTCCGTACCAACCCGAGTCTCAGCATCCGTGAGTGAGCTCCCTCGCGTAGTATACGTGTCAACTGAATCCCGCGAAGCCACCAACGACCAGAGTACGTTCGATAGTGTACTGAAACTAACACGTTATTGAAAATCGGACTGGTGCAGGCAATCTAGGGCAATTGTATCAGCATCTTCCGCGCCTCCTCAGAGGCAGCGGCGCGGCCGCCGTGTTGTCATCACCACGTCGCATCACCACACGCACCACCTCATCCGGCGACACCACCGACACCCACATCAGACAGAGAGCCAACCGCACGCTCATCACTCGCACTCGCACTCGCACTCGCACTCGCACTCGCATTCCCGCTCGAGGTCACGCAGTAAGGCAGCGCTCGCTATATCATGAGGTCCGTGCTGATACGCATCGTCACTGCATCAGCGAGGCCAGAAGTTGCCTCTGTCCAGCAGGTCGACAGAGCAGTCGCCTCCCGGCACGCAGAATCGCGCTCGCGCGCGCTCCCCGTCTTCTCCAAATGCACGGGCCAGAAGAAGGCGCTCTGCGTAAGTCGCACTGCATTTTGCAAACCCGCGATACAGAGGTAAGCCATCGAGCTGACGCGCTCGGCGTGCGGACAGATCGGGATCAACTACACGGGGCAGCGGAACGAGCTGCACGGGTGCGTGAACGACGCCAAGAACGTGCGCAAGTTCCTGATGAGTGCGTTTAGTAACTCGACCCATCCGCACCCGTTTGCCGTATGACTGCACTGACGTCTCCGTCTCCTGTGCGCGACAGAGCAGTGGAACTTCAAGCCGGACCACATCTTTCTGCTGACCGACGACGCAGCGCACGGGCACCAGCAGCCGACGCGCGCGAACATCCTCGAGGCGATGCGCTGGCTGGTGCGGGACGCGTGTCCGCACGACTCGCTCGTGTTTCATTGTGAGGCTCCTTCCAGGCTGTCGTTGAACTGTGAGGATGTCATCTGAGACTCACGGCAGACTCTGGCCACGGCGGCCAGACGAGGGATCTTGACGGGGACGAGGTGGACGGGCTGGACGAAGGTACGTAGCGAATCTGCCCGGAGCGTGGTGAAAGGTGATGATTGATGCCGACAGTTATATTCCCGGTGGACTACAAGCATGCGGGATTTATCGTTGACGACGTCAGCAAAGTTTCTTCCGAGTGAAGCTGCCGCATCTGTGCTGACTGTCTTCTCTTTTCCACAAAGGAAATGCACCGGATCATGGTTCGTATTCTCGCGCATTAGTGCATCACGAAATCGTGCTGAGACGGCTTGCAGGTGAAGAACCTGCCAAACGGCTGTCGGTTAACGGTGTGTCTATAGAGGCAACTACACCGAGGAGACTGCTCTCGACTAAACCATCCCCTTTTAGGCGATATTTGACGTGAGTACCGTGTCATCGATCGCGCACGCGCACGATCCTATTGATCACTCAACGCCGATCGCTCCCAGTCATGTCATTCGGGATCCGCGTTAGGTACGTGCCCCCCAGAATCCAAACAACCGATGCCGTCACTCAGCCCCGCCCTGCAGACCTTCCCTACCTGGTGAGCCCTCACCACCGTTTTCCTCACGATACCAACCAACCATCTTCACGTGTGATAGTACCACAGCGACGGCCGCGTCAAGGGCCTCAGCGAAGTGACCCCCAGCCACCTGCGCGAGAAGACCACGAAGGCCGACGTGGTGCGTGACGGGCATTGGTTTTCCAGCCGCGAACGGTCTCGATTGCTAACTCACTGGTGGGCGTAGATCTCGTGGAGCGGCTGCGCGGACTCGCAGACAAGCGCGGATACGTTCGAGGGCGGGGCGGCGGTCGGCGCGATGAGCTACGTGCGTGCTGTTCTTTGGGTTGGCATACGACGCGGTGGTCGGGCGTGCCTGCAACGTTTGCTGACTAGGTGTATTTCAGGCGTTCATGAAGACACTGAGTGAGTCGTGTGATGAAAATTCGCTAGTTGTAGTAGTCTATTGACGACACCGGAAGCCGATCACAAGGACCAGACATATCAGCAGCTCTTGCAACATCTGCGGTATGTAGTTGCTTCTGGCCGTGAATATTGCATGCTGGCACTGATACGTCCACCCTCCCTGCGACAGTCAAATATTGCACAAAAATTACAGCCAAAAGCCGCAGCTCTCGTCGTCTCATCGTATTGTGCGTGTCCATGAGCCCCACGTCCGATCACATGCATGCTGACCTCCTCTCCGGACTAGAACACGAACCACATGTTCATCATGTAGCCTTAGTCAATTGACCAATTATGTAGGTCAACGAGCGGATCGGCCGTGCGTGCATTACACATAGCTTTTGCGATGCCTGGATGTCGCGTGTGAGGTAAGCCATCAGGGAGGTGAGCATTTGAAGTTCGGCACATTTCTCGACCGCATCCGAGGTCAGGCGGCCTGACAGCGGGAAATGGTAGCTGTTGCAAAGCATACTGGAGGTCCTGATCCATGAAGCAGTGCCACTCGAAGCCATTCGGCGAGTCTCGGCAAGCGCCGCCAGGGGAAGGGCTGGCCGCTGTATGGTAACATACATGAGGTAGCACAGCGCCAGTGAGAGCCGACGGTATCGTATTGGTCATAGGCCAGTCTCCTTGAAGAGCTCGAGGACTGCGGTGACAGACCTTGGGTTGAGCCCAAGCGTGCGGCGCAGAAAGGTCAGTTGCCACACAGCCGCGAGGGCGGTGTGCGCCCTCAGCTGGACATCGATCGTGGCTTCGCATCCGAAGAAGAGGCCTTGAGGCCTGAAGGCCTGAGGTGGGAGTGGATGTGGGCATGATATAGAGTCAAGGCCGCCCAGCGATGCAGATCCGCGACGTATGACTCCACAGACACGCATGCGTTCGCAGTCCTGCGCGCGATTGCAGCGCGGCGCTCGACATGCGCCATGAAGATGTCTCGCGCGGTGGCAGACTCTTGCAAGCCACATTTTAGCATCTCATCTCTGCCGGCACATCGCTCGTCAACTACGTTTTACTGCATACATGGCACGCTTCTGGTGTAAGTCAGACGGCACGATACATGAGCATCTGCCCAGGGTTGTAACGGCCTCGACAATCCTGATGCCGACATCATCATCCGGACGGACGACTGGGCCGATTTCCGCGTGTACAAGTCCGCCCTCAGAGAGATCTCCCCCGACTTCGCGGGCAAGTTGTCCTCTGCGAACCCCGCTGTGATCCATGTCACCGAAGACAGCGTCATATGGGATCATATCCTCCGCATGTGCTTCCCCGAGCGCGATCAGCTGCGATCGCGCCAGATCAGCTCTGGCTATTGCTCGAGGCCACCAAGAAGTACAACATGGAAGGTGTCCGCGAGACAGCGAGACGAGAGATGTTGACTTCCCCGATGCTAGAGCGAGAGCCTCTTGTCATATTTTGTGCACAACTGAGGCACAGTCGACAAGCCGTGCCGCCGATAGGCTTCGCCGCCCGACGCTTTGTCGCGATCGCCGCCACACGACGAACATTTTGTTAGCCACACAAAGGATTATGATATTCCACGCATTAGTATACTTATGCTTTGTTCACCTCGCTTTGATCCTCACCACACTAGTGGCGTACACCAGTAGCTATGTATCTTCGGGTATATGTACAGCTCCTTACGAGCCATGCAACCCATCCTCGCTCTCACTCCTCTCGCGGTGCGAAGTCTACCTACAACAACAGGTTATGAGCCCGCCTCGCTCTGAACCGCACGACGATGACAACTCACCTTGTTATCACTCAAATTGTGACGCGCTGACCGGCGCCGACAATTGGCAGACGTGGAGGGTCCGACTTTCTGACATCCTGATCGACGCGGACCTGTGGGACTACGCGAGTGGCGATCTCACGTGTCCGGAGCCGACAGAGAACGACGCAAAAACCGAGGAAAAGGCGACAAGAGAGAAGGAGATCAGTAGTTGGAAGGCGGAGGATCGAAAGGCACTTGCCGCGATACGACTCAGGGTCGCCGACAAGGTCTTGAATTACGTGAAGGCCGCCCAGACGAGTCATGATGCATGGCGGAAGCTCGAGACCATGTACGAAGCACGAGGTGTCCTCGCTATCGTCCAAGCTCGACGCAGGATGTTTCGCGCGGTGTGCGCGGAAGACCAGGATGTTGAAGAATTCATCTGCCAAATGACGAGTTACCGAGATGACCTACTACCACTTCAGCAAACGATCTCGGACGAGGAGTTCTGTATCTCGATCCTTGCCGCACTTCCGGAGTCCTGGAATACCTTTACTGCCATGCTCAATTATCGCACCGGCTTGAAGGACTCCGCGCAGCTCATCGCTCGGATTCTGGACGAAGGTTGGCACGTAAAGAGCCGCGCCGAGCAGACGGCTTTGCACGGCAAGTTCCAGAAGTTGAAGGACAAGGAAAAGCGGACCCTACCCTCGTGCTGGACATGTGGAAAGCCTGGATACCAGTCAGACTGTCCAGATCATGAAGAAGCACGAAAGAGAAAACGTGAACTTGAAGAACAGGAACACATCTCGAAGAACGGCAAGAGCGGGGCCAAGGCGATGGTGGCAGACGCGACATCTGACGCGGAGTCAGAGGATTACGCGTTTGTGGCAACGGACATAGCATCGCACCAGCCGGAGATAGATCAGAATGGAGGTGGTCGCAGACGGTGTAGTGCGGGAGGTAGTGGTCGCACTGGTCCCGCCAGTGACTGAATCAGGTATTCAGTTGTTGCCTGAACTTGAGAACTCACACCAATTCCCTCACCGCCTTTTTCCTTACCGAACCTCTGCTTGACTAGGCTACACAGTTCAACTGTTCCGAGTCGTTCCGTCCACAATTGCTGTAGAACCTTCGGAATAGCCAAAGTAATCACTGACGGTTGACTGGAGCGCTGCTAGACTCACCACTTCGAGAACCATCAGGGCACAAAAGATTTGGAAACATGTGGGATATTGTCTGCACTTCCAGTGGATGCCAGGATGATGGCGCAGCGGCACACATCCTCCTCCTCCTGCTGTACCATGAAGCGCTCGAACCTCGGGCTTGCCTTTTCTGCCCGAGCGCGCCGGGTCGCCAGGTCACAGCAGATCACTGGCAGCAGGTTCAGGGGACATTCTTGTATGAATATCGTCACAAAGACTCAGTAGTCTACATAGAACGCATGCGCCGATGCATGTCGTGTAATGCTACATCCAGAATCGTGATTTACATGCACGCCTAATATCCAAAACCACTGAACCAAGTCAAACTTGAACCATATCGGCCGTTTCTCTACTTAGTGGCCTACTGCCCATCCCTCTCCCGATACACATGCGGCTCGACAACTGGATCCATGATGACGGCCTTCCACAGCAGGCGCCACGATATCGGGTTGCCCTAAACACGCATCTATCAGTCCACCAAACTCCACGCGAAAAGCAGACCCGACCGACCTGGTCGCGCGCCATAACGCAATACGTGCCCTCCGCGCCAGGCGCCTTGAAGTGCTCGAGCTCGACCCAGCCCTTGTACTGGAGCCGGCGGCGGTCGTAGCCCCCGATGCGCATACGGAGGATCTTGATCTCCTCGCCCGCCTCCTCGAGAACGACCTCCTGCGCGGGCTTCCACTTGACGCCGAGCTCGGTGAGCGCCTCTTGAATGAGCGGGAGCATCATGTGGGGGAGCAGTTGCGCGTAGAACCGCGTGAGGTGCGGCGAGTAGCGCCGGCCGGACTTGGTTTGAGACTGGGAAAGGGAGCGCGGTGAGCGGCTGGGATGGATGCGGTAGGGGATACGTACGAAGAGCATGAGCGTCTGGGTGAATTGCGAGTTGTGGGACGCGGTGCCCATGATCTGGTCGCCGTCAGCGTCGACGTTCCTGTGGGCCCACGCTTAGCACATTGAGAGCACGGACGCGAGATGAGGGAGCGACCCACTTCGTGATGTCTGGGGTGGCGATCTCCAGGTCGCCCGTTTGCCGGAGCGACTCCGTGAGGTGTTCTGCGAGCACGGCCAGGCCCTTCTTCGCGAGCTGGCTTGGTCTGTTAATCGAAAGGACGATGCGTCAAGCAGCGCCGATCGCGGCGGTGGGATGGAGGGAACGAACCGTATCATCCACGGGTGGGCTGCCACCTCGTTGAGGGACATTCGTCGCGAGGGGTCAATGGCGAGCATGCCTGTGAGGAGACCTGGCGGTGTGGAGTGAACATGGTGATGTGAGCCACTAGCGGCCGGGAAACGGCCCACGATGAGAAGACTTACTGAGAAGGTCTCTGCTGAACCGGTTCCAAGGCGCTTGATCGAAGCACTCACCCGTGAGGTAGCGCGCGTACTCATGACTGTGCTTGGTGGGTTCGTCCCAGGGTGTATCTGTGTACATCATCGCTTTCAGCGTCGCGGACATTGTGAACTAAGGAAAAGCACCGACTGCCGGAGAGCAGGGCATAGAGAATGACACCGCCGCCCCAGACGTCCACAGGCTCAGCTTCGTATGGCGCCTCCCTTAACAACTGCATAGATTTGAGTCGGTCACCATGCATGATGATGGCACAGGAACACAAAGGCGGACCTCTGGGGCCAGGTATGGCAGACTGCCGCAGCGCTCTGAGAGCATCCTCATCTTCCCGCTCTCTTTGACCTTGTACACAGCGCAGAGGCCGAAGTCGCTGATCTTGAGTGTACCGGCCGCGTCGAGTAACAGGTTCTCGGGCTTGAGATCGCGGTGACAAACGCCCTGGTCGTGGATGTATTGCTGCGCACATTCCCACATCGTGAACTGCGCTGTTCTGGAATGTGGCGCGCACTTACCAGTCCGGCTATGAGCTGCAAGAGGTAGACATGCGAGATATCTTCCCCGACTCCGATGTCAGGCGCTTCAATCATGTCAGCGGACGAAGCGCAGGCTCGCAGCCACAGAAAGAAACGTACCGATCTTGTCGAAGAGGTCTCCTCCGGCAGCGAGCTCCAGCAGCATGTACAGCCCAGGGTAATACCGGAGCTTCGGCTCGTTCGGCTCAACAATGACGGCGGTCTTGAACTCCAGAATATTCTCGTGTTTCAGTGCCTGGTGGATGCGCATCTCTTTGTCGAACGTCTTGCGCTCCTGCGCGGTCGTCTCCAGCGTGAGGGTGACGACCTTGCACGCCGCGACTTCGCGGGTGTCAAAATTCACCGCGCGGTAGACTCTGTGTGTGGTATTCGTGCGTTTGTGCGCCAGGATCCTGGAGCTAAGACTGGCTTACGTTGAGAACCCTCCTCCGCCCAACTGCATTACCAGCGAGTAGCCTGTGGCCGCGGTGAGCACGTATGATCATTTGCTACGGCTGGATGCACTTACCGGATACCTTAGGAAACTGTAGTTTCATGATGAGCGGTGGAAGGACATGGGATGGGGGCGAGAGTTGGCTTGGACGGGCAGGCGTGGACAAAGGACAAAGGCAATCTCGATCCGCAGATTCCGCCCACGCGTCACGATGCACGCGTGTTGCGCGTCTTGTCACAATCACGGGATCAATGTCACAATGATATTAAACGCTGCCAGTGCTTGCCAGTGCCGCTGTCCGACTTTTTTGCGTGAAGCCAAGAAAGGTTTGATGCGCCTTGATGAGTGCGAACACAAGCACCGGCCGCACTGGCTCGGAGAGGCAGTGCTTTGCCCGGCTGGGCGTCGAGTGTATGGGAATGCGAATACAACTCTTCGCCTTCCCATACACTCAACACCCAGCGGGAGGTAGCGTGCTGCAGCTATAATGATAGCGATAACTGCCACGTAATTCACTTCGCGACGGTAACTTCCAGGTTCAAAGCACTAGGCAACCACTTTTGTTCCCGAATAGGTGACATGGCCACAAGTGTGGCTTGTTCTTGTTCGCACGGACAGTTACGGTCTCAGGTGTGCGATCATCAACATAACTTTACCGCGTCACCCTTGCACTCTGACTCCATAGACGACATCCTCTACCTCTACCGTCGCGAATTTATGTCAACCATGTCTCCTCCGAGTCAACATCCCCGCAGGACATTCGTCCCTCTTTCTACCGGTGTTCGGGATCAAGCATCTCCTCTGTGTAGCCTCAAGTTTCGCGGGCGAGACGACGAGCCTGGCGTTGCGTTATACCAGTTTTCATCGAAAGAACATGACCAGATGGTCTGCAACGGCCTCGACGAGTTGTTCCAGAGCGAATACTTGGATGACTTCATGTCCCTCCGATGTCAAGTAAGTACGTTGTGTGCGAGACTATGAACCGCTGATGCTCACTCCACGTCAAGCTGCCAGGTTATGCCTCAGACAGCAGGCCTCTACTCTTTCTTGAAGCCATCCCGATTAAACGCTACGAAATTGGGAGGCTAGTCGCTGAAGAAATGCGGGGGTATATGAATGTGCGTCCATTACAAACCACGCTTTCCGCATGCTGAAATCCTCGCTCATTCTCTGCCTCGCAGGAGCTCCGTGAACTATTGAGCGACAGGCAGTCAGCCGCCAGCGACAATCCGTCGTTGAACGGCATCGATTGGGATAAGTTGTACCTTAGTGAGTTCTATACGATGGACGGGAAGGAGTGGGAGGCGACGCTGTTCATGGAGCTGCCAGAGAAGGTAGACGAACCATAGGTGCCTCGACAATTCATCTGGTGTCTGAATATGTTTGCATAATGGTCTACCTTCCGACATGTACGTGGTCCTACCGAAGTCACAATTATTTCTGAATATGCCCCATATTCTACACAGTTTCAGAAAGCTGATGTGATTGCGCACCCGTTGACTGTGGCTTCGGCCACAACCCCTCCCCCCGCGCCCCGCCGCCCAATAGGAACCACCTGACCAGCGGTGATATAAGATCCAGTCTTAGCCAGAACGAGCGGACCGAGCACCAATGTAGGTGCTTAGTCCGTTCTTTCTATAATGATATTGTGCGATTGCTCCACATGCATTGTCTCTTACTGACTATCCAGTCACTCGGGCCCTGTCCGAGTCTGTGTACAAGACGGGCTTCCAATCATACAGCAATCTCCAGTACAAGTCGAGCGCAGACTTGAAATGGCATGCATAGTAGGTAACTCGTCCGAGCCCTTGGTATCGCGAACGCATCCAACAACGCCACTCAGGAAGATTCTGTTGCCTCGTGAACTTTTTCTGATCACGGCTCTAGTATAGCGGCCACTCCGAGCTCCTGGTGTGGCTTTGCCTCCTTTCAGGGGCCCTATTGTTCTCCGAAAAAAGCAAGTACCGACTTCAGCGCAGTACGTGGCAAAAGCGACCATCGATGCAAGCGGCGAAAATTTGGTCATCTTTGTCCTTGAAGCGCGGTTGGCCAGGTGCAGCATTGATTTAAAAGGGCACGAGTTGGACAACAGTTGCCTACCGTTCTTGCCGTTTCCCCTACGACGATTCTGCGTATACCTCGTCCGCGCCTACCTTCTATACCATCTCCAAAGATGTCTTCCCCACCAACTGGTCAGCCCTCACAGGCGAAGGCTGGAGATGCCAAGCCCGCCAGAAGATTCGCACAGCTTCCGATTGGACTCAACCAATGTGAACCTATGTATAGCATCAAGTTTCAAGGAGAAGACGACGATCCTGGCGTCTCCCTCTACAAGTTTCTGCGATTCGGAAATTGCGGCGGACCTGAGGAAGAGAGCGAAGAGGCGCGTTACTGCGTCGGCCTAAACAAACCACTTGGGCCGGGCAACTCGTATGGCTATCTCGTTCACAAGATGGAGGTACGTACACGTCTTTGCCCGAGGCGTCAGGCCGCCATTCGTAATCGTGTTAGCACCTGCGATATTGTGGTCCAAATGCTGACAATGCATTCCAGTGGCCGGCATATAAACCAGACCGACCTGCGTTGTGCTTCTGCTACGACACTACCACAAGATACGAGCTAGGCCATGAGATCGCCTTGGATTGGTGCGACTATCTGGCTGTGAGTTCTTACCTATGGTGCCGTACTAAGGTCGTGCTCCTAACTCGGATTCCCATATCTGTAGAAAGCCATGCGGTTGCTCGATCCTGAGGCGTCCGTGGACGGCCGAGACGAACGGAACCCGGTCGTGGGCGGGATCGAATTTAAGCAGATGTACTTGTCGGAATTCTACGCGAACGACTGGCGCGAGTGGGAGTCCAAGATATGGGTGGAGTTGCCTGACGGGATGGAGAATTTGGACTTCCTCGTGCGGTAAACGACCGTGCCCACTGCCTCCTGTACTCTCCTGTGTCTTCAGATTACATCCCTCTCATCTCAGCTTGTCCGCCCGGGTTATGTCTTTCCTGATGTTGAATTAGTCCGCCGATTGGGCCCCTTGTGTATAAGTTGTCTCTGTGTAATGCATTACCGTGTACAGCGGACGATGCGATGCGTTCCACTCACTACTACTTCCTACATAGTGCACCGCTGTCGGATCCTGTTGCGCAACACCGCGGAACAAGTTCTTGCTGCCAGTGTTTTGAATAAATTGAAGTCTCGTGATGGCGCGTAATCGAGTAACAAAGGTATGTAGAAGCCAGAATTCAAATATTCCAGTCAAGCCCAACCACGCCTCTTGCTCATATAATGTGGCACAGCACTGGACTTTGTTCTTCACATGGTAGAGAGGCCGTAAGTAAGTCATTATTGCCACAGATCTTGCGTATGTAACTTAGATCGGGACAAGATCGGAGGAGATAGATCCTCGCAACACGCCGGCGCCTTTTCCAGTCGACCTCAGCCTCGTATACTACGTCTGCGCAGTAGCAGTGGCAGCACACATTCCTATACACTCGGACTGAGCATTTGGGAGAACATAGGCACGTAGAGATGGATCAACTCGAAGTAAGTCGTCATGGAGCTACGCTTATGCAGCGATACTCACCACACCGCAGGCGAGTGTCTCACTGATGAGCTCTGGCACTAGAAACGGCTGGGAAATGGGACAGGATATTGCATTGGAGAACCTCTATGAGAACTTGGAAAATCTCACAGAGCTAGTTGCAAATGTCATGAATAATTGCCCTACAAGGTGAGGAAATGCGTATGCCACTTTGTACGTCGTAGCGCTTTGCCAACCATTGTTCACTCTCAGGATGGGCCAGGTAGGTACGATGGCACAATTCAAAGAGCCAGCGTTGAAAGATTTGTGTTGTACAGCTCAATCATTGGAAGCATCTGTGGAACGAACCATTGACGAGGCTCGATAAAGCTACGTCTCTGCTCAAGAGGCTGCGAAACCACTTCTGCCCCGCGAGTGCGTTGCCTCCTGACGTTTGGCGCAGAATATTTTTTCTCCGAGTCGTCTCACCAGACAAGAACGCGTTGAGGCCCAATGTTTTGCCCAGCTATGTCCAGGTGCCGTTGCACACGGACTGGCGCAGCCTCATGACTATCACCGCTGTATGTCGCTACTGGCGAGACATCTGCGTCTCAACGCCCGTTCTCTGGAGTCACCTCATAGATGATGATACACTCCAACTCCAACGTCTGGTCCTTATGCGCCACCCCTACATGCCTCTCACGATCTCGCTCAATTGCGATGTTTCTCGCAACATCCGGATGCTTTCTGACCCACTGGATTTGCGATGCAATGTACTGGGTTGGGTCTCTTGCATGCACCACGTCATCACTCAAATCGAACGATACCCTCTTTCTGGCGCACATCTCGAGAAGCTTACTCTAACGGGGAACCCGACATGCCCGGAACATCATGAGTTCAGGACCCCGCGTCCGGTCGAGGGCATGACTTTGTTTCGCAATGACACTCCCCATCTACGCAGCGTCTCAATCGTCGATCTGTCTTGGGTGCCAACGAATCATTTCTCTACCATCACCCAACTCTTGATAAGCCGTTGTCCCTGGCACAATCCGGTCGCTACCATCGTCAATCTCCTCAGGAATACACCCCAGTTGGTTGATCTTGTTCTCTCGGGTATGCACCCTAGGTTGCCAGCAGAAGCTAGTATTCGTGAAGGGACAGAGAAGGCCCGTCTCCATAGTCTTCGGCGACTCGCGCTTCGTAACGTCGGTCCTCGGGTTATTGCGCCACTACTCTCGGAGTTGGACATGGCCTCGCAATGCGTCATCGTCATGAGCGATTTCGGCGAGTTCCATTCCATTCCTTTCAGAGATCTACGCAGAGATATATCGCATGGATTGCCAGAGTGTCTCTCTGGCTTTGCTCTCATGCAGCCCACCATTATGCATCTCAGGCTCTTCGAGCCGGCCTCGATAGCGGATCGGGACCAGCCAAATTTCACGTTGTCCATCGCCGCCGTCAACGAACACGCCGGTGTTCTGCTCAGGGACAAACATGTCCTTCCTACTGGTCTTGTATATGAGTTCCCTACCACCGTTTTCCAGTTGTCACGCCTGCAAGATCTATGTTGCCTGGATACGCGGAACTTCTCAACGGCGGATCCATGGCCCTCGCGAATGTGGTCCTCCATATTGCCGGAATTGACCGCCACAAAGAACCTCACGGTATTCGAATCCAGTCTGCCTCACATCACTCAGTCGCTCAACTATATCGACTGGGCGGCGCCGCTATGTCCACACCTGGCTAGGATCACCGTCCTCTTGCCACACAAAGCTGTGCGGATCGACGAGGTGATGCTAGAACTCGTCTCTCTACGTGAGCGGATGCACTTCCCGCACGTCACCATTGGCTATCTCCCCGAGTACACGGGGATGAGGCCGTCTCAAAGCGAACAGGATTGCCACTTCGACTCGGTGGAATACCTGCATCTCGACAAGGTGCGCCCTGTAGTGCCTCCATGGCCGGACCATTCCCGGCTCCCCGATATGCCGCCCGCGTATTGGCCGCCGTTCGAGCAATGGTCGAGCAACATGGTACCGGACACTCGCGTGATTCGGACGACGAGGTTCGACCGGTTCGGTCGTGCAATAGATGGTGAGCGTAGTAGATAAGTTGGGCTGTGGTCCGGCTTTCTGATAGTTGCTCATAAACAGACGATAGTCTTCGTGGCTGGGGAAGTATTGGCCCGGGGACAAGAGCATGACGCCTATTGTAGGCCAGAACACTCGCTCGGCCGATTTCCCTATCTGTACTGAGGCTTGAAGGATTCATTCTATCATCCGCTCTTGGCTACTACGCTGAACTATCAGTACAACAGAACTTATATCATCGCAATGTCAATCATCTGCTCATGGCCACGACAGCTTTACTCCATCAGCGAATATCTCCGCGAGGTATACCACCGTCTCCGCAAGAATGACCAGTCGCCCACGTCCAGCGAACACCATGTTCGCGGACTCGACCCCAGTGAAGAACTTGCCTAGCAGCGTCCCCGCGCGGTCCCACACCTTCAATGCAACAAAGGGTTACTTGAAGGACATGCTAGGCGGTAATGAAAGACTGTACGTACGTGCACACCATCTCCACAAGCGGCGTATACGTTGCCGAGCGTGTCGACCTGGACGCCGTCGGGGACGCCGGCGTCGACGTATGCAAAGACACGTCGGTTGATGAGTGCGTCGCTCCGCAGATCGACATCATACACATAACTGGATGGTAGTTAGCACGTTAAGAGAGCAGCGTTCAGAAACGCACATAGTCGCGGGGTCGGTCGTGTTCTTGCCCAGGAAACCGCCCGCTGCACCAGAGTCCACGCTGCAGAATACGAGTCTCAATACGCGGATACGAAGCGGAACCGCCAGTGAGGGCGCACATGTACGCGATCTTCCCATCCGCGGAGAAAGCCAGCCCGTTGCAACGAGTGAAGCCATCCGCGACAACGCGGACGTTCCCTGTCTTTGGGTCGAACCGGTACACCTGGTTCGGAAGGAGGGGCGCCGGCCGAAAACGGACCAACCAGCCGTATCTAAGCGCACCTGTCAGTACCCAACCGTGCATGTCAAGTCGGTGAGCCGCACGTCACGTCCGTGAAGTAGATCTTCCCGTCGCGCGGGTGTATCTTCGCGTCGTTGAGCGAGTTGAACTGGCGCCCGAAGTAGTTGTCGAGGATGACGGTGGTGTTGTGCGGGGCGGCCGGGTTGACGAGGGCGAGGCTCGGCGGGCGCACACCTCGCCCAGAGTTGACAAGGAGCAAAGAGCCGTGGTACGGACCGGTGCCCCCATTGGTCATCTGCACAGTGTCTGGGAGGGAGAGCTGCAAGGCTCATATCATCAAGTCGGACGCTCGTGATAGTACAATTAGAAACCGCGCACTGGAGTCACCGTAGCATTCAGAGGGGTTGTCTGGCTTCCGCTCGCGACCGCCAACTCATTCACATCAACCAGGCTCAGCTTGCCCATCTCATTGTTGTTGTCCCAGTCACTGAAGCCAAGATATCCACCGTCTTGACTGCTGAAGAAGACCTCGTCCGTCTCGGGTACCCATATGGGCGCCTCGTGCGCAAACGCGAACCCGGGGTTGCTGGCAATGACACGGATGGACGGGTTTGAGCCGAGGATTTTCAGGAAGCCGGGGTGGAAGGTTTGGAAGAACGGCGGCGACGTGTTGGTCGGGTTGAAGTGGTCCACCCATCCATCACCACGAAACGGCGCGCCGGGAGGGTGCACGGCAAAGGAGAGAGGGTTGACGTACTACGCCGAAGGTTGCCTACAAGCTCAAGTACGAATGCGAAACATCAGGACTTACCACTGTTTGAGGTGGTAGCGCGACACCCTCCAATGACACAGATCCCGGTGTCCCTGGCCAAACCCACGCCGCTAGGCCCGCAAGAGCACCCACAGTCCAGCCTAGCAATGTCATGCCAGATCCACCACCCTGCGAGTCCTTGACGTTGGGTTGCGAGCCTGAGGTTGCCCCTGGTGCCGCGCTCATCGTGTACGCAGCAATAGTGAGAGCCGGAGCGGCGAGACGACTAGCCTGCGGCTAATATGGGTTCCCAGTGCCAGTTCCCCTGGCCCCAGGCGTCCCGAGGATGGTGTCGAGGACATGATGGAGTGGGAACTGAGTTCAGCTGACCTGCCGACGGACATCCGGGACGGTCAACTACAGCGCCTGCCCAATGCGGTAGCTGCACCATCAATGTAATGACTGACGACCTCCTCAATTCGTACGCGGCGCAATTCAACAATGAGGAGGCCTGGGATCCAGTGGGCGGAGGCAACTCAGCCAACGAGCTTGCAGCGTGTTTTCCTGAATATGTCTAGTACCTTCTCTTCACCAGTCGTTTAATTACCCTTCACGGTTTGACGTCTGACAGCGAAGTTAACACCGATTTTTCTAGATTTTCCTCGTTCAGTTTATGTCACTCTGGTACCTTCGTGTGCTTAAAAGCGAAGGCCTGAGGACGACGCAGCCCGTCTACCCGTCCCTCTCCCCTTCATGTGCATGAGCCTTGCGCGTGCGCCGATGCACCCCGATACTCAAGTACTCAAGCGTCGCATGCAGTTCAAGTCGGATGGACTACTTGTTCCAGAATCTACGTCGCCTTCAGGCAACCCTCAGGCCGAAGTTCGACCATCGGCTCATCTCACCAGGTAGACGTAGACAATTCCTTTAACCTTCGTGCCTCAGGATATGCTTGTCTGGCCAACAACCGCTTGCGCGAGGAACCGGGGCTTTGTGGCGCAGGCAGTTCCTTCTGCTACAACGTGACAGCTAAATTCACATTATTGGGCCCCGTACGAAAAGTGCGTATACGAGCGGAGGTCATCGGACGTTGGTATTCAGTGGTCCGGACATTGTACCGCTCAACCTGGACCACCGTAGCCAAGGTCACAGCTGCCTGGCTCGGCCTGGTCGTCGAATTCCACTACGCCCGGTGTGATTCCACATCGAACTCGCTGGACTCCGCCTATGTGTATTGGACAAAAGGCGCGGGGCCCCACGATATGGACAGCTGAGACAATGAAAGGTAGTGAGATCGACCGACTGCATCACCTCGTTTCACGTTCAGTAGTGTTCAATATCGCGATGAAGTCAGTGCTCATCTGTGCAAGTTATTCATTGGCGAAGGCACTGGCTCCGGCCACGTCGGTATGTGGTCCTCACGTCCTCCGAGTCCTGGATCGAATTGAATCCCCGTGCACTTGGCCCAGAGCACGCCAACAGGGAGTCCAGGGTCATGGTTGTTAACCGGTCAGTCATGATGCAACCGTCCGCCAATCTCAATGGATGCTGACGTCGTATGTATTGCTTAGATGAAGACGATGCGCTCGAATGTGAGGCATGTCAGACGCACGTTCCGGTGCGCACGAAGATGAGAACATATTACTATGGCAGTTCTAGACCAGTGACTAGTGAAGATTGAAGCCTGGCCATGGGCAAGTTATATGTAGGATCGGGACAAGATCGGGAGGTTGAATTTGGGAAGGATGACTCGGTTGTCGATCCCACGGCGTCAGGCGCCGGCCCGCGAGTGGACGCCACACAATTGCCACAATGCAAGCGCGTTTCTTTTGTCCACTCATCCAAATCGGCTGAACAAAGGTTCTTCGGAAATGGGCCACTGCAGGATCCCCTTTAAACGAGCAAAGATGCAGATTCTTTTGAGCCACCTCTCCCACATTGTTCCATCGTGCTGCCCACGGCGCCCATCGCATCCATGTTCCAACGAATGACACCGATAGACGACCTCCCGGCCGAATTGCTCTCCTACATCTTCCTCCTCGGCGCGTACCGCCCGCCAGAAGAAGACCCCTCGGGCGAAATTTCCGGTGGACAAGTCAACGACCTTTCGCCATGCATGACCTACAGCTATGCGTTCCCTTGTCTCGTCTCGGCCGTGAGCCGCCATTGGCGCGGCGTCGCGCTTACAACGGGCCAGCTATGGAACAAGATACCTGTCACCGACGAGGAGTGGGACGACTTGAACGACTTGGAGGGCTCTAGCTTCAAGCTCGCTCGTCTGTTCCTGGCCCGATCGGGCACGGCGCCTCTCGACATCATGGTAGATGCGCGGGATCCTGAGTGGAATTTCTCGGAATACGAGTGAGTGGCACACGTTGTTCGAACCTCCAGTCATATTCACATTGACGTTCACAGCGTGTCTACTGCTGGCAGTACTCCTGGCCTCGACGACGAGGATGAAAACGAATACAAGCACCCGTTCACGCAGGGCCACATGCACGCGGCCATGCAAATGCTGTTGCCCCATCTGAGCCGAACTCGCTCGCTCGCGATTTTCACTGATCGCTGGACTCCCATGCAGGTCGCCCTGAACAGCTTGAGTCGCGACGCTCCTCGTGTCCCTATGCTGGAGAGCCTGATCCTGATGCGGTGCAACGAGTTCGCGGCGTACACGCCCGACTTCATCCCCCAAGGGTGCGGCGTCCACTGGCTCCTTCCGTTCGGCAACCACGCGGGTGGCCCTGCGCTCCCGCGTCTCGAACGCCTCATTCTCTCCGGCGTGCACGTCAAGTGGAAGTCCCTGCCCGCGCTGTTCCCGCAGCAGACGCGTCTTCGCCATCTCGAGTTGACGTACCACTGCAGCGACGTGCGTCCGAACAAGGCCGAGCTCCACAGTTTGTTGTCGGCCTGCTCGCAGCTGGAGGAACTGAACGTCAGGGTGTCGCTGCCTGAGGACGACGCCGAGTTCGGGCAGGAGGCTACCATGCGCAACGTACAGCCCGTGAATCTCCCAAAGCTGAAGACGCTCAAACTCGGCTACGACGACAGCGTGCTGGGGAGGAATTCCTGGAGCTGTTCCGGGCTCCGAACGTTCGCACCCTGGTTCTCGAAGACGCGTCATACGCGGCGTCCGAAGTCGTGCAGGAAGCGAGCAAGCTGTTCGTCTATCTGGCGCACCCTGGCGGCCGATTCAGCCGCGCCCGACCGCTCTTCCCGCTTCTCGAGACCCTTGAACTCGGCCGCACGCAAGCCACCCGGGAGGCATACCAGATCTTCTACGCGACGCTCCCTCGCCTGCGCAAGCTCATACTGCGGGAGACGCCTGTTGCCGCGGCACGCGCCTTGCGCCCGACCAGCCCCTACGACGCGCAGCAGTCGTGCCCGTGTCCGCTGCTCGACACGCTCGTCGTGCGTGGGTTCGAGCCGTGTGAGGACCCCCTCTTTCTGAGGTCCTTGTGGAACGCACGGACTATGGCGCCGTCTTCCGCGACATTCGCCTGGAGCCGTGGTTCGGCATCCCCGAGAGGACGTGGAGGAGGGCGAGCTACCGGGAGCGGGCGAGCCTGTTGGCGAGTGGCTCATGCCTAATGGACAACCTATCCCGCCGATGTCCCCAGGACCGGTGCCGCAGCCCGTCCCGCGCTCTGCGGATGGGCGCGTGCTGGTTGGGCGCGGTGGCCTGGCTCCGCCGACGCCGTTCGAGTTCGTCATTGGGAGGATGTCAGCGGGGTATCGTTGAGTTCCGTGTCCCGTCTGCGTCTGAAAGTCATTATGTTCCTATGCACGAATGTATACTATGTTACTGTACTGCTTAACCCACCGCCACTAGGCGTATGAATATGCTTCCTATGTGCTCTCACGGTGTGTTGCGACGTGTCGCCCGAGTAACCCGTTCGATTGGGTGTGGGAAATCAGAATGGGCCTTCAATAGTGTGCTCCGAGTCCTCTGGTTGGTTGATTACAGTCTCGTCTTTTGCACTTCGCTGCACGATCTCATCCACAAAGACTGGAACATAGGGTGGCTACCCAAGACTACCCCAAGACTACCCCCTATAAAAACTGTCTCCCTCCTGGGGGCACGCCGGTTCGGCGCGGATGCTACAATAAGACTGCAAATCCAATGCTCTGCACGGGTGCAATTAATGATGACACTGACAGCATGAGCACAGCGGCGGCCCAGTCGAGCCGTTGAAGGACCTCGGAAACTAGCATGTCAAAAGAGGTGGTGCTTCTGATTCTCATGGTTCGAAAGCAGTTGGATGATTGTAATCACGTCTAAGTATACACATAACAGAAGGCTTCTATGCCGCACTTGTTAGAGTTCTAAATATTGAAACTCAGAAATGTCACGCCTACCATTGGGCTTTCGGACTTTGCATCTGCTTACTTACCGCTAAGGACACACGCCCCTACCGTAACTTCAATCATCCGAGGTTCTTCTCGCTCCCGTTGCATCGCTATCTTCTCCGAAATACTTTCATTCGGACTTAGAGGAGGACTGTTTCCGGTACATCGCAAGCCGGAAGTTCCAGGGGTCGCTAAGCGGAGCGCTAAGTCGCCGCTAACGCCCAAGGCGGTGAGCTTGGCTCGCCGCTGACTTTCGTGGCTAAGGACTTGCTACGGACACTTCTGATATTCACCACCTCCCTCTAGGACTGTTTGCAGGCCCTGCGCTGGCCCTGGGCTCCATCTGCCTCGTTTCTCATCTGGCAACGCTGGCCCAGTCGTCATAACCCTGCATGTCTTACCTACAGCGACACCCACCACCCGACGACGACTCTACCGACGAGGAACATGATACCGTCGACCCGGACCTTCGTTTGCGCACCGTGCGCACGGCGGCCAGCACTATCGCTGAGTCTGCACGCCAGGAGGATCGCAAGCAGAAGCGGAAATTGTCAGTGAAGGGCGTGTTCCATAGGAGGTCGCAGAAGAAGAAGGAGCAGCAGCGCCGTGGGTCGCAGGACCCGTCGGGTGGAGGCGAGGCGTCGGCCCCGCACGTCACCGGATCGCGGAGAAAGGTGTACGTGAACTGTCCACTGCCCCGCGAAGACGTAGACCATCGCGGGGAGCCATTGGTCCAGTACAAGAGGAATAAGGTCCGCACGAGCAGTGAGTAGCCTTATATGAGTGCGACTCTCGCGATGCTGAAATTAGCAACAGAGTACACTATCCTCACGTTCCTCCCGAAGAACCTCTATGAACAGTTCCGACGGTACGCTGAATCGATACTCTGGGAACACGGCGTCCGAGTGCTGACACATGCCTTCCGGTTCCCAGCGTTGCGAACATATACTTCCTGGCCCTCGCTATTCTGCAGATATTCAGCGTGTTCGGTGCAACGACGCCTCAGCTCGCGGCTCTCCCTCTTATCTTTATCCTGGCGGTGACAGCGATCAAGGATGGCGTCGAGGACTACCGCCGAGCCAGTCTCGACGAGGAAGTTAACACCTCGGCAGCGACGAAGCTGGGGCAGTGGCGAAACGTGAATCAGCTCACGGACCCGCGCTCATGGTTCGAGCGGCTGCTGCGTATCAATCCACCCGGGCGCATCACGAAGGGCGTGCGCAAGCTGCGGGAGCGAGAAGCACAGGAGGGCATGGAGATCATACTCAGCAAGGGATTGGAAGGCGAACTCGTCAGCGTGCGTGCATCCCAAGATCCCAATCCGTCGTTCACGTCGCTTCCGCCGGATGCGTCACTCGCCCACAAGCTCGACAGCCCTGGCGCAAGTCCGAAAGTGATACACAGGATGCCCAGCATGGAAAATCACAGCTATCCGCCAAATCAGGGCGCTGGCGTGCCCGGCGCCCCGCATCGGACACACCGCGCTGGCCTTGGTTCATGGTCGGGCGGGTCGGGCACGCTCGCGATATACCAGGAATCGGTGCACTCGCGGTCGAGCATGGGCGTCGTCAATGATGGGCAGCGGACAGCGGGCTTCGCGCGGTGGGAGCGGACGTTGTGGAAGAAACTTGAGGTCGGTGACATCGTGCTCCTACGCGAGAATGAGCAGATCCCCGCGGACATCGTCGTACTGTCGACCTCCGATCCGGACAACATGTGCTATGTGGAGACGAAGAACCTGGACGGCGAAACGAACCTGAAGCCACGCAAGTCCGTGCGCGCGACGTCCGCTATCACCTCGGAAGAGGATCTCGAGCGCTCGTCTTTCATCCTGGATTCCGAGCCACCGCACCAGAACCTCTACTTGTACCATGGCGTCCTCCGTTACAGGGACACGGAGAACGGGGGAATGAAGCAGGAGTCGGTCTCGATCAACGAGCTGCTCTTGCGAGGTTGCACGCTGCGCAACACAGCATGGGTCATCGGTCTTGTCGTGTTCACCGGTCCGGACACGAAGATCATGCTCAACGGTGGCGCGACCCCGTCCAAGCGGTCGAAGATTGAGAAGGAGACGAACTTCAACGTTATCGTGAACTTCGTCATCCTCATCATCATGTGCCTCATCTGTGCGATCGCAAACGGCTTGTACGATGCGAAGAGCGGAACGAGCGCCGACTTTTTCGAACAGGGCTCGCAGCCGTCCAACAGCAATGTCCTCAACGCTGTAGTCACCTTCGTGTAAGCCATCTGAACTCTGCTCCGATCACTCTTTGCATGCTAAATACCATGCCTCAATTGACAGGTCGTGTCTGATTGCCTTCCAAAACATCGTTCCGATCTCACTGTACATCTCCATCGAGATTGTCAAGACGATCCAGGCATTCTTCATTTCCCAAGACATCGACATGTACTACAAGCCTCTAAACGCTGCGTGCACGCCCAAGACGTGGAATATTTCGGACGACCTCGGGCAGATCGAGTACATCTTCTCGGACAAGACTGGCACGTTGACACAGAACGTCATGGAGTTCCAGAAGTGTTCAGTGCACGGCGTTGCGTATGGCGAAGGTGTCACGGAAGCCCAGCGCGGTGCTGCCAAGCGTGCCGGCGTACAGGACGCTCTCGACCCGCAAGAGCAAGAGGACGTGCTACGCCGCCTCAAGGACGACATGCTCACGAAGATGTCGCGGGCGTTCAAGAATCGGTACCTTCAACAGCAGAAGTTGACTCTTATCTCGCCCCAGCTTGCAGAGGACCTCGCAAACAAGGCGTCGGAGCAACGTTCGCACCTGATCGCCTTCTTCCGTGCCCTTGCAATATGCCACAGTGTGCTGTCGGATCGTCCGGAGCCGCACGAGCAGCCCTATCACCTCGAGTACAAAGCCGAGTCGCCTGATGAGGCCGCCTTGGTCGCTGCTGCTCGCGACGTCGGGTTCCCATTCGTCCAGAAGACCCGCGAGGGCTTCGATATCGAGGTAATGGGCCAGCCGGAGCGACATCAACTGCTGCAGATGATCGAGTTTGACAGCACGAGGAAACGGATGAGCGTCATTGTGCGCAACCCGCAGGGCCAACTCGTTCTGTACACGAAGGGCGCGGATAGTGTCATCTACGAGCGGCTTGCGCCTGACCACGACCCGGAGCTGAAGGCGAAGACGTCGCAGGACATGGAGGCATTCGCCAACGGAGGCTTGCGGACACTCTGTATTGCGTATAGGAACCTGAGCGAGGAAGAGTATCTCACTGGCAAAGTGTCTATGACGCGGCGACGAGCGCCATCACCGACCGCGATGCTGAAATCGACAAGGCGACGAGATGATCGAGCATTCGTTGACCATCCTGGAGCGACTGCGCTCGAAGACAAGCTCCAGAAGGTGTGCCAGAGGCCATCGAAACTTTGCATCAGGCAGGGATCAAACTCTGGATCCTCACTGGCGACAAGGTCCAGACCGCCATCGAGATCGGTGGTCGTCTCAGATGGTGTACGGAGTTTTTTGACGTCCGCTCTCAGGCTTAGCTGCAACCTGCTCAAGACGACATGGAGATCATGATCCTCTCGGCCGAGGATGCTGTGGCAGCGCAAACACAATCGAGGCTGGGATCAACAAGATTGCGTCGATGATCGGCCTGCCTTCCGTCAACAAACAGGACGAGGCTTCGTAGCCGGAGCGCAATCGGCGTTCGCGGTCGTCATTGACGGTGACACGCTGCGTCATGCGCTCTCTCCGGCGATGCAAGGGATGTTTCTCAACCTCACTACGCAATGCGAGACCGTCGTCTGCTGTCGTGTCTCACCTGCACAGAAGGCGCTCGTCGTGAAACTGGTCAAGGACGGCCGGGATGCCATGACCTTGTCTATAGGCGACGGTGCCAATGACGTCGCGATGATTCAGGAGGCGAATATCGGTTGCGGCTTACTCGGCCACGAGGGCTCGCAAGCTGCCATGTCCGCAGACTACGCATTCGCTCAGTTCCGTTACCTCACCAAGCTCCTCGTTGTTCACGGGAGGTGGTCATACCAGCGCGTTGCTGACATGCACAGCAATTTCTTCTACAAGGTACTGTCGCGAATGGTTCCTATGTTTGTGATGCTGATCGCATTGGCCCAGAATGTCATCTGGACTTTTGCATTGTTCTGGTATATGATCTTCAATAAGTGCGTGGGCTCTCTATCATTCATGTTCCTGGACACTGACCATGATGGCAGTTTCGACGCTACTTATCTGTACCAGTACTCTTTTATTCTGCTTTGCAACCTTCTCTTCACGTCATTGCCGGTCATTGTCATGGGCGGTAAGTGTTGCTCTAGCCGGCAAACCGCTAAACCCACTAACACTGCCTCCAGCCTTTGACCAGGACATTAATGCGAAGGCGGCGCTCGCATTCCCACAGCTGTATATCCGCGGCATTCGCGGGCTCGAGTACACGCGCACCAAGTTCTGGATGTACATGCTCGATGGGCTGTACCAGTCGGTAGTTGTGTTCTTCATTCCTTACCTAGCATGGACACTGGGTCTGCCTGCATCCTGGAATCACGGCCGGACGTTCGAATCCCAGGCGGATCTGGGTACTACGGTCGCTGTCGCCGCTATCTTTGCTGCGAACAGCTACGTTGGTCTGAACACTCGCTAGTACGTGAAACTGTTAGGACCACGTCTTCCGTCACTGATGATCTTGCCAGTTGGACAGTTATCACATGGATCGTTGTCATCGGGTCCTCCATGGTCATGGTCCTGTGGATCGTGGTGTATTCGTTCTTCAACACGCCTAACTTCAACGACGAAGTCGTGGTTCTTTTCTCGGAGGTGACAGTCTGGGCGGCTATCATAATGTCTGTCGTGGTTGCATTAGGCAAGTACTTTACCCACACAGGATGTATTTCGCTAACAGTACATACAGCGCCGCGGTTCATCGTCAAGTACATCAAGAGTGCCTACATGCCCCTGGACAGAGACATTGTTCGGGAGATGTGGGTTATGGGCGATCTCAAGGACCAGCTTGGCATCGAGCACAGGCGGCACAGAAAGCACAACCCGAGATACGACTCTGAGAAGGCGCCGATGTTCCAACAGCCGCACTATCGCTCCGAGTCCGAGGCCTCGCACGTCAACGTTGACAGGACGCTACCCTCACAGGACGAGAGCAGCGGGGACAGTATCTCACCACCGCCATCTGCGAGTCTCATGGGACGAGCGGCCACTCACGAGGCTTTCCATGAAAACACTCAGCGCGAAGACCTCTTGGGCTCTTCCCCTCGCAGACCCTACTATCATGGCGTCCTTGACGAGACACGTTTGTCGTACTATTCAGCTTCAGACATCCCCGCTCCTTCACCAATACCTCCTGCGACGCAATACACCCGCACACCTCCGATGTCGACTGTCAACTCAGACCTCGTGTCGACATACTCGCAGCCGCCTCACTTGATGCGACCGTCGTCCGCCGACCCGGGAACACCGGAGACGTTCGAAATGCATGTGAGGGAGCCGTCTGGCGAGTGGCAGGATTCGGCTGAGCAGACAGCATACTATGTGCCACCCGATACATCGTACGGATACGATGACCGGCCGCCAGACGACGACTTGACACCGAGCCATTCGCAGCAGCCTTCGCGCGAATCGATGTACGGGCAAGCCATCTAGCGGTGCGGCTGCTCATTTCTGTACTAGCACTGACGCTTTATTTATCGTATCTCGTATGCTTTGCACATTTCCGCGCCTGGGTGTATCTAGATGGTTATTGTGTGGTGTCCAGGCGTCTGTTGTGATCACGGAGGCTGAAGCCTCGTCCGCTCCCTACCTTCTGTACCACGGACGCTGGGATGATGTACTAATACAAACAATGCATCAACTAGGATTGGACTGCTCTCCTTCGAGGTCTCTATGCATCTGCAGGGCCGCCTCGATCACACGGCCACCCTTCACAGTGATCGTGAAGACGAGGTGTCAACTGCCAAAACAGGCTCGTATGTTCGTTTTCTCTCCGCTTCTTCCTTACCCTTGACCGTCTCGAGCAGCGCCGTGCGGTGCACATTACCCTACCTCCACTTCCGAGCCTCTGTCTGTAGTCGACATGCGGACCTCGAGACGTGAACGCTTGCGTATGTCCCTGTTCAACATGATCGGCCTTGTACTTGGTCTCGCTGTCATTTCTGGCTCTCAAGTCGCGGCGCAACCGAATGGTGGAATTCACCTACCAATGTACCGGACAGTGACTTCGTTGTCACACAAACGATCGTCGATGATGAGCGCTGCTGGTTTAGGTGATTTTATGGACGTGTAAGCTTCTTACTGCTATGTCTGTCTGTCTGACTCCTGAACATCCCTCACTAAGCACCTACACTGTGTCCGTCACTATGGGAGATACAGAGACCACTCTTGTTTTGGGTACGTGTCTTCTGGACCCGACAGCCCGATCCTCACTCAATTATATCCTAGATACGGGTTCATCCGATCTATGGGTTGTATCTGACGCATGCTCCGGTGAATGTACGGATAGTGTGGTACCCCTCTACTCGATTGCATCACTGAACGATACGGGTCTTGATGTCCTCTTGCTGTATGGCGATTCCCGCACCGGAACATACGCATCTGGACCCATAGGCCAGGAGACCGTCGGCATCGGGAGTCTATCCGTAGCAAGTCAGACGTTCGCCGCAGTCAATAGCACGAACACGACCATCTTCGCAACCGGATCGGCCGGTATCTTGGGGCTTGGGTTCCCGCCAATCAGGTCTGGTTATCATGAGCGTTCTGTTCTGAATTCTGTTTTGTGACCATTGAAACGCAGTTTAATGTGGCGCGAGCGGCTTCAAATGGACATAGTGAGCAGTCAGAGCTCGCTGTCCAAGCGTGGAATCCCTGGACCATCGGCGAACATATCCACCGGGTCCATCGGCCAGCCGCCCTTCCCTTCCTTCGAATTCCTCAAGCCAGCTATGTTGAAGAAGCGTCAAGCATCTGACGGGACCTCACAATCACCCGCTGACATCGCCATCTCTTCATTTGCGCATTACGGTCCCCTTCTCACTAGGCTCATTCAACAAGACATCCTGGACCTCCCTCTTGTAGCGACAACACTACAACGTGACACATTCCAGATCGGCGGAAACGCGGGCATGCTCTCCATCGGCGGCTTACCCGCAGGCCTTCAAACTTCTCAGTTGACTTGGGTCCCGGTGCGCGGCTACAGCAAAGACGAAGGAGGCCTGCCGCCACCATCTAACTCTCCGAACGAGGTGAGCATACAACTTGCGGTTCGAACGTCATAAACCAATCTCCTCCAGGTGTATCCTCTAGTATGGGAGGTCGCGGTGGACGATGTCTACTTCAATGGCGTCAAGTTACCTAGGTCCATGTTGGCCTCGCCGGCGGTTTCGCTCTCTGCCCTTGTCGACACTGTTAGTATTGTTCGCACCGCTATGGACACATCATCTGATTGGATGAATATACAGGGCAACTCTCTCATACGCGGTCCACGGGACGTCGTCGACCATATCATGGCATACTTCGACGGTCCTGACGCCTCGTTTGACTGCAAGGAAGCGCACAACTTGACCTTCCAGATCGGTGGCGCTATGTTTACTGTCGACCCTCGAGACTTCGCGCACCCACTGCAGAACGACTCTGGCTCAGACTCCCCGCGATGCACTCCCGCCCTTGCAGTCACTGATCCTCCCGGCCAAGGCGGCTTCTTGTACAGCTGGAGCCTGGGCGACCCGTTCTTGAAGTCGTAAGTACTGAGCCTCTTTGTCATTGGTGATGATCGCCCACAAGAGTTTTATTCCGCTTTCAATTCAGTGCGCTAGTCGCTTACCATTATGGAAACATCACGAACCCGTCTCAGGATCCTCCCAAAGTCGGGCTGCTATCGACAGTCCCTTCTGATGTCGCGAACCAGCTGCAGCAAGCTATTCAAGACGTGCTGGCTTCCGGCGGCCAATTCCCTAGTGCGTGACGGATTGGATATGACGAGCAAAAGCATATAGTGACACTTTGCCCTTGACTAGCGGTGGCCGAACCTGCGCCCACTGGGACAGCAATATCGTCACGCACTGCGGTGAATGGTGTCCCGCAAGCGACACACTCCGATCTCCCGTCCCTTGCGAGCAGCGCCTTCACGTCCGCGCTCAGTCCAAAAGCATGGACCTCTCTTGCCCTCGCTGCAGCCACTGGACTCGTGCTCCTTGGAATAACATACTTATGAATAACGAACACGTCTCAGAACTGTCATTCATCTCGGAGTTCATTCTATTTGTATTTTTATTGATGTCATACATAGTGATTTGTCTTGTATCAACGGATACCCACCATACCCACCAATGATAGAATTGTGAACGCATAGGTTGTGAGAGCACTATACTGCGCACGCTGATGTTGAGCCAGAGTGTCCGATTACAGCAAACTGCGACTGACGGCTCTCGCCTATGTACGTCCTGATTGGGCCAAATCAGTAGGAGTCGTCGGGTGCCATGCAACTGGACCACCGCTCGAACGATGGCCAATATGCGGCGGGCATATCTGGGAGTTGGGACTGGTCGGGCCATGGAGGCGACACAGGAGGGACCCCGTCGAGATCGAGGTACTCATAAGATTCGTCAAGGCGGTCTCGATCGCTTCGAGATAGCCTTGTTCCCGTGTAATCCGGGAGATATCCAATGGTGATGTGCGAGAACCGTATCCGCTCTCGTATCATGGCGAGCTTCGACATCACCTCGTTGATTGGCAGGTACCTGCGCGACACGAGGACGGTGATTCTCGTCAAGCGAGGGCATAACGACCACCCTCGCATGAGCACGGACTCAGGGGTATTGAGCGATTGGACGATGTGAGGAAGACTGGAATCAAAAATCGTGAGGTTCTCCATGGCTGTCAACTCCGGCAATAAGGAAGACCACAGTCGTGAGGGCCATGGATCCTTCCTGGGACAGTGCCGCGTATCCAGGCACCATAAATCGTGCAGATGCGAGAGTTGGAAAACACTGGCAGGGAAGTCGTATCTTAGACGATTCGGGCGGACGACTTTGTCCTTGAGAAGTACGCCGGCGTGCTCGTTGACGGCGGCAATAGACAGAGTGAGATGGCCTTGACCATGGACCTGGTCCTCTCGGGAGGCTGGCAAGATTCTGAGATGCATGCCAATGGGTCGCATACACGTAAGCCTAGAGAGGCCTTCAGGTAATTCCCGCCCCATATTACCAAAGGAGCGGCGGGGGATCCAATGGCCGATGACAGTGACGGACTGCGATGCCATGTCCAACTTGGAAAGTATCAAAGCGATACTCCGGTCTCCGATGTTGCGCAGCGCGAGCCGTCGGAGACTACGCAAACGGACCTTTCCTGCCACCTCAGGGATGTTAGGTTCGTCTGGTGGTCTTTGGAACATGTTCGAGAGTACGAGGTCCACCAAATGAGGGGTGTCCCGAAGCAGGTCGAGTATAGAAGCGACGGGGTGGCGCCAGACACAACGGCCTATCAGGAGTTGGGTGAGGGTCGAAAAACGGTTCATCGGCACCCAGGTTAGGCCGACCAACGACACACTGCGTAGACGGGGAGTATCATCATCAAACAAGGTAGTGTCCTGAGACGACCTCAAAGGCAGGGGTTGGGTATGACATGCGCACGTCGGGTTCCCTCCTAGTACGAGAGTCTCGAGATCTGCACCGGAGATAGGGAGTTGTCTGCTTTGAGCAATAATGTGATGCCTGCAAGAGACCCAATGCAATGCTTTGCATCGCGGATTTGGTATGTCTGAAAGCATCTGCATGTTGCGAGGGACATCGCATGTGAGAGACATTGTGAGAGGCACGGTGGGATGATGTTTGAGAACCAGCTTCTGGAGCCCGGGAGCGCCATTGGCAAGTTGACTCCAAAGCATGGGCGTCGAAACGCAGATATCGCGCCAATAGTGACATACTGCGGTGATGGTGAAGAGACCGTGCAAATCCGTGCGCAACGGTACCTGGATGCAGCCTGGGGGGGCATCGGAGCTCAACGCCTCTTGGTCCAGGGAGACGAATCCGAGATAGAATATCCTGCGCCAGATGTCAGGCGGCAGAGCAGCCACTAGGCAGAAATGATTTCGCAGCGTCCTCAGCACAGACGTCGCTTTATCGAGCCTCGTGATCGGCTCATGCCAGACATGTTGCCACTGCTTGAGCTGTACGAGGAACTTTCTGTATGCTGGGATCTCTAATCTGGGCCATTACGATACTCACCTGGCTAGTCCTAGGAGCCCTCGATGATGAGCAAAATACCATCAGGTAGAATTCAAACACCTTTCCTCACCTCGCAGGACAAGCGTCCAACACATTTCCTACCAAGCTTGAAAGCCGTCCAAGGGCTTCGTAGAGATTCTCCAAGGCGTCGTCCAGGTCTCGCGGCGAATCGTTTTCGGTAGTAGAGGTTACCACCTGAGACACGTCAGTAAGCACAAGCACATTATATCGGCTGACTACGTTGGCTTACTTCCATCGCTGACCACAAACCTGTTATCGTCCTTGAGAGAAATCAGCTAGATGGCTGGACACGTCTAGTAGCAGTGCTGGGTCGAAGACTCGAAAACGCGCCTTGTCGCGATCCGGTGGCCGCGTGTGCAACGCGTGCGTGGATCTAAGCGCGCTCGTGTCGGTGCGTAACGGGGTCTGTCTCCTGTATGCACGAGCTGATAAAAAGGGTTAAACGCAGTTGATCGACATCATTGTATTCGTAGGTCATACCATCGTGCTACGAAGTTGTCGTTTCTCATGTTACTTACGACAGAAAACCACCCAATTGTCTCCTGTGGTCTGAGCTTCGGACGCAACTAAATACCTTCGCGATAACATACTTTTGTTCAATAATCTCAGGTCATGAGATGACACCCGGTCGGCGTTGACTGGAAGGTAGGAACGTAGACAACGCTGAAATGCCAGCCGACATCGACCGTATCACTGTCATTTTGATACTGACCGCCTGTGGTACTCGGTCAGTCGAATACTGTGAGCTGAATTCTCGGCTTCATCATAAGATCAATCAAGTATGTAGAGGCAAATTGCCGGAGTTGACTGGTATACTGTACATACCTGAGCTTTATGGTGTCGGTGAGGCGTGCGTTGGGCGTGCGCGTGAGGTCCGGACGCGGTCACGCGTCCCTACGCCTTCACGGTGGCGCCCGCCGCCGACCGCTGTCACTCTTTTTTTTTTTTTTTTTTTTTTTTTTTATTCTCCATGTTTTAGGCCCGTACGGTAGGTACATGCGGGGCAACAATAATAAGGGATGTCCGACGTGAGCAGACCGTGTTGCAGCATGGATCCCCAGATCCCGAGAACCCCGCCTCCCTGCGACCTCACCACCCTCCCAGCCCCTGCCCCTCCTGCATCCAAGGCGTGTCGGGGTGTGGGCAGTCGTAGGTATCGTCCTGGTCTTCATCATCCCCCAGTGACCCGTAAGGTGGGCCACTTAACCATCATAATCTCCCCGCGAAGGCGCGTTGAGCGCGCCTGTAGTTACGATAGGCGCTTATCCATCACATCACCAAGGGCGCTCCCAGAGCCCCCGCCCCCCCTGCACCGTGTCCGCCTTCACAATGCCGCTTGCAGCCCAATGTATAGCACGCTCAAAACCCCCAGGGCTGGTGTCAACCAACGAGGGTGGCGCCGAGAACGACTCCCCCCAACGGCATCGTTTGTGTCGAAGGATTTTTAAGCGAGTCGGGGGCCCGCCGACATGATCCAGTCCTCGCCCAAAGGGCGCCTCGCCCTGCTTGGCTGTGGGTGCTGTGTAATTGCGGAGACCTCCTCCCCAGCAGTGGCAGTTTTCGTGTAGCGAGGGGCAAGCTCAGGCCTGGCGTAGCGGGAGCGGGATCGATGGGACAGGAAGGGGATCGGGTCTGCAACCCGCGATCGGTTTTTTGAGGTCGTCCACGGTCCCGATTCATTATCGAGTTGGTCGATATAGGGAAGAAAGGAGTGTGGGGGTCGAGTTGGGCGAGTCTTGACACTGAGTGAGGATGGGACGGGCGAGAGAAAGGGCAGATGGGTGCCGATAGCGCGGGCGCTAAAGGGGGATGATGGTGGTGCGAGGTCAAGAAGGGATGGACCGCTGTCACTCAGTAATGCGAGTTCTGCTCGGCGCACTGCTCTAGATGAGTCACGCTACTCCGCGTACAACACCCAATGCCTCAACCTTTACCAGTGAACACCTACGTATTCCAGCCATGGCAGGACGCGTATGCCAAATGCCTCCATTATGAACAGGTCGGCAATACAACTAGCGACGCCACCGCCCTTGTACGCACGAGAATCCTGGGCTACTCTATGCTCGAAACCCCCAGTGATACAGGTCGCGACTTCCTTGCCCGCGAAATCAACTCATGTAGTGACGACGATGACTTCGAACGTCTGGCGATACTATACATCAATCGTTACCTCCATTGCTGTGAGTACCCCTATGTGCTACTCGGTGTAGAGAGCAGATGGTGAAACGTATATACTGCGCTGCAGTCCGAGCTGTCAAAGGCCGCACTTCAACTCCATCAACTCGCCCTTCAAGGCCCTCGTTCGATGGCATGCATGAAAGTCTAAAATATCTGCTGGAAGAGGCGCCCCAAGATCATACGACAGCAAAACAAAAGGTGTTTTGTGTACACTCACCGCCGCTCACAACATCGCTTTCTCACTTACGCTGATCGCCAGGCCTTCATACGGGATGGTTACCGATGCATGCTCACTGGCGCATTTGACATGTTTTCTGTCGAACGGAAGCCCCATATCCTCCCAGCCAATGCTCCCATTACGATCACCCATGCAGCCCACATCTTCTCTGGATCCGCAAACGTTGGGACATCGGGTACTGATCAAGATGGTGCGAATGTACGCCTTCTTAGTTTTGTGCTGGCCTGAGGTTACGAATCACCTATTCTTAGCACAAATATGCTGCTCCAGTATGGGCTGTCTTCGGAAACACTCGGGTGCTCGATGAACTCAACGGCGCCAACATTCATCGGCTGGAGAACGTGATGACACTCCGCCTCAATGAGCATTCCTTCTTTGATAGGCTCAAATTGTGGCTTGAAAGCACTGTGAGTACCTACCAACTGATATCTCTGCCGACGAGTCCACAAATAATGATGTTGCTTAGAACACGCCACACACATACACGCCCAAGTCTACACACGAGATGTATCGGAGGGAAATACCGCCGACAATGACTTTCACGACTCCGGACCCCGAGAAGCTTCCCCTACCGTCTCCAGACTACTTGCGCCTCCATGCGGCTGCGGCTCGCGTGGCGCATTTGTCGGGTGCGGGGGAGTATATTGATAAACTGCTGCGGGATATGGAGGAGACCAGGGTGCTGTCAAATGACGGCTCTTCTGCACTTCTATTGGCGGCGGCGTTGGAAGGTATCTCAGTTCGCTGAGGATATCTCACTACTTTGCGACCTTGCGACTCCCCTTGGTGCGCATACCACTGATCCCCATCTGAACCACTCGGCGGTTCATCCTCGTGGCCGTACAGCACTCAGAATGAAGTTGTGGGACAATAGTGGACAGTGGGACTCCCGGTGAGCCCGGGCTGCTGCCAGTGGCTGTCTGCGGGTACTGAAGGAGCCACGGATATGGGGCTGTGGTCGGTGGGCCCGGCCTGAAGCGTATTTTGTAGAAACAGTAGTTTCGGTGATGCACTCTGCAACTTGCATCAGGAAAACCCTCCCCCCGTAATTCGCGGTAACAATCTAAAATGTTCAAGAATAATCGGAACACCGCCGAACGCTCAATAATAAATTGTCATTACAGATCCATGGATCGCACCGCTCGTATTCGCGAGTATTACTCCGAAACCTGTACTCGTTTCTCGCACAACCAGTAATTTTCATATATTCCTCTCACTGGGTACATGATGTCTTCAAAATTACGGACTATATTACAAGGTCGGAACCAAATCATCCACCGAGCCACACCTTCGGGAGGTTATACATGCTGAGCTTGGCGGGGGGAACAAGTTCCTCACGCAGTCATGCAATTTATGCACACGACATGCACATGACAGCCGGGCCGGTGATGGCGGGCGAGTGAGCGAGAGGTAACAAAGTGAGCGAACAATGAGGAGGGCAAGCAAATAAACAAGTGAATGGACAGACGAGCGGATGTGTGGATGCAGGCAGGCGGACAGACGAGTAGGTAAGTGAATGAGCCAATCTTACTGGTAATGTCAACGGTGCTCGTCATGACTCAGATGGTGTCAAACGAGATTGTCTTCGGCACAAGATGCGCACTTCTGGAGGCCATGAAAGGAAGTTGTGGACGGTGCGTCCGCGGCGGTGATCTGCACGGACTTCGTATTGGAGGCGCGGTCGAGCTCAGGGAGGCCGTAGAACTGAGCGATGATCGACATCCTGCCAACACTCTTGGCCACGGTCGTCGCTGGTTGGCAGGCTGGCTGTGTGAGAAGGGGGTGGTGTAAGGAAACAACGACTTACGGGTCTTCGTAGACGGCGCCCTCGGCTTGCCCTGAAAGAGGCTGAGCACGGCACCGACAAGCGTCTGTCGGTGCTCGTTGATGGCGCCACCTGGCGCGACGTCGACGGACCGGTTGATGATGATGCAGTGGTTAGGTGGGGTCGACTCGGACATAAGGGGGTGCTGCGTGGCACGGCTGCTGTGGGGTCTTCAGGGCACGCGCGATGAACGAAAGATTCAAAGAATGGGTCGACGTCGCTGGCCAGTACTGTACTGGGAGCGGCGGCCAGTCGAGAGACGGTAAACTCAGATGGCATAAGGGCAGGAATGTC